AAACTTTCACTTATTTTCCTCGAGTTCTGACACTTATTAAAATATATTTGAAAAGTCAAATAAACGAATGAATGATTTTTCAAGACTTTCTAAAAGTTTAATTGGCCAATGAGCTCAAAATATGAACACAAATATGCCCATTAGCGAAACAGTTATTTGCAGTTTCAAAAAAAAAAAAAAATAAAAAAAATAAAAGTACATATGAACTAAGAGTGTAATGAGAAAAATATATAAGTATGAAACGTGTGTTGACGCTAACGTTTCCGGTACAGCTTGCAGTTTTTCGTTCAGTCCAAGCGGTATTTGAGCGAGAAATCTAAGAAGGAATATAAAAAAAAACAACATAAAACGAGAGAACGAAATGTAAAAAAAAAAAAAGAAGTAAGAAATAACGAAAAAGAAGAATAAAAGACTTGGAAGAAGGCGGAACGAGAGTTGTAAGCATGCGAAAGGACATGACTGTAGCCAAGTTTCCTTATCTACTTCTATCTCAACTCATGGTAGCAAGAATTCAACTCTCAAAGGATACAAAGGAGAAGACCGAGCTGTAGTAGAAGTCAACTTGCCTTGACTAACCATTTCCATTTCTATATCTTTCCCACTTTCGCGCTTTCGTGACTTTAGATCGCATTCCTTTCTTTCTGCTTCCTTATATACTACACCGGATGTTCGACCAGCCATCAGACTTTTATCGAGATCCATTTACACTTTCCGCTTTCTTTGGTATTTGGACAAATGTCCTACGACGTGACCTAAATGAAAATTTTAACTTAATACCTTCCATAATTCGATTTTCCCATTCTACTGGTATTGTAGAGAAAATTGACTGTGAGATAAAATAATATCCAATGGATTAATAACTTTGAAAAAATAACTTCCTAGATCATAGAGTACATATTATCTATTACGTTATAGACATTGTGATTCTTGGAATTTTATCTTTTCTCCAGTTAAGTATATTTTTTATACTTCTTCTTCGAAATAAATCAAATCATTTTTACGTTGCTTGATAAATAAATTATGTAATGAGATAAGAATACTCTTGATACTCTGGATCTTTTTAAGACATTTGGAAAATATTGAAAAAATATTCAACAAAAGCCTCTAGAGAATCAGAAAGTCACTTTTTGGTTTTATTCAATTATATTTTACTTAATTCAATCGTCACACTTCTTGAATTTTCTGTTTATTGCCGAAAAGTTTTTTTTTTAAATATATTTGAGAGCAAACACAATGTGCTTGTAAATAAACAAATGGATCATGATCCTATCTTGTCTTCTAACAATTAAAAAATGGATAAAATTTTCCTACATAAAGTTTTTTTTTTCAAATATAATTGGCCATTGAATGTTTTTAATTAATAAAAAATTGGAGCTGAAAATTGATGACTGATAAACGTGATGACAAAAACAAAATTACAAAGCTTTCCAATATTTTATTAAGATTCAACAATAATCATATTAAAATAAATTATTTTATGTAGTAATCGTTGAATTTCTATCAATTTTTAATATTGAAAAATAAATTGTATTTCGATTTAAACAATAAATGTATTTTATAGAATATGATTTCAAAGTAATTAATGGAATAAAAATTGTTACATTATTTAGCAATATTTTATAAATTTGGTACTGTTTTTTCATATCAATACAAGCTTTTCAATGTATTTACATTTTTATGAAATTTAATTTATAGAAAATAATAACAATAATTTGTAAAATGTGAATTTTCATTTATATTTTCATTTCTCAATATATTTTTATTCAATCAGAAAGTATTAAAAAATTTACATTATAGCTGAAATTCAACAACCATCAGTCTAATGCATTGTATTGCTATCAAAATAATTATAGCTGATAATGAGACGAATGGATAATGTTTCGTTGATTATAACATCAATAAGGTAAAGGGAGAAATCAGTTCATCAGTTTGTATTGAATATCTAGATTTTAAATCTAAAATTATACACGAGATAGAATTTACATCGATTATTTTGTATGTCAATTATCTATTGAACCATCAATATTTTTAGTAAAAATTTATAAAAATTTTTTTCCGGATAAATTAATTTTTTCCAATATTGGTTTTTATCTCGTTTAAAAAAAAAATATTATAGAATTAATAAAAAAAAAACAAGAAAAAAATGCATATAATGATCAGATGTAGTATACCCTATAGGTACTTCAAAATTTGAATAATATAAACTGAAATAAAAAATGTAATAATAATAAATTTTTACTCCAATAAATAATATTGGAATCTGATAGTAATTATAACTTAACAAATAAAATAAAAATAATCATGTTTATTACTCAATAAATGGAAACTTATTTTAATAAAATAATTAAAATGATTAATCGGTTAAATAATTAACAAATTTGATTGCATTTCGAAATGACATAAATTGAAGTAATATTGAACTTTCAATCAGAGACATATTTTCGATAGCTCCACAAATAAAAATGACCTTTAAAAATAGTCTGAATAAAATAAAAAAAGAAAGTCCCATATTGTCATCTATTATTTTATTAACATCAAAGTTGTGATTTATGTTTTTTGTTGGTATTGAATTAGCATAGCTGGAGTGCAAACGAAACCGAACGTAGAGATGAACATGGTAGTAAAAGAGAAATAGCTGTGTGCAATATTCCCATGTGAAAAATTCATTTATCTGCCGAGTGAAACAGGGATATTTCCCCTGTGCTTTAGATTTCTTTACTTTATACTAGAATAGTTGGCACTGGTTTTGAAGAACGAAAGCGTCAACTTTTTTTCCATCGAGTAAATAAATGAGTTTGTGGCTTTTTGATAACTTTAATCAATTATTAAATCTTTTCCATTGACCGGTAAATTAAATCATGTCATCTATCTTCAACGAACAATTTTCCATTGTCAACAGTAAACAACACTAAACAAAAACAAATACAATGACGTATAATATCAAGGGAAAATGATATATCAATTTTGGAATGTATTTAACTTTTTTTTTTTCTTTTTTTTTCGATACTACACTTACTACAATGTTGTCGGGTTATAAAAAGAGAAAAAAATATATGAAGGATATTGAACTCAATGAAGCCAACAGGAGATTACAGTAGACAAGGGTCAAGCCGCAGCTAAAGTGATATACATCGCACAAACTAATTTCCTGTACTGTACAAACAAAAGCGAAACATACTCGTTGATTTTATCTCGTCTAAACTCAACTATGTCGCATCTTTTCATTTTTCTATATATCTTTATTATATTTTTATGATTGATTTTGCCAAATCCACATATAAAAGACAAACTCAAGTCATTTTCAATAACTCTTAATAAGTGAAAACACCGATATTTACTTAACCTCGTTCTTACCTATTTTATTCTGTATGATTAATGTCTATGTATAAATATATACACTACTGGTCAAAAGTTTTTGCCTACCCTATACGTTACAAAATATAAATATGCTCGAGTATACAGTAAACAAATAACGCATAATGACATTTTTGTTCTGTATAAGATCGTTTTGAGTTTGGCTTGACAATTATGAGAGAAAAATTCGAAAAAAAGTGATATTGAAAAGAAATGATTTAACAGGTGGGCAAAAACTTTTGACCGGTAGTGTACATTTTTTGTTATAAACAATGCAGATTAAATCAGAAGAAAGCAAAAAATAGATTGCATGTTGAATCTAATGAAAGTACAATTTTGAAGTAAAAATTTTTCTTTTTTATCTAAAATTACTCGAAAATTACAAAACCTATGTTCAATGTACATAAAAGGAACCAAAAAAAGTTAGTAAAACACAAAGATAGAAAGATTACTGATGGAAAGTAAAATAATTGAATGTATTGATTGCAATACAAAAATTAATATAGAAAAATTTAACGAGTTTTTATATTTCAAGAGCTTTATGTTGATATTGAAATTCTCTATTTGAATAGGAAATAATGGAACGAAAAAATTAGAGAATGATTATTTGTGTATTGAAGATAATATCATTGAAAAGAGTTAGATTTAATATTTATGTCCAATAAAAATACCAGTAATGATTATATCATCATATCGAATAAATTTGTATCATAACTGCATTTGATTCTATTGTTTTGTTAGTAACATCACTTTGTTATTTCTCGAGTGATTGAATAATATTTTCAAAAATTTTATTGTTTGAAATCTAAAGCTCAAACTTTTAGTAAAATAAATATTTTTTTTCAATAATAACAATAATTATTATCAACTCCATTGTGTTTAGAAAGCATTAAGAAGCAATTATATACATTATCCAAACAATATATCGAAAAATAAAAAAATAAATTTTATTATTTCATTTTTTTTTTTTTACAAATTGTTAGCTAATAAAAATCGGTAATTAAAAAAAAATCTTTCTATTTAAAGTTGAAAAATTTTTATTTATCTCTAAAATAATTTTTTATTACAAATGACTTTTTTTAAATAGAGATTTACTTTTAATTAAAAACAATTCATTGAAATAAAAAAAAAAAAACTTTTATTTAGTAAGTATTCAAATATAAATATAGACATAAAAATTGACCGGGTTTTTTGTTACATCAGAATAATAAATAGCAAAACGTGAAAAAGTTGTAAAATTTTCCAACATTACGTATTTTATTTGTGCCAAAGTTGTTGTAGTTTGTCGTTTGCTGTCAAGAACTTATACCATCTTGTACCCTACAAAGTGATAGATCGCAGTGGAGCATTCTTATAGATCCCAAAGAACGAGCAATGCATTTAATAAACAAACTGACGAATGAAAGGGAATAAGGGGAGTAAAGAGAACAACACAATGAAGGAAAACAAGTAGTTGTACTCCTCAACTGGCAAAGTATTTTCTTCTACTTCTTCTTTTGATTCTATTCGTTTACCCCTCTTACAATAGTCTCACACCAATCGTTCTACTAGTGAGCTTGCGCAACTTTCGACCCGCCAGCAGTCCGATCGTACTTGATGCTCCGTGCTTTCATGTGGCTAACAACTTTCGTAGCTGCCAGTTGACGTTATGCCTTGACTTACCTTAGACTTTCAGAGCCACTAATTCGCGCGGGCCAATTTGTTATAAAGTGATTCGATCATTTGTTAGATAATTATAACTTTAAAACTGTCAATCAAAGTGTACGTTTAAATTTGAAAACTATTATCAAATTTGAACCAGTGAATTTTTAAAAGAAAACACAAAATCTAGTGAAAGTTTTATTCAAAGTTGAATTATTAAATCCTTCATCATTAAAAGGTGTGAATAATAAATATTATTAAATAAATAATATATGTAAGAAAAAAAAGAATGATTGAATATTTTCTCTGTCTTCTGAATAAAATTCTCGACTACTGAATACAAATTGACAGGCGTGAAGAGTCAGGAGAGAATTTAGTTAAATTGTCACATTAAGTGACGCGAATAAGAGAGAGAGAAGGAAAAAAAAGATGTCAATATGGTGGTTCGATAAATTCCCGTGGGAATATTACTGCGTAATACGACCAGTAGTGTATGCTTTCTAATACTGGCTTTGATTGCAATTGCATCTATTATATCATGATTCATAGATTTAAATCTATTTATGAAACAGTCCATTAATATTACTACCATCAACATCATCATGATCATTAATAACATATAATGAAGCTTCTTTCTTTTTTTTTTTCAATCATCATTAAAAAAATATTTAATTTACTCATCTTTTCTTGTTGTTAAGATAATTGTAAGAAATAATAATCTAATTTTTTTCACAATATAACAAAGATAAATTTTTAATAATAGTTTTCAAATAAATTTTTCTTCATCGTCAAAACTTTTATTTTTATTCTCAACTAAATCATAAGACCAAAAAATTAATGAATATAACAAAAGTTTGTAGACCATTAATTATTCATTTTAATCTTTATGAAAAAGAAAAATGTCATGAACGATGTATTGTATGAAACATTTTATATTAAAGAAACCTTATCATTATTAAACAAGATAATTTATTTATCATTTAATGGTACTTGAATGATTCAAAGATTATCATAGAATTTGAAGGGATTCATTTATTAATTGATGGTTGTCTGTATTTAACTGGGAAGCTTTTGAATACACAAACACATAGGACAATAATGATGTTATCATGCATTATGACCAGTGATATAATATCAGGTAGAAGAAACGATGCGTGTGCTAAAGTTTAACTATATCGTGTTTATGTACGTGACTACTGTATCATGAAATGTCTGAATTACATTAACATCAGCAAAACGATATCTCTTGCATGCTGACATTAATTACAATCTCGTGTCATTGGAGCGATCAATTTTGGAAGCGATCTATTAGTGGTTTGCGTACGTTAATTAGCCCTATTATGACTGTAGAATTAAATATGCTCTTATAGATACCTATTATTTATGCATAGGGTACTGATGTTACTAATGACCGTATAGTGGATTATGTTTGATTATTATAGAAGCTAAATGAAGCTTAGTTATTAAAGAGTAAGTTTTTAAAGATTATTTTAGTTCCATCATTTTTACATGAATAATAATTATCACTATTTATGAAAAAAAAAATCTTAATTTATTGAACAAGTTTTAATTAAAAATTTTCCAACATTTTTTCGAGTTTTCAAACTTGAATTTATTCACGTTCCCAACATTAATTTATTTTAAAATTAACTTTGACAATATAATGAATAATTTATTAGAAATATAGTATAAAATGGATGAATTAATAACGTATATGTGTAATTCCAATCATCGGAGAGTTTAATACATGGAAATCAATTTTTTTTAGAATAAATTTAAATACAAAATTTATGTATCATCAATACGTCGAATGTTGGTAAAACTTGAAAAAATATTACATATTTCTTTTTTTTTTTCGCCTTCTATATCTTCAATACGTGGTTTTACATAACATCACGTTGAACATGCAATGAATGGTAGAACAGTATCGGAACATAAAAACAGAACACGATGGACGGACCATTGATGATGAATATAAGAGTGAGGGAGAAAGAAAAAGAGGGTAGGACGTGAATGTGAAAATGCACGAGTGAATAGAAATTCGGACGAGCATGGAAAAAAGAAAGCAGGGTAATCTATGTATAGAAACATGAAAAGATCAAAGAAACTAGTGTTGAATATGTACAAATCAACAAATGGCTTTATATATATAACTGACGATTTTTCATGTTCAAATCTTTCTTAACTTGTATTGAAATATTAAATATTCAATGACATAATATTTGGATGACTGTTCTTTGTGTTTCTTTATTTTTCCAGATCTAACAAAAGTCAAATGAAGCAACTGGAAAGAAAGAGGGAGGTTTGACAGTCTGAAAGGACTGGGAGTGAAAGAAAATAATGGTGTTTTTTACGAGGAATATAATTTTAACTTCACCATGGGCATTCATCGCACTAGTTTTCCTCCTATTGGGAACTTCTAGTTCTACAGCTATTCACAAGGGTAATGAGACAGTTTTCTCTTTAAGCTAATAGCTCTTTATTCGTGCTACCAATTGCTTAAATTAATGTGCGGATAACTTGAGGTCGAGTGTCTCAGCTTACACGAAAATTTATTGTACTCCTAAATCCACATCTTTCGCGTATATAATTTATATATCTGTACTAAATTTATTACTTGATACACCTACAGCTTAATCCTATTTCCTACTTAGTTACCTATTCGTTTTAATCTAGATTTTTTTTTGAAATCTTCTTACACTATATAAACTATTTCTGATTTTTTTATTGAATTGCTCTTAGATTATTTATATTAAATAAATAATAATAAATATCATTATTATTATCTCAAAATGTTTATTTGATATTTGCATAAAGTGATTCGGAAGCTTTAATATGAATTGGTCTTGTATTTTATATCAAATGAAAATCTGTCAATCTCTTTCCTGCAGACGTTGCTCTATTTTTATATAATCATCTTTTTCGTGAATATTTGAAAAATCACGTACAGTTATTATCACCGTCAAACTTTTCTATCCTAAATATTTCTGAATTTTCCATTGTTATAAAAATTTAATACTTGAAAAGTAGTTCTCAAGTTATCTTTCATAAGATTGAACTTTGTTGTTTTAGAATTTTTTCAAAAAATAAACATATACTTAAATATTTAAAATTCTTGTGATTCTAAAATTTACAAGTGTTTGTCAATTTAGAGAAGATCAAAGCAATATAAAAATTAGAATTGAAATATTTTCTTATTACCCTTTCATTATGCCTCAATTTTTTTTTAATCAATTGAAATTAATATCAACCCCTTTTAAGAGTAATAAAAAATACATTTAAAAATGAAATTAAAGTCTCCGATGTTATTTACATAAATTAAGTATAATTGACGCCAATCAAACATAATACGAACAATGGATGAATTAGGGATAAAATAAAAAAGGTAACAAGAAAGTTTAGACGAAGGGCGTAAACTTACAGTGGATTCGTTAGGATATTGAGAAACTAGTTACCTCGTAGCTTCTAATCCCCTTTCGGATTTTCTCAGCTCGCCTGTGAAACCACCGTTTGCACCAATGCTTGGTCTTAAGTTTTTCCTCAACTTTTTTTTTATCCCAGTGTTTCTTTCTTTATCACACGGTTGACGTTCAACAACTTACCTTACTAACTCTCTCTTTCATTCACCTTTTTTCTTTTATCTTGTCCCGTCCCGACGACAAAACTTTTCGACCCGCAGGGTGAGCGTATACGACTATGTCTAAGTTTAGACGCAAAGCGATAATGCTCACCGCACCACCTTGCAAAACTTTACTTCTTCTTCTCTTGCCCATCGGCATTTTCCGTGGCTCTTCGTGACATTTTCTACCTTTTTTTCTAACTTTTTCTATACTATTTCAACCAATACAACTACCCATTTCACTGGTTAGTTATTTCTTTAGATTTCTTTTGGTTATTTTTTTGTTTTTATTACAAACTTTTTATTCAGTGGTCTGCCATTTAAATAAAATCGTACATAGATGAAATATAATCAGAGTAAATGCAAAAATCAAAGTTAAGTTTCTCATAAAATCGATATGTTTTAAGAACTTCATAATCGTTTGAAATAGTTTTTGAGATTCTTATAGAAGAGTTGATGTAGAGTAAGACATTTTAAAGTACATATTTTTCCAACTTGAAATAAAATTCAGTGTTTTTTTTTCGTCAAGAAAATAGATATCTATGATATTTTTTTTTAAATCAGAGCTTCAAAATTGTTTAAGTAAATAAATAAATAATTCTAAGTTGATTTTTCTCAATAACATTGTTTTGTTGAATTTTTATTATTACTTTAAAAATAATCTTCAAAAAGTTTAACAACTTCAATTTTATTACATGTTACTTTTCTAACAAAAATTACCATCGTTATTTTATTTTTACTGAAAAGAAAGAGAAAACATAGTTGCAAAGTAAATAACAAAATTCTCATTCCTATTCGCTATACATTTCTCCATGAGACATTTAAATGCAATTTGACATCTGCAATACAATTAACCAAGTACTTGTAGTTGCAGCCGTGAAATTTTTCATTAACATCTCATGTTTATTCAGGATTTAACATGAATGAAGTTGACGATTCCAGATTTTCTCAAGTAAAACTTTCAAGTGTATATCGTACACTGGTATTTAATATCATGATTATAAGCATACTGTCAACTTGGGTTCTAACGTAAAAGTTTTGAGTTCAATACACATCTATATAGTATGATATAACTTGTGATCCTTTCCACTTTGCAAAATCCTAACTAAATCCCTGAGGACTCTGTTAGCATTTGCATAGGAATGGGGCAAGAGATTAAAATGCCCTAGCGCGTCAATTAGTGCACGGGAAAGACTTTGCATTTCAACGAATCTGTGAACCACGTCTACACGTGCATAATGTAAGTAGAATAATGCTGTGTATAGTCAGCCTAAACGCTTATGCGAACTCTCGTAATCCGCGCGTAGTAAATTAGGCTGTGCACCTGAGCCAAGGTATAAACGAGCCCTTTCCAAAACTACCTAATCTACCCCTAATACCTTTATATAATAATCATTTTAATAATATATTATAATTATCTTATTAATTATTATAATCATTATTTTACATACGATTACTCAGTATAATAGATTATTGTTATTAGCAATTATGCAGATGATAATGGTACGACCTACAAGCTCGTAAGGATTTAGTATTTCCAAGCAAAAGTACACGAAAAGCAAAAAAAAAAAGACAATGGATTTACTTTTAGGAGTTTTATTTAACTTTTAGATGATTAAAAAAAATAAAATGTGGTTAAAAAATTTTATCTTCGCTCTATTTGCCTTTAGATTAAGCTTTGCAAATTTTTTTTCACTTTTTTCTGTTTTGTATTTGGTAATTATGAATGTCAGAGAGAGCGTCACTATAGCATTCTTTCGAAATCAAACTGAACAAAGTATAATAAACTAGTACAGCACAATTCACACAGGTGGAAAAATTTGAAATATTTACTAAAAAATAGTCGATTCAATGAAATTTTTCTGACAGTAGATGTAAATTCAACAGACGAAAAATCTACAAAAACAATTGTTCGAGTTAATAGAATATTTAGAAAAATATAATACGTAATTTTAAAGTTAATTTAATAGAATATTATTTCATGTACTGAGACAAAGTGAATGTAAAATACATTTTTAAAAAATTATTTCAATATTAATTAATCAATTTTTATAATAAAAAATTTCTCAATTATTACTCGATGTTCATTGATATGAACCTATAACAATAATAATAATGAACATACACGTACGAAATGGAATACAAAATTTTATGAACACGTAAATTCAATCAATTAACGTAATACAAAAGCAGAAAGATGTATGAAATTTTTCCTAATGAACAAAAGAAAATTATTTCAATGTGTAAAAATTAATAATGTATTCATCAGAAAAATTTGTTTCACTTCATAATGAACGTGAGAAAATTCAAATATAAAGCAATGAATTGAACGTAAAAAAAAAAATTTATCATAAAAAAATATGACATAATAAAAATATTAGAGTGTCCAATTTGCCAATGAAATTTTCTTGTTCATTCAATGGTTCATGTGACTCGATAAGCGAGTGATATTCGCGTCACGCTTATAGCAATCTACGTGTATGAAAATTTTATCAGATGCTCTTGTAACATATGTGGTGAGTCGATTGTGATGTTTCCCCAACTCTTCTCTTTGTTCACAATTTTACGCAGGTTGAAATGACAGAATAAATGACGGCTAACAATACATTGTTAAAAAAGTAAATAGTCTGAAATAAGACTCAATAATAATATCAATTATTTGTGGAGTGAAGATTAATACTCTATAATTAATATTCCATATTCCACAGGGAATTATCGTTAATTCAAACGATGTATTTTCATCCCTTCATGTTTATTACAAATAACATATATACAACAAATATAGCCAGGGGGTTTGTAAATGAGTACTCTGCTAAAAGCCACGAAATTTAGAAAACAAAGAAATGAAATATAAGTTTAAAAATATATATACAACAAACAAAGACAAATTTAAACAGTGTAAGTGAAGGGACGTGCTAGAAAAACAGAGCAAAAACAAAATTAAAAACCTCAATCTATTGATCGCCACTGACCCGTATTCATAACACAGCAAGGCTTTATAGAAACATCTCTTTTTGCATGACTAACAATTGATAAAAAAAACAATTCTACTGTTTTCAAAATAAATCTTTTTATCTCGTTTATTCTATTTATTGCATTATATCCACAGCTTTCTGAGCTTTATTATCAGAAAGAAGTTAAAAGGTTGAAATTCAACTAAATAAATGATATTGTTTTTAATTATATCTAATGAAGAACTATATATAATACTGAAATTTATTCATGAAATTTTCATTTTATTATAGAATAATTATTATGGTTATACGATAGCTGTATACCAGGATATTGCGGTTGTATTTTTGTTTTAAAAATATTATTGAGCTGTAATTTAAGCGGGTAAAAAACATCGCTGGTTTAGTAATATAAATATTAATAAAGATTGCATCCTCTAATGTAGCTGAAAATGGATGGCCAAGTTTTCAGTTTTATAGATGTAAATACCTGGAGAATTGACTTGTAAAGTCAATCACAAATCTCGTTTAAGTTTTATCATGACTGACCATGCACATTAAATTAGTTTCCAGCTCTTTTTTTTAATCCTCGTTTTCCATTATTTATCAATTTTTCAATTTTTTACAATCCTTTTAATAATCTCTAGTTTACATCTAATCGTTTTTAATTACATAAAACTTGTTATTTGATGTAATAATGAAAATTTGACTATCAATTAAAACTAACTGATAAATTAATTAAATCAATGAAATTAATTTGGAAAACTATGAACTCTTTTAGGTCGTTAAGTTATTCGCAATTGAGATTTAATAAGAAAAAAATTGTTGAAATAGTTTGACAATGTAATAAAGAGGTCGATTATCGATTGCTCTCGTATATCTATATCAAAGTTCTCTTAGGACCTGTTTTCTCCAGTTGCTCATCTACTCAACTCGTTTTGAGGCTCTTCCGCATTTCAGCGGAAACAAGACCTCTGCTTTTCCACGCTGACCTCATCCGCTTTTACACGACCTCAAGACTTGAACGTCAATGGAAATTACTGTCATTAAATTTTCAATGACCTAAGCAATGATTCCAAAAAAAAAAGAAAAAAATTTGTCAAGAATTGTTTTATATATTAGGATTAATTTTAAATAATTCTATTCTGAGATTGCATATTTAATTTTAAAATAAAATAAGAAAAAATGGTGAAAAGAATAAATATTAAATTAAAAACTTTATTCGATTATGACTGACATTTATTGGGTATGAAAGAAAATGAAGGATGTTATGAAAGAGTTGATTGTTATCTCAAGAATAATCCATAATTGGAATAATGAATTGAAACTTTATAACAATTGAATTTTACTCTAAGTCAACGAATCCCCTAGGGAGTAGAAAAAAAAAATGCTAATTACTATATCTGTTTTCAAAAGGGATTTTAGATTAATTAATTGACTACCCAATAAATGAAATTTAAATGAATAGTTCATTGTCAGGCTTATTATAATCCTAACAGTAATTTTCATCATTTTTAAAAATAATTTTATTCAAAGAATTTTTTATAAATGAAATATTTCCATAATTTCCTGACAAACTCTCTTAAGCTCAATCTTCTTTTATTTTTTGCAAATTCAGAGAGAAAAAAATTAAAGAACGTGGAATGATATGAAGATATACATAAAAACTTAATACAAAAACAGGTAGAAAAAGAATAGTAAAAAAGACGACACGTTGTAAGCTTAGAGTTAAAATAAGGATAAAGAAGAAGCGATTCAAAAGCAAACGTGACAGCGGCTTTCAGCATCACGTTCCATGTGGTGCTCGACACGTCGTGTCGGTCTTATTACTAGTAGGATGAACGTGCATGCATCGTCACGCTCTGAGTTACATGACATTCTGACACTTTTCTCTACTTTAAAATGCTAGTTTTATCCGTCAGTTAAATTTCAATTGATTTCCAAGTTTTTTCTCTTCCATGTCTTGTATCTTCAATGACTTTAAATAATAATACATGTTTTGTAGCAGACCGAGATCACTGTAACAAAACAGTGGACATCTACGAGGATGTATCAAGTCCAGCTGTGACTTCAGCTACATGGGGAAAGCCTTTAACATGTTCGTATCGGTTTAAGGCGATTCGTGGAACACCTAGAGACTGGATTCTCCGAGTACGTTTTAAAAAATTCAAAGTTGGAGTACTTGCTAATGCTACCCACTGTCTTGGAGGCTATTTACAAGTGAGTACATAAAACAGTTTGAAAACCAAACAAATTAATATTTTATTTCCATCATAAAATAGCTATGTGAAATATTCGTTGCATTGAATTTGTTAATAAAACTTGGCTATTTGTGATATCGTTCGGGAATTCTGTTCAACATCGTTCCGCATCACGGTTTACTCCTCGTCAAACGACTCTATCCATTGGTGCACCAAACGTTTGATCATTCGGGTGAATCACGTGTCGTGAATACGTTATTCCTACTTGACGTATACCGACTGTGCATATATCATGCATAACTGTCGAGTAGATTTGTTACATGTGCGTAGAGATATTATTTGATAATTTTTCAGTAACTTTCATGGATTTTATTTTCATTAATTAATAACCAATCGTTTATTGGTTTTCATTTAAATATTATTTCAATTGAAATTTTTATTTTAATCATTTTAAACTATTTTTGTTAATTCTTGAAAGTAATAAAAAAGATTGATGTAGAAAGGAACTTTTTGAAATTGAATCACTTTTAGGAATACTTTTAGAAAATTATTTCTTCACCGTTTATAAACATACTAGGTCATGTCCAATTCAAAATACATCTTAAAATCCTTAAAAATACAAATCGAATGATTATTTAAAAGATCCCAAAATCCTTGGACGAAATATTCAAGTAGAAGTTTTTATATAGGTCATCAAAGATCTAGACTGCTAGTCCAGAACTAATAATTCGGATTTAAATTCAGCTTATCTTTTATTCGCTATTTCTGAGGATTTTTACTAGGAGATATTTTTTTCAATCAGATAAAAAGCAAATAATTGTAAAACTTTTTTCGAACATAACTGGAATTAGATATCACGAATAGTTATGTGTGATATACATTTATAGTAAAAACAAATTTCATAATAAAACTTATCAATTTTCTATTCTCTTAACTTTTATATTATTGTACCTTTATCGTATATAGTCGTAATTCGTAGTCTTTTGTATATCAAACTTTATCCTACTCAGCTCCATCCACTGATTTAATTAATTAATCGCATCGTTTCATCTCAACTTTTGTGCTTTCAAATGCTCATTATTAATTTTCAGTCAAATTACGTCATTCGCGTAAATGAATGAAATATGAGAATGAAATTTGATTTTATTATTTTCTCAATCTTTATATATACATATATACTGTACTTATCAACAGCAATCAAAATTCATTCATTACAAATAGAAATATTGTTTGATCATTACTGCCTGGAATGAAAAAAAATGCTAATCAACAACTGTATGGTAATAAATAATGCATATACATCATCACTATACCATTGTTTTCATTACAATATTAATAAAATCTTTCAACAATAGACAACATATAGACTGTCATGCTCTAGAATTGTTCTCTCCAACAAAGAAAAGTAAAATGAATATGAACTTTATGCGTACAAATTCAACAGAGTCACTGTAAAATGCACATCAAATTGAAGAATGGATTCTCCTTTTATCATACTTTTTTGTTTCACACAATAGCAATTGCTACTTTTGATAAATAGATAGCTCACACACATGATAACCAATTGTTCTTAGTTTTAAAATAAAAAGTTGTATCTCCTTCAAATAGAAGGAGTTTTGTTTTAATGGAACAAAACAATTTAATATATATCATGTGTTAATATGAAAATTTATGATGATAACATAGACTAAAATCGTATCAATAATATAAAGAATATCACAAATACGCAGTAAGATGCATACACAACCTATCTATCGAGTATTGATCTTGATATTATTCTTGAAGCAGGATGTAGAAAACGCTGATGGTGGAAAGTAAAAACCAAACTCACACCACCCTTTTGTTTCTGTTCAGCTTTATTTCTCTTCATGAAAATTTTCTTCTTTTTTATTTGCTAGAGACTTATTTTATTTCAGTATTTTTCATCTTTATTCATTTCACACTATTTTTCACCTTTATCTGATAAAAGATAGTAAATGGTATCAGCTATAAAAACTTGATAAATTGAAAAGGAAAATATCCATTGATAAAGCTAAGAAATTCAAGGTATATTTTTTAAATATTCAATCAATTGATAAAAAATACGTAATGACTTGATTGCCAACTAAAAATTCAACTACAAATATTCCAATTCGAATCATTTCAATGCAAGTCTTTGCTTCATTGAACTCATTACTCATGCCATGTAGAGTTCCTTGACGTTTGATATATAAAGTCTACAAGTATAAGAAAGTATGAACACGCGAGCCAACCTATCTAAGTTCTCACACATCCGACATTGCTCTATAATGTTCATGATTTATAACAGAAAGTTGTACTACGATAAAAAATATTTTTACTTCAAATTTTGAGGAAAAAAATGTCACAATATTTTTTTATTAGTTATAGCTTTTTATACTTTTTTTTTTACATTTATATTATATCCATTATTCAATTTATAAACTTACCTTGTGGATTGCTAAAAGCCGTTTTTGATTGCATCACACCACAAACTGCATCCAATATCCATCATACACCACCGTTATTGAAAAAATTCATTGTTGAATACCTGATAGATGAATAGAGGCTGAAAAATTTCAAAAACCTCAAATTCTTATGATGATTTATTAAAAAATCTTATAATTATTTTAAAAGCTTTAAAAATATAATTCCAGGCAAATATCATAAAATGATAAATAAAATATGACAAAAAATTACCATAATCATGTAAAAGCTTTTTTTTTTTTGAAAAAAAAATATCAAAGTTAGAGAAATGAAATAATTTTTTTGTTACTTTTGGTTTTAAAAATAGAATATTCATGTAGTTTTATTTATGATTTAATTTATAATTTATATATACATGTATATATGTTATATATACATTATATATACATGTATATTTGTATATATATATATATATAAATTGATTTGAAAAAAAAACAGTTCATTTTTTGAAATAAAAAAAAATTGGTCAAATAAACCAAAGATTGTTGAGGATGCTTTAAATATTTTCAACAACAGTGTTTATATTTAAATTGTTTTATTTTTAACCACTGTACCTTTGAAGAGCAACTAACGGATACAAACATTCATTTAATTGATTTCGACCATATCAATGTTCTCATCGTGTCTAAATGATCAAAAAAATTGGAAAAATTTTTTTAATGAGTACCATAAAAATAAATACCGATAATACGATGATATATGGATAGAATATTGCCACATCCAATGTAAAAGTATCCACACATTTTTCGTTTTATCATTTCCACTAGGATAAATATTCTGAAAATGTAAAAAAGTTTATCATATTAATGGGAATACTCAACCACAGACTAGTCTGGAAACGGATATTAAAATATACAAATTCTGAAATTATAACGATCTATTATCTGTGAATTCAGTATGATAGAGGATTTCTATCATTTTTTTTTCAAGCACTTTACATTTATATAACTTTGAAAAAAAAAAAAAAATTCAACTACCAGAAAAAAAAAAAACTGATCAACTTTATTGACGAGTGAAATTGTTGAAATATTTGTTAACAAAATTTTTTTCTATCACAAATGAACAAAAAATTGTAAAATAATTTCAATAAATTGTATTATTAAATTATAAAAATAGTATAGTCTAATGTTTACTTATAAAACAATGAAATATTATGCTCTTAAAAACTTGCCTTGAACATCTGTCTGTGTCAGGTGTATTTAGTGAATTAAGTTGCACTGTAGCTGTTAATCAAATTCTAGTTATTCTATTTGCATTAAATAATTACTTAGAGGCATATATTAAACAACTAATTTAAAAAAGTAACTTTCAAAAACTAAATTATTAAAATATTTTTATTTAAAAAAAGATTCTCTAATCTAATGTCACTGATAACTGATTAAGTTATATTTAAAATAACGAAATTAACAAATGATGATAATTAAAAGAAGAAGAAAAAATGATAAAAAGAAAAGAAATCTTTTGATAAAAAACAAAATCTTGGTTTATAAATAATAACGTCTATTATTATCCGAATGTAAATGGTTATTTTAATGTCCAAAGTAAAAGATGAAAGAATAGGTAAATTATTCAAAGTTGTCTTTTAATAATATTAAGTGCATATTATATGTTCTATAATCATAGTAATTAATCTCAGCTGAGAAATGAAGGTCGTTAGAAGCTTTTATCTGAGTGCAAAGAGTATGCTACAGAACTTGGATATAACTACACTCACACTATACAAATAATTTTACCAAGTACGGAGAACGCAAACAAGTATTTGGATTATACACACTGAATTTGGGTTAGTTCAAGCATGCAGTGTTACATCTATGTAAAGTGTACGGGTGTAACAGAATACAAGCAGAGAATGAGGAGAAACCTGCTGGAGATTAATGACTCTCTGGACGTGGCAGGGTATAACCCAACAATGTAGCACCAAACTTATTTACTATACGTTTTCATGTCATGTTTTCGAATGAATAATTAAGAAATATGTTCATGTCACCCAACACACTGAAAATTATAATTTTCTTTTTAATGAATCATTTTCATAAATAATAATTCATATTATTTTTACTCATTATTTTTTTTTTCTTTTGCTTCCTTGTCTTTTTATATCATTTTGTTTTTTTTTTTAATCGTGATTATTTATGAAGCACTAAATTGTTAAAATGCTTGCAGTAAAGCCCTTATTATTTTTATTTGTCTTCATTTAAATAAACTTCATATGCAATTTGTCTCAGGCAATCTATGTTAATGCAAATTTATATTTATATCGTCAAATGTAGTAGTAACACAATTGTACGAATCTTTATATACATACAAAAGCACATGGTACTCCTTGTCTACTTATTTACATACGTGGTAGACTCTCAAAACCTCGAGAAATCCTGTTTACATATTTATTATGCACTTGAAGATGACTTCCATTTTCCCAGATGATTTCATGAACTTTATCCACTCTCAAATTTGAACAATTTATGTCTATAAACTTCATCTTGTACGTGGCAATAGAAAAACGTTTCATTTTAGTCAAAAGAAATATTAATAAAGACCAGAATAAAAGAAGCGAGAAAAATAAGTGACCTAGAAAACGTTGAAAATTTCAACATGAAAATGCATTTCAAGATAAAATTCAATGTGATTGCTCTGAGTGTTGCCGCATATATGAAGATAAATTGAGGTCATTCTAATTGTCATACCTCAAACCAAAAAAATAGATCAAGAACAATATCTATATAAGCATGTAAAGAAATAGCTCTTTGTATGTAGCTGAAATAAAAGAAAAAAATCTGACATGATGAGAGTACAAGATCAAGGGTCACCGGATGTAATCCCGACGTTGGGCAAACACACCAAGTCTTACCCTCAAGTTGCATGGCAAGTACACTTCTTTCTAGTGCACGTTCTACGCTTGGAGAAATACTAGCAGACGAGAAGCTCAGCATGCCGTAATTAAATATGCTATGCACGCGACCACAGCATGGACGAGTTAACAGCCAAGGCTTTAAGCACGTAGTTAGGTATGGACCATTGGAAAATCCAATTTCTCTGCCAGTCAACCAAATATTGTCAACATTCATCTCTCTTACCTACAATAAACTACTTGATAAGTTATTCTTTATTCATTGCTCTATAAATTTTACTTCAATTATTTCTTGTCATACAATAACATATATTACTCTTGATGTAATAACAAAAAATTTCGTATTTTTTTAAAATAAAAATTTCTTAATATTTTATTTTAGTTTTCTCTTTTTTTTTTTATCAATAAAATACATGAATAATTTTTATCACATATTTTGTCATAATTACTAGTTCATGAAGAGGGTTTTTATGATTTTAACTCAGCATTTGATTTTTTCAAGTGTATTTCAACAACTTGTGTAATATTCATAAGTTCATAACTATAAAAAAATGTGTAAATTAAGTAATATTTTTCATTTATATTTTATATTCATTTAAATAGAGATATTGTAATAATTTTAAAAAGTACTCTATTTTTACTTTATATAAAAATACTCAAGTGTATTTTATATATTTTATAAAAGGTTTATTAAAAGCCATTTTTCAGACAAAAAATATTAATAATATATTCATAAAATATTCTTTAATTTTAAATACCAAAAGAAAAAGTAAAATTAAATAATTTATCAAAAATTTAGATGAAATTTTTTCATAGTTCATTCTTTTAATGGATAACTTAAATTTTTAATTTACTATTTCATTTATTTTTTTCATTACATATCAATGAAACAAACTAGATGGAATATTGATATTCAATTTCCGTTATATTTAATAGCAAATATGTTTGATAATACTTGTATTTTATCTTTGCATATCAACTATAATTTGATAACAAAGCTTGAAGCAATAAATGTGCACATAACTTGATTGAAATATATTGAAACTATAGTTAATTACATGAATACTATTTAAATTTCCACAGTGATTATAATAATCCATTGCAATTCGGCTTAGTTTTTATGATCAAATATGAATTTCATTGTAAAATTATATTATTCCAAATAATGTAGTTATAGCTTATTGAGATAAATAAGTTCAATTTACGAAATTCACGAAATTTCTCTTCAATAATGTAATGCCCGGATTCTTCGATCAAATAATTACCAAAATATATTTAACAGTGCTTGAGTATGTAATCCATGTATATACTTATCAGAGAAATCATTTTAATTTAATGAATTTTATTGATCGACTATTAATTTAATCTCTAATTATAACAAAATAATTAATAATGAATTACCTAAATTACTATTAATTAATATATAAATACTCAAGTCTTTATTGTAATTAAATAAATAAATAACACCGTAGGGAATGTAATGACTTTATTAAAATGAAAGATTGAGTAGAGTTAATTTCAATGAGGAATAAACAAAAATGTTCTAATAGCAAATATGAGAGTTGATTAAAGTGAAAATTTAATTAAAATAGGATATGATGAGTTTTATTATACATATCACCTAGTTAAATAGAACATTCTGTTAAATTTACGACTAGTATTGTGGGGCCGCAATGTCTAACTAACGTGAAACAAGGGTATTTGGGTTTACAGGTAGCCAAATCAACCGGACATAGAGCTCAGCACCATTGACGCTACCAAATTACCCAGAGGGTACATGTTCAAATCTATGCACCCCTTTCACGCAATTTTACCTACCTAAACGACGTTTCACGGCTCGTAAATTTATGATTTCCGCTAAGCATTAAATCTACTGCTAAATTGTCTGTTAAATCTTCTCCAAGTGTCATTTTCGTTATTATTCATACAGTAATATGCATTTTGGCATTATTAATGCAGTATATCAATACGATAATACTCATTAGCATGAGCTTTGGTTACAATACACTGACAAAATCATGCTCTAGAATTAAGAATAATTTCATTCTTAATTATAATATGCTCAAATAAAAAAATAATCAGAAATACAATGATCCTGCTATCATCCTGCATCCATGTTATCTTTGTCCTGACTTCATTCGTCTTATGTTATACATGAATTATTCTTTTATCTAAGAATATTATGATCAAAAATGAAATTATTCTTGATCCAAGAATATAATTTTGTCAATATAACGTTTGATGATTAAAATAATTCGTCCAAATTTATTGAATAAAATTTTCCAAATGTTTGAAAAATTTATAAAGTTCATTTTTAGTTTACTTTAATAATTAATTTCACTTTTAAGAATAAATTGTAACAATTGTAATATTTTAATTTAAATCCTCGGTTTTTTTATTCTATCTTGAGTGAATAATTATGTGAAAAAAGTAATAAATTAATAAGGTTGATATTTAAATGACTACAGAAAAACTTAATTATTCATACTGACTATTTTTTCCCCCGAAAAAACATTATTTTCATCGACTAGTGTCAATAAAGATCACGTCGAGTAATCCCGTACATACATAAAAAGGATGGAAGACAAGAAAAAATAGTTAGACGATGACTTGAAAAGCTTGTGAGTAATATGATAATTTGCTTCAAGTTAACGAAGGCGTTTTACTAACATACATGCCGGATATTAAATGAGAACGGCTGGGTGCTGGCGCCCCTCCAATAAAATCAACTGAGGATTCTATCAGCTGAGGGAAGGTTAGCCGGAAGTAACATCGTGTCGACATAAAAGACATGCACATTCAATTTATGTGCAAATAAATATCATTCAAAAGGGTGAAATGGATGTTGAAAGTTGGAAATATTTCTTTTAATTACAAAGAAAAACTCAGATGATTGCTATCAAATTGAATATAACTACACGTAGAAATAAATTATTATGTAAATGAAAAATATACATCTTGTAATATTGGCTACAAAAACCTTCAAAAATTACTGAGCCATTCAGTAAACAGAGAGAGAAATTTCTGAGGTAAAGAAAATTTGCAGTCTTCTAGTACTGACAAAATTTTAGTAGATAATAAAACATCGAAAATGAGATGCAAAACGGAATGACACCAAGTGTCATCTGTGAATACCTGAAAGTTGGCGAAAATTTGTAATTTAAAATACTTGAAAGTTTTTATCAGTTTAAAAAAATAATAATAAGATTTTCTACATTTTTTATAATTATTCAGAGAAATGTATTATTTTTTAATTAATCAATTTCAATCACACCAACTTGTTATTTTATTTTATTTATCATTATAAAATACTTTAATAATAGATTAAAACAATAATTTCAACTCTTAATAAAGATAAAAAAAAGTTAAGATGCTTCAACTTTCTTTATTATAAAAATATAAAATATTACTTATATATATAATCAGAAATATTGAATTCAATAATTTATTAAAACTTTTGAAATTTTATTAATTAAAAATGAGAGGAAAATATATAAAACGTCATAATGAATAACTTCCAGCAAGAAATTCTCAGCATAATAAACTTTAAATAGATTTAACTCTTAATATAAATCAATTCCATGCACTGAAAAAAATAAAATATTTAAATAAAAACTCATGATTAATCATCAAATTGTGTATTATCAAGTATTTTTATCTAAAAAAATAGTATGAGTTTATTAGAGCTTTTAAGAAGATTATTTTTGTCTTTTATGAATTCATTATAAATTGATTGATCATTAAAAATGCACGTTGATGAAATACCAACCCTTGCTAACTAAATTAATAAAACAGCTTTGAAGAGTGAATTGTATAAAATACTTTATGACTTCAAGATTTATTTAAAAAGTTATTTATATTAAATTTTATTTTAAAATGAAATCAATGAAAAAATATTTAAATAATTAAACTGTATTTTATGCTAAAAATAATCATATTCACTAAGTTATTTCAATAACGAATAATTAAATAAACAAACTTTAAATAAAACACGTCAAGTGTATTCAATTATACTTGACCTCTTCACAGCAATAAATGACGTTATAAAATAATCGTCAAAATAACGAATTTCTACATATGAATGCAAAATTCACATAATATATAGTATTTCATTATTTACCAATACAAGCTTAATTATTTTTTGAAACTAAAGTAGACTCAAATTAATGAGAATTCATTATGTGTTTCAGATAATCGATGGTAATACGAAGACGCTAGTAAGTAACCGGAAGGCCCCTGGTGTCTTTTGTGGCGAGTCTGAACAACCCCAGACTTTCATATCTGAGACAAGTTTCGTCAAAGTCCTCTTTCATGCAGATAATTTTACAGACCAGACTTACTTCAGCTTTGATTCAAGAGCTGAGCAGCAATTTGAGGTTTATCTACGGTATGGTCAACATCCTGAACTCTATCCTAATCGTCGAGGCATGGTAGTACCAGGGAGTTACTGTGAGCGAGATTTCAAAGATTGTCGACTTCAGACATGCTATGTACAGAGCCCTGCATATCCTGGAATCTATCCTCGAGCGTTGCACTGCAAATATAGACTTAATACCAGACAACCCTTCATCAAGTTGTATATTGAAAATGAGGAATTCAACATAGATGGTCAGCGATGTGAGAACATCATGACCTGTCCAATGCGACCAATAAGTTCTGGATCCCAACACTGCCCTTACGACTACATTCGAGTATACGATGGTAAAAATGAAACAGCACCGGTTATTGGAACTTTTTGTGGAATGGGTAAATTTCCGTACAGTATCATTGGAACAAGTGCTGATTTATACGTTGAGTTTGTCTCATCGCCAGCAGGACCACTTCTGAATACTGGATTCCATTTTAACGTGGGAAATTGGCCAGCACATGTTGAGACAGCTGGAGTGAAAAATGGTAGCTGTGATTGGCTTTTAAGTAGTGAATCACTGACAACTGGAAGTGAAGGTATTTTTCTATCAGTAGCACATTGGTATCCCCCTCACACTAGCTGTACATATCTGCTACGAGGTCGACCTGGAGAAATAGCGCGACTTTATTTTCCCAGTTTCCGGGTCAATAGAATTGAATCACCCATTTTACCGTATGATGGTGATTGCGGTGAGAGTCTCACTTTGTATGACGCTAATTGGCCAGATGACGCAAGAATTATTAAGACATTCTGCGACACCTTTAGTAAACCCATGGAGAAACACGACTTTGTGTCAACTTCTAATTCAATGTTTGTGAGATTTGAAAGCAAAACTGGTAGCTATTCAGGTAGTTCTCTTTATTACTGGGCACATTATGACTTTTTTAACGCGACGAGATTTGGTGAGCCAGTACCTAATACAGAGTGTGATGAAGTTTTTGCCTCTTGGAAGACCCAATCGGGTCGACTACGGTCTCCTCTGAATACTCTATTGTACAAACGTCTTGGTGACCCACCAAATGATTTATCATGTACCTACACATTCTTGACAGATAAGAGACTTTTTGCTAGAGTAATTTTGACTATTGAATCAGTAAGTTTCAAGGATAATCCCTATGCTCAGTGTAATCATTGTTGGGACAGTCGTGCTGATAAGATAATTGTGCGAGAACCAAATCCAGAAGCTGGAAAAGGTCATTGTCTGTGTAAATTATCACCTCTAGCATCTCCACTTAAGATAGTTTCACGAGGAGAAAAACTAGAACTAAAGTTTTTCGTAGATGGAAGTCATGCCGCACCTAGTTACTTCAAACAATCATCAGCACTCTTCCAAGCTAGATACGAGTTTGTTCACAGTCCACTTTGTGGTGCAGCTCTCTTACCACCTACAACGGACGGGGAGATTGAGTTTCCTAGTTATGAGGCACTTAGTTACGTCACTCCTCCACGGTCGATCAAGTGCATTTGGGAGCTGAGAGTCAATCCGGACAAGGATTTGTGGCTACACTTTGATAAGATTAAATTTGCATCACGTTCCTGCGAAGATGGCAAGCTCGAAATATTCCTGGCAGGCACAATGGAACCCTACTTGTCTATCTGTGGTGAAAATGTCAGTTATGTCCGAGAAATGCCGATATTTTCAGCAACACAATTGGGTCAACCTAGAGTACCCGACGGCGAACCTCCACCAGTTGTTATACAATTGACTGGATCGATGGCACCGGCAAGAGTAGCGTTCAAAATAGCATGGACAGAACTCTTTCGTCTACCAAGAGATAGCAGTGGTCAACTCAATACTCAAAAGCTTGAAGAATGTGGATTTCAATGTCCTGGCAATACAGGATGTGTACCGGAGCGCCTTCTTTGTAATGGAGTTGTCAATTGTCCAACAACCAATTTACCCTTGGGTACTTTAAACGCCAGTTTGTATGAACCTGACGACGAATCCATTGAGACATGTGGAGGACCCATGACTGGCACCAATGGAGGTGTTGTTGGAGCAGCAGGATGGGCTGGTGCAGGTTTGGGTGCTGGTTTGGCCATTATCGTCGCTCTTACATGTCTTGTGGCCGTTTGTCGATTCTGTCGACGTCGGTCTCGTTCAAGAGATATTCATGTACCATACTAGTGCTCTCTAAACCAATGTGTTCGCCGAGGATAATCCCTTGGACAGTTCCAGTTACCGTGATACAATCGTTGATTAATCCACTTTCATACTATGTTGCTGTACATATCTTTCTTTAATGATGAGTATACAATACATATATACTTGACAAAGATACAATCAGTGAGTGAATAATTTGATGATTGAGTAGTTTAACATTATCCGAGTGATACAACGACATAATATACTGTGAATAAATATATGTATGAAAATCTAATATTCTGAACATTATAAATATTCAAGAAAAATCTTTAGCTATTTCTGTCTGGAGAATGATAACGGCAAGTAAAATGAAATTCCGTCGAGGAAGATAAGATTCTAATAAATCAATTTTAGAGTAGTAGAAGCTGTAATTTAAATTTTCACCAGGCAACGAAATGTTTCATAATATTTAAAGTGGGCGGACTCCGACAATAAATCAGACACCGCCAATAATTCAAGTAAGTAATTAATAAAACAAATAAACTATTGAATTTTAAAAAATATACATACATAAAATATGATTAATCTCTTGAACAAAAATAAAAAAAAATGAGCAAAAAAAAAACAAAACTTGTATTGGAAATTTTCCTGCTTGTACATAATTCCCCTTGCAAAATTGAATTATAGAAATTTACTGGTCACGATGAAAAAAATGAGTAATTAGATTTCTCATCAAAGCTGTTAAATAAATTTTGCGAGAAATTAATTATGTTAACATTTAAATATAATCGAATATCAAATATTCATTAACATGTGTAATTATTATATTGTATCACTAATTATTATATTTTTTACCAATAAAGAGAACATTTCACGTTAGAAATATTATCCTTTTATTTCATTAAGAATAATAATAATAAAATATAAACTTTTCCAATCAAAATCCTATAATGATACTGTAATAATTCAACAGACTTCATTGACTAACTCATTATTCTAAATAAATAGAATAGAGCTCGTGGAGAATATCAGATAAAATATGTACTTGTTCAAATAAAAAGATATAAAATGTAAAGTACTTTGATGTTTAAGTTCAACAGCATTTAATTTTGATAATTATCATTGATGTTTCAAAGATAAAAACGTACAATGTAAGTCTGTTTGAAATTTTCTGCTCCCCATTAATTTAACCAAAAGTCATATTTCTCTAATTGTTCCTTTATTTTCAACTACAATAAAAAGTAAGAATTGTTAAGAATTTATTTTAAAAAAAAATGAGTTCATTAGTTGCTTTGGGCATATATTTTTTTTTTACTTTTTTACAATACCTATTCTATCCTGAGTTTCATTTGAACTCTGTTTTTTCTTTTGATTGGGCATACAAACTTCACAGTGCTATTAAGTAGCAAATTATGTAGTTAACTTGTATTGATTTACTATCATTAAATGTAACAACGCCAGCTCTTGCTCTATATTATATTGATCAGTCTGTATAAACTTTTCGAAGCGGTTAATATATCAAAGACTAAAATGGTAAATTTGAAGAAATTGAGTGCTACATCATTTCCTTGGAACCTAAGTATTCAGAGAACTTCAACAATAGAATGTCGCTATTAGCAGTTGGAAGCTTGAAGAGCATAACAAAGCTCTAAGCTTAGGAGCTTCAATTGTCGACAAGCTTCAACTACGAGAGAAAGAGAAAGAGAGAGGAAGTTATTGAGTGAAAAAGCAGTTCACTCACTAAGATAATCCTTTGACTGAATACAACACCAGTGATTAACTTTTGCATCTAGAATTGCTATTCACCAATTCTTTAACTATCTTCATGCATAAAACTTACTAAGATCATTCCCATTAAGTGATAATTGTTATCAAAGTTCAAGTAATTGAGTTCTTGTAAATGGTTGTATAAAATTATAGAAGTTTATTGATATTTCTTGCTGAAATAATTACAACATTATTGTATAAAAATTATTATAAAAAACATTCTTAGACCCAATAAAAATATATAAGAAGCTTTTGAATATAAATAAATAAAATGAGTAAGAAAGAAACTGTTATATATTATCATGAAGAAATTTATAAGGAAACCTAGTAGTAACTTGTAACATAAACTTCAATGAAGTATTGGTGATCTATCAGGTAAAGTGATAGGAAGTTGAGAAACAGTACAAAATAATATTTAGAGTTTGAATGCTCTAATTGTCTAGTGATAGCTTCGATGTCTACAACAAATTTATTCCAATAATAGGATCACAGTGAGCTAAAATGACAATAGAAGAATCATGAAATATCCTTGGATAAATTGGAGAGGAATAGGAATGTATATTTTCAGCATCAATCAATACATGCACCAAAGCTCAACTATTTCAATCAAATAATCTTTTAGGTTCAAATTTAGAGTACAAGTTAAATCAGTATCCTACAATTGATGTTACTATTTGTAATTAATTGAATAACTTTATACTTCTGTTTTAAGAATGCTGAATTATTTCATTTATAGAATAAATGGAACAAATTTATTCCATTAATTTTTAGAAATAATGACTTTACTTTTATTTTTGTTAGAATTTTTAATAATTCTCTTACTATTACTCTTACTTTAATGGTGATTAAAAAAATTAATTTAAAATTCAAACAAGAATTTTGAAGAATAACACCATGTTAGTAAAAAATGAGTTTGAAAACATGCTATAGAATAATCCTCTTCAACAAAAACATTGGTCGTTCACAAACCAAAGAGCTTGTAAGCTCCTTTCTTCTGTTAAAGTTTAATCTGGGCTTTGGATTTGAACTGAATAAATATAAATCTCACCTATCTAAGTAATTGAAAATAGATTTTTACATTTTAAAGCTACAGCTTAGACTAGCTAATTACAATAACAGTTTACCAGAAAAGAATGATATTAAGCTGATTTATTATTTATAATATATTGATATTCCGAGTTAAGATTGTTGTTTTTTATTGTTACTCACTTAAAATCCTGATCTAAAATCATTCCAAAAGCCTCTTGATCAAATTAAACAATCATAATATAACACAACACATTCACTTTCACTCAGGTTTTTTTATAATATTGTTGGAATTTCATTTGTTATCATTGCACCAATACGCATAAAGTTAATAATAAAAATATAATTTATTCGACGCCAAATACATTTCAAACGATTTGTATTGTAGTATAAACAAGTTTTTCTGACGCTAAATATTACTACTGACGCCATCTTTAAATTTTACGTTTACTCGGTTGGTAATTGTTTGGACCTGCATGAATTCTTTAGCGACATCTTGCAGTTGCAGCAGAAAATAAATTAACAATCGATTGTTGTTTTGGTGCCGGATTTTGTTTACAAAATTTTTATTAACCTAAAAGAAAGTTTAAATATTTTTTATTTATTTAATTGTTCTTTTTTGGCTGCAAAATTTTCAAGTTTAAATGTCATTATTGAAATTCTTGGAAAATTTATCTGAATAAAAATTATATAGTATACAGATCATTTCCATAACCAATGTAAGTCAAACAATATGTTTAAATAATAGCAATTGGTTTATTTCCCATAAATATATTCATATCATTTATTCAAAAGATCAAATCAACTATATTGTCTTGAGAAAAAAAATTTTCATAAGATATATTTTTACTTAAATTTTCAATTAACGTATCATTTTTTACTTTCTTTTTGTTTAATATTCCTGTACAGAACAAACCATGCCAATATTTGAATCGAAAATTGCATTAAAATTTCCCAATTCATTATCTGAATCAAAAAAGTTGTATCGGAGAAGTATTTACAATTTAAATCCTCGTGGTTCTGTCAAAAAAATAGATAGTCAGCTCATGAAAGAAAACAAGTCAAAAATCATAAATAATTTAATAACTAAACCACTAGAAATAAAATATTCTTGGCAAGATTTAGAAAATTGGGTACCACCTTCCAAAAAAAAATGTAATCAAAATAATGAAGAGTATAAATATAATAATTCAACTAGTGAAATGAAATATCCTGAGCAAGTAATTGATATAAGTGTCCAAACTTCTGATTCTCTATTAAAAGATAACAATTCTCGTGAAATTTACTATCCATGCTCTGTAAAATACTCTTGGCAAATAATTGGCAAAGCCACGCAAGCTGTTTTAGATAATAGTTTAGAAGTTTCAGAAGAAAATTACTGGAATGGCAAACTCATAACTCCTAATTCATTTAATTCTAAAAATAAATCAATGTCAATTACTAACGACGCTGAAAAACACACTAACAATTATATAGTTTACACCCAAGCTACCCAAACTGTTGTTGATAAAGAACTTGAAACGGAATTAACAGATTGCCGAGTTAAATACTCTTGGCAAAATTTAACGAGACCATATTTATCTTCTAATACTTATTCTTGAGTATTTATCATCTGCTTTTTATTTAGTTTTATTAATTTCTTCCAATCTTTTATTTTATACACCTTAATCAAATTCATAATTATTTTAAAATTTCAATTATTTGATAAATCAACATGTTCGAAAATTAATAAAATACTTAAAAATATTTTTCAGTTCACAACTATTTCTTCTTTAGTTATGCAATATTAATTACATTGAAAACAATCATTCAATAAATTCAAAAAATGGATCATGAAAACAATATTCGTCCAAATATATCTGTAGATGAAGAGTCTACTGATTCCCTAAATTCTACATTGACTGATTCACAGATCTTAGATAATTCAGGAGAAGAGATTAATTTAAATAATTGTTTTAAATCATATTATGTAAATAGAAAAGTTTATAAAAAAGAGTTGTTATCACGTTTACATAAAGCGCAAAATAGAATCAAAGTATCTGAAGAGTTTATTAATGATTCACTACCAACTCTTCCAAAAGTAGAAATAAGTAACAATGATCTAATGAATCTCAAAAGCTTGCCGAACCATATCGAAGAAGACGTAAAATCTTTGATCGTAGATATTGACGAACATATAAAAAAATTAGAAGAACAACTCTCTGATCTGGATAATGCTGATACAGAGGTAAATATTTGATAATTATGAATAATAAAATTTAGATGATTGAAAAATAAATTTCGTTTTATATTTATATTTTAGATAATTAAAACTACGAACAGAGTTATTGAGGACATCGATAACACGTACGATCAACTAATGTATCAAATTATTCAAGAAATAAATAATAAAAGAGAACTTACAAAATTAGAGGCTCAGGTGTTTAAGCATGAGAGTTTAGTTCCATTAAAAGCATGCAGAAAGGAGATAAAATCCGAGATATTTTATAAGACGCAAGTCATGCGTCAAATAGATAAAGCGATAAAAAATTATTTACCGACGTCTAGTAGTCATGAAATAGAACAACTTATTCATTATAATCGCGATATTGTTGGGTAATTACACTTATTTATCATAATTATTAACTACAGTAATCATTAAAGTCTATAAATTTAAATATTATTTTAAAAATGGTTTGTCACAAATTATTTTTATACGACAGCAATATTGATTTTATTTATAACTAGTTGAATATATAATTTTGAAAAGTTGTCAGTTCTTCACTGTAAAATTAGTGTTTCCTAAATTTTTCTTTAAGAGCAGTAACTTGAGCAAACTTTAGTATAGACTGTCGAGAATAATGTCGTTATGAAAATATAATTACTTGCTTTTATGTTACTTAGAATACCAGCTGTACCTTTATCAGACGAGCTTCCAGGTCTTACACTTAAAAGACCATCAAATTCAGCAGTAAACGAAGTACTAAATAAAATTTATGACTTGGGATCAGTGTTACGACTAGGTTGTGTTCAAATAACTGATATAGAAGAAAAGCCTGGATCAGTATATGTAAAATGGAATATAACTGATTCAGAATACTCTACAGAAGAACAAACTTACATTCTACAAAAAGCACCTGGGGAAGTTTCGGATCCTTTTGCCGACGTTTTTGAGACTGTATATGAAGGATCCGAGTCTGCTTGCTTCGTTAGAGAACTTTCAGTTAATCAATTAATTACTCTGCGAGTTGGTATTCAATCCCTTGACTCAGCTTGGAGTGCTCTACGCGTGGCAAGAACGAGAATTGCTTGCTATAGTATTAACTTTTTTATTTTATTCGGTTTATTTTCTCAATGCTTTTATATGCCATTTAATTAGATTAAATCTTTTCTAGGATGGGATCCGTATAATGACGATTTTATAGTTACGAATAACGGAAGGATTGCTACAAAAATACGTGGAAATTCAAGTATCCTTTTTTCTCAAGGACCACAATTAGAAGCTAATCAGATAATTGAATTTTTGGTAATTGTTTTCATCATTATTGTATATTTCAATGTTGAAAAAAAATCAAATCTATATGTCTTCAATTAAAATAATTTTTAAATTGGATTTCAGAGTTAGAAATAACTCCATAATATAATAGCTAGTACTTTTTTAACAATAATTATGAAACATAAAGTCACTACACTATTAATAATAAATGATAATTATTTTTTAGTTCTTAGAAGTTCCTAAAAATAGCACGGATGAAGAAGCAATAGCGTTAGTGGCTGATCGACGAGATGATAAGAATCTCCGAAGAAAAGGAGTATTGATGGTAACATCGTTAGGTAAAATATTTATGAATGGTGAGGAAAAGCTTATGCAACTACCACAAATAAAATCAGGTGAAAGAATAATTTTTGTTATATCACGGAAAAATGATGAATCATTAAGAATAAATATAGAATCCGAAAATAAAATTGTAACATATGATTGGATTGTAAAAACTCCATTATATTTTGCTACTCAATTATCGGGACATAACAAATGGAATATAATGGTCAAATAAATGGAAAAATATACACATATATTTATATAGATATAAACTTACTTATGATAAAATTAATTAATTACAATTCATAAATGGGTCGTTATTTCTTCATGTAAATTAAATAACATCATCCAGAACATCCCCTACATCCGCAATGTATACATTCTACAATCCTTCCCTCTTCTAATTTTCCTTTGGGAACTCGGCAAATACAATTGGTACCGAAGTTGGTATCTCTTGTTTGTATGCAACGAAGACAACATAAATTCTCATATCCGACTTTTTTCCATTTTGCAATTAAATTTTTATCAGCTATATTTTCATTGAGGCAATAATCGTACAGTTCTGAAACAAATGATTTTCCATGATTGTAGTACTTCATTTTTAAAGCAACAAAATTTAAAATTTCTAGAAGATTCTATACTATATGTAATGATCAATATTAATAGAAAATTAATTTAAGAAATCATCATAAATAATTTCCAATGAATAATAACATTACATAAAAATTTCATATATCGTGCAATTTACGTTTCTTACCTCGGCTAATAGCTTTTCTTCTATAAAATAGATCATAGATATAGCGAGATTTTTGTTGATGAATTTTAAAAATCGGCCATAATGATTCCTGTTTTCGCTTCCCTTCATGAGGTTCAGTTTCGGCTAAAAAAAACAATTTAAAGTAAATGATTGTTTTTATTAATAAAACACAAAACTATAAATGATTAAAAAAAACTCATAAATTCATTACCTTCACGCATTTTTGCTTCCAATTCTTCTAGTGTTGGTTCTATGAGCTCCCATCCTTCTGGAGGTGGTTTTTTACTTCTTCTAACTTTCGGCATTGTTTATAAAATAAAAAAACAATTTATTCAACACTACAAATGTCAATAAATAACAATCCTTCCGATATTCGTTCCCACTGTTTTGTTGATATGTACACTCAGTGTTATCAATGCCGTCTAGTTTTTTGAAGGTTATACATCTGGTAATGAGTTGATGACATAACTACGTAAAATTATTAAAGATGGCGATAATATCGTATTCGAAACCCGTCATATTCAAATTTAATTAATTGTAACTCGGATTCTATACAATGCATCTAAAAACAGATATACAAGTTTTATAAATTCGAAGTAGTAATTTTGAAAAATGAAAAAACAATTATATTATAGTAAAATTAAATTTAATAGTCTTGATGAATACATTATTTATATATTTACAGATTGACACAAAAATATTTCATTTTTTAATATATTTACGCATTGAGATAAATCTTAACAAAAGTAAGAAAAATTAATAAAAGTAAATTTTATGTTAAAAAATATTCACTGAAAATATATTCAAAAATTACATGTATAAATATTATGTACTCCATTGAGTATTACGTATTCATGATAATTAAAAAATTTATAGAAAATAATCTTAAAGGTTACTGCAACTTCATTCTTCATAATCCCATTTGTAAAATACATTCATTTGATATTAGACTTTTCTTTATACAGAAAGAATTATTTTTCACTTAATAAAGATTCAACTTACAGATCAGTTATATTTTATTAAAGTCGTCATGGAACGTTATTAATCTCTAATTTTAAAATTCTTGATTAAATTTTATTTAACAAAGTTAAAATATAACAACAATGATTGCCTAACCGGTTCATCTCGAGTAAACATTCTACCTGATAAAAATCACAATGTCAGGACTTTTGATTGAGAATAATTTTTAAATCGTCTGGCAGTGTTCGTGTAATATCTTCTAATCGTTCACCAACTTGTTCTCGTACCGTTCGTGTAACGGGTATATCTTCGTTGTTACTTTTCTCTAATTTTTGGCGAATTCTTAAAATCATATCAACAATTTCAACTTCTTGTTTACCCTGAACCCATGTTTTTAAATCCTGTAACAATATTATATCATTTTTAAAAAATCATTATAGATTTGTAATTAATCCACTAGAAATATTAATTTAGTACAAATAATTACTTACAGCTTGTGATAAAGCTTCAAGTTGCAATGCTTGAAGTTTATGTTTTAATTCTTTATATCGTTTATGGTACCAACCAGAGAAATTGGGTGTTCTGAAAAAACGTTTGTATAATCCAACCCAATCTCCTTTAATCCCAATTGTTAGTTGTGGTCCAGCAGTGCTTAATGTGACCAAAAAATCATCAGGATTAAATAATTGAGGTATTGGAGTAGCCTAAAGATAGAACGCAAAACAAATGAAATTAGGTTCAAGTTATACATCTATTTATAATCAAAAATAATCGATGAAATGGAAATTCTTTCTGTTGCATGAAAATAGATACAAACCTTAAATGGTGATATGTTTTTTTGTAATGGCATTAAACTAGCTATATAACGTTCTAACGGAATCATGAAACTTTCTGTTAAATCCATTAAATGCCGTTTGAGCAATGCAGTTTGCACTTCTCTCGGTCGTTTAGTTTGAATTCCACGTAGAAGCTTTTTCAAAATTGTCTTATCCTTTTGTAAGAAAGGTTTGTATTGTGTATATACACCTGGCTTTGAATCAAGTATTTTTAAACTGTCCGTTTTCTTTATTCTATATTTTTGATTTTCTGAAAAGTGATTTTCATTTGTAAATTCAATTCCATCAACATTATAAAAAATGTAACAGAGTATAAAGTACAGTTAATCAGTTAAGAAAAAATTAAAAACGTACCAATACTTATGTTATCGCCAACTCTTATGATATGAGGCCACCGTTGAAGTGTTTTTGCAAAAAAAGGATTCGTAACACCAAGAATTACAGGAGGCGGTGTTGATGCATCGGTCGTATACTCTTTGAATTCAGAATCATGTATTGTGAAGTACGGCCGATAATCCGAGCAATATTTCAGTGGTGCAATAGTACTAATTATAACATAGAAACATTGATAGAATAATAATTATTATTAACGTATTAACATACAACAAACAATTGATATTTACGCCACAAGTGCTTGAACCATTTCAGCACATGTTTTGGGTGATCCTGCCATCACGACGATAGGTTCTCCCAGTAATACTAACTCCCATAATAGATGTACATGACTTACAATACTTGCCAAACTTTGAAACATGTCTGCTTCATATGCTGATGGTAGAATAAGTCGTCGCAATGACAACTCACTGAATGAATCATCTATTGCACTTCCAGACGGTCCATTAGCCTTATAATTTTCATTAGGAACGTATGTCTGAAATGAAATTATGTAATTAAAGTATATTGCCATGTATTTATAATTTTACAAATGATTAATTTTTATTTTACCTGAAAAAGTACTCCAAGTAAAGGTAGCGTTATTAATTGACCAGGTACTGGCGGTGACCATTGATCGATTTCACGAATAGCCACTTCCATAATTTTATTTCCAGCATCGAAAAATTCTTGAGCTACTAATGCACAAATTTCACTAAAAAGATTGACAAACGGCAGTTTCGATATTATCACAACACTCTGAAACGACAAAACGGTACTGAATTACTTTATAAACAGTAATCATACATAATAAGGTTTCGTAGCGTTTAGCAAAACTTTCAATTATTTATTTAAATATATTTACTTTACATTATTTAAAAATTAAATTAGTATATTTGAACAGTTGTTAAATCAATACATATTTATAGAACTGACAAAAAAAAACAAATGATTTTTTTTCATGTTACCTTTTGAAAATAACCTCTTGGTAAATTTTTATTCTTAACTTGTCGAAAATAAACATATCCCCAATAATAATTCTTGTCTGTTTGTAAAAAGGCAGCTGACTGACGGTTATAATTTTTTAGAGCTTGAGTATCTTGAGATCCTAAACCACTTCGGCGTATTCTTACATGATATTGTGTATCTCCCATGCACCCTGAATTGGAATCAGGAAATGCAAGATAACATACATTTGATCGTTCAGACTCAGACAGCTTTACATGACTTGGATAGATTGCCTAGAAAAAAAAATAGACAGTGAATACGTGAATAGAGAAATCAGAATATCCAGCAATATATTCTTTCGTTTCTATAAAATACAGTCATTGCTTATATTAATTATAATGGTACAATATTTTTTTTTAATAACACATATGTATGGTAATTAGATGGTTCAATTTTGGTCAGTATTTCAGATTTATATGTTAAACAAATCTTAACATTACATTTTTCTAAATATGTTAGAATTTGTAGTCATATGAAAATAATAAAAATAATATCATTAATAATATGCAATTAAAAAAATTATTAGCATTACCTCAACAGCTTGTCCCAATTCTAAATCGAATGTCACGACACATATACAATAAATCCAGTTATTAAAGTTTTCCCATTCATTTTTAGGAGTAATATTTTCAATGGTATCACTTGTCTCTTGTTCTTGACATGATGAACAAGAGGGTTCTGACATTTCTCAGTAATAATTGAAAGCATCAAATCTCGAATTCACACTCTCTTGTTATGTTTACAGTTGTCAATTTTAATATCCGATTAAAATATAGTTAAGAAAATGATACATTTCAGTAATCTCTAATTTTATAACGAATCTCTTTTACACATTACATTTAATTTACATAATGAAAATATTAAGCATCGGGTTTACTCATTAATATGTTATAAAGCTTCTTTTAACTGAATTTATATAACAATAAAATAAACAAATTAAATTAGGTTATTGTTGAGAGAATGTGGAACTTTTTCTTCAATGAAATATATTATCGGCAGAAAAATAGAATAATAATACAAAATCCCAAAAAGAGCAAAGAGGGCCCCTTTTTGCAATGGCAAAAATTACAATGAAAAAAGTACGTAAAGCAGTGTTGCGAAAATACGTAACATAATATCAAACTCTTCTGCGATCAAGTTGATCAGAGAATTGTGCCATCTACTCTATCTGGTGCAGAGAGAAGATGTGTAAAATATAGTTAGTTTTGGAGTATTATATATCTAGTTAGTATTACATTCCGAGAAATTCAGTTGGAACAGAGACACTCCCCTTTCGAGGTTAGTATATAAACAAAATATTTGCGTATTTGCATGCGTCGGCGAATTATGTTTGTTTGGAGGATAAACTTATTTAAAAATTTTTGCAATGGATATAATTAGTTTCAAAAATTAGTGATAAAAGTTATTAGTTAATTTTGAGTGTTTGAATTTTTTTAAATTATTAATTATTCATTATTATATACAGATCTATTTTTTCTAACATATAAAGGTATGAAAATTTTTTTGCATTATTGTATAGTATAAGTCATAAATGGTGTGATTCCCCGGCTTTTATAAATAAAAGCAAAACGATAGTATTTCATCATCTTTCGCATTTTTTATGTACTTATGTTGAGATGTTTTAAGTGATTTTTTATTTTTCTATAAATAAATAAATATTTATAAATTTGAAATTTTCGTAGTGTGTACTGTATCCCATTTCAAATCTCAATTAAACTCATAATTTTTTTATCATTTATCCAGATTTATTACATGATGGCGATTGAAGAGGAGCTTACACCGCGTGACTATCAAATTGAATTGTTTGAAAAAGCTGTGAGAGGCAATGTGATTTTATATCTACCAACTGGTTCTGGAAAAACTTTTATTGCAATAATGTTGATAAAGCACATGAGTGCTGATTTAAGAAAACCATGGAATGAAGATAAAAAACTAACTGTATTCTTGGTAAATACAGTTCCTTTAGTCAATCAACAATGTGAGTGCATTTCTCGTCAAACAGACTTAAAATGTGGCGCATATTCTGGAGATATGAATGTTGATTATTGGTCGAAAGATCAATGGAATAATGAGTTTAAAGAAAATCAAGTGAGTACTAATTAAAATCACTATCTCGTTAAAGTTAAGCTGTTAAAAATACTGTACACATCATCAATTAAAAAAAATTATTCTACAGGTTTTAGTAATGACATCTCAAATATTGTTGGATTTGTTAACCAAGTCGTTCTTACCATTGCCACGAATAAATCTCATTATTTTTGATGAATGTCATCATGGAGTCAAAGATCATCCAATGCGGCAGATAATGAAATCATTCGAAGTTTTTGATGAAGCTCAACATCCAAAGATATTGGGTTTGACAGCAACCTTAATAAATTCTAATATTAATGCTAATCAAGTTACAGTGCCAGTAAAAAGTCTGGAGAATACTTTTCATGCTAAAGTTGTCTCAGTTGATAGTATTTCAATTAAAAATAGATATGGAAATCCATGTGAAAAAATTATTGAGTACAATTCACCGGTAGAAAGCGAAATTTTTCCGAAATTATGCGCAATAATCAAGTCTGCTAGTAGCTTGCTAAGTATATTAGATATAAAAAAAAATTATATCAATGAATCCAGTCCCGAGTTTCGACCTAAAAAAACAAGTATGAAATTGAAGAACACTTTCCAAGATATTGAATGGCATCTTTTAGAATTAGGTCTTTATGCTGGAAATACTGGAATTTTACATTATATGATTCAAGTTGAAAGATTCAAACATTTCCATGATACTAACTGTCTTTCAGTTTACGACTACATAAAAACTTCATTGATGCGCATGCAAAAAATTATTTATAAACAAATGAATGAACCTACTGAAGTGCAAAATATAATGAAATATTCTTCCGATAAAATGACAAAATTATTCAATATCTTAAAAATATGTTATAATGAAATAAAACAGAGAGATCAACAGTTCTCCTGCATTATTTTTGTAAAAAGAAGATTTACTGCAAAAATTTTATATCATATTTTAAAAAAATTGAATGAACTTAATGAAGACTTTAAATTTTTGTCTTCAGAGTATGTAATTGGTAATAACTCCGATCCATATAAAAAACCGATTGAAAATATGTGTCTAAAGAAATGGAATATGGAAGGATTACTTAAATTTCGAACAGGGGAATCTAATTGTCTCATAGCAACGCAAGTTCTAGAAGAAGGTGTAGACGTTCAACAATGTAGTCTAGTGATTAATTTCGATTCACCATCAGATTTTAGATCGTATGTGCAAAGCAGAGGACGTGCTCGCGATGAAAATAGTTTGTATGTCTCATTTACGGAAATCGGTGATGAGAATTTTTCTAAACGTCATAAGGAATTTAAAAGCGTCGAAAAGGTTTTGAATGATAGTATAGTTGAAAATACTGTTGAAAGAATAGAACCTCTACCAGAAGAAATTAAAATTGATCTGTACAGTCATAATATTGAACCATACGTTGTGACAGATCAGAATGGAATGATTTCTCAAATTACAGAAGTGTCAGCAATACCATCGATAAATAACTATTGTGCGAAATTAGCACAATCAAAGTTTTCATGTATTCAACCTACATATAAACTGTATAAAGTACCAGGTGAAAATGATGAAGCAAAGGATAATTTTGTAGTATCAATATGCCTTCCATTACTTTCACCACTAAGAAATACTATTTATGGAAGTATAATGCCATCAAAAAAGTTAGCGAAACGATCAGCTGCTATGGCAGTTTGCAAAGAACTTCATAAAATGAAAGAATTGACAGATAGATTAGTACCACGTGAAATTGATGATGCAGTCGAAGATATTTCATCATTGCTAAAATATTGGCAGGAAGAATCACCTGAAAATAAAAAAAAAGTAGGAGAACCAGGCAATAAACGTTTTTATGATATAATTTATCCAAAAGCGTTTCAAAATGCCTTTCCATCATCTGATGAAGATGTTTATCTTCATATCATTGAAGCAAAACCTATGTATCCAGTTCCTACTGAAAACAGAGATCGCGTGTTATATAATCTCTTTAAAAGCTCTTCTAGTTTTGCCATACTCTCAAGTAAAAAAATTCCAAAACTACCAGAATTTTCAATTTATATGAAAATGGGTCGAGTGAATGTAAAGCTTCAAACTAACTTTAAATGTTTAAAATTGTCTTCCGAGGAAATCCAAGAACTTCGTCATTTTCATTGGTTAATTTTCAAAGACATCCTATCACTTATTAAAGAATTCATGATTTTTGATTCTCAAAGTAAAGAAAACAATTTTTTAATTGTTCCAACTGATAAAGATGGAGAACTTAATTGGTCAGTTATACGGAATTATAAATCATTAGAAAAAGTATATCCAAGAAATATTCCACAAAATGCAATAACAAATGGAATCGATGACGTAATTCTAGAAAATTATTCTGATTGGGAATTAGTGTCTCCTAACTATCGATCAGCAACGAATATTTATGTCGTAACGCGAGTTTGTCATGATCTAAATCCTCAATCAATTTTTCCCACTGATGATTACATATGTTATTCCCATTATTTTCATGAAAAACATAAAATTGAAATATCTAATATGACACAACCACTTCTCGAAGTAAAGCCAATTTCTGATAAAATAAATTTCATAAAAAAAAGGGCACCTATGTCCCCCAACAAACGAAAACGTGATAACCTTGAAGAACATTTAATTCCAGAATTATGTTGTAAAATCAATTTTCCTGCAATCTATTATCTTAAAGCACAAACTTTACCTTCAATTCTTCATAGAATTAATCAACTACTAATTGCTGAGGAATTACGACAGCAAATTGCTACTGAAGCTCAACTTGGATCTATATCAGCATCAGAAGATCAAGATTCGTGGGAAACTCTGCATTTCTCTGATGATGAGATACCTAGTGACGAAGAAGCTACAAATGAAAATATTGATGATACTGATGAATACGGTACACACATTGAGGATATCTTAGATGAAACTGATGATCATGATAATGTAAAGGAAGATACCAAAACTGAAGCAGATATAAATATCTTAAGCTTGAATAAAAACGTTTATCCATGGACGAGTATGAAAGAACCGCGCGATTTAGAACGAAATATTTCAGCAATAAAGTTAATAGATATTGAATATTATAATTGTTTTCAACATTCATTATATTCTCTTACTGAATCAGCTAATAATCGTAAGGAATTTTGTACACGTCAACCAGTGGTTAAAATACCAAGTCTTACCATTATAAATAAAACTATAGGAAAACAGCCAAGTGCAGCGGATTTACTCCCAGCATTGATAGTTAAACGAGCTAATGACTCAATTAATCTAGAAAGATTGGAAACATTAGGAGACTCATTTTTAAAATTTATCATTTCTTTGTATTTATTCGAACAATACGCTTATCAACCTGAAGGTCGGTTGACAGGATATAAAGGAAAAATCATAGGCAATAGATATTTATATTATTGTGGAGTGAATAAAGGAATTCCTGGGAGATTAAAAGTAGAAGACTTTGTACCAAAAAGTAATTTTATTTCACCATCTTTTTGTACACCTCAAGAAATTCAACAAATGATACGTTCACAAAATAAATCGCCAAGTGTTTTATATGAAGTTAATATACCTCAATCCGAACAATTTCAAGGTATAATATCTGATGAAACTCGCAATGAATTTTTGAATAAAATTTCTTCATGGATAAATCCCACAGGTTCTACAGGAGTTGAGCACTTTATAAACATTCAAAATATTCCAGATAAAACGATAGCTGATTCCGTTGAAGCTATTATTGGTGTTTATCTTAAAAACATGAATTTGTTAGGAGCTAGCAAACTCCTACAATGGTTTGGAATCATTCCGGATCAAGTAAACGTTGAACAAATATTGTTTGGCACTCCAAAAAGTGCAGCATTAAACGTTGGTGATGTAAATATTTACATGAATTGGGTAGATCATATAGAAGAGGTTCTAGGCTATAAATTTAGAGATCGTACATTTTTACTTCAAGCATTCACTCATGCTTCATACTCTCCGAATAAAATAACATTAAGTTATGACAGACTTGAATTTCTTGGTGATGCAGTAATCGATTTTCTGATTACGGTTTATATTTACGAGAATTGTAATAATTTAAATCCTGGAGAATTAACTGATTTAAGGTCAGCCCTCGTAAATAATATCACATTTGGATGTTTAACTGTAAAATATAAATTAAATACTGCCTTACTTTCTTACACTCCTACTTTATTTGAAAGTATTGATAATTTTGTGAAATTTCAAGAAGATAGAAATTATGTGGTTGATGACGAGTTACTTTGGATTCTCTTAGAAGAAGATGATTGTGATGTAGCAGAATATGTTGACGTGCCTAAAGTTTTAGGTGATATTTTTGAATCCGTAATAGGAGCTGTTTATTTAGATAGTGGTAAAGATCTCAAAAGGACTTGGAGCGTTCTTTATTCATTAATGCATGACGAAATTAATAAATTTAGTAAAAAAGTGCCCAAGCAGGCTATTCGTGTCCTTTACGAAACTCCAGGTATTAAACCTCGATTTTCGAAAATTGAAATTGATGAAAATACCAAAAAAATATTGGTAACTTTAGAAATTAGAACTCTTGGTAAATATCGCTATTTTCATGGATTTGGCAAGACTAAAAAATTAGCAAAAGTAGGCGCAGCCAAACGAGCTCTAAAATTTCTTCAGAAATGTAATTAACAAATTTATTCAAATGATGAGAGGAAAAAAGATTGTAAATTGATTGTATCTTACAATAATTATGTACTTGATTTAAAAGATAAATAATAAAAATTTTATGACTATTATTTCTTAAATCATGTTTTTCCTTTTCTTGAGCGATGGTTTTTCAAAAACTTGTTTCATTCCAGCTGCTTGATTATTATGAAATTTAAGGTTTTGAGCAGTCTCTGATATCCAAGGAGAATCAAATTGTGTTGTATCTTGATCAACCAAATGAGTATATTTGGTTCTTCCACTACGGCCAAAATTTTTAACTTGCATGACTTTAGGTAAAATTGTTTTATCAAAATGATCTTCCAATGTTGCACCAGAAAAGTCTCGTTTGAATATATTCTCTTCTTTATCCAAGTAAAACGCACCACGATGATAATATTTCTGTAGAAATTTATATTTTCCTTTGGCTGCTTTGTTTGTGACTACTTTCGGATTTAATCTAGCTTCTTGGCGGCGTTCTTCTTCAGTTAGATTTCGAATTCTTTCAATTTCCAGACGTTCTTTTTCAACTCTGTAAAGAGAATTTAATGTATTAAAAAAAATGATTGTTTAAGTTAATTCGTTTTGGTAATTATTAAAATTTTACATACGCTTCACGTTCTTCACGATCACGCTTTATTCTTTTTAGTTCACGCAGTTTCCAAGCTTCATATTCGAGTTCATCATTTTCATCATCTGTACAGACGTCTTCTATTTTACCTTCATTAGAATCAACCATTTTTTCACCCTGAGTTTCTTTACGAATTGCTTCCTCAACCATCTGCAAAAAGTAAAAAGAATAATTATTTTGTCACATTATTTTCAATAAAAATTAACATCATAAATATTATAATTACCCTTAATGTTTGTCTTTTTCGTTCTTCTGCCATTTTTTTACTTTCAATTTCAGCTTGTTTTTGTTTCATGGCTTCTTTTTCTCGTTCCATTACTGTAATTCTGTCTTTTTTCCTTACAAATACTGGTTTCAATCTAGGTCCAGTTTCTTCTTCAGAATCTGTATACTCTTCGTATTCTGAACTCTCTTCAGAACTCGATCCTGACCTTTCTTCTTCATCGTTATGTGTCATAACGTCTTCATTGTCCTTTTTCGATAAAACTCGTTGCCGAAGAGCGTCTCGTCGTCTTTCGATTTCAGAGTCAGATAATTCTTCGTCTTCTGACGAATCGGAGCTCTCTAATTTAATTTTTTCTCTAGATCTTTCGATCGGTTCGGCTTCAAGAATTTCAGGCTCGTGAATTCTACGATGTCGTTCAGCCCGTATTTCTACTTCGACTTCTTGCTGACGTTCTAAACGAGTTAATCGACGCAATCTTGGATCTTCGTCATCACTAGACTTTTGATGACCTGCTTCAGCATCAACGTTTTCTCCATCGCCACCAGCACTAGCCTTGGTAACACATTTTTCAAGAAAATCTTCTTCTTCCGATTCCTCGTCAGAGCTAGCTGTTGGTGCATAATCTGGGCGTTTTCCTGATACATACCGATGCACTTTTACTTTCTTCATGGACAATTCTCCTGCAATAATTAAAAAAAAAAAGAGAGGTTTTGAATTAGCAACATCATCATCTATAATTTATAATATTGAGAAAAAAATTTCGTTAAATGAAAGAATTTTTTATCCAATCAATAAAAGAAATTTCGAATATTCTCAAGATAATATTTTATTCAGACTAATAGTAGTGTTATCAAAAACCCATTTTGTCTTTTGTTTCAATGTTGCGACAAGTTTGAAAACAAATTTTCAAGGTTACGACAAGAATGAAAACAAATGACATTTTATTCATTTGAGTAAGTAAAATGATTTCAATGAAATATTCATAATTTCGAAGAAATATTTTATTGCGACTATTTGAAATTTCGTTGTTAATGATCGAATGCAATATTTTTTGTATGAAGTAAATTTTCTTCTCAGTGTAGTATTCCAAATTGGCTGAGTGTATAGAAATATTACCTTTATCATTTTTAACAGGTATAGCACCTGCAGTACTTTGAATGCCCATAGGTGCAGGTGCCAATGAACTATTAGTGACAAAATAATCCATCATCATTTTTAAATTTTAATGTTTCTAATTCTTTACAAATAAATAATATAAAATATCAATATCGTGGTCAAGTCACAACATTCGTTTCACTGTTTTCAGACACACAAAAAAACTGCAAAAATCAATTTATAAATATAAATTGCAATCTTATTCTGATAACTTCGAGAATTACGTTAAAAATGTTGCTGAGACTCATTAAAATAAATTCTACTGAATAAATAATCTTAAAACGTATATAAATCCATCGAAAGACGTGAGACCAGCCCTATCCAACTCATTATCTTACTATAGTCAAACTGAGAAAGGTTTCTCAGTTGCTTCAATGTTTTCGGGCTCCCCACCACTGATTTTCTACCCCTTCTACCATGTTTTTTTACTACTGCGCAAGCGCACAAGAACACATGAAGAGCATCTGAGGAACTCTCTTCTCAGTCCGACTATATTTTCTATTCGAAGAGAAGGATGAAGCTTCTTTACATACTATAGTAAACTTACATACTATAGTTCACATCCTGTAATTTACTATATATAGTAAACTTGAGTCCACATCGTCCAAATATACATGTGAATGCGCACCTAGATATATGCATATGGATTGCAGTTGCCATCTTGATTTATCAGTGAATTAGTATTAGTGTTTGTTAATAAAACACAAAAAATTTGGAAAAAGTTGAAAATGAAGTAATTTAATTTATATTTATCTCGAATCCGAAATTTTTAAAGAAATTAAGGTTAAATAATTGAAAGAAATTCGGAATTAAAATTTCGTTATCATTTATTTTTTCTCTTATCTCTTCCTTCATTTAAAAAAAATACCAGTAACTTGAGATTAAATTTTATGAAAAATAATATTTCAAAATCTTCATTAAATAGTAACATGTCAAAAAGACATCTACTAATTGGATCATTTTATCTATTCTACAAACAATGTTATGGAAACTATAAATGTTAATAAAATTACATTTTTTGGTATAAATTAATGTAATATTGATTTTTTGATTATTAATATTATCTTCTATGGTATGATTGATAATAAACATACATAGCTAATATTTTCAAAATTATTATTAAATATATTGCGCATAAAATAATTAATAAATAATAAATGATAGACAGTTGCTAATATAATGGGTAAACAAGATGGATCATGTTGGTGGTGTGTTAAAGTATTTAAATGGGTACCAGTTATATTCATATTGTCAATTGTTTTCTGGTCTTATTATGCGTACGTCATACACTTATGCTACTGTAAGTATAAATTTGAAATTTTCAAATATAATCACTGATCAACATATGTTTATTTTCATAATATTTCCTGTTTATTTTTGAACTGAAGTAAACTTACTCTAATATGATCTTTTTCAGATACTATTCATAGCTACGTACAAAAAAGTAAGACTTAATTATTATTATTTTTAAATTGCAACAGTAATAATGATTTTTTAAATTAATATCATTTTATCATTTTAGCTTTATATTTAATATTTTTTCACATTTTCTTCGCTATGTTTCTCTGGTCTTATTGGCAAACAGTTACGACGAATTTAATGCCTGTTCCTGATACTGTAAGTGATATTATTTTTACTTCTTTCGGTGAAAATGAAAATAATCAAATGTAATTTATTTTTTAGTTTAAAGTTCCTGCTATTGAAATGGAGAAATTACAACAAGCACAAAACGAAGAAACTCAATTTGCTATTTTAGAAAGATTAGGACAAAATTTACCTATTACCAATAGAACTGTTCGAGGAGGTATGATAGAAATTAATAGTAGATACAAATTTTAAAATATATTAAATTTATTTATTGAATACTTTTGTTTTTTACAGCTATACGATTTTGTGAAAAGTGTCAAGTAATCAAGCCAGATCGAGCTCACCATTGTAGCGTATGTCGATCATGTGTTTTAAAAATGGACCATCATTGTCCATGGGTTAACAATTGTGTAGCTTATCATAATTACAAATTTTTCGTATTATTTCTGGGTTATGCGTTGCTTTATTGTGTGTTTATCGCAGCCACAACGTTGCAATATTTTATACATTTTTGGAAGGTAACTAAAATAGTTATTCAAAATTATTAATTTATTTAATTTTAATATTATTTCACTACAAAAAATGTAATTGTGTTTTAGGGTGAATCAGATGGAATGGGAAAGTTTCATTTGTTATTTTTATTTTTTATCGCATTAATGTTTGCAGTAAGCTTGAATTCCCTTTTTTTCTATCACTGCTACCTCATTATACACAATCGATCGACGTTAGGTGAGCACATGAACATATTTTTAACTCACTATAATTAAATTTTAAGATCGATTGAACCTAAAAAAGTATGTTCATGTTTATTCATTTAAATATAGAGGCATTTAGACCACCAATGTTTCGAATGGGAAAGGATAAGGATGGTTTTAGCATTGGAAAATATAATAATTTCCTCGAAGTCTTTGGTGATAATAAAAAATTATGGTTCTTCCCTGTTTTTACTAGGTAGGTATTTATAGGATATAATATTTTTCAATAGATATTAGAACTTTACTCTAATTTCTTTGGAAACATTTATTTTCTTATTAAATTGATTTTCTTTTTATTATTATTATGATAATTTTTACTATCAACAATTTAAGTCCAAGTTTTTGATGAGTATAAAAGTAAATAAATTCAATAATCGAGCCGATTGCACAATACCAATTAATCATGTTGATATATACTTATTAAAAAATAAGTTTCCTTTTTTGTTTTCATCCAATTTCAATTATAATTAATATTTTTAATCATCATTTTGACATTTACAAGCATTATTAAGACAATAGTATGAATGAAAAACGATTAAGATTTTGAAATTACATGAAAGAAAAGTCTGTTTCTCTCAAACAAATGAAAATTTTAGTCTTGGAAATGGAGTGACCTACCCAGTACGGACACAACATCAAGGCCCGAATACTTACAACTCCATGGGCAGTACTCAAAACAGGTTAGCATAAATTCCAGAAATGAGAATTTTTTAATGCTTTCTTATAATTTATTTTTACCTACATTTTATTATTCATCAATTAATTTATTTGTCTATTCAACAAAAAATAACAGATATTTTTAAAAATTGCATCATTATTAATTAATTCTTTTATTTAATTCGTAAATAAAATAATCTTCATTTGTTATTGCATTATTTACTACATTACAGCTGCATGTGCATGTTGGTAAATATCCCACGCAAAAATACACTGGCAAATAATTAATTAACTTTTTATTTGTTTTTATTTTTAATCTTAGAAGACATTGCTTTGTGGACTCTAATATATTAAGAAAATTGTACTAATATCATTGATATTTTCATTTTATTAATGTCTCAAAAATTATGCAAATTCCTTTCACAATAGTAGTAATTTTTATTATTCTAATAAAAGAAGCAATGAGAATAATGAAAAAAAATACTGTAGTTCCAGCGAGTAAAACAAATTATATAGCACCAAACAAAAACAAGCTAATGAAGCTAATCATCGAGAAATTCCTTGTTTTTTGTCAAGTAAAGTAGAAATTATTCATTTTTATCTTTATTTCATTCTTTTAATCATTAATTCATTTTCTATCTTAATTAAAAAGAACAAACGGAATTTTTCAATTCATTTTAGTTATGCATGTGTGTTATTTTATTTTCTATCGAAAATAAAATGTCTTACACATATGATCGTTATTTGATAGGTATTGTGCATTTGGTTCCCAATTGTAAAACAATCGATACTCAAATACAGAATTTGATAATCTAAATTATCTTAATTTTAAGCAATAAATTTTTATTTTTTATCACGATCATGTGAAATGACAAAGTGTAATAATAAAAATAGTTTTTGAGTTAATTTTTAACTGCCAGAAGAATATATTATTAAATAAAAGCTAATTGAAAATTAGTTTAAAATATCTGAAAGATAGGAAAAATTATTGTACATTCGGGATTGCAGTTTTGGTGATGGGATCTCTTTTCCGGAAAGGATGTATGATGAAGATACACACAATCTACTTGACGATAATGGGCCTTAAACGAAAAATAGATAGATAAAAAAAAACAAGGAATAATGAACAAAATATGTCAGTATTTCTATCCGACACATTTAATCTTCGGCTCAGGTATTTTATGATCGTATATTTATCGTTACACGTTAAAAAAGGAACAACAGTTTGAGAAAGAAATTTCCAGATCATGTTGACTTGAGGATTAAACTTTTTTAATAATCTGTTAATTATAATGACATTATTTTTAATTTGATTACAATTCCAGGAATTAATTTATAAGTCAGTAATCAAGACAATAATATGCATTTATTTATTTTTATTTAAACGCAAGAACGAAAATAAAATGATTAAAAATCTTATAACTGATGTTATAAAAAAAAGATTAGGCATTCAGTATTTAAAAACAAAATTAATAAATAGGAACGAATTTGATGTAATGATTATTTAATAATTACTTTAAAATAGCGAGATCAATGCAAACATTCCATTAAAAAGCTATTATTAGTTTTCTAATTGTCATTACTAAGTAATCAAATAATAATAAATATTTAATGTAAATAGTGTAAGTAAGAATATATATTTGAATGCAATTTTATGTATCAACATATCGAAAAATGTGGTATAAATAAATATATATCATTACGAGCACTTTTTGATATAATTATCTTCAAATTTACCTGTATATAAATGTATTTGGAATACGTGAAAATATATTGAAAACTTGTTAGGAGATTTTAATACTTTGGTTTAAAATCACTGTTCTAATTTTTTGCTGAGCTTTTAAAATTTTTTCCCATTATTTTAATTTTGAATAATTACATTAAATCTCATTTTTTAATAAATGCTTCCAGTTTTTCAACAACAATGCACTAATGAAAATTTTTCACTGATTTTGCTGATTCAAGGTTTTACTGGGTAAAAGCATGATTTTTAATGGTCGCCAAATTTTTATTTTGGTTTTCAACCAAAACTAATCTAATATACTTAACTCATTATCTAATAAAGTTATTGAATAATCAAATATTAATATGGATTTGAGATAAGTCTTTTATTACTTAGGTGTGATCTAGAGATGAGTATGGTAGAGGAGGCAACAATTCTTGCTCTTGGTGCTGGGTAATTAATATTCAACAAAAAATACTCAAAATTATTCGTTGCACATAAAATATTTTTTATTCTTTTACACTAATATTATTCTTTGAATTTTCTAGTACGGCTCTTGTAGGACCTGTAGTGGAAGTCAATGAACCTCTTGTGAATTCAAATGAAACAGTTTGAAGTTTAACTTTAAATATTTTTTTTTTATTACTTAAAATAATTTATTATAATTATAGTCACAATTAATTTATTATTTCTTTATTGTATACTGCCATTACTTCAATGATCAAAATTTATTGTTTATTAACAACATTAAGTGTTATGAACGTTTTTTATTGAAATTTTTCTTTATTATATTTTGCTGATCCTGTTATTTTAAGTTCTGTTAATTTATATTTATAACAAATAGTCTTAATACATTTTTATGCGTAAATAAATATAAAAAAATATTATTTCTCTAATAACATAATTATTGCTTTACATCCAATGTTATTTTTCTTGAAGTTAGTGAGGATAATAGTCAAAGTTTTTCATCCACTTGAGTCCACTTATTGTCGATGTTTTCGGCTTATATTCCAATCCAATATAATCATTATAACCGCATTTACTTATTAATGGTAAAATATATTGATAATTCAATTCTCCAGGAGTATCAGGTTCATTTCTATCAGGAACTTGTGCTATTTGTACGTGTCCTAGAAAAAAAAAATTATTTGTATTTTTGAAGAATTCAAAATAATTAAATCTGATAGTTGAAACTTCATAAAAATTACCAATATATGATCCATAATGTTTCAAAAAATTTGATATGTTTCCTCTAATGTGTTGCAAATGAAAGATATCAAGCATAAGTTTTAAATGCGGACTATTAATTTTTCTAATAATGTCAATAGCTGAAAAATATTAAAAATTTAATATCATTCTGCTTACAAATAATTAAAGGATAATTTATTTATTACCTTTTTCATAACAATTTAAATAATAATTCGGTACTGAATAGCTATTAATCGGTTCAATTAATCCAAGAATATTTTCAGTTTTGAATTTCTCAACAGCATATCTTAAATTTGATTCATAAGCCGCATCATTGGCAGAGGTTGAATTATCTACAATGCCTGCCATTATATGAATTCTGTCAAAAATAATTAGCAATAATAATTAATACAATTTTTAAATTTATATTAGTATATTTTGCTATGATTTAAATTGATTGTTAAGTATTATACTTATTGCAGTCTAAGGCCTTGGCATAATCAATAGTCATTTCAATACTATTTCTAAATTCAATTTCTTTTCCTGGAATAGCAGCATATCCCAATTCACCTTTAGTAACATCTCCTACAAAGATAATTATTTTATAATGAATTAATTCACGTTTTAAGCATTAGTACCTCAAAAAATTTATTTAATGGTCAATACTCACCTGTAAAAACATTTATCAATACTTGTTGAATTCCAGCATCTTCTTTAGCTTTTTGCACTTGTTGGATAGTGTAACCAAAAGGAAAGCCACTTTCAACCGTATGAAAACCCGCGTCTTTTGCTAGTTGATAACGACCAATAAGGTTAGGACATTCATTAAACATGAAACTCAAATTACAAGCAAATTTCCAAGACATTTTTATCTATTATTATATATTGATTAAATGATTAATAGAATTCAATACTATTCCGATAAACTATAAACACATAGTACTTAAATGCATTAACACTCATAGAACCACCTGAGTTACTGTTATACAGACTATATTTAGAATTAATATTATCTATTATCTCTTATGTTTGCAGAAACTGATTATCTATAAAAATGGACAGGAGAAAAAATTTAACATCATGATATAATGATAAAATATAAAGAAGAAAATAAACATTAGTGTAACCTTCAATTCGATCATGAATTCATTAATTTAACACTGATACTACTCCAAAAAAAGCACAATTTTACTCCGATACGAAGTTACTAATTTTTTTGTTAAAACTATTGTCCTTGAATGTTAGTTTTTTTTTAATTTATATCTTAAAAATATAATTGTATCTTGTTTAACCTAATCAAGATAGAGAATAATATTCGATTGTCTGACATAAGTCACAACACTTGTATTTTTATAGACATACTTATGTATATATTTATATCCATGTATGTTGGTGACCACGTGATGTTGACATTAGATATGATACGGCATTTAAATAAAATATATCTCTGTATGTACGTATTAGAAATGCCAATTTTTTGTTAAGATTCTAATAAAAGTTACTGCCAATAATCTATTATTGTAAAAATATAATTAAATATGTCGATAAGCGTGTACATATTTTTTACCCTTATATAGAACCCCATTTTTATAATCGATTTGTTCAGAGAATCACGCGTGCGTAAAACTTGTGCATTCATGCTACTGAATTTTCAGTCCTTCAGTAGAGTTCTAAGTGTCTAGTTTATAATAAAATAAATTTTTGGATTATTTATCCTCTATTATATTGTATAGCAAAATTGTAACATTTTAAACAAGTCAAATTTAATCATTAAGAAATCCACGAATCTAGGATAATAAGATAATAAAATTCAAAACACAAATAACAAAAAAGACGTTTTTTATTAAGATATGAAATTGCGTCAGATACTATTTCAATAAATTATTTAACAAATAATCAGAGTGGAGAGAGTTGATAAAAAAATAAATAGAGATACAATTAAAAAGTTTTAAGCTCAAAAAGCCTAAAAGCTCCAATGTATAACGGTCGCCATTACGAGGCGAGAACGAAAGTATGTCGTTACCGCGTGAATGGAATTTTTTACCCCAGGAAGCGAGATCCTCAATGGATCTTAGACACCCATCAGATGAGGTATCAAAGAATTTTAATGGCAGCATTACATCAGCGGTTATCGACGAAAATTTGAATCAAAAAGATTTACTAGGCTCACTATTTTCAATACATTCAGCACCAGTTTATGACTTGAATACATCATCACCAACGAGACCATCAGCTTCATTGGTAGCAGCTAATGCTACTTCAACACCGGTAGTACCACCTCATCTAAGTCCTGATATTGATGATGAAGACAACGATAATCTTCTGACAATCTCCAGTCTCACAGCTAGACCTTTAATTGCCACTGCAAGAGAAATTCGATCATCAAAAAAATCAGCGATTCGTAAAAAGTCCAATAAAGAGACCAAAAGACGGAAAAAGAATACTAACCTGGTACCTCTAGACGGGGGTTATGGCTGGATTATTGTTGGTGGTGCTTTTTTTGTACAGTTTTGGGTTGCTGGGCTTGTTAAATCATATGGAGTCTTGTATGTTGAAATTATGGAAACATTTCAAGATTCATCTGCTTCTTTCGCTTCCTGGATACCAGCAATTCTTTCATGTCTATGTCTAGCTCTTGGTAAGTTTCAATTATGATCGGAAAATTCTTATTTTATTTTTATTCAAAATTGATTGATGCAATATTTTAATTTTATATGATTCTTTGAATTTACATTCCAAAAAAATCATTTTTTTTAAAGGTCAAGGCTTTAAAATCTATCATTTATATTATGGTCATAATAACTTTATTTTTGAATAACTACGTTCGCGCATGAGTCATCCAAATCATACGTCATGTTATATTCTTGTCCCTTTTATTTCATTGATTGATCGAATTGCATCAATAGATATAATTGTTATGAATTATTGACTTCAGTAATTAAATTGAGTATATGTAATCACATTGATTATATAATAATCCATCATTACATCGATATTCTATTAAATAATGAATGCTTTAGAAAATTGAATTTAACTCTGCTGTCATGTTTTATTTTTTTCTTCTTGTATATTGGATTATCTTATTAATAATATTTTTATTATTTATTCCAGCTCCTGTGACAAGTATTCTATGTCAAAAATATAGTTGCCGTTTGGTAGTATTCATTGGAGGCTTATTCTGTGCATTAGGTTTGACACTAAGTTATTTTGCAACACGTTTAATCCATTTGTTCTTTACATTTGGTGTTATGACTGGAATTGGTGGTGGTTTATCAACAACGCCAGGAATAATAATAGTTTCGCAGTACTTCAACAAACATCGTGCACTAGCTAATGGAATTTGTGTATCAGGAACAGCAGCTGGAAGTTTTGTCTTCCCTTTACTAATTGAATTTCTTGTCGCAAATTTTGGATTCCATGGAACAATTTTATTACTTGGCGGTTGTATGCTAAACGTTTGTGTTTCGGCATCTCTTTATCGACCGTTAGAAGATAATCCATCAGCTGTAATTGAATCAAAAGAGATTGAAACGAAAGAAGATAGTATTGTTGAAGCACCCCCATTAAAACAACAAAAGCTTGAATTAATTTTTGCTAATGATAAAACCCCGGAAAAGAATATTTTAAATGATTTTTTTATTCAAAATACCACGGTGGATTTGACTGATAGCGAAGAAGAAAAAGATATAATGGGTGAAGGATTACGGATGAAACCGATATCTAAAATAAGAAGTTCCAGTATATTGCATAGTGTTGAAGATCTCTCTACAGATTCTACGTGTGTTTATAAAGCACGATCATCATTAAAATCTTTGAGACCATCTACTACAACTCTGGCATGTCCACCCTTTTCAAAAGAGCCGGTAGTTACTAAAACAAAAAGTGAACATGTGACATTATCTCAAAAAATAATGGAATATCTTGATATAAGTTTATTAAAAAACGTTCAATTTCTCATGATGTGTTTGTCTGTCATGTTGATGAGCACTGGAAGTCCCTATATGTTGTATTACTTGCCAGCTTATGTGCATGATTCTGGTTATACCAAATCAGAAGCTGGCTACCTAGTTGCTATATCTGCAGCTTTTGATCTCTTTGGACGATTAGGACTGGGTTGGCTTTCTGATTTGCAACTTTTTAATAGGAGAAAAGGATATATTGGCAGGTAAAGTCATTCGAATATACGTTCAAAATTTTCATGACGTTTATTTGTAATCAATTTATATTTTAGATTTATATTTGTTTTATAGTATTGTTGGTGCTGGAGTAGCTGTCTTGGCAATTCCAATGGCTCACTCTTTCTATGTACTCGCTTGTTCTGTTGGAATGTATGGTTTATGTTTGGGCTGTTGGTTTCTACTTGTCCCAGTTTTACTTGCCGATCAATATGGAACTGAAAAAATTTCTTCTACTTATGGTTTGGTCAGAATGTTTCAAAGTGTTGGAGCAATATCCATTCCACCCCTTGCAGGTTTGTGCTATGAATAATTGTGCAATTAATACTTTGATTAAATTAAATTCTTTCACTTTTAAAAATTTCAAAGGAATAAAAAAATTTTTATGTATTTAATTATGAAATATATTACAGGTTACCTTCGTGATAGAACAGGAAGTTATAACACTTGCTTTTTTTGTATGGGCACCTGTATGATGCTAGGAGGTTTACCTTTACTTTTTGTTTCAAGTGATATGCAAAGAAATAAACGAAATGAATTAAACGTTAATGTACCATTGAATGGACAAATAACACAAGTGAAACCTCAAGAATAAAAACTGATTATAAATTTAATAAAGGAAAATGAAAGGACACGATAGAATATTAAACATAATATCTAAAAAAACTATAAATTCAAAAAAAAAAAAAATGCCAATAAGACGAATTAATTACATAATTACACATGAGTGGAATAAATCATTTTGTTAAATGAAAAAAAAAGTTGTTTTACCAAAACTGCAGAGCTTATAATGAAAGAACAAAGAGAAGAAATTATATTTATAAGTACTAATAGTTGACACAAGAATGAAAATAATGGAAGAAGAGTAATGAGGATTGAACGATGGAACAAAGAAAAGTCTTAAGAGTAGGAGTAGATATTGAATTATCAATAAATTAAAGGAGAATTTTTTTGAAGTATTTTTTTTCTTTTGTAAATATATGCACGTGTTGCATGATTTTTAACTTTTTTTAATTAGGTTTAATTGTTAAATAGGAATAATTTAGACCTGAGGATATGATCGCTTGTGTTAGTTCAAATTATTTTCTAACTTTTCGGTTATACATTGTATAAAACAGATGTATTATAATAAAAATTATTGCCAATTGCACGCAAGACTGTGATTGTGACGTTTACTAATTGAAAAAATAAATAAATAAACTTTGAATTATTGATGTCCATTGATATTTTTATCGACTTTATTTATGAAATCATTCATCATTATTTTACGTGATTTAGATGATATTGAAGCATCTACTTTTTATTAATAAAGATTGATAAAACACTATGAAATACAATATTTTATTTTCATAAAAAATTAGAGAAATAAAATAATTCATTTTTTCCAGGAGTATAAAAGACTGTAACAGTACAATTCAACAAAATTTATCAAATCAATAAGAAGTTTATAGAAGTATTGAAAGAATCCAGTTTTTTTTATTGACAGAACCAGTCTGTTGACGTAATTATTATTGTATCAAACATAATCAAGAGACAGTACATATATTAATCTCTTAAAACTACTATTTTATCATCATTGAAATTTAAATCAGCTCGAGATGGATAAACATATTTTAAATTTCCCTCAGCATCAACAACTTTAACTTGTTGAATTTCTAAAGTATGGTATTCTACTTTTTCATCAACATTTTGAGCTGACGTACATAATCCCTGTATTACGAGCTCCTTCAAGAACGCATCTAAAACATTCCTGTATATCAGGAAAATTCGCTGTATTAATTATCAAGTATTTTTGAAATGTATTTTTAATGCACTAATAACTATAATTGTTATATAATATTACCGACAAACTAGTTGAGAAGTGGCACTCGTCACTTCAATAAGCATATTTTTTGTATTTACACTCATTTTAGTGATATCACTATTGGTGATAGGTGGAAATGATATAACCTGATTAGATGAATCTAATAAACATGGATAGAGTGGTTTTCCTTCTATGAGATATAAATATTTGTGAATTCCAGAATAAACATTTCGCTTTTTTTCTCGTCTTAAATTATCTGCATCTATTTGTAAATGTTTAAATAATTCTGCTGCTGTGAAAACATTCTTTCTGCCCAAAGGTTTCATTTTTATTTCAGTAGGAGAATTTTGCTGTATATGTCAATTCACCTGAAAGATATCATATGATTTTAATTCTCTCTTTGAATGATTCATTATAATAATAAGAACTGAATTTATAAGAATAAAAAAAATGATTTACCTGGTGGTATCAAATCGAAATCATGTGTTGCAATTGTGGCAGCATTTCGTCGTTCACAAATAGTTTCATGTAATTTAGTTTGTAGTTGAATAAATTTTTTAAAAGTATTCTCATCAAATGATAAATTTTTCACGATACAGCATACAATAAAAGGACGTACGGTTTTTACATTATCAAGTAATTTAATAACCATTATGCTATCGTCTGCTCGTAATATTTTCAGTTTATGTGCTTCATTATTAACATCATTATCTTTAGATTGCGATTTATGATTTTTTGAACCCTTTTTACCAGACTTTTCATTTTCTTTTTCTGTTAATTTTCCATCTTTCGCTACTTTTGCACAATGTTGACCAATATAATCTATTATCTGTTTGGTTCGACATTGATCAACTAATTTACTGAGTCTTTTATCCTTTAATTTATTTCCTTTTAGATTCAATTCTTTAAGTTTGTTGCAATCTGCTAGTTCTCCAGGAACAACTATATTATAACAAAAATGGTACACATAAATTAACAAATAAATGTTCAATTGTTTTCAAACAATACTGATGATAAAATTCTTACCAGTTATTTTATTATCTGAAATGTCTAAATGCTTTAATGACGGTAAATGATTAATTGTTGCAGGTAATTCTTCAATTGGATTATTGCTTATTTTAATTTCAGCTAAATGAATTAATGAATCATAGCAAATATCAGGGAAAATTTGAAAATTATTATTTGACAAATTCAATGAACTTAGCTTGGTGTTGAACTTTAAACATGGTAAAGTTTTCAATGAATTTGAATTTAAATTGATGCTTGTTATTTGAATAAGAGCTGATATCTCATCTGGGATTGTTTCTAGTTGGTTATATGAACAGTCAAGTATTTTGAGTTTGACCAAATTTTTTATTGTTGTAGGAATTTTTTTCAATTTGTTTGAATGAAGAACAAGAGTCGTCAAGTTGGTTAATTTTTCAATCTCATCCGGAATAAATTGAAGACAAGTTTGATTAATGTTTAAATAATTGAGAGAGTTTAAATCAAATAAATTGATATCTAAGCCAGATGATGAAATTCTTTGTGATATTGTAGAGCCAGAAAGAACTAATTCATGTCTTTTTTCTTTTTTTACTTGTTCTATTTCACTCCATTTGTCATTGTTATTAACATTATCTGTCATTTTTGTAATTGAATAATTTTCTTTTTATCAATATGATGTAGTTATCCAACAATCCAGCAAATAGAAAATAAATTCTAAATTGTCAAAGTTTACAAATAAAACTACCGGTTTATTTATAGGTTATATAAACCCATGTCATATTGCAGCTGTTTTTAAACTCAGTAATATTGAAGTAATAATTGTTTATTCAATTTAACATGTATGCTAAGATGCCTTGGAATGTGTTTAATACTTTGATTAAACAAAAACGCGCAAAACAAGTTATTATTAAAAATAATGAATAGAATAAATTTAATCTTAAATTACAATAACTTCAAAATACTGTAATAATCAAATAATTAAAAATACATTAATTTAGTTAGTTTTAGATAGTTATTACATATAATTAAATTTATTGCAACATATAATAGAAACAGTTCACACTTGGGCGCAGTATTGCCTGGTTTGTTGTATTTTGCGAACAATTACCGACCGCGGAGATAATTTTTATCCATATTGAGTTTCGAATCTATAGAATTTTTTAAGTTTAGGCTGAATTAAAAAATATGTAAAATTCGAGATTATATTTCAAATATGATGTCTTAGTTTATAAAATAATTTTTTTATTATCAGAAAGATAGAAAGACCTGTCGTAAATGACAAAAATTTCTCAATAAATGGGTAATTAGGTATATCAGAACCTACAGTTCGATTTTCAGTATCGGGAAGTGGATCAATAAAACTCTGATTGAATCCTGTAGGATTTGATGTGTTTCATCTTCATCAATATTTCCTTGAAGTTCAAACAATCATCAATACCTACTAATTGCTCCAGTAAACATTATTTTTGTTATAATTAGTCTTTGAAGCCAATTATTTCTAATTATTAATCGAATTACATTGGATTTACTCATAGTATAATTAATTAAACAATTCACACGGTCTGATATTATTATTAAATAAAAGCAATTATTAGGTATTGATACAATACTCAGAGAAATTCTTTGGCGAGATAAAACGAATTTTTTATTCGTGAGATAGTACTCGGTTCATGAAGTGTTGTAAAAATGCACTTGAAATCCAGATTTATTCCCTGATAGATATTATCTATCTTAGTATTTTCAGTAAAAAATACTAATTTACTATTCTATATTATGGTAGAATTTTTTTGATTAGAATGTAAACATTTCTATTCAATGCACATTTCATAATAAAATTAAATGCCGCCTTCCCGAACTTTCTCGTAAACGTCCTTTGTATTAGGAGAATCTCACTTGTGAAGTGAATCTTCTTGATTTAATTGACATGAGTCATTTCTGCAAATATTCTTAACTAATAATAGTACTTATGAATAACTCAAAATTATAATAATCTAATTTCTCTTTAAAAAGTTTATATTAAATAAAATAAATACTAATAATTTTATATTATACCGGCGTATGCTAAACCCAGAATATTATCTGTACACGTAATTTTTGTTGATGAAAATTAATGATAGATGGCGGATGTCGTTGTTAGGAGAAACAAAAAAAAATAATAATTAACGCAAAAGAAATATTTTATTGATTAAAAAAATTACGATTTTCAAATTTAGAAATACGGCTCATCATGTATCGTAAATATTGAAACTCTTAGACAATTATTTTCGAAGAAAAATTTCAGTAAAATCATTATTTTTATTATTTAATTACAAAATTTTTTTTTTCTTTATTAACTAAATGATCATATTTTTCTTTAGACATTGTTTAAAATTATATCAAAGGAAAATGCAAAGACTCTTCAATTTCCCTAATTAATAAATATTTTGAAGTACATAATCAGAATTTGGGTGTGCATTGTCATGTAGGAGAAAGATCGAGAAAAAAGAAGGCTACATTTTTATAGCGGGGAGCGAAAACAGACGATCGATTTTCGAGTTCGTTCTGTCATTGGATGTTGTCGCGCCAGCGTAGAAATTCTAGCATCTTGCTTTATTATTGGTCCTTTAGCCATCACGTGATTCCACGGAAATTGCGTCACGTACAGTAAATCTTTACTCGCTGCTCATTTCCGTCTTCCCTTTGCCTGTTAGCCATTGTCGACTCTGTTCACCGGGTTTACGGAGTAAGTACTGCGAACTTATTTCTAATTTTCCATGGTTCTCTTTCACTATTTATTGATCAAATTACCGAAGAATATTACAGTAATCTCAAATTTATTTAATTATTATTAAAAAACCCTTCCAACTTGAGATTTATGCAGATTAAAGAACAAAACTCTTGAACATTCCCAGGTTTGATTGGCAAGAGCTAATATCGTTGGAGAAAAAAGGCGTGTTATTCGAAAAAAAGTCATCACAACTGGATTATTATAAAGCTATACAAAATGTATAGCAACGGGTATACAAATCAAACTTCGTAAGCATTTTGAAATATATTTTAATTTATTTAAAATAAGTTTTCCATTATGGCTGATCGTACTTGAAACTCCATTTAAGCATCGGCCATCTTGTAGACTTCTCTTGTTCTAAGTAGATCTTTCTATTTGCCCATGACAAATAATCATGAAACTATCGTTAAGTTTTAATCAATGTTTGATGATTTATGAATAAATTTTTAATTAGCATTTTTATTCGATTAAATTTTTCATTGTCATCTCCGATATTACTACATACATTTCAACGATTCTGTCACAAGTCAATAATTAATAATTATAAAAAATTATTACTTCATAATTATTTTATTTTATCAAGTCATTTAAAAATAAATATTCAATAATTTCTTTTGACAGAAATTTAATCACTAATAATTTCTACCGATGTAATGTCACTTGACTAATGAATATTTTAGTAATTGAATTTTAATGTGAATTTAACTATTTGTTCATACAATTCTGGGGTTGTTTCGACGTAATTACGGAATAAATTTAACTATTGAAATGAAATTTTTTGATGTGCATTGTGCTTAATTATTTATAGCTACAGACCTAGAAGTAACAGGGAATATGGCAACAGAAATGTGAGTGGCACTTATTGGAATAGTCAACAACAACAACAGCAGCAGCAACAAAATCAGAACATGAAATTCAATCCGAAAAATACGAAAAAGCAAATTCAGAAAAAGTGCCCTGGCGACTTGTTGAAAAAACCTAATTGGGATTTAGAGTCATTACCATTAATTACAAAGAATCTTTATGTACCTCATCCAAACATAAGAAGTCGTTCCAATGATGATGTTGCACGTTATCATATGGGAAAAGAAATTACAGTCAAAGGAAATAATACTCCATTACCTATTCAAGCTTTCGAAGAGAGCAACTTCCCAGACTATGTCATGCAGGAAATTTGTAAACAAGGATTTAAAGAACCAACTGCTATTCAAGCTCAAGGTTGGCCTATTGCTCTTAGTGGTCGCGATCTAGTTGGCATTGCTCAAACTGGATCAGGAAAAACATTAGCAGTAAGTGTATTATATCTTAACGCTTTTATTATGATTTTTGAACCTTCATGCTTACAAAATATTGCTTTTATTTTAGTATATTCTACCGGCAACTGTACACATTAATCATCAACCACGATTAAGTCGTGGAGAAGGACCGATTGTGTTAGTTTTAGCACCAACACGAGAATTAGCTCAACAAATTCAAACAGTTGCTCGAGATTTTGGATCATCGTCATGCATTCGCAACACTTGTATATTTGGCGGATCTCCAAAAGGACCACAGGCTCGTGATCTTGAACGCGGGGTTGAAATTTGCATCGCCACACCTGGACGTCTTATCGATTTCTTAGAAAAAGGTACAACTAATCTAAAAAGATGTACTTACCTTGTTTTGGATGAAGCTGACAGAATGTTAGATATGGGATTCGAGCCACAAATTCGTAAAATTATTGAACAAATCAGACCTGATCGTCAAGTTCTTATGTGGTCGGCAACGTGGCCTAAAGAAGTACAAGCACTCGCAGAAGATTTTCTTACCGATTATATCCAAATTAATATTGGTTCTTTGACTTTAGCTGCAAATCACAATATCCGGCAGATTATAGAAATTTGTCAAGAACATGAAAAAGAAACTAAGCTTTCCGAATTACTTCGTGAGATAGGATGTGACCGAGGAAACAAGACAATAATATTCGTAGAGACAAAGAAGAAAGTTGATGATATCACAAAAGCAATAAAACGTGAAGGATGGTCAGCCATTGCTATTCATGGAGATAAATCACAACCAGAACGTGATTATGTTCTGAACGAATTTAGAAGTGGAAAAACATCTATTCTAGTAGCTACAGATGTTGCAGCAAGAGGTCTTGATGTTGAAGATGTTAAGTACGTTGTTAATTTTGATTATCCTAACAGCTCTGAAGATTATATCCATCGTATTGGTAGAACTGGTCGTTGTCAAGCTGCTGGAACTGCTTATGCATACTTTACTCCCAACAATGCTCGACAAGCGAAAGAATTAATTTCCGTTCTTGAAGAAGCTGGCCAAAATATCAATCCTCAATTAGCTGACCTAGCTAACGCACAGAAAGCACAATATGGAAAAGGTCGTCAACGTTGGAACAATTCACGCTCTAGTAATAAAGATAATGTGAGCACTAGCTCAAGAGGTAATTCGAGTCCAGCATCAAGTACCGGCTGGCCCAGTACCAATCAGCATTCAAACATGCATTATCAGCAAAACAACCACACACAAAACGAAAGACAGAATATGCATCGGCAGCAAAATGGATACGTATCAAATCACGTATCACGTCAGCAAAACAATTGGCCAAGTCAGTACAATTACAATCAACAACAACGTCAAAATAATTCTGGATATCAACAGCAGCAGAATGGTTATCATCAGCAAGCTCCAACTACTTGTCCGTCTCAAACTTATCAATCTACTCAAAATAACTCTCGTTATCAACCTCGTAATTCAGGATATCAAAACAATCGCAACATGAATACTCCACGACAAAATCCAACTTATAATGGCAATCAAAATGGACAAGGAGTTTATTCAATGCCTCCACCATTCCTTATGCCTTCTGGTGGACATACAGAGTCTGGAATTCAGAGTTTAGTTAGCAACAAGTTCTTCCAGACAAACCGTCCACCACCTACTGCCAATCCTTGTGCTTATCAATCAATGGGATATGGACAATTCCATCAAGCTGTTTCACCTTACGGGTACCCTTACCCTCCAACACCAGTTCAACAGTGAAAGGTAAATTAATTAAGGTTTGCGTTCAATAATAATCAGTGATTACAGTCAATGCAGATTTTATTATAAATGCATTGACATTTTTCACAAGTCGCCAATTAAATGAGGTGATTCACTTCTAATTCATATTTTCATCATCCGATATTTTATTATTATTCTAATTTTTTTCTGGTTAAATGGTTATTGTTTGTACTTTTCTGGAATGATGCACATTGGCCATTATCCTTCAGCGTTGACTGAAGTATTTTAATATTAATAGACACATTATTTACTTCAATTTGAAAAATTTATCGTAATAATTTGTCAACTTATTTATATTCTAAGGCCTATTAATACTTTCTTGTGATTAAGTAATTGTTCTTTCAAAGTACTTTGCTTATTCGTTTAATATTTTATAAAGTACAATATCACTTAAAACTAAACGTGGGAGAATTAATGATGAATATAATAAAAAAATTAAAAAAACTATGCGCCAATATTTGGAGGCACATTCCAGTCGAGTCTTAATGTTAGTAATAGCTCGATGGTATAATTAATTATATATTAATATTAATAATCTTAAACAAATATTTCAACATGACCACAAATATAGATAAAAGATGGTCATTGATATGCTAATTGAATAGTAATCTCTTTGCGATAATTATGTAAACTATCTGTATGCTTTTTTGAAATGCACGAAACGTATAGAAGGGGGGTGGGTTAGGATTAACGATTTATAATATTAATTTAAAATTTTTCGTATATGCTGAAGACGTTCAACAAAAAAGGCCTTTTGCATAAAAATTAAGCCCTGCGTCCAATGAAAAATAATAAATGTATCTTTTTAGGCGAGACTGGATTTGTGTCTCGATTTAAATGTCTTTCGGTAAAAAAAAACTCTTGAAATTAATTTGAGAGCAGGATTGACTGATATCAAATGGCCCACATTTGAAATAGAATTAAATAACTATAATATAAAAATAATAAAATAATAATGAGTGAGATAAAAGATGGGCGAATAGTTGCATGGCTGTGCATCACATAGCAGAGCTCGGTACTTTATTTTTGTATGAAAAAAAGTAATTTGTTGTTAAATCAACGAATTATATGAAACAAATGTTGTTTGATATTTATGCAACTGGCCACCAAGTGGTCCCAATTTGCGCATTGTGCAGGCTGTGGCTGCGATTTAATAAATCCCAATCGTACCTGTTTTAGTTTGACGCATTAAAAGATTAAAAAAAAATTTAGTGAAAAATTTTTTTTCCATCGTTTATGTTTAATTTAAACAGTACAAGTTTAGATTGCTTATAACATTAATTATATAACATTAATCAGTTTGATAAGCTGCATAAAGATGATGCTACTATTATCCAACATGTACTACGAGTCCATTAGTGTTTTCCGTAACTTTAAAGAAAAAACGGCTCGTGTAGGGCAGTTCCTTTTTCAATATTTGGAAATTGAATAGCCGTATACTGCATTTTAATATGAAATAAAATAAAAATGAGATAAAAATTTAATGCCTTAATCATAATGAGGATCTCTATGACCAACAAACAATTTATTGCATATTACGGTCCTCCATAATTATCTCACGTCTGGTCGATTTTTTAATATATCATTCATTGATATTGATGTAGTTATTTATATTAGGCCATTTGTTATAATTATTATTAATGTTATAGTTATTATTATTATCGTTTATATTATTATAATGTTATTATATTGTATTTGTTCAAGTAGCCTCATACAACGCACACGAACTAGTAGCTCTATTGAAAAATTAACAATTATTTTATTCAGTTGTAGTTTTTAGGTTTATGTATTCTCTATTACTCAATTTGATTTCTGCACTCAGTATAGAAATCGACAGACGCTGAGGTTTGAATTAAAAATAATGAAAAAAAAAAGAAAAAAAATAAGAAACAAAAATTATCAATAATGAATGTTGGAGGCTGCCGTACATTAATGTATACTTTCTATCGAATTTCGATGTAATATTTTTTATCAAATACTATTGAATTTACATTAATATAAAAATGATAAAATTACAGGGGAAATGATAAATATTTGATTTTTTTCCCTCTTTTAATAATAATTAATAATACATGATTAGAAAATATATAAAATAATAGACATCCAGGTATCGATAGAAAGATTACATGTAGATCTGTGATATGTAAAATGTAGTAGCGCAAAGAAACTATTCTGCTGTGTTACATCGTCTAAAAATAGGGAACGTATCTCATCAATTTTATATATGTGGTATACCATATCATGTTATTACGATGAAAACCCTGCTATCGACTGGTAAAACAAAGATTAATCAACAAAGAAGAAAAATTGAAATATTGTAAATTGAAGCAGTTAATGAGTTTCTCAGCAATTGGTATAATTAATAAATATACGAATTAATGAAAGAAATAATAATGAACTGTATTAAAAAGGGTGTGTGAGAGGTGAGAGAGAAAACAAAATAAAACAGAAAATTTATGAAAAATAAATAGTAAAGTAGAATAAACGGGGCAACGACGAGACCTCTGCTATCTGATACTCTTACTCTACTCCGATTGTTAGTTAGGTATATTAAGGATAGCTAAGAATTATTTTTTGAAAGTAAATAATTAAAAGTAAAAAAAGAGCAACAGGATAAAATACGTGTTGAAAACAAAAAATATCTATGGGTGTTCGCATATATAGATTTAATGATTAATAATTATGTGCTAATACAGTTAAAAAAAAACAACACGCACATATAAAATAGATAGTGATCGCTTGTTGAAAAAGAAGAGAAACTAACAAAATAATATAACGTGTCGCCAATTGATGAGAAAGATAGGCGTGCAAGAATTACTTAGTATTCGACCCAGTTATCAGTCGTGATTGCTGTGTATAATAAAAAATTAATAAACCTTTGTTAAAATAGATTCGTAAAGAAGGTATTTGATCAAATGCCAAGTGAAACAAGGCGATCAAAAAATAATATAAAAGAACGGAGAAGGTTTTTTTTTCATCATTATTGACCTATACGATGAGAGGGTTAATTTTTTTCCTGTGCTTATAAATCATCAATCAGTAATAAATGATGAGTGATAAGTAATTATTAATACGCGTGAATGTCGCGTGCGCCTCAGTATATAATACAATGTATTTGTAGTTTTTTTCTTTAGTGAATTGGCTGAAGAAATAACAATTTTGTAATGAATAATGAAAAATAATTGTTAAAATAAACTCGAGTACCTTAATTGTAACGCTGAGCGCTGTGATATGTCGCGTACATGTACGTTTTTTTATATTGTTATTAAAAATGTCGGTGTGCATATTAACAAGTATCTCCCTTATAAAACAAGACTGATCTTTGCCACATAATGAACACAATTGATAAGCAATCGCGAACGCGTTTGTATAACTGTCGATACATCCATTTGTATATTAAATATTTATTAAAAATATTTTACATAATTGTACTGATGCCGTCCGCGATATATTAATTAACAAAAACAAACGGCTACTCATATTAATTTAGTCTCGTGATTTGTCTAGAGTTTTTTTTTTATTTATATTTATAATAATCTTCCATTGTCTTATTAACAAATGACTTTCACTCCGTTCTCTATTGAGTTACGTGTAGTCTTATTTAATGACTATAAATACATGAAGTAACTATCATTATAATGAAGAAAGAAAAAAATATAACCTATTAACGTTATATATACTAAATATCTATATATTAAATATTTTTTATTGATTTTTTCATAATGGAACACCTACCTTTCTCGAGAATGTGACACGCCGATTATATTGTAACTATAAATTAATTGAAAATTTGCAATCTTTACTATGCGACACCATCTCGTTATTTGTTAATATATACCCTTCTCAAGTAATTGATCCATTAGATAATTAATTTATTAATAATAATTATTATTTTTTATTGACAAACTTATTTCCGTACAAAACTTGTCAAATTTGTTGTCTTATAGATTTAACAATTGACTGTTGAAGCTTTCTTAAAAATATATTCTTGAATTTTCATAGTTAAAAGAAATTCATCTAAAAAATCTAGTCAAAATCATTATCATACTTCAATTATCATTCAAATATCTCAGTGTACAGGTACACTTATATTCTTTTTCGACACATGAAAAAGAAAAAAAAATTTTTTGACTACTGATTATTATCATTATTACTATATTATTATTATTATAATTATTATTATAAAAACTAAAAAGTAATAAATGAAATGAAAAATAAGGAGGATGATTGTATATTTAATAATAATCAGGCGGATTTAACAGGCTTGTGTAAGTTTTATATTTGATACTAGTTTGTGATACTAAATGAAACGAGAGTACCAAGAAGCCGTTTCCTGGTCGTTAGCCGAATGTTTATTCCAGTCAAAAGTTAGTTATTTCAAGAAGAAGATAAACTTTTTAAACATTAAAAATGCAATGTAAGAAAGTAAGAGAGAAAGAGATAGTGAGAGAAAGAGTCGTAAGCAGTGGCAGTTAATAATGAAAACGAAATAAAAATAATCATATTTATTTTCTGACCATGACAAAATGTATTTGGAAAAATAACGTGATATATAGGCGTACGTGTGGTATAAAAACAATACATAATGTGTTGTTAAAAAATTCTTGAACTAACAAGAAAAAACATGAAAAGTTTGAATAACAAACATTTTGATGTAGGAAAAAATTTAATGAAGGAACACCCAATGTAGTGTCGTTATCGCCTTCTATAATTTTTTTTTTAAGTTGATAAGAAGTTGGATAAGAGAATGAAAGACAATTAGATTCAACGCCCCTGAAAATAAAAAAAATCAATATTATTAAATAAATATTTAACATTTAAAAAAAGAAATATTAAATTAATATTGCTCTACATTCAGATTCTCTTCTGTAGGTTTCACTAAAGTGCATTTCTTGTATGTTATACAGTATTATAATAGAAATAAAATGATTCAAATATATTAAAATTGATTCATGTGAATTTTTATTTACCTGACCCATCTTTCCATACATCCTCAATACTATCATTATTAATATCAATCTTTTATGTATTTTGTTACATCAAATTAACTTTTTGTGTAAATGCATAATATTCTCCAACTTCAAATGAAGTTTTCGTAGCATCAAAATTGTAAGTATGTATTCCTTCAACCTTCTGTTGCACTATTTAATATTACTTATTCATACGAATACACTTGTATATTCAATATTATTCGTTATTGGCAGCAGTATATTTATAACTCTATTTGTAGAGAACATTCTTCGTTAAAAAGAGTCAAACATATTTTTATTGTTAAATGTTTAACACAGCTGTTGTTGAATCATCATTATTTTAATATTCATTAGTATGATTATGATAAAAATACTGAGCTAATATAAATCTGACGACACATAGTATCGACACTATTGCTGACATCGCAATGAAAACTATTTTCTTATTGTTCTTGAACCAATCAATAATTTTCAAAGGCATTTTATTTCGTTTCAGTTATTTTTCAGCTTCATTTCAAAACGTCATGATTACATACAGTGTATATGCCATAGTATGTTCAAAAGTAAATGATGAATCATTATTGAGCAAATTTTTTAATTACTGTTATATAAATTTTTAATAAATTATCAATCCAAATATTATTTTGCACCAATAAGGCATCTAGGAATTTTATTTCAAAAATTTTAGAGAATAGATAATTCTCAAAATTTTCCTAGAATCAATAAAAAATTGTAAATTGATGTCATACCGAACATAGTTTTTTATTTATAATTTCATATGATGATGCAAGCATTTGCTTCAAGGAGACCGTTAGTATAAGCTAGTCAATGAAACAACCATTTTCTCATGATGCTCCAAATAATAGTAATGATCTTGACTATAACTCAACTTTTTTATTCAAGGTAATTATTGAATTTTATTGTTTTTTATAAAAAGTTTAATAAATAAACATTAAATTTGTTAAATCAAACAGTTATAGATAAGTTTAATATTTTTACGTTTATATCTTTTTGGCTCCAAATATCTCACTGAAATGGATGCCCATACTTGTACTATTATTGTAGAAAGTATAGAAAATTACTTAGTTAATAAAAGATTAATGTAGATTCATTAATACGATTCATTTGATAAATAATGTACATTAAAAATAACAATAATAGAACATTCGAGAGTGTTTGTTGTGTGAAATAACCCAGCCAAAAAATCAATAATTGATTATTCAAATGGCCCGCGCATGTGCAGAGATACTTGAAAAGCTACTGCGCATATTGATCGTCCCCACCATTGATTTTTGAGGGAATGACATACTTCCGGCAACTCCAAGCGTTCTTTCCGTCCCTAACAGCGGCACGGGTACGTTACGTCTATTTTTATTCCTATCATTTTCAATTATATTTTTAACTTTAAATTTTTTTTTTCATTATTTCATTGTAGAATTTAACTAACAATCATGTTCTTAAAATTTTTTTCAATTGTGCAGAAATCTTTGCCGCTTAATTACATCCATAAGTCAATTGAACCGTTTTTCATCCTAAGGGACTGTAAAGCATACCACACCATTTCGAACATGTAAGTAATTTATAACTTTCTTTTAATAAATTTTAACCTTATTTGTTAGTTTATATTGAATAATTTCAATGAAAAAACTTGAAAAGTGAATTTCGTTGGCAAACGTTTATAAATTTTTCGCTTCCATTGTGTGGGTCTTGACGGCCATTACGTGCACGCCGCAGGCGCTGGTTTATTGACCACGTTTCATTGCATCAGTTTAACAAAGAAAATGTCCTCTTATTTTGGCATGCCTCTGTGTAGTTTTTTTCAACAGAGCATGAATGCTTGTAAGAGGTAGATAAATAATGCGAACTATGCCTTCGGTGTCCACACATAATGTCTGGATCCGTTTCTCTATATTCGCTACAAAAAAATACTGTCTACCATTATTTCCTGCGCCTTGATTTTAATCAATAGTAATAATAAGGAACAAGAAGCTAAAAAAATTTTTATCAATTCTAGGACTTACAGTGGAGGATCATCCGGTGGATACCGTAATGGTGCATCTGGAAAATCAGGTAGCCAGCGTTCAGCTTCATCTTCAAGAAACGGCTATGGCGGCGGCGGCAATAATAGGAGTGGTGGGTATGGAGGTGGAAGCCGTACAACCAATGGAAACGCAGGCAATGGAAGTCGATTCGGTAACCGAGCGAACAATGCGTCTAACGGTATTGCTGGTGGAAATCTGAAGAAACCTAACTGGGATCATGAAAGTCTTAAGCCTTTTAAAAAAGACTTCTATATTCCACATCAAAGTGTTTCTCAAAGAAATTTTCGAGATGTTGAGCAATTCAGACAAGTAAAACAAATTACGCTAAAAGGAGAAAAGGTTCCAAATCCAATTCAACACTTTAATGAGAGTAATTTCCCTGATTATGTAATGGAAAGTTTAAAGAAACAAGGTTTCTCAGAACCAACTGCAATTCAAGCTCAAGGATGGCCCATTGCTATGTCTGGACGTAACATGGTGGGAATCGCTCAGACTGGATCTGGCAAAACACTAGCCTACATTTTACCTGCAATCGTTCACATCAATAGTCAACAACCATTGAATCGTGGAGATGGTCCTATTGCATTAGTTCTCGCACCAACCAGAGAACTCGCTCAACAAATCCAAACTGTTGCTAATGAATTTGGATCCTTGTCTTATGTAAGAAACACATGTATATTTGGTGGTGCCCCTAAAGGAAGCCAAGCACGAGATTTAGAACGAGGTGTTGAAATCGTAATTGCTACTCCTGGAAGACTTATTGATTTCCTTGAAAGGGGAACCACGAATTTAAGGCGATGCACTTATCTAGTTCTTGATGAAGCTGATCGCATGTTAGACATGGGTTTCGAACCTCAAATTAGAAAAATTATTGAACAAATCAGACCTGATAGACAAGTCCTCATGTGGTCTGCAACGTGGCCCAAAGAAGTCAGAAATCTTGCTGAAGAATATCTTGTTGACTACACTCAATTAAACATTGGATCTTTATCTTTGTCTGCCAATCACAATATTCTTCAAATTATTGATGTTTGTCAAGAACATGAAAAAGAAGCAAAGTAAGTTCATTTAAATAATTTTGTGATTATTTTTTTAATTTTATTTTCATGATGAAACCCCGTTATGAGAGTCTATGATTTTAGCAGCACATTTTGTCCTCTAAGAAGAACTGATTTAAGAAAAAATTAATTTTAAATTTCTCCTTTACTATAAATTAGTTAATTAATAAAATAATTTTTTTGTTTATTTAGATTGGGTACTTTACTTCAAGAAATTGGCAATGTTAATGATGACGGTGGTAAAACAATTATATTTGTTGAAACAAAAAAGAAAGTTGAAAGTATTACAAGAAATATCAGACGATACGGTTGGCCTGCAGTGTGTATGCATGGAGATAAATCACAACAAGAACGTGACTACGTACTCAGAGGTATTATTATTTTAGAAACTTTCAACATATAGCAATAAAAAATTCTATTTGTATAAGACATTGAAAAATTAATTTTTAAATTTGTAATTTCAGAATTCAGAAATAAAAAAGGATCCATTCTCGTAGCAACAGATGTTGCTGCTCGTGGACTCGGTAAGATTACTTGATAAACTCAAAAGCAAAAAATTTTTAAAGTTCTCAGTTATTTTCTCGTGAAGGGAGGGGTCGTATAAAAAGTTATTAAGAATAAGATAGGAAGTATATTTGGGAGGGTGTGGCGATGTAGCACAGACTGGTAATATGAAGTGATGCCTGCTCCTGGTGCAAAAAATAGCTGATAACGTAGAAGTACCTGATCAAGGTGCCTTATAATTGACATCAGTGCTATATTAGTATTACAATTAAAGTTAATATATCTTAAGATTAATTAATTATAAGCTAGTTATAGTTTTATAATTATACAGATTAATTTTAATTGTTAATAATTATTAAATTCACTGACAGCTAAAATATTAGGTTTAGGTCTAAGGCTAGCAACGGTGAAGCATTTTGTTGAAGGAGTAAGAATTAAATTTAAAAACTTGCTCAATTAATTAATTAAGGAATAAGTGTGGGCATCTCATGATTTATGTTAATCAGTCTGGTTGTCTTTTGTTTCAGAGGCACATGGTGCACAGATTCTGTTGAGTGTGCGATGAACTAAAATAAGTCGAACGACATGAACCATGGCTCACTCACTGTCTGTGCTCTTGAAAAAGACTATATATAATAAGTGATATATAGCAATGTACATGCGTATATTTCGCGTGCGTTTAGCATGTACTTAATGTGCCTCTGTGTATGGCCTGTGTACCACGTAAGTAGAAAGGTGGTGCTCGGGTATAATCGCGCTGATTGGCTGTGGAATTAAGGCTCTGGTTATTGCACGTACAACTCGCCATAGTCAATATATTCAGCCGGTGCGAGACAACAATCTATTGATTTTGCTACAATCGCTAATCGGGAATATATTCCCGGGACAGTCAACTGAACTTGCATTCAACATACCATCTTCAAGAGTACTCTTAACGCTCTCATCGAATGCAAAGTTCAGCGGTTTTGTGGTTTGTATTATTAAAATATGTTAGCTAACATTTTATTCCAAAAATTCATTGAAACAAAACAGCTAATTTTTTTATCACACAAAAGTCTTTACAAAATATTTTAATAATAACTTAATTAGTTTTGCTTTTTCATTACTTTTTTTTTTTAATTTAAAAATTAACGATTGATATATTTTTATGAAAATTTATTAATTGCACAGACTTTCGTACAAGTAATACACTTTTTAACACTTATTAGAAATTTGCTTTTTTACTATTTTGTTTTATCGCTATTTGGTTATAGTTTACTTCATATTACACAATAATCATATTACTGAAGTTACTAGAACGAATTGGTCATTTATTTTACGGAATCATTTATAATATTAAATCATATTTTACTTACTAACTTATTCTATCAGATGTTGACGATGTGAAGTACGTGATCAACTTTGATTATCCATCATCATCAGAAGATTATATTCATAGAATTGGAAGAACGGGACGATCACAGTCGACTGGAACAAGTTACGCATTTTTCACACCACAAAACAGTCGACAAGCCAAAGACTTGATTAATGTTCTCAAAGAAGCCAATCAAGCAATTAATCCCAAACTCTCAGAGCTTGCCGCTAAGACGAATAACTTCGGTGGACGAAGTAAGTTTCTATTTTTATAACTAGATTTTTTAAAAATTTAATTTGTTAATTATTAACTAATGTTAACCAATAACTTTTCTTTGTTTAGATCGATGGGGATTTAACGGCGGAAACCGTGGACGAGAAAACAAATTCTCCGGAATTCACAAAAGATTTGATAATTATAGTTGATTTTATGATTCATTAAATGACCGGAATATCAACCACAACATGAACATGTGGAATTCTAAATTTTCATAAATTTGGTTTATCATCGAAATTAGCTGTAACAAAATTACATTTTAATTGTAGTGGTGTATTCATCGGTCAATTTAATAATAATTACATTCTTTTATTTATACAATTATAGTATTTTTTTTGTCATGTCAATGACATTTTCTATAATTTAAATTCAAATGCAATAGTTTCAAATAATTTTATTAAGTAAAAAAAAATAACAATTTCAATGTTTGTATACTCAGAATATCATATTGAGTTAATGACATAAGTTTTTGTTAAATAATTAGAGGAAACATGTCATCTTCAAATTCATTCCAGAGTTATGGGATTGAGAGAAATCATTATAAAATCTTTAAGTGTAATTTTTTTTTTAATGTTTAATAGTCATCTGTGAATGATGAAAGTAATAGATAAAACCCTTAATGTGTAATTCAAACTTCATACTCAACCTTAAGAATTAAATTATCTTTAAATTAATTAAAATAATAATAAAAAAAAACTTAAAATTAATAAATACTCTATGACTATAAATCATTAGAGTTTCTTTTAAATTAAGTTTCAGTGTGAAAAATTTATATCAATTTATTTTAAGTTTTAATATAAATAAAAAACATTTCTAATAATACAATTTATATTTTGCCCGTGAATTTATAAAACTTAGTATACGTAGAATATAGTGTTTTGCATATCTCCTGCATGGATATAGGTAAAGCTCTTAGTAATAAAGATATTGCATGTTGATCACAAATACTGAAGAACATATTGATACATTCAGTTAGTGGTTCTTTGATGTAGACAGGTACAACTCCATCAGCATAAATTTCAATTAAATCAGCAATTGTATAAGCACTTATTCGAGCGATATCTTTCTTTGATTTGACAAGAATCGATGTAAGTTTTTGTGCATTTAAACAACAACATTCAAGTTCTCGTTGCTTAACTGTAGGACATTTTCTAGATTCATCAACTATAAACTTCAATACTTTGCGGTAAACGTATAATAATGCTGGTAATCGTTCTGTTATTATACTTGCTCGAAATCTTACAAAAACTGAACAAACTTCTAAAATTCCTTCACATAGGGTAACAGTCAGTTTACTTGGATCATTGATGAAATCGTTCAAAATCAGCAGTACTAAGTCAATAGTTTTTTCAGGAAATTGTGATTTTTTTGCACGTATTGAGAACTCACAAATTTTCAAAACTGTAAGATAATGATCATGTGATATTGTTGATGTAGAGAAATACCTTAAAAAAGCTTGTAAATAACTGTGACGGATCATATTTGAACGAATGCCTATTTGTGCATAAGCGATGCTACACCAGATCTGTAGAGAGTTCGTTAGAAGTGGATCATCTTGTTTTCGGTGTGCTAATATCTATAAAAAATCGTTAATTTTATTATTTTTTTTTTCATAAAATGTATTAAAATATTAGTATTTAATATATCACTTACGATTTGTTTTTTTAATAAAGTTAAAATTTTCTTCAGAAGTTTTGGACTCGTAATGCTAAATAAATTCTTGATAATATTCTCAGATACATTTTTCAACATCAAACGCCAAATTCCTTTGCCGATTTTTTTATCAATGGGTATTTGAGATTGATGTAAAAGAACTACTTCAATTAATTTCAAACCTTCTTCAACTAGTGGATTGATATTTATATCTTGTGGTTCATTTTTACAAACATTAAAAATTGTATCTAAAGTTGAGTTAATTTTTTCTACTAAAGATTCATCCACTTGTTCTGATACAACAGCAACTTTGATTGCAGCTGTAAGGCATTTAACTTCATAAGGAGTTTTGACACCACTTTGTAGAGCTTTTAAAATTCTTTTAGACAATTTTTTTTCCAATTTCCTGGCAATACGTTTTTCATTAACCTTTAATCTTGGTTTAATATTTTCAATACAGTCGATTAATATAGGAGCAGCACAATGTTCTATATTTTTATTATTTTTAATGAATGTTGCAACTTTTTGATAATTTGATACGTTTTTCAAGGAACATTGAAGGTGTTTTATAATTGGAGGATATTTTGGAAGCTCACTAATGAGGTTTTCAGATGAAATATACTGTAAGATATCAATTTTCCCGTTTTCTGAAATGTCTAAACATAATACAAATTTTTATTAAAATTGTTCATATTTTTAAATATTCATTAAGAATAAAGTATGATTTGATATTTACCTGACAAAATTTGCAAGCATAATTGGCCAATTTCCTTTGATTTTTCAGATTCTTTCCCAATTGTAAAAATAATTAAAAATATAAACGTCTTTAGCTTAATATTAATGTAAATTAATGGTAGTACCAAAAGTATTTGTAAATATTGAGTAATAACAGTCATAGATTCGTCATTTATTTGTATCCATTCTATTTCGTTCGAAAGCAACTCTTTACAGCTTTCAAAAATTTTATCCAGCCTTTTATCTTCCCACTTTTTTTTTACCATAATTTTTAACAATTTTTTGGTCATAGTTGATGAATCGTTCAATTTTAAAGATATATTACAAAGAATGAAATATATTAATTCATTTACTAACTTTTCATTATTTTGTACAGAAACATGGGTGATATATGTAGAATCTAAAATATTATTTTGATCGAATTGAGTATTAGTGATCAAGAGATTTGCCAAAGATTCAATTTGTAGTTCATTAAAATGAAGTATCAAATAAGGATATTTGTCGAACAATATTTCCCAGTAAGTATCAATATTTTTTAATATTTCAATATCATTCTCTACCAATGGAGGATTGTCATGAATTCTTCTTTCCTCTAGTTTACAGGATACATAGCATTTCATCTATACATAAAATAATAATATCTCAGTTAAAAATCTAGAATTTTCAGTATTTAATTCATGCATTACAATTATTAATTGAATGAAAGAATACTTTTATCAACTTACTAAATTTTGATCTCCACATTGATTCAAATTTTGACGATCGATTATTTCATGAATACTTTGAACACTTTTTGTCATAGAAGACATCGAATCCTCAGTGAATGCATCTGGTGCATATTTCTTAATTAATGCAACCATAGCTTCCCAAGAGTTAATGATTTTTAAAAATGATACCATAAAAATTTCTCTACTATCTATCGAAGCAGTAGATATGTTTAAATTTTCTAAAACGTGTCCAAATTTTGTAAGACAATTTACAAATTTTTGTTGCATATTTAAGGTACTATTATCAAATAGATGAACACCATCGAAAAATGCAACAATTAATTTACTCATGATTTGTATTGATATTAATGGATTACCTTCAATAAAAACAAACGATATTACTCAAAAATTAATTACTTTACAAACTAAATAATCAATTTAATGGTGAATAAAAAATACAACTATAAGTTTTTACTTACTTTCTTTTGATTCAATTAGTTTTAAATGATAAATAAAACTTATTAAAAGTTTAATAATTTGAGCATTAGTCATACTAGAGACTACTGTAGTAAATCTATTTAAGAGCTCTTCAGGTAAAACATCATCAATTTGATCACAGAAATTTTTCTTCTTAGAATTTTTATCTACAGCCATCAGTATCCATGGGATAAGTTTTATTTCTCGTTTGATACGATTACAACCATATAAAATTTCAGACAATAGTAACACATACGATGCTTGCTCTTCCTGAGTTTCTTTTTTTGTACGTAATATTTTTTTGAATATTTTTGGTAACTTTTCTTCAATAATTAATGGATTGTATTTCACAAATTCAGTAAGACAGTCATAGCTGCAGGCATTCAGATGTTTTTGAGAAAGTATTTCATCAATTATTTGATGATGATATTTTAATAAATTGATGCCATTTATTTCATTTGAAACATCTAGTATAGTGTCATCTAAATGTTGTAAAAAGTAATTAAGAACCTGTATTTTTATCTCATAATGATCTGATATGAAATCAAGAACATTTCTGTGAATTAAATCGATCGTTGATGGTGATGATTTAAATGATTTTAGAGCAAAAAGTAATATATGAGATAATGATAATGCTGGATCACTATTTAAAAAATATTTTATCTCATCAACATGAGTTAGACTTAATTTTTTCGCCCATTCATGAGACTCGATGAATTCAGACACATTTATATCTGGAAAAGCAAATGAGGAATAATGAATATTTTAATTTTAAGCAATTTATAATTTTTATAAAAATACATTTGTTTAAATTATTCATTTTTAATTTTGATCGTAACAATATACTTAATTTTAAGTTTTTAATTTTTTAAATATTCTTACCTGTCATTACTACCATTTTTTAAATATATATTATTCTTTTATAAAAATGATTAATAAAAAACTTTAAATAAATTATTGGAGCACGTGGTTCACAATTTTTATTTACATCCAAAAGAAAACTAAAGATACTATACATGTATTATCTACATAAGACTATACCATAATCAAAAGACTGTTGCAGCATCTTGCCAGAGAAGAGAGAATAGTACAGAAGTCCAATGCTGTGTTAAAAATCCGGACGAAGTTTCGGTCAACATGTCGATATTTTGGGTTAACATATCGGTAATCTCAGGTCACAACATAGAAGTTTCTGTGAACCCATCGAGCGATGGCGCTGCAACAGTTTGTTCTAGCCAGGCCCCTTAATCTAAAAGAGAAAAGAGATAAATTTGTGTTCTCTTCTACTCTCATTATAAGAATCCTAAGCCGGTTTATTAATAATGATGATGTCATTGGAAAGACGGGGACAAGTCGGTTTCCAAACACTGGCTGTCGATTGTATTAAGTTGGATAGATCGAGAGATATTCTCGAAAAACTGCAAAACATTAAAATATGCATAACTTCTATGCTAATAATGCTACGGGGTTGATCGAGGGCTCATATGAGAGATCTGGACCTCAATGAAAAATTAGGCTCCCCCTATAGGATATCCCCGTCAAAAATGCCGTATCTCGCTTAGTTTTCGAGTTATGAGCGTTTAAACGTTTTTTCATGTTTCATTGGAGCATAGCTTTGATTTTCGCCCATAATTCACGATCTATGAGAGGTACGTGGACCACAAGTACGTCAATGGATTCCTGAGATCAAGAGCTTTTCAATGCACTAGTCAAAATTATGATCCGAGCGTAATTTATGCTTAAATTAAAGCCATTTCCGGTTCTACTGTCACTTTCGTCTTCACGAGTTTCAGGACGAATTAATATTTAAAGTCAAATTCTAGAGCACCGAAATGTACAGAATAACCCCCAATTATCAAAGTCCTAAAATTTTGTTTTCTAACCTCAAAAAACAGAAAAAACCGTATTTATGCTTGGATCATTGAATTGATGATGTCATTGGAAAGACGGGGACAAGTCGGTTTCCAAACACTGGCTGTCGATTGTATTAAGTTGGATAGATCGAGAGATATTCTCGAAAAACTGCAAAACATTAAAATATGCATAACTTCTATGCTAATAATGCTACGGGGTTGATCGAGGGCTCATATGAGAGATCTGGACCTCAATGAAAAATTAGGCTCCCCCTATAGGATATCCCCGTCAAAAATGCCGTATCTCGCTTAGTTTTCGAGTTATGAGCGTTTAAACGTTTTTTCATGTTTCATTGGAGCATAGCTTTGATTTTCGCCCATAATTCACGATCTATGAGAGGTACGTGGACCACAAGTACGTCAATGGATTCCTGAGATCAAGAGCTTTTCAATGCACTAGTCAAAATTATGATCCGAGCGTAATTTATGCTTAAATTAAAGCCATTTCCGGTTCTACTGTCACTTTCGTCTTCACGAGTTTCAGGACGAATTAATATTTAAAGTCAAATTCTAGAGCACCAAAATGTACAGAATAACCCCCAATTATCAAAGTCCTAAAATTTTGTTTTCTAACCTCAAAAAACAGAAAAAAACCGTATTTATGCTTGGATCATTGAATTGATGATGTCATTGGAAAGACGGGGACAAGTCGGTTTCCAAACACTGGCTGTCGATTGTATTAAGTTGGATAGATCGAGAGATATTCTCGAAAAACTGCAAAACATTAAAATATGCATAACTTCTATGCTAATAATGCTACGGGGTTGATCGAGGGCTCATATGAGAGATCTGGACCTCAATGAAAAATTAGGCTCCCCCTATAGGATATCCCCGTCAAAAATGCCGTATCTCGCTTAGTTTTCGAGTTATGAGCGTTTAAACGTTTTTTCATGTTTCATTGGAGCATAGCTTTGATTTTCGCCCATAATTCACGATCTATGAGAGGTACGTGGACCACAAGTACGTCAATGGATTCCTGAGATCAAGAGCTTTTCAATGCACTAGTCAAAATTATGATCCGAGCGTAATTTATGCTTAAATTAAAGCCATTTCCGGTTCTACTGTCACTTTCGTCTTCACGAGTTTCAGGACGAATTAATATTTAAAGTCAAATTCTAGAGCACCAAAATGTACAGAATAACCCCCAATTATCAAAGTCCTAAAATTTTGTTTTCTAACCTCAAAAAACAGAAAAAACCGTATTTATGCTTGGATCATTGAATTGATGATGTCATTGGAAAGACGGGGACAAGTCGGTTTCCAAACACTGGCTGTCGATTGTATTAAGTTGGATAGATCGAGAGATATTCTCGAAAAACTGCAAAACATTAAAATATGCATAACTTCTATGCTAATAATGCTACGGGGTTGATCGAGGGCTCATATGAGAGATCTGGACCTCAATGAAAAATTAGGCTCCCCCTATAGGATATCCCCGTCAAAAATGCCGTATCTCGCTTAGTTTTCGAGTTATGAGCGTTTAAACGTTTTTTCATGTTTCATTGGAGCATAGCTTTGATTTTCGCCCATAATTCACGATCTATGAGAGGTACGTGGACCACAAGTACGTCAATGGATTCCTGAGATCAAGAGCTTTTCAATGCACTAGTCAAAATTATGATCCGAGCGTAATTTATGCTTAAATTAAAGCCATTTCCGGTTCTACTGTCACTTTCGTCTTCACGAGTTTCAGGACGAATTAATATTTAAAGTCAAATTCTAGAGCACCGAAATGTACAGAATAACCCCCAATTATCAAAGTCCTAAAATTTTGTTTTCTAACCTCAAAAAACAGAAAAAACCGTATTTATGCTTGGATCATTGAATTGATGATGTCATTGGAAAGACGGGGACAAGTCGGTTTCCAAACACTGGCTGTCGATTGTATTAAGTTGGATAGATCGAGAGATATTCTCGAAAAACTGCAAAACATTAAAATATGCATAACTTCTATGCTAATAATGCTACGGGGTTGATCGAGGGCTCATATGAGAGATCTGGACCTCAATGAAAAATTAGGCTCCCCCTATAGGATATCCCCGTCAAAAATGCCGTATCTCGCTTAGTTTTCGAGTTATGAGCGTTTAAACGTTTTTTCATGTTTCATTGGAGCATAGCTTTGATTTTCGCCCATAATTCACGATCTATGAGAGGTACGTAGACCACAAGTACGTCAATGGATTCCTGAGATCAAGAGCTTTTAAATGCACTAGTCAAAATTATGATCCGAGCGTAATTTATGCTTAAATTAAAGCCATTTCCGGTTCTACTGTCACTTTCGTCTTCACGAGTTTCAGGACGAATTAATATTTAAAGTCAAATTCTAGAGCACCGAAATGTACAGAATAACCCCCAATTATCAAAGTCCTAAAATTTTGTTTTCTAACCTCAAAAAACAGAAAAAACCGTATTTATGCTTGGATCATTGAATTGATGATGTCATTGGAAAGACGGGGACAAGTCGGTTTCCAAACACTGGCTGTCGATTGTATTAAGTTGGATAGATCGAGAGATATTCTCGAAAAACTGCAAAACATTAAAATATGCATAACTTCTATGCTAATAATGCTACGGGGTTGATCGAGGGCTCATATGAGAGATCTGGACCTCAATGAAAAATTAGGCTCCCCCTATAGGATATCCCCGTCAAAAATGCCGTATCTCGCTTAGTTTTCGAGTTATGAGCGTTTTAAACGTTTTTTCATGTTTCATTGGAGCATAGCTTTGATTTTCGCCCATAATTCACGATCTATGAGAGGTACGTGGACCACAAGTACGTCAATGGATTCCTGAGATCAAGAGCTTTTCAATGCACTAGTCAAAATTATGATCCGAGCGTAATTTATGCTTAAATTAAAGCCATTTCCGGTTCTACTGTCACTTTCGTCTTCACGAGTTTCAGGACGAATTAATATTTAAAGTCAAATTCTAGAGCACCAAAATGTACAGAATAACCCCCAATTATCAAAGTCCTAAAATTTTGTTTTCTAACCTCAAAAAACAGAAAAAAACCGTATTTATGCTTGGATCATTGAATTGATGATGTCATTGGAAAGACGGGGACAAGTCGGTTTCCAAACACTGGCTGTCGATTGTATTAAGTTGGATAGATCGAGAGATATTCTCGAAAAACTGCAAAACATTAAAATATGCATAACTTCTATGCTAATAATGCTACGGGGTTGATCGAGGGCTCATATGAGAGATCTGGACCTCAATGAAAAATTAGGCTCCCCCTATAGGATATCCCCGTCAAAAATGCCGTATCTCGCTTAGTTTTCGAGTTATGAGCGTTTAAACGTTTTTTCATGTTTCATTGGAGCATAGCTTTGATTTTCGCCCATAATTCACGATCTATGAGAGGTACGTGGACCACAAGTACGTCAATGGATTCCTGAGATCAAGAGCTTTTAATGCACTAGTCAAAATTATGATCCGAGCGTAATTTATGCTTAAATTAAAGCCATTTCCGGTTCTACTGTCACTTTCGTCTTCACGAGTTTCAGGACGAATTAATATTTAAAGTCAAATTCTAGAGCACCGAAATGTACAGAATAACCCCCAATTATCAAAGTCCTAAAATTTTGTTTTCTAACCTCAAAAAACAGAAAAAACCGTATTTATGCTTGGATCATTGAATTGATGATGTCATTGGAAAGACGGGGACAAGTCGGTTTCCAAACACTGGCTGTCGATTGTATTAAGTTGGATAGATCGAGAGATATTCTCGAAAAACTGCAAAACATTAAAATATGCATAACTTCTATGCTAATAATGCTACGGGGTTGATCGAGGGCTCATATGAGAGATCTGGACCTCAATGAAAAATTAGGCTCCCCCTATAGGATATCCCCGTCAAAAATGCCGTATCTCGCTTAGTTTTCGAGTTATGAGCGTTTAAACGTTTTTTCATGTTTCATTGGAGCATAGCTTTGATTTTCGCCCATAATTCACGATCTATGAGAGGTACGTAGACCACAAGTACGTCAATGGATTCCTGAGATCAAGAGCTTTTCAATGCACTAGTCAAAATTATGATCCGAGCGTAATTTATGCTTAAATTAAAGCCATTTCCGGTTCTACTGTCACTTTCGTCTTCACGAGTTTCAGGACGAATTAATATTTAAAGTCAAATTCTAGAGCACCAAAATGTACAGAATAACCCCCAATTATCAAAGTCCTAAAATTTTGTTTTCTAACCTCAAAAAACAGAAAAAACCGTATTTATGCTTGGATCATTGAATTGATGATGTCATTGGAAAGACGGGGACAAGTCGGTTTCCAAACACTGGCTGTCGATTGTATTAAGTTGGATAGATCGAGAGATATTCTCGAAAAACTGCAAAACATTAAAATATGCATAACTTCTATGCTAATAATGCTACGGGGTTGATCGAGGGCTCATATGAGAGATCTGGACCTCAATGAAAAATTAGGCTCCCCCTATAGGATATCCCCGTCAAAAATGCCGTATCTCGCTTAGTTTTCGAGTTATGAGCGTTTAAACGTTTTTCTATACTCTACTGCAGCAAAGCTTTCTTCTTTGCAAATAACTGGTGGCAAGAGAAGTGATTATAGCTATTGTTAGATGCCCTGTTGGCGTGCCATCTTGCGGTCTTTTTTATGAATGCTGACTGCATTTTTTAGCTCCTATACGGACTGAACTTCTATACTGGTCTTTCTTCTCTGATCTTGCGGATGATTTATTAAAATTTCGATTTATCTGTTTTATCATTGTTTTCTCAAAATTAAAAAAATTTTTATGAACTGTCAATGGAACGTGATATTAAATATTCAAATATTATTTAATTCGGATTAGCATATGCCTGTTCATCTTTATAATTGTATTAATATCACTAGTACTCGAAAGAGTTATTTTAATACTAATTACATACAGCCCAGGCAATTTGTCTTGTCAATTTGTCAATTTAACTAAAATACAGCTCAGGCTTTTAAAATTTTTCTCCGAAAATAAAAGAGAAAACTTTTCTCTGTTTAGATCGCTTGATTACTTTCTTCAAGTGGGACAACCAGGATTTTTGCATTAAAACATCCAGTAAAAATGGAGTAATTCTGTGAACAAGTTTTAATCGTTTGAATAGTACCCAGTGCACCAGATATACATATATAGAAGTATTCCTACCTGGTTCCATAACAATACATACTAAATCCCTACTTGGCTCCATAAGAATATATACTAATTAATAACGTTTCATGACGACTTTAATGAAATATAACCGATCTGTAAATTGAATCTTTATTAAGTGAAAAATAATTCTTTCTGTATAAAGAAAAGTCTGATATCAAATGAATGTATTTTACAAATGGGATTATGAAGAATGAAGTTACACTAAGATTTAAGATTATTTTCTATAAATTTTTTAATTATCATGAATACGCAATACTCAATGAAGTACATAATATTTATACATGTTATTTTTGAATATATTTTCAATGAATATTTTTTAAGATGAAATTTACTTTTACTAATTTTTCTTACTTTTGTTAAGATTTATCTCAATGCGTAAATGTATTAAAAAATGAAATATTTTTGTGTCAATCTGTAAATATATAAATAATGTATCCATCAAGACTATTAAATTTAATTTTACTATAATATAATTGTTTTTTCATTTTTCAAAATTACTACTTCGAATTTATAAAACTTTTATATTTGTTTTAAGATGCATTGTATAGAATCTGAGTTACTATTAATTGAATTTAAAAAAGACAGGTTTTAAATACGATATTACCATCATCTTCAATAATTTTACGTAGTTGTACTTTGGTACCAACTGTGTCTGTCGAGTTCCTAACAACAAGTTAGAAGAAGGAAGAATAGTAGAATGTATTCACTGCGGTTGTCAAGGATGTTCAGGATGATGCCTTCAATTTATATGAAGAAATAAAGACAAATTAATGAAATACAATCACATCAATGTGTCCTTATCTCTTCATGTAAATTACATTAATTAATTAAGTAAATTATCATTTGCAAATTTTTTAATATAAAAATGATTTATACATGAACATTCATTTTTATTCAATAATGATAATATGAGTAAAGATTCAAAGTATAAAATAAGTAACTTTGGAATTTTGTTTTGATCCAATAGATTTCATCTTTGTGCCTTCGATTAGTTAAAAACTAAGCATTAATTAAATTGTTTTATTATTTACAATTAGCTTATCGTGAATAGTTTCCCATGTTTGACCATCTCCGTAAGGTCCATGATTTGAAGGAAGTAGTATATGTCTCCAACTTCTTCCTCTGAGGCCGAGGAAAAGAATCCAGTTTTTTCGAGTACCGAAATCGTAAGGATTCTTATATATTTTCCCTAATGTCTTATATCTAATTATCTCTGTGCTATTAATTCTAGCTTCGATGCTTGTTTCTCCTCGTGCTATAAGTCCAGCATGCCAAAATGTTAATGAACCAAGAGCGACAAATGTAGCAACACAAATCAAACCAGCAAATATAATTATTCTTCGACGCCATTCCTTATCTCGAGCTAATTCTACTCGATAAGCTATTTCAGCTATTTCTTCAGGGCTTAAATGATCCATATTTTCTGTCTATAAAAGAAATAAATATCTCAAATTGTTCAGATAATATCATCATGTACATATTTTATTTTTAACAATTACTGACCATAGGAATGATTTCAGAATTATTTATTCGAACTGGATGGCCGTCAAGATCAGGATCTTGAGCGGGGAAAAATTCTTGATATGCAATTTCCACTCCAAAAATCATAATAAATGTCACACCCATCACAGTAAAAGCCATATACTGAAAGAAGTGACGATGATTGTAATGTCCAACACAATTATTTAACCAAGCTAGATAATTATTAAGGGAAATATTTTGTTTTCATTCAAATATCACAGAGTTTATATGTGTAAAAATATTTGTAAAAGTAAAGGATACGACAATGATGATCCATTTTCAGTACGCATTTATCACATATGGAACAATGATGAGTTCTCGGCGGCTTTGGTTTAATACATTTCTTGCAAATACTCACAGCCTCAGGAATAAGGCCACCTTGAGGTGGATATCCCGCAGGTGTTTTTACTCCCATATAATAATGGAAGATTACATTAATTAACAACCAATTGCCTACTATCAGTAAAACTATTGTTGTTATCGGACTTTTTTCCCACCAGTAAGGAAATCCAATGTAATAAGCTATAAATACTAATATTGCAGTTAATGCTACTACCATGATGACTAAAATCTAAAAGATTAAGATCAATAAAGAAATGAATAATTTTAATGTACGATTTTATTTGTTTTTGAAGAAAAAAAATATTACTTACTGGTCCTAATACTGCAGTAAAGTTTTCAACAAACCAAAAAATTGGCTCCATTAATGTATCACAAATATAGGTCCAGTCGACGAAATCATTATGAAATAATGATTTCAAAGTTATTCTTAATCTAAGCCATCGATCTTTGAAATTCAATCTGCGAAAATAAATATTTTTATAGAAATTTCTATCACCTACATAATGCTGGCTTCAATTTAATCTTTTTAATGATTTAAACGTATTAGATAAATACATATGTAGATAAGAATAATTAATTTGTGATTGTAAAAATACTAATAAATACATACCCTAAAATTTTCGCAACCTTAGGAAAAGTCCACCATAATCTCGGCATTGTGATTACTAGTTTTTTAAGTGTAAAAATTAATTTTCGTTCATAATCGTAATAAGTAAATGGGATATATAAGTTTTCATTTAATAACCTTATTACTCCAATAAGTACAAAGGTAAAAATGAATAAAAAATCAACTATAAATTAGATTAATTATAAACGAATCATCTGTACACACTTTGATATGTCTATGTAGGGGTTGAATAGTATGACTTCAATTCATAATTTATAATTTCAGGTAATTAAATCAATCTAGAAATTAAAGATTAAAAATGACTAATATAAACAGTGGGATTCATTATATTGACAACAAAGAATAAAACTTACATAACATAGAAATGCATATTGCAAAATATCTGGACTCACAGAAAGATTAGTACAGAAACCAACCATATGTGTGCAACGCTATTCTGTAATACCGACATAACAATAAAATAGTATCAATGGCGCTACTGGTTTTAGATCAATTTGTGAAATAGCATTGCTCCTTTCTCATGATGTTTTTTTCTCTGCTTTAATCAGGTGGATTTAAAATACGCTAGTCCCGCGCGTTTGCTTGCTCCAAGCTGTATAAATCAAGCTTTTTGATAAAACTTCAGAACTTTTGATATATGTACATATTATAAAATACGACGTAGATCAAATCTAACTCAAAATGCAGGTTGAGTCATTAGGAAATTTACCGTGAGTATAATTAATTGTTAATGAACCAACATATGACAAAAGTAATTGATATTTATGTTTACAACATGTAGGTACTGCAAAGTGCTGTGGTCTGTTATTTCCAGCACTACAATTCGGTGTGATAAAGCTTTAGTGATAGAAGAAATAAATCATGCTAATGACTTGTTAAAAGAAGGTCTCTTGTTCTTTAAGAATTTCACTGAAGCTTCCCTTCAGAAATTTGAGAAAACAAATCCTCCACCAAGGATGTTTGATCTCATTTCAAAGTTAGCACCATTTTTGGTAAGTATTCTTCTTACTTTTTTATACTTCATTAAATAGAAATAGAGAGAATAATTTTTTTTTAATTGTAGAATTTGGATACATCAATAGCTTGGGATTTGACATGTAATTACATGATGTATGAATATAGAAGTAGTGCTGAAACATTTGCTTCCCAACTATCTGATCTAACCTCCATAAATGTGTTGATTGAAGAGTTATGGAATTTTTATCATTCTGAGAGAATCACCATGATAAAATGTTTGAAATTAATGATTGAATATCGAGACAATCAAAATCATCCTTACCAAAAAGAGTTTGCAGATTTTTTTAAAACTACACCTTTAGAAAGTATTCTTCAATCATCTTTGAAACAAATAGATCGTTTAAAATTCAACAATATCTCTAATAGGTCGCATCTTCTCACTGAGGAACATCTGTACAAACTCTACTTCAGTACCCTAATAGAAATGCGTGAATTATTACACATAGTTACCATGATATTGGATACTATTCGACCAACCAGCTTTGATGGAGTCTATGAAAGTATTTGCGGAGAACCAAGACGAATTGTGAGCACTAAGAGTCACGAAGAAAAAGAAACAGTTACAAAAAAGCTTGAAGAAATTCGACAATGTCAAGCAGCTTGTTTTGTAGTCATTCTAGATGTTACCAAACAAATTGAAAATGATTCGGGCACAAATAATATAAGCAGTTGGATAAAAAATATGGGAAACAGCATTCATGATATATTAGAACATAAATATTTGAGAGATACCACTTTAGAAGATGGACCATTACTATTGGCATGGATGTTAGCCAATTATGCTATTGAACCAGATAATACTGAAATCTTGAATCGATTTCGTCCCTTTGGAATTCGAGCTATACAACTCGAAGTTTTCAAAACGCTGAAAAATTTAATGGAAAGTGAAATGATGAATGAAACAACTCGATATTCACAGGTGGTACGTACTAGTGTATACAATCTTTTATCATTGTTGTGTACATTCATTGATGAAGATAGAGTAAGCAGTTTTGAAGGAATATTTGATGCTACTGCAGCAATTTTACGTTATCCTGAAACTGCTACTGAATTTTGGAGAGATCGCAAAGAGGAAGCAGGATTATGGCCTATATTTAATCGAGCAATTGCATTATTTCCCTATCGTTTTGAACCTCTTACATGTATTGCAATTGGATTAGCAAATGCTTCAACTTCAAGTGCTCAAAAAATAGCAGCTAAATTAGAAGACCTTGAATCTGTAACATTAGAAGGTCCAAGATACCGTAATTTTTCCGGAGGTAATACATCCGGTCGACAAGCATTCCGCCCTTACAATCAAGAATGTACTCTTCATCATAACAACTTCACCATTCCTGAGAATTGTGAGCGACTAGTGTTAGATCATGAATCAGGAGATAAAGAAGTCGTTGTGTGGAGAGTAAAATCAAGGTATGGCGATGCATTTCATCATAAAATCGAACAGTTATTTTCTTTTGCTGGCAGTGGAATAATGAATGTAAGTGATGTTCAAACTAATTTACCTGATCATGTTGCTCAAGGCTATGGTTTATTAGAAGCTCTACTTAATGCCAACGTAGAGATTCCTGCTGGAATGGTGATTCCAACTGAATTAAGTTTAGAAGTAATCAACAGATTTTCGTACCCAGTTTTACCAAAAGGTTTATATCGAGTTGTAGCGGCTTGCTTCAGTGTAACTTCAAAATTAGCATTAAAATATCCTGATGAGATTTTAACACGAATGCGAGTTGGTATTTATCCAAAATTTAATGATTGGTATCAAGATACTAAAGAACTCGCGAGAGCTATTTCCTTCGATGGAGGCTTGGTAGCTTCTTGGTTATCTGGTGTAGAAACAATTGAGCATCGATATCCAGTTTTAAGTGCTTACTTATACACTTTATATAATTATCTAGTATCAAAGCATACTGAAGAAGCGATGTATAATATGGAAATTCCAGGAATGGTGTTTCTTCTTCAAGGTGTCTTACCAAAATTGGACTCATGGTATTTTTCATCAGAGACTGAACGAATTGAACTATGGCTTAGAGCTATGTCTTGCATTCATCATACGCTTGATACTAATTTATCAAAGAGTGATCCTAGGAAAAAATTACAGCTCGTTGTTGCTTATAGTCTTTTATATCTAGAACCCAGACATGCGTTATTGAAATTCGTTAGAACTGGAGAAAAAAATTTAAGGATGAAAATGATGAGTGAATCTGATTGGATTAGTGGAAAAGGATTTAAAATAATAGAGAGTGTTCGATTAGCACTTTCATTGGTAAATAGACTTTTGATGTTCCGTAAAAGTCTTGGATTAAGTCATGACGAAAGATCACCTCTGGAAATCGCTCTTTATACATCTCCTTCATTGCCAAATGGTCTTTTGATTGTACCAACAATTGTAAACTACTTATATGTTGAGTTTAGTCCATCTCTACAAGCTATGGCTGTCAGTTTATTAAAAAAATTTGCTCAAGGTTTTTCAATGTCACTATTAGTGTGTATGGGGATGAATGGCACATCAATACGTCACACTTTTGCTTCACGACTTATGTCTCCCACTTGCTCAGTCAAAGTTAAAGTTGCTATATTGGAATTGGTTACTGTTTGTTTGGAAAGGCAGCCAGGTCTTACAGAAGCTCTTTTTAATATTTTACATCAAGAAGAGAAAAAACGAATGTTTCCACCACCACCAGATCAATTTTCTACAAAGGGATGTCATCAATTTCTCAATTTATATCTTCAAAGAATAGCTGATGAGAAGAATATTATTTATGACAAACTTTATGACAATACTATGAGTCTATTACGTGCCATGTGGTACAATCGAAATACAATTCTAGTGAATTATTTCAGAAAACGTGAAAACTTTTGGAGTCAATTATTTTCACCATTATTTAGACCTTTTGTTAAAGGTTCCAGAGGATATGCTTATTTAATAGACGTTGCAACACTCGAATTATTTGAATCTTCACCACCTTCATTACCAGAGAATGATTTCACCAAAAATCTTGAAAAATTATTGTACCAAGACAATTATTGGGAACTTATCGTTGAATATATTCTTGACAACATTCCTCAAGATAAATCTTGTGAAAAACCAGACGATGACACTCCAATTGAATCTCCTTTATATGAAGCAAATATTGAAGCTTGGTATCATTTTATTGTTACTTTAACCGACAAAAAAATAGCCAATAAATTAATGTCAAAGATGGAAGCTTCTAAAATTCAATTTATGACTCGAATTACTTTAAAATCATTATCAGTAAAAATGAAACAGACTAATAATATTGGAGATGCAAGAATTACAATGTTATTGGCTTCATTAGCGTTGAGATGTGTATTTACCTGGAAACTAAAATGTGTAGATGATCAACAAGACTTCGTAGATAAAATAGTACAATTAATGGAGGATCTATTTCATTCATACAATACCTATGGTGTAGCTCTTCGAAGAATTCTGGTATCTTTACTTCTTGGATGCGTACAACTAGTAAAAGATACAATCATTGAAGATAAAGCTAATTTAGAATATCTTTTAGTTCATTCTTGTTTACTTTCTAATATTGAATTACGTAAACTTCGAGATGCTCTCAAGAAAACTCGCGAACTTCAAACAACAACTGGAAGTATTAAGCATATATCTGAAGAAGAAAGTGACATGATTGATAGTAAATTTTTATCAGAATCTAATAGAGTTGCATATGAATCCACCCCTGTAACATTGACTATCAGTATGGTGACCCAATTACTTCGATGCACAGCTGAAAATCAACATAAATCATCCAAATTTGGCAGCAGATCTGCATGTCTTCACCTACGTCAAATGATTCCAGAATTGATGAATTGTCTTAATAGTTGTCTTCAAAACTACCGTTATCTTGGATTTAGTCGTGCTGCTCTTGAATTTCTTGCAACTGTTGCACGTTTACCATACTATAATCCTCCTCCTGCACCTATTGAGGATCCAGAAGCCATTGCTAATCTTTGGCTCGCATTAATACCACCTGCTAGTCTCGGTCAAAGTATACTCAACTCTTTATATGATGATAGAACTACTCAAGGACAATGGAGCTGTCAGGATTGGTGGATAGTTTATACACTTGGTTTGGAATTTCTAAATGGAATGGCAATGAATAGTATTGGTATTGGAAATCAAACTTCTTGTCCACCAACTTATGTAACATCTATAATTATTTTTTTGGGATCACATGAGCATCAATTAACAGAAGTAGCTACATTATTAAGGCACACAGCTGATCTTCTAGCTGTAGATCTTGTACAATCACTTGTTGCTTTGATATCAACATTAACTATGAGATCAATTATTTGGGAAATGATTCAACCTGAAGTTCGTGAAGGACTTATGAAGTGTATGTATTTAATTTATGACAGTACAGTTAATCTTTTACTTCGTCCAAGGATTCTGAAATTTATTATTGATGGAGTAAGTGTAGAAAGTGCTGAAGATCTTCATTGGTGTGATGAAAAATTACCAAGCAATGAATTAAAACTTCTTGTAAATAAACTAATTGTCATTAACTGGTGGTGTGCTCAATGTTTTGTACGTTTTTCACCGCGACTTAATGCATTGGTTGACACAATTTATACACAAAACTTCTGGCACACTCCCTTAGCAGAAATGAACTTTGGACCTCCACAAATGTCAATGAGCTCTGGACCAAGTCTTACTTATGGCACAATAATCAGTTCTACGCAACTTTTTACTCAAGCTCTCAATTCACATCTTTCGTCAACTTCAACTAATACAACTGTCACAGGTGGAACTAATATCCCAAAACAATCTTCAAAAGATGGTATGGATTCTGCAAAGTTTGAATGGGAACGAGCCACACCCGAAATCCCTAGAAAAATTCATTCTAAAGATTTACGGCGATTTTTAAGCCTCACAAGACCTGCATTTCCTTATTTTAGTATCTCAGGAAATACATCGAATGTAGGATTATTTGAACATCCACGACTTCTTCGACGGCCGTATGATCCATTGATCTGCGAGAACACAATCCTCTCCAGGACCACGTCGTTTTCTCATCACGGTGGACGACACGTATCAAAGAATGGCATACAAAGCTCGCAAGGCCAAAGCAGTAATATTGGTCAATCAATACGTGTTGATTCAAATCCATGGTTTGACTCGATGAATGAAAACAACTCAAGACTTGCTTTAGAAGTTAACCTAGTTCTGGTTCTTTGTCAGACATTAGAAGGTGTGAAGAGCCCAAGACTTGCATTGAGGGACCGTCAACTTATTGCTCGAGAAACTGCAAATGAGATCGGTATTTTCTTTGATTTTCTTGAACAAAAGGCATCAAATTTGAATGAATGGGAAATAGAAGGTGCTCTTGTTGGCATTGAAGTAGATGGAAGTTTAACAAAAGTAGTTAAGCCACCGATAAAACAATGTGTGCTGTCAATGAATGCGAGACTTCGAGATGAAACTACAGTCAATAAACCTTCTGTTGATATAGTTAAAGAACATGATCCGGGTGAAGGAACATCACGACAATCAGAACGATTAGATATATGCTTAAATGAGAATATTATCTCAACAGGAAGCTTTAATATTGATTTTACTAGCGTAAAATTTCTGTCATTATTGGGGAAATTATTTAAATCTACTTTGGAGTCTCTCGATTCTGCACAATTTGGATGACATTATTGAAAAAATATTATTAATTTTTCCAATCATTTTTGTACAACTTGTTAATAAAGGTGTATAAAGGATTACTAAATAAAGGTACTTTTATATTACAAATAAAACAAGTAATTATGATTCAACTTTTTCTAGACATAATTCTCTAATATTCTATTCTTTTTTTTTTTTTTACGATACAGTAGAAAAATATAATTCGAAGTGCTAAAGAATATTATGCCTCACGTTTTCACAATGCAACAGCTTTGTGTGGTTGATGGTTGTAAGATTAATATTAGAATAGCAATAACTACTAATAATATTATTATTAATAACAGTAATAATCGTCATAGTGATTGTGGACAATAGCAACGACGGTTTATAAACTGTGGAAACGGTTGTGAAAATGATTGTGAAAAACGATGGCAGCAGATGAGAGGTAGTGATAGGTCCAAACAATTGGACTATCCAACAACTTTAAGCAAAACGACGAATGCTAAGGCGGCAAATTAGACAAGACATTATCTGATGTTGGCGTATAATCATGGGAAACGGGTTCATGATTTTGTGGCACCGTAGGAGTAGAGTTAGTTTGAGCTAAGTTCGATGATGTGGTTAAGGAAGGTGACGCTGATGATGGTGGGGTGGTTGTGGGTGCAGATGGAACAGATGGTGGTGCTGGTGGAGGTAAAAGAGACGATGAAGGTGACGTTACCGTGCTTGTCAAATTTTCAGCATTATTAAGATCCCCAAGAGGATCCTCATTTGCCGTTCCATCCCATGATTCTGTTGATTTGCCGCCTTCAGCATGATTATTCGTCATATTTGTACTTGTTCGCTGTCGTTTCACATCTCCAAGAATCAAACAATTGACATTTGGTGAGCTACTGCGATCACGTACACCTTCTTGCTCTTCAAGGAATCGATCCATATAATCTCTGTAGTAAATAGAATAATTTAACTTAACATAATTGAACTTAAAAAAACTTTTACAAATAAATATAAAAATATTTACGTGATTCCAGGATGGAGAGCATATTTTTTCTTCTCTAATCGTGCTTTGTAGGTAAAAATATCATGTCTTTCAGTTTTTTTCCATAAATAATAAAACTGAACAAGCTCCCCAACTGATCGTGTTCTTACCTAAAATAATTATTGAAATTAATAAGAATAAAAAAAAAATATATACACTATTTATGATGTAATTTTTACTTTATTTTTTTGAATTAAATGAAAATCTTTGCCATAAGTTCTTAATCCTGATTCAAAATTATGACATTCTTCTTCTGACCATAGACTAATGGCATCTGTTGGAGGTAAAACATTCATTCTTCGTCTTCGTAAAGCTTCTTCTAAGTTATATCCACATTGAAGCAAAAGATACAAAGCTTGTTCATCATCACGAATATGAGCTCCAGCTGGTAATGCATTAACTTTATTTGTCGGTAATTGAGCTCGTTCAAGAAATTCTTCCGTTTCTTCTTCAGGTATATAACTTGGATTCCACAGAATTTTATCTTCATTCTCATAAGGCAAGGCATCATCATAACGACAAAGGCCCTCAGGAATGGTTGCTTGATAATCACTGCCAACCATAATTGTCTTTTTCCACTCTTCTTCATCAGGACTGTAATCACAGTCATCATCTTCTTCTTCACTTTGAGGACGCGATACACTTCGAAGAAGTCTGGATGATCCACCACTAACATTACCACTACCTACACCACTTGTCCCAGTGTTTCCAACCACTCCTGCACCCTCACCATCTTCATCATCATCTTCTTCATCATCCTCGTCGTCGTCATCATCATCATCATCCCTACGTCGGCCAGTACCAGAATTATTCTCTCCGTTGTTGTGAGTATTATTACCAATATCGGAATTAATCCCAGGAGCTGGCCCATCTCCACTCTGCCCGCTGACTAAGTTCCCTGTGGTATCTCTGCCAACTTCTCCATACGACATGTCAAAAACATCGTCATTATGGTCATCTTCACTTTTTTTTGATTGATTTACACTTGTAGATTTATTATTACCTGTTGTATTAAGACGTTCGGCTTCCTCTTCTTTCACCATTTCCGTGTAAAATTGTCTTAAACTTGGCTGTGATTTACTCCCTATTTTTTTCCGCACTGTTCTATCATCTTCATCATCATCTTCGTCTTCATCATCATCACCATCATCCTCATCTTCGTCATCTTCTTCTTCATCTTCGAACTCATCTCCATCGTTTTCACCAGTTTTCTCAGATGCGAGACCTGATCCAGGTTCTTCTCCTTCACGAAGCAGTACTAGCTGATCAGAACTGTTGGAATTATCAGTCGATGTGTGACTGTACCCGTATTTTGCAAGTAATTCTTTTAGAGGCATGTCTCTTTCCTGTAATTATTTATTTTATTCAATTATTAAAATATAGAATTTACTACTCGAATAAAACAGTAATCCTATTGAAAGAATTAAAAAATTTGTTTTAAGTGTATGAAAAAAGGTTTTTCACTTGACTAATAAAACTCTAACCTTAATATCTATTTTAAAAACCTTACTTTTTGTAAATTTGATAATTCATTATGTGAGTCTTCACTTCCTTCCATAGCTTCTTCCTCATCAAGCGTTCTTTCATCATCAAAATCATTCATAAAAAAATCTGTAGCAGAACCTATTTCATATTTACGTTCTGATCTAAAACAAAACAACATCTCTTCATTACAATGCTCATAACAATCGTACAAGTTGATATAAAATAAATAATGGGCTGTTTTAACACTTGCTACATATACAACATATAACACAACAAACGGGTACCTTCGTGAGCATCCATTGTTTGTCATTCTCCTGGTGAGAGTCCTGCTGACACCAGCCGTTCCAGTTCCACTGGTTGTATTTGTTCTTGCTGTTCTGGAATCCTGAAGCATCTTGTAAACAAGAATTCACAGCTTTGTAAACTAGCAGCTGTTCATCAGCCAGAAACATAGCAAAATTAGTTAGTTCACAACAAAGTGTCGTCTTTTCGACGCTCAACTCATTCAAGTTTGTTTGTTAGCACTTAATTTCTCACTAATTCACAGCATTGGTGATATTGTTTGATTACTCCTCTTTGGATTTTACGACTTTAAAAGTTTAATATGTATCATTATCGCGCGGGGAATGTTAATGGCATCGATTCATTTCGTTTCTTTGCATTTCGTGATACAAAACCATTGATAAATGGCGTAACCTAGACAATACCGAAATGAAGCCTAGCCAACAATACACATCGTCAGAGTAGGAGAGGTAGGAGACTCCGTGGAATTATAATTCGTGGCTTCTCCGTTGAGTGCTCTACAATCGACCAATCAGAATCTCTCAAATGAATTTATTCACCAATAATTCACCACTATTTCAGATACATCTACGTAATAAATTTTCTATTAGTTAATTTCTTAACCTCAATATATTATTGGATAAATTTTCTGAATACTTGGCGTTGATTTGATGAAAACAAATAGTGGTCGACGTGCAGGAAATCACGGTTGTGATTGCGCATTTTCTGCAATTCTTAGATGTGCACTCTCCTACGCTTTCTTGCATCCACTTTGATATAAGGTGAGATAAAAAGTATTTTTATGTTTATCTGACATGGTACATGCATCGGCCATAGAGGGCAATACTTAAAAAATTGTGTGTTTAACCGGGGAACACATGAGAGAGGTAGTGCTCCTTTTTTTGATTCATCGATTGTGAAACCTTGAAAAAAAATACTACAGCCTACATCAAAGAGGTTATTGTAGAAAAAAATGTAATTCTTATTTCCGTATTTATTTTTTTATGCCTACTTTTACTTTTTTTCCATTCTATGTATTCATTTTGTACACATTTGGTTATTTTATCATCATTGATATTATCAATATTTGAGAGAAATTTGTGCATTTCAAGTGTACCAAATGGTTTATTGATGATGCTATAGATTAATGTTTGCCAAAGTTTAAATATCATTCCAGCTGTGAGGTTAACCTAATTCCATGAATGAAAAATATTTCAATTAACTTGAACACATCAAAATCTTCTTTTTTGGTAGCTTAACATTGATTGTCAATATATCTTTTCCATAATATTCAATCATTAAAAACATTTTATACGTTTTTTAATGTTGATGTTCAAAACTTATATTTTGATATTATATTTGGTTATGTCTTGGAAATTAAAATGAATATAATAAAACAGGCGGGAAAGTTGAACATCTGGATAAATGAAAATCTTTTTATTATATTAAAATTATTTTTTAATTGCAGATTAAAGAGTGACTCTGATTACTTGTATAAAGTGTAGGTCATGCCGACCACTTGTAGAGTAATGTGATGAATAGCTGTGAGAGCTCTAACGCCAGCACAAAGCTACAGGGATCCAAAAGCTCTGAGCTTTGGGAAGAATCATCAAGTAACAGCAACAAAGAAGAGGCGTCAGAGAAAATTGAAAAAAAGAATCGAACTGATAAAGGAGAAAGTGATACGTCATCAACTGGAAACGATTTTGGCGTGCCGCGCGGAACTCTGGTCATTTGTCCACGAAATTCTGGGGGTTTCTTAGGAGATCACAGTTTTTCTCGAATTAAACAACGAAATAGTTGTAGTAATCGGAATGAATTTCGAATGGCTCGTGGAAATAATAATGGCGAACGAGTCAGAGGTAATACTCGAGGAAGACCTTTTAAGAAGAATCAGAATGATAGGGAATCAAGTCATGAAGGAGGATATCATCCGACCTCTAGACAAAAATTTCAAGAATCGTTGAAGAATCAAGATAACTGCCAGAATAAATATTATGATGATAAACGATCAAACGGTAATTATTAATAAATATTGGAACAATAGTTAATCATTATTCTATCCATTAACCATAATCGAATCTGTTACAGATGAATCACGAATTATAAAAATTCTTCAACGCCTATGTCGAGAAGATGATGATATTTTTCTAGATCTCTCTAAACAAGTCCTAGAGAGCTTGATGGTACCTGAAAATCAAAGATTTATCCGACGAAGTTTGGAATCAATATGTGAATTTCTGTATGACGCATTACATTTAGGTCCTGACGTAGAATCCCAACAACAAATTGTCAAGTGTCTCGCTTATGTTGGATACATTTCTAATCAAGAGTTCAAAAGGTTTCAAAATGTTCATTATTTTATTTTAGACAATAAAGAAGCCATCTAATAAATATCAATTTAACTTTTAGATATTTAGAATGGATATTTAAAAAATATGGAATGGAACGAAAAGATGAAGTAAAGTGTTTATTATTAACTTCATTAGGTGAAACATTGAAATTGGATATTGGAACATCAAAACTAAAAGATTTTTTCATGGTAATTAATTCATGATACTATTTTTATTAGTCTAAATTATTAACTATTTAAAAATCAATGAACAGTTTCATAGAGTAGATGAAATTAATTTAATATTCAGGAAAAGAAATCATATTTGTAGTAGTGTTTTTGTTTCAGGCCACAATGTCTCGATTACAATCGACATTAGAGAACGTTGACCGTCCAGACTTATTAGTAGCAATTGTTGACGTTATTCTAATTATTATCGATATATCTCCAAAAATATTTTCCAATTATTTTCATGATGCTGTTGATATTCTTGTTGGATGGCATATTGACTATACACAGCCTAAATCTGTTATTTGTTATGCCAGTCGAAGCTTGCAGAAATTCAGTTCTTTCTGGATTAGTGATTTTCAATTCACTCTCACATTATTAAGCCAATTTTTAGAGGATATGGAAAGTTATGATGAAGAATTGACAATACCAAGTTCTGGAAGAAGTTCTCCCGGAGAAGAACCAGTTCCTGGGCCTAAAGAATGTATCGTTAGAATAACATCACTCATCTCAGTATTTAATACCGTAATTAAAAGTGTCTCTGATAATCTTAATCCCAATATAAATCCTGCGGTCCAATGGAGTTTTTTAAGTGATTGTTTATTAAAAATGTTGAAAATTGTAATTAAAGCCATAAAAGTTGATGAGAGTAAAGATAGTCTAGATGAAATACAGAATATAAAAGCTAAAGACAGTATTGAAGATTGGCGAGATTATATAAAAGGTTTAAAATTATCTCAAAAAAGTGTTGATAATCTTTTGAGAAATTCTAATCAAGACAAAAAAAATAGTCATCAAAATTTTACAAAAATGATCAAATCTTTATGTTCAGAAAAGAAGAAAAAAAATGATAAAACTAATTCCAATTCAGAAGGTACATTGGATAAAGACAAAGAAGAAGCATTGATCAATTTGTTCAAATCCCTAGAGATAAAAGAGAAAAGTTATAAAACTGACGATCCATCACAAGAGAAAGAAGAATTAATTATTGTAGCAAATGAGTGTGCTTATCATTTATTAAGTTTTCTCCAAACTCGTATTACAAAAAATCATGAACTTCTTTTTGAGTTTATCGACCTTCAATTAAACAAAATAAACATTCTCTTAGACGAAACAGTAGTATCAACATTGAATATCATCTCAAAGGTTATCAAGGAAGTATCAGCAAACCTGCCACTGGAACTTGTACATAAATTACTGGGGAAAGAATCTAAACTGCTACAATTACGATTAAGAAATTCAATACCAATACAAAATGCAACTCTCTTAGTTTATCATCGTCTTTTGGGTTTGAAAAATATTCCATTACTTCAAGAGGTATATAAGTATATACTGAGTGATTTGGAAATAGCATACAAGTTAATAATAAATATTGAAGGATTTGTGACAAATAATCCATTGGAAGACATGATCTATGAACATCATAATGCTGAATTCATAGTCATTTTTCTTTTGCGAGCACTTTCAGATCTAGCAAATGCTAGTAATTCCATAATTGGTATGTGGGCATTGAAACCCAGCATATTTGAATTATTAGCAGTGCAAATGCAACCATATGACATTAATTTATCACAAAATAATCCTCTACTTCAATACAGCATTATTTATTTACTTTATTCACATTGTTCTCGATATAATCATTTCGTTCCAAGTTCTAGTCTCATCACAGGATCAACACTCTGTCGCCCTATCGATATTTTTCCAGGAGCTCTTGATGTGCCAACTACTTCTCCTACTAGTGGTCATTTGTCAACAATTCTGAATCTCATTGGAAAATGTTTTGAAATAAACACCACGAAACAAACAATTTTGCTTTTATGTAATTGGATTCACGAGATTTTTATTCAAGCTGAGAATTATATCGGAATTCTCAAAGAAACTGATGAATATAAAATGATTATATCAAACTTATTAACTCATGGAGCAACAACAAATCATAAAATTGCCTCTATTATATGTAAAAATCTTGAATTAATAATAAGTGATAAAAAAATTACTTGGCCAGAAAATATGTATGTGGAAATCGTTGATCTTGCAATTCTTCATCTTACATCATGTGATAAAAATATTCGCCAACAATATGGTAATCTTTTAATGAATATACCTATTAATATTGTTATCTCGAAAATTAACAGACAATGCCTTCAATCAGAAACAAAAAAGTTACGAGCTATTGAAAATTATTCAATTGAATCTTTAACTGTTGCTCAGAGACTCCATATGCGTGGTAATAATAATGACAGCCACAGTAACTTTAATTCTAATAATAATATTCTCAGTACTAATAGTAATGGCAATAGTAGTAACAATAATAATAGTTTGAATAATGGTGAAATGCCAACTCAACATTTCAAAACATACATGGCATTTTTATTGCAAGATTATGAGCTTGATACTTTTGGTTTATCTGAAATATTTACTTTATGTTGGCCTGCAGTATCTCAAAATAAAACAATTGCAAAAATGTATGAATTTGGTTTAACAAATCAGTCATTCTTATTTTTTTGGAGTGGAATTGAAGCAGCACAGCACTGTGTATTGAATAAACTTCGAACACCTTTGGGAAAACCTCAAGAAACTTTTACAACTATCGAAGGAGCTTTAAAAGCACTGGCTCGTGATATATCCTGTAAATCGGAAGTTGTAAAACATGACAATCGAGGCTTTGATTATTCACTTCATGAACATACGAGAGTGAGATTGTTTGTAGAATTTTTAGAACATTTAGAAAGAGTCATTCATAATGCAGCAGAAGGATGTGCAGTAGCTTTAGCATCATTTCCTAAACCAGTGAGAACTTTTTTCCATACGAATAAATCAACTTGCAAAGAATGGCTGAATAGAATAAGATTAGCTTTGTGTGTAGTGTCTCTCCATGCAGGTTTAGCTACAAATGCTTTACGAAATGGGCAACGACTTTTAGAAGATTTAAGTGATGCTGATAATACTCAAGGAGCGGAATTTGAAAGAGCTGTATTATGCACTGCTCAAGCTTTAGTAATGTTAGGAGAAGCTGAGGCTCTTCAGGGGTTATATATTTACACTAAGGAACGTGAAAAAAAATTCTTATGGTTAAAAGCAGCGATGGAAGAAGCTGCTGGCCATTATGAAAGCGCTGCTGAGAGCTACAAATTAATTATTAAAGAACTTGCATATACTAAATCTGAAGAATTTGAAACAGAAGTTGCTACAGAAACATCTAAGGTTGATGGAGATTCACAGGTTGCAGCTTTCGTTATGCAGAGATTGACTAAATGTTATTCGGCCGTTGGTAATTGGAAACAATTAGAAAATTGGAAAATTCGAGAAGCTGAAATCTTGAAAAAAAAGTGCAATTCGATATTGAAAAAGCAAATTCAAATTACTTCAAATGTACAACAAGCTAAATGTTTGAAAGATTTTGAAGCAGGTCAGCTATCTACGCTTGAAGAATTATCAGATTGGATGTTACTTGATGAAAAAGCTACCACTAACTGGAGCTGTTCAAAAACTATTTCAGAATGCTCTAATACTCTGATTAATATTGCTCTGAAAATTCGTGCTGGTGATGAAAATAATGATTACTTTCGAGAACATGTTGAATTTTGTAAAAAAGTCACTTCTAAAACTATTGAGGAAGGTCTGAGAAATATGCCGTCTGAGTATCTCAATGATTCGATATTAATTCAATACTCAGCCAGAGGACTGGCAGATCTTCTTGCCAATAAAAAGGTTGATGTGTTTGAATTGTTGCGAGTGAATAAGATAAAAAATCTTGGCTGTGGAGTCATGAACCAAATATTGTGGTGGTCGGAATATTTTTCTGGATCGTCAGAAAGTAATTTATCATCTATCGATCATGTGTCTAGTTTACGGTTAGATGTAGCTAAAAGTGCAAGAAAAGAAGGTAATTTCAAACTTGCTAAACGACAGATAGAAAAATATTTTACTACAGAACATCTTTTGAGAACTGAGATTACTGGTGACCATAAATTCTCTGAAATTACGTCGAGCATCTTAGACAAACCATTAAATATTAATTGGACGAAGAATAATATGCGAGCATTTAAAGAAATGTCAAAATTACTTTACAACATGGATCTTATTGAAGATGCTGTAAAAGTTTGCAGCGTAACTGCATTAGGAATATCTAAAGCTATTGTTAATTCTGATCAAGTACTGTCAGATGATTTAAGAGAAACAGGAACAAAATTAATTCTTACTCTGGGAAAATGGATTCAACAGCAGGAAATAAATATTTCAGATCATTCACAATTAAATGAATTATTAAAATTTGAAGCTTTGCATAATGATGGATTAATGGATAAAATTTTTGGCCAAACAACTGAATTAATTCCTCACTCTGACATGGTGCTTGGTAAATTGATGCAATTAGGAGTAAATCAATGTCCAGATTTGGCAGCTGCTTGGGCAAACTATGCTGGTTGGTGTTACAAGTGGGGACGAAAAATCGTCGATAATTCAAACTCGGGACAACTGACTGATGCTGATGTGAATAATATACGTGCTTTACTTCCTGAGAATATTTCGGAGGCTGACTCAAATGCAACACTTTTGATTCTCAGCCAGAATAAAAGTATTCCTGAAGATGAAGGTGATATTGAAACAAATGACGTGAAAACTTCAGATATGATCGAAAATCAATTACGCCAAATACCAGCATTATCAGGTGCTACTAGTCAACATCTTGGATTGCTTATTGATATCTGGAGACAAGCACAAAAGAGAATTTATTCATATTATGAGCTTGCTGCCAAAGCTTATTTTAAATTTCTTGATTTATCAAGTAATGAATCCAATGACTGTGCTACAATAACTGCTACATTACGACTTTTAAGACTGATTGTGAAACATGCGTTAGAGTTACAAAATGTTCTGGAAACTGGACTTTCCACAACACCTACACGGCCTTGGAAAGAAATTATTCCTCAATTATTTTCAAGATTGAGTCATCCAGAGTCTTATGTTCGCACTAGAGTATCAGAACTCTTATGTAGAGTTGCAGAAAATAGTCCACATCTAATAACTTTTCCAACTGTAGTAGGAGCTGTATCTGATCATCGAAAAGTCCTTGAAGAACTTCCAACTAGGTATGAAAATTCTCCAAATGAGTTTGATTTTGATGAAGATGATAGTGAAAATGTTATTTCATCAAATGTCAGTGGAGAGATTGATTCTCATGATGATGAAAATAAAAATTTTATGGATGCATGTTTTGCCCAACTGGCTGAATGTCTCTCTAACAATAATCATGATTCTGTTAGCCATGTAAAAATACTTGTAAAAGAACTCAGACGAATAACACTATTATGGGACGAATTGTGGTTTGCAACATTTTGCCAACATCATTCTGAATTTTCAAAAAAGTTTGAACAATTGGAAGCAGAAATTCAAAAAGTACAAGACAACATATGGCTAACAAGCGAAGAAAAAGAACAATTAATAGTTGAAAAAAATAGAATTATTTTAAAGCCAATAGTATTTGTTTTAGAAAACCTTTGGGTTATAACTTCAGTACCTGCAGAAACTCCACATGAGAAATTCTTTCAAGAAAAGTTTGGACCTTATATTGAAGAAGTAATAAAAAGATTAAAGAATCCTAAAAATCCAACAAGACCACAATTTTTATTGATTTCATTGAAACAATTAGAGGCCAAATTAGCACAAAGAATAAATAAAAGAGGAACTTATACACTTTCAATGAAAGATATTAGTCCAGTTCTGGCAAACATGAAAGATACTCAAATAGCGATGCCAGGTGTTCTTGCTACAGATCGTGATAGAATAGTTACAATAAAATCTGTTGACAACAATGTCCAGATCCTTCCCACAAAGACTAAACCAAAAAAATTAATATTCCACGGTTCAGATGGTCATGTCTACACGTATTTATTTAAAGGGCTTGAAGATCTGCATTTAGATGAAAGAATTATGCAATTTTTAAGTATTTGTAATACAATGATGTCAAAGAATAATGATACCAGAAAAGTGTATAGAGCTCGACATTATTCGGTAATTCCATTAGGACCAAGATCAGGATTAATTCAATGGGTGGATGGAGTAACACCTTTATTTGCTCTATATAAACGTTGGCAGCAACGAGAAAGTTCAATGGCTGGCGCTCGTGGAGCTACTGGAAATTCTGCAGCTATTATGAGACCATCTGAATTATTTTATAATAAACTTGGTCCACTATTAAAAGAACAAGGGATTTCATTAGAAAATAGAAAAGAATGGCCTCTTACAAATCTCAAACAAGTACTAACTGAATTGATGGCAGAAACTCCAAAAGATTTATTGGCAAAAGAAATTTGGTGCAATAGTATTCACGCTGGAAATTGGTGGCAAGCGACAAAAAGTTATTCTTACTCTGTTGCAGTAATGTCAATTATAGGCTACATAATTGGTCTCGGTGATCGTCATTTGGATAATGTCCTTGTAGATTTAAATACTGGAGAAGTTGTTCATATTGATTATAATGTATGTTTTGAAAAGGGAAAAACACTTCGAGTACCTGAAAAAGTTCCTTTTAGAATGACACCAAATATCAAAACAGCTCTAGGAGTTACTGGAGTTGAAGGAATATTCAGGTCAGCTTGTGAACATACATTAAGAGTGATGCGACGTGGCCGAGAAACATTATTGACTTTACTAGAGGCTTTTGTGTATGATCCATTGGTTGATTGGAGAGCTGGAGCGGAAAATAGCATTGCAAGTTATGGAGCCTGTCAAGCTCGAGCTCGATGCGCTGGAATTGGTAGAAAACAACTGGAAAAAGAATTAACTCGAGCAATGTTTTCTGTGAGAATAGCTGAGATGCGTACTGAGTGGATAACAAATCGAAATGTAATGATGAAAACTTTGCCTATGCTTTCTCATCAATTGGCTGAATGGATGGAGACAAATGATTCATTACGTCAATGTCAAGATTCATTACAAGAACGTCATCAACAATTAAATTTAGTGAAAGAAGCTCAAACTATAGGAAAAAATCATTCTTTATATTCTGTTGTCAAAAGATATAATGCTTGTAAAAAGGCAAGAGATGCGCATGAAAAAGCCAAATGTGGACTTCAAAAAAAAATAGAAGAATGTGAGAAACAAATAAATATACATAATATGGCTTTAACGGTTCTCAGAGGCCCGAAGTTGGCAAAATGGTTAACAGAGTTTGAAACATCATCATCAACACGAGAAGATCACATGGTATTTGATTTGGTTAAAGAATTTTTACAAAATGCTGGTCAAAATTCAATGGTAGTCGAGTGTGAACAATCAGAGAATAAATTAACACAATTAATAACACAAGAATCACTATTAATTCGTAATTGTATTGATTTATTGAGTCAATATGCTTCTATTTGTAATTTATACCCTCTGAGTACTTTAGCTCAACATCGATCAGTAGTTTATCATTCATGGGCTACTAAATTACTAAATACAAGAACTGTTGATACATGCAATGAAGTAATAGCTCAATTTGAAGCTAACTATCAATCAATAACAACGAATGACTCAAGAGTTCAACAGGTAATAGCATTCTCTTTCCAGATACAAGCTATAATAAATGACGTAAATGAGAAATGTAAAAAGTATTATGAAAGAATGGTAACAAACGAAGGATTGCCTGATGCACAAACAAGGATTGATAAGATATATAATGATACTATTTCACAAATGAAAACATTTTTAAGAAGGGAAAAGGCAGCAGATAAAGCATTGGAGTCAGTTAATATCATCGCGCTATGTGCTTTAAATAAAAGGTACCTGATGATGGAAGGAGCAGCTAAATGTGCTGGCGAGTGTCTAGTGGATTTAACTTTACGAGAAGGTGATTGGTTTCTTGACGAAATGCGTTTAATGTCTTCCCTAATTGTTGAACTTACAAATCTTATACCAGTTGACTCAATGTCTATCCAAAATGAATGTCACGATGAAATATTAATTTCTCGTGCTCTACAATGTCTAAAAAGTGCGGATGCTATTTATGAAGGTCTTCAAGAGCTTAATTATAATTTCCATATGATAATTCTCCCTGAAGCATTAAAAACAATTATTACCGAAGAGCCAAGTGTTATAATGATGATAAATGAGCTAGATGATATTATTCTTTCAGCTGAAAAACCATTAGGAGAAATTCTCGGACAATTGGAAATGCACTTACGATTTACGTTAATGGATATGGAAAGCCCACATGCAATCGTTCAAAGTCTAGTAGCAAATATGAGACTAAGGTTTGAAGCATTACAATCAAGATCAACTGATGATATTAACCAAGATTCTGAATCTCTCATGCCAGGACAGATGTTATTAATGGGCTTTAATGGTCTTTTTGAAAAACTTCATGTTGAAGGAAATACTCTTATAACTTCTCTAGCAACTCTTGATATTCCTACATGCTGGAAAAAAATAGATCAAATAAGAGAAGCAAAAGAAATTGCAGTTCCAATATTCCACGAGAATGCTCGTCGTGTCTTGAATGATATTTTCTTAATAAAACGTCTGCAGACCATCCAAGAATTTTTTACTATGTGTCGAGATATTGCAAATTCTTTTAAAAGTACCGACACATCAGTGACGATTTATGACGACGATCGATTGAATAAGCCTGTCAAGACTTTTATTGCCGACTATGTTTCACGTCAGCTTCTCGGTGTGACTTCCCAAACGCTTGCCATAGCTCTATGTCTTTTGCTCCAACGTATGGGGTTGAATGTCACTGGAGAAATTGAACAGAGAGATATTGGTGCTGAAAGTAAAGTATCCATTGAAGAATTATGCAGAAAAATGGTTGACACTTGTTTAAAGTCTGGAGTCTTCTCAGGTTCAGTTCTTGGACAAGCAAGTTCACTTGAAAATACATTAGAAAACATCTGGAGAAGAAAGCAATGTGCCAGAATGGCTCAACAAAGTGTTGAAATAACTCGAGCCACACTTCAAAGATTACAACTTCAATTAACAGCTCATTATTGGCTTCATGAGGATAGTATTTTGCTTGCCAGAACTAATTTAAATGCTATTAACCTACTTAATAGACCAGCATTTATGCTTGAACTTCGCAAATCTGCAACAGCACTCTCTAGTTTACAATCTCGTATTAATGAAATTCAAGATCAACAACGAAGTCTTGTTGATAGTGTAGATCAACGTCTAAAGTGGGCAATTGGTGCTAATCCAGCTCTCGTAGAAGTGATGGTTGCATTTAACAATGCTGTACTTTTATCTAATGAAAAATTAACACGCAAACAATACCTTACATCAATCATTACCGCAATCTGTGATTCTATTCTTCATTATGAAGCTTTGAGAACGAAAACGTCAGAGAGTATTACTCATGATACCAATTTCATTAAATTACTGAAACAGTGGGAAGAAAGCCGCTTACTGCGATCTAATTTATCAGTTAGCGTCTCGTTAGCGGAAGAAAATCTTATAGAGATGCTACAATTAGAAAATAATATTGATGCTGATTGGCTGAGACGTGCTGAAAGTCTGATATCAGATGCTATTATTGAAAATCAGAAGATATTACAGAAAAAACAAGAAATGCATGCAATAGCAAATGAAAGATTGAGAAAATATATTGGTAGTTTACAAGGTATTCTTACTAATCATCATCGATTAATGACTGATGTTCGAGGTTTGTTGAAGACCATGCTGAAACAAGAAAATATATCCGGACTTGGTGAATTTTTAACAGAATATAGGATATTCACCGAAGGAATTTCTACTTTAGTAAAGGATTTAGAATCCGAAAATTTGGAACCTCTTCGAGTTATTGAAGCAGAAGGCCTGTTGAATACTTTATTATTGAAAGTGCCAAAGATCTATGATGAATTATTAGAACTTGCGAATGAATCAAACAAAAATAAGATGGATGAGAATCAGGTGATTAATAAGAAAAAAAATAATTTGCTGAGACAAGATCCGAACATGTGTCTCAGCCCGCGGAAGGGAATTCCATTGACCAGAGATCCTACCACAGGCAAAGGTAAATTTCATAAAATTATTATTAACGTTTATTGTCTATTATTGTACAGTATAATAAACAAAAAATTTTCTTTTAGCTGTGCAAGAAAGAAACGTGTATGCTCTTAATGTCTGGCGTCGTGTACGCATGAAACTGGAAGGTCGTGATCCGAATCCATCACGAAAATATACAACGGCTGAGCAGGTAGATTATGTGATCCGTGAAGCACAAAATATGGACAACTTGGCCCTGCTGTATGAGGGTTGGACTCCGTGGGTGTGAACGCGCGGATGCCGGCGCAACCGCGTCGTTGGGTTCGACTCTCTATTTAAAATTGTACTAAATACTGTACCTAATTAAAGCCCTACCATCTCGTAGTGGCAATCAAATCGATTGGCCAGATGTGCAAATGTTTGCACATTACATATCGACGAAAGCTGAATATAAAAACACGGTCGAGGATCTACCGCATCTCAATACGCGGATAAATATAATGTTGAAAAGCTTCATAAGAAATGCTCACAAATTCACATTCGTGAATTGGACATTAACTAATTCAGTCTAGAATTTGAAGGTTTCATTACGTGGATTAAAAACTCCTCTAGGAGTTAGAAGTCCAAGTAATCGGTTATATTTCAAAAAAATTAATACTTATCGATATCGCACATGTTATTTAATTTTATTTGCTCGTGACAATTTGTCTGAGTGTTTATATCCGTTTATCAGAGAATAATTAAAGCTGAACGATATCGATAGCGTCAATTAATTTAATTATTATATTTCTGAAATAATGCAAATGGATAACGTGTGATAAAAATCTAAACATATTTTCTTTTTTTTTTTTTTCTAAATATTTGGACCTATAGTATATATTCGAACGATTCTCTTTTATTACATCGAAAAAAATTTTTTTTTAAAACTGTTGTAAAATCATTGCGGCGCCAAAATTTATTAAAACTATTCTGGATGGCTACATTTTAGTAAATGGACACAATTTATTATAGTAGCGTAATAAGTAAATAAATGATTTATGTTATTTATTTTTCAAACGATTTGTCAGTAAAAAAAACAACAATTAACAATAAAAAATTTTAAAACTACTTACAGTGGCTGATTTAAATTAAACAAAAACAAAAAAAAAAATGTAACTCATCAGATTAAAAAATATCTAAAAACATGTACATTAATTATGATTTTTCTGAATAACATGAATTTAAAATACTTAAGCATTATATGAAAACAAATTTCTTTATTAATTTGATAAGTTATAGATTTACTGGACGCCGCTGAAATCATTACAAATAAAATTATCTAAAATTTTAAGGGCTTAATTATTTTCATATCTCTTTTATACAATACATTCTTATTTTATAATTAATAATTAATTATAAAATATGCAGTAATATGCGAGTAGATGGTAAAAGACAATGTCGTTTAACAACAATGAATTTTCATTTTATTATTCATATTCGATTATATTATAATACCTTTATTTACAATTATCAACTTCTAAAACTTGGCCAATACTTATAATTTTTTTTTTTAGTTCTCAGTCTCCTTTTACTGCTTACATGCAGAATAATAATTCGTGTTTTGGATCGAACTTTTACTCGATTCAATATTGAATGGTCTAAAAGAACAAAAACCACCACAGTTAGTACAGAATAAGATCAATCATCATTTAAAACGAATGTTTTCAGCCGACCTGCGACGATAAAATATTGCACATAAATCTATTCATTAATGAAAAATATTTAAGAGGAATGTTTCAAAAATTAAATATTCTACGATTCTCTTTTTAAAAGTTGATCAATTTGATTTTTGTACATTTCCTTCACATCTTCGAGATCTAATTGAAGTTCCTGCGTTTCTTCTACTTTTTCCCCATACATCTGTAATAATGCATCATATCTTGTTTGAATTTCATTAAGATTGGCATTTAATGCTTCAACTTCGGTTAATTTCGTCGTAAGCTCTTCCACCTTCATCGATAAATTTGAAAGCTCCATATTCAATGCGTCTCTTTCCGTATTCCGCCTGTGCATTTCCCATTGGAGAGTTTGAATTTCCCCTAGAAAATTGATTATTAATCAACTTATTTGAATAAAATACATAAAATAGAAAATTAATTCAGGAAAAAAAAATTTTCCAATTAATTTACATACCTTCACGAGCTTTTAATTGAGCTTGAAGAGTTTCAATTGTTGACGTTGTATTAGTATTCGTTCTAAGTCCATCGTAAACATTTGGAAAACGCCCGGAACTTGTATCAAAGATTGAATCATTAAACTATAAAAAAAAAAAACAAATACATCATTTCATATTTTCCAATGATAATTGTAAATATAATTAGATTATAACTTACCGCAAGCCAAACACTATTAGTACTGCTAATAGAATCTCTTCTTACACTGGAAGTTGGACTCATTCTATTTTCTTCTCCAGTACTCTGTTGATGTTCTAATACAGGATTATTTTTTCTCTTTTCAGCATCAGCCGCTGCCTTTTCCATGGAAAGCTTATCTTTAAGTGATTCAATTTCTCTTTTTAATTCCCTTACTTCATCATGATGAGATTTCTCTAGGGTTTCTATCTTCAACCGAAGCTTTTCTATCTCTTTTATAAGCTTAGCATTTTCGGATTTTTGTTTTTCATATAATTCTTCTACTTTAGATTTGTCTAACTCTACTCGTTTCACCTGAGATTCCAAAGTTGAAATTTTAGTTTTTAAGTTTACATTTTCTTCCATCAGAGTTCTATCAGTGGAAGCCATGTTCTCCAACTTTGTCTGAAGTTCTTCAATTTTATCTGACATAATTTTTTCTTGTTTCATAAATGTATTGGATTTGTATGTTAAATTAGCTTGCAACTGCTCAAGTTGTCGAAGTAGTGGTTTTGTAGCAAGAGTAACAGACTCTGAAAGTTCTTCACTTCGTACCTCAGCAGCCTCTAATCGTTTTAATAGATCACTATTTTCTTGCTTTAATAAATCAATTTTTTTAACAAAATTCTCTTCATCAAGTTTTATCTTGGTTTTCAAATCTTCAACTTGCGATGATAAGCGACAAGATTCTCCAGCAGTTTCTAATACTCGTTTCAATTCTTCTTCTGCTACACTACAATTGAATTTAGTTTCAGCTAATTCTGTTTTAGCCGCATCAAGACTCGTCTTATATGCATTCATTTTATGCGTCGTATTATCAAACTTCTCTTGCAATGTGGAAAATTCTTTCTCTTGCTTTTTAACTCTCGCTGTGAGGGTATGAACTGCTTCAATCTGGGTTCGTTCAATTTCTTCTTTAGCATATAAAGAACGTTTTAATCTATCTAATTCGGAAGATTGTTCTTCTAATTGTTCAGTTAAACTTTTTACCGTGGCTTCATTTTCTTTCTCTTTTACTCGTAATTTTTTTATGATAGTTGAATGTTGTAATTGCTGCTTACTCAATTTTTCACCTTCTTCTCTAAGTTGCTTAATAATTTCATCTTTCTCAGCATTTGCTAAAGATGACTGACACGATAAGTCCTGCTTTAACATTTCTAATTGTTCTTTAAGTACATCACGTTCTCTTATAGTTTGTTGGAATTTTTTTTCTAATGCTGACATTCTTTGAGTATATTCATCAGTTATTGAATGAAAGTCTTGATGCTGTTGAGCACGTTTTTCCCAATTTTCTAATTGTATTTTTAGATGATTATTTTGCTCATGTAAATCCATATTTATCCTACTCACGTCAATTAATTTTGATTCACGAACTTCTAATATTTCATTCATCTCTTGAATTCGCCTGCGTAACTTTTCAACCTCATTGCATCCTCCATCATCTGATCCTATACTAATTTCACTGAGTTCACGTGAATGTCCGCGAGTTTTTAATGTTTTTGTTAATAAATCACCGCTTTTACCGGAATGAAGATTCGCTGGACTTTGTCGTGATTGTGTGGAACTCGAATCTCCATTAGGACTAATGAAAAATTTTATACTATTATAATCAAAATGTATAATATTTATACGTTTTCAAATTGATTAATAAATACCTTGAAATAATTTCAATATCGCTAGAAGTCGTTGTTTCAAGCTCATCACCACTTGTGTGACCACTGGCTTGGTCTGATCCAATTTTCACTAAATCCGACCGGCTGAAAAATGTTATAAAAATCAATAAGCTGCCAAAATAAGATTTGTTATGCATAAAAAAAATGTTTACCTCTCTGACGAAATAGGTGAATGTTCTCTGTGAGTAATATCATGACGTTCTAATTGTTCTAAAGTCTCGCCATCGTTGATACATTTTTCTACCATCGCATCAGCAAGCATATTTTTAACATATGAACTTGATGTTAAAGATCCATCACCAGAGCTAACTTTTTTAGAATTTTTCATCGTAACATTATTATCTGAACTTGTGTCTACAAGAGTTCCTTCGCAACTTGAATCAGTTAATATTGCCGTCGAGTGTTGGTCAGCTGTATTAAATTCTTGATTTATTGATTTATCTTGATCAAAGCAGCTAGTACTCGAATCCGTAAGGTCAATATTCATATTCTTAGCTGAATCTGGATCAAATGACTCTGTCTTTTCTGTTTTACGAATAGGCTGCGTAGTGATGGGCTTAATAGCTAAATGAAGGCTTTGTTTAACATCCTTTAAAGAATCTAAATTTATTTCTAACTGGCTAGTTGGTATAGAAGTAAGATTACTTGACTTTGATGGTTCTGAATAACTATCATACATTCTACCTTTCGGTTGATCAAATTGTTGATGCAAGGTTTCCATTATAGTCATCACTGTACTTTCAGAAGCTGACGTATAAGAATCTTCTGCTTGACTTACTTCATCTAATTCATCAATATTTTGAGCGCTATCTAAATTAACTAGCGGCGATGCTTTTCCTGGCATTGATGAAAGTGGAAGCGATATCTGACTAGTAGATAAAACTTCATTATTTTCATCAAGTCTTGGTGTTTTAGATTCTTCCATTGGTGATGCATATGGCGAAATATCTGAAGAAGAATCTTGGATTGATGATGATTCCGGTTCAATTGAAGAAGTTGCTGCATCTGGAGATTCATGATAAAAACTCATCGGCGATAAAAATGGACTTTCTGTTTTAGAACCATCTGCAAGAATTTCTACAGAACTAGGCGAAGTTACTAAACTATCGGGTAAAACCTCTACTGAATCTGAATTTTTCTTTGGATCTAACGTTGATGGACTAAGGGAATCACTTGGTGAAACAACTTCAGAGTCTGGTGTTGTGGTACAATTTGTACTTGTTGCAGATCTTGAACCAAGAATTTCTACACTTTCAGAACTTTTTTTATCACTTTCAGAAGAAACAATTGATACTCTATTTATTGTCTTGATGTTGTATTCTTGTTTTTCACCGGTGTTACTCGATGAATCAACTTCTGAATCATTTTTAGAGTTGTATCCAGAACCTTCTTGTTTAACATTTTTCTGTCTTTGGAAATTATCATCATTTTTTAATTTATTTAATTGTTCTTTCGAACTTTCAGTCACAGATGGTTTATCCTGAAAAGAAGCTAATTTCTCTGGTAATGATTTAGAAGATATAACACTTGTAGACTCTGTTGATTCACTAGATATTTCTGATAATGATCCAGAACTTAATGATGTTTTAGTTTTTAAATCATCCAATGTTCCTTTTGGATTTTCAAAAAAAGATCCTGTAAAACTTCCCCATATACTAGTATCCGGTTTAATATTAGTCAACGCAGGTTGAGTGCTACTGGTGCTTTCATTTTTAATACCCCATGCAGCGAAAAAGTTGGTGTCGTCAATCACTGGTGTTGAAATTACTTTTGGTTCTTCTTCTTTTATATCTAAAGCCTTATCAATAGTTTTTTGAGCTCCTTTGAGTGCTGATTTTGCCAAGTTGGCAAATCCCGAAGCATCAAACCAACTCATCGTAATGTTTTACATCTGCACAAATACATTATAAAACAATAAATAAATTATTCGATAACAATGAGAGGTTAGTAAATATTTAAAAATATATTGTCTTCAAATACAAAAGGAAATAATAGTCAAAAAAAATAACCTAATAATGATAAATACATCATTGTTCAGGCAATAAAATCATTCTGTAAACGTTATAAACAAGCATGAATTGTTATTAATATATTTTCAATACCTTTTGAAATCCATGAAAAATGGTAATTTTAGGAATTTAATGTTTGACAGCAAGTATTTATATACAACGTTAACGTAAAAAACGTAACAAAATGTACAAGATCACCTGATTATCAGTAACTATTTACTATCATTTTTTTTTGTTCGTTTTGTTAATAATAAACTTACTTATCAACTGAGATAGAACAATGATCGATAAATAATCATTAATTTTCTTCTTCACCGACGACTTAAATGTGCTTAAAAATTTCAAATAGAATAGTATTTTCGATTATTTATGATAAATAGAAATAGATACTGTATAAATATTTGAAAAATTTTGATAAGATAAGATAATAATCATTCAATAAGCGACGTATGCTTTTCTTGAATTGTTGGAGCTTCACTCCGTATAGCTCCAGTGGCGCAATTGGTTAGCGCACGGTACTTATAAGACAGTGTTCGTGAGCAATGCCGGGGTTGTGAGTTCGAGCCTCACCTGGAGCATTTTTTTGTTCTACAAACATTAAACATTTATATATGTAAATTGAACAATTCTATTAATTAACTTCATTCTTAATGTTACTCAGCGGGTAATAAAATTACAGATACATAGGAACTTATTAATTGAGTGATGGAAGAGTGTTCAAAAGAAACTACGCAATAAAAAATTTAGCAAAGTCGTTGAATTATGTTATTTATTTGAAATTTTTAATTTGAAGTATCTATCATACAACAAGTGTGTGCAGAACTATCAAATGATAAAATCTACTTTTATTTGGTAGAAATATAACATAAAGTGCGCTGAAAAATGTCGAGTTTAATATTATTTTGTTTACTATCTCCATTATTTACTATTGATGATTTCACTAAAAGAATTATTTTATATGGCAGTCATTATTATTTAGATTTTACGGATTTATTAATTTAGATTATAAAAAAATCGAAAAGGAGTAATAGTCTATTGAAATGTAATTATAATTTTCACGAACTTCAATGGAGTTTTACAAAAAATTAGTTATAGCCTACTTCATCAATCTGACAAGCACTTTACTGAAAATTGATTTCGATAGAATGTCATTCATTAATCTCCTTTTCCATTTCATTACAAAATAAATTAATTTCCATTTGTTGTTAATTACTTATAAACTAAATATTTTTGTTGATTAAAAATTGATGTATGTTCACCTCAATCTACAATAGATACTAATATAATATTTTAAACTATTTATGTTTTTTTAAAGTTTCCTGAACTTTTATTACTTTTCATTTTTTTCTTTGATCTTGTTACATATCTTCATTATTTAATTTCCTTTTTATTTTTAATGAATAAATTTATTTACTTACTTAATCTACAAATATAATTATATTATATTTATAATATTTATTCTATAGCATTATTTTATGCTATTTATGTTTTGTTTATTATAATAATAATCTCTTTGAAATTTTTCTTTCAATAATGGAAAAGATGAGCCGTTGAGTTCACAAAGATAACGTCAATAATATTTTCTTGTTCTTTGTTTAAATAATACTTTGAAAAGGTAACAATTTTGTTTTTGTTCTTTTTAACTATCAATATTTTCTTGTGACATGAAGATTTTTGATCAAACATTTTATCAAGATGAGTTTATTTGTGAAATTCTCATTAACATATATTTTATTTGAGCGTATAGATTTTTGGTTTTAACATCAAATATTTTTTTTTTTTATTTATTAAATTTTCTATTTTTATATACTTATAATAATTGTAGAATTCTTCTATTATAACATTATATTCTCAATTTTCTTCTATTCTTTCTAATAAATATATGAATGGTGCAGTTACATGAATTAATATTAATTTATGTAATTTTAGTGAACATTTTTTGAATGATGACAATAGAAGAAGGAAGAGCCAACGATAATTATTAACTATTCTGCATACGTACATTTAATTAATTACATTCGTAACTCGTTTTTTATCACAGCCAAATCTATTTACATAAAGTGACGCGTAGGCACACACGTACATTATGTTTTTATAAATATTTTTTAACTGTGAACATATTTCTATAGATCATTTAATATTACTAAATAATATTTTATAACTAAATTAATGATTCTTTCATTCTTATAATAATACTTCTTACATACATACCTTTTTTCTCTTTATTATTGATATTAATTAATTTCATACCATAATATATATATAATTAAATTATAAAATACATATTATCATATGATACAATTACACAAAATCACATCACTAAATCATATATCAAATATTATCATACTCATGCAAGCTAGAAGTTGAGAAGCTCTCTTTCCAAATTCCTCAATAATTCTGTATATGAAAACAAATCAATTCTGAAATTTTAACAACTTTTACTTTATGACAAAGTTACTCTACATAAATTAAACTCAATTACATCAACTTTTGATTTGTATTGCACTTTATACTGACATATTTTAGTTTAATTTATACAAATGTTAATTTTTCATTAAATCCTTTTTGGTACCATTTTTGTGTTTGTGTAAGAATAAAAGTTGTTAAGAAATTCAAATAATATTCAGTATGATAAAGAATGATAAGCGCCATGTAAAAGTATTATTGAATTTAATAATTAATTATCTCATGACAAAGACATCAAATCCATGGTTTAGTAGATTATACCTTCATTTATATCTACTTGTTCAATAATTTAACCGCACAACTACTTAAATATATATATATGAAATTTTTCTAAAGCTCTGTCATTTGATGGCTTTCTTTGATGTACGTCATTTATACGAATCTACTTACGTTTTATAAGATGCTTGCTAATAGCACGAGACAGAAAGGAGAACTAGGTAAGAGGTTCAACGATAATCTCTACGATACTTTCCAACGTTTTGGAATAACGACGAGTGTAAGAGTTGTTTTCACGCAAATATTTTATAAGTTTATAGTGTATGTATGTGTTGTGGTGTATGTTAAAATGTATATTAATAATGTATTTATTCGAAAGATGATTGGGGCAAGTATATAAACTGCGTTTCAAACCACATTTTTCAACTGCAGTATTATTACGCTGAGACATTTTGTACCACAACAGTTAGTCTTAAAGCTTTTCTTTGTTTCAGAAAATGAAGATGAAAAAATGATTCTTTCTTTTTCGTCAGTAATTTATACTTGTCATTATTTATTTACGATTAATGATTTTATGATAAAGAGAATAAGGGATGGATGATGAATAAGGCGAAAATGATTCTGACACGATGTGCTGAGACAGATAATGACATTTCCAGAAAGAATAAAATTCTTATTTCGTTGAATTAATTTTTAACAAAAAAATAATGCAATATAAATTAAAATCTTCTACTTCAAGAAGAGATTTAAATGTATTAAAATTTTTCTCTTTATGTACAGAAAAATTATTTCCACGGTTTATTTTTACAGAAAAAAAAAATTCTCAAGTACTCACGGGCTTTTATGTAAGTATTATTTAAACTCTAAATAAAATTATGTTGGTGGAAAATTTATATCTCTTTCTGGAAGTGCATTTTTTCCCTTCAAAATCTATATGAGGGTTCATATACACATGTCATATGCGTTTCGTGCAAATCCATAATTATGATCCTCGTCGTGACAAGTCATTATTTATCGTGAACATACGCCGAGTTAAATTACAGGACGGCAAAATTGCACGGAACGACGTGTAAAAAGTTACACACTAAACCGTTGTCTCCCGGTCGACGTGAATATATTCCACGAAGCCGGGAGATTGTTGTCAAGAGCCTAGGAGGGATTCTTCAGTAGGAGCTCTTCGTGGCCTACCATTAGATCTCTTAAGATCGTCATTGTAAAGCCTCTTGGCACGAGCTTTTGATCTGTAAAGCAATAAATTTTTTAACAAGATTCCAAGATAAAAAAAAACAGTAAGCAACGACAAATTAGTCAAATCAAAGAGTAATAAATGGCTTCAAACTCACTTGCAAATGAGTATTGTTAGCAGACACGCAAAGGCAGTAACAATTCCGGCAACACCGGCCACAACTAGCCACATTCCTGGTGGAAGTAGACCTAACAATCGGGCTCCACTTCCGCAATTTGCTTCATCGTGACCTGAGGGGCAGTGAGTATGTCCATCACACCATAAAGCTTCAGCTATGCAAGCACCAAGTTCAGGACAAGTATAAAGACAATCTGTACTAGTTGTATCATTATCAGAAGTTCTTCCAGGAAGACGTAATTGTCGATGCAAAGCAGACCGACTTTTGGATATTTCTAACCAAGATGCAGTAGCTTGTCCAGGTTCACGAGCAATAAATTCAATAACAAGTGCTGCTGGCCTTGGAGGAGCTAGCCAATGTTCATCAGCATCACCTGCAGCGATTCTCCATTCTTCAGAGAAAACATGGACTGTAGATTCTCGAGTATTTGGGTCTACTGGACAAACGACTTTCAACAGTTTTGTTGGCCATCCAGTATAAAGGAGAAGTCTATTTGATGTTGGACACTTAGTTGATGATTCTGATGAATCTGATGAAGGTACTTGATGTTGTGAAGACGATGCAGCGACAGCTGATGATGTTCCTGATGATGAGTCTATAGGTAGAAACCATCCCCAGGTTAACACAAAAAGAGATCTGTTATCTCTGGCTTCAACGAGCCATGGCATTCCTTCACAGTAAATGTCTGGCCTGGACAATGGTGGAGCCGTAAATTTCAACTCTCCGCCTAAATAGAGAGAATTCAACATTAATTTACATATTGTAGAGCAACGATCCTGGGTTATCTAATAAAATCAGTTTAAAGTGGCATGTATTTAAAGTGCATTATTGGTAAGTATATTTATGATAACTTAAAGACTAGAAGTGGAAGATTGGATTTAACCAATATAGTTATATAGGTAATACATGTAATGCTATTTGACACCTAAGTGGTTTATCAATAAGTATCTTGTTCACCGAGTATTGACAGTTTTCCATTAATCTATTCAATGCTCTCGACGCTAATATCTTCAAATAAAAATATAATATGGATGAAGTTCAAATAGGCTTACCCTCTCCTCGTAGTCGTTGCTTTCTGGGGCATTCAGGGACCCGAATGAGCTCGAAATTCGCATAGAAGAACAGAGTCTCGAAGTCTTCATAAGGGGCTTGTTCACTCACTGTAAATTTTAATTCCAAAGCTTTGCTAACGGATATGTAAGTTAGAGGCAAGTGAGAAGTATTATCGCAGAGACAAGCTCGCGGTAATTTAACATCACGCCATGGTACTTCATATAGATTTAAGTTTGCATCTCGAGTTCCAGCATCAGCGAGACATCTTGGTCGACCAGAATGAGGATCTAATTCGCTAATGCAATTAGTCGCATCACCGAGACTTACATTATGAATTGTAAGTCTAATGCGTTCACCAGAACCAGCTTCTATTCTATAAGTACAGCTTATTTTAGACTGGCCACCTCTTCCAAATAGACGAACATCACGAGGTGATGAAACTTCCCCATTTGATACTCGTCGCCAAATTCTACTGCACACTCCATCCCCCCAAGGTTCACCGCCTTGCAAAGTTGATATAAATTCATAACGGGCCTGAAAGTATAATTTCATTTGTCAGTTATATTATGAAGCGATTAGAGTCTACTTTCAACCGACAAAAGAAAATGAATTAAAAAAGTAGAATTTTATGAGAAGTTTAAAAGCTATTTTCCCACTACTTTGTTATGTTATTCATGAAATTTGATCGTTAAAATAAAGTTTGAAGAGTTGTATAAGCTTGTTTTGTTTGTTTTTTAATATTTCAATGTTTAACTTTCAATGTTTTACCACACAGAATTAACATTGACTCTAATGATAATAACGAATAGATATTTAAGGTAATACTCATTATGAAAATTAACATAATTACATATTACTAAAATTTAAATGTGACTACGATAGTCATTTGTTTTATTATTTTCATAACAATACAAATTCGTTAGTTTTATTTCAAGAGAGAGTTTGATTTGGTCGGAATATCTACCGCTAATTAGAGTTAAAGCTACTTGATGCTTTAGAAATGCATTCAAGTATTAATTTTAGTTAAACCTTTTTTTTATTGAAAATTAAAAGTGAATTATTACTATTTTATCACATACAATAGATAAAAATTGATCATTTGTTTGTTTGGGATAATAACATCAATAAATGAGGTATAAAAATATAAGTATATAATAAAATTGTTGAATTGCGATAATAAAGGTTCTACTGTGTGGAAAATAAATAAATTGAAGATAGATAACTTTTATTGAAGATCAACTGATCCCTCTTTCACACTTCAATACAGATATATTTATAGCTCACCTGAAAATTGACGGTACGAAGAGCAGTTCCAAGAGGAGCTTCCATCCTCAATGTAAGGGTTGGCGTGATAGTTAAATAGCTTTCCTGTGGCGTGCAAGGTCTAGTGGACCTAGTAGAATTTCTTAAAGCTGCATGAGCACACAATCTAGGAATTCCATCACAAAGACTAACAATAGAGACACCTGTATTAGGTGGACCATCCCAGAGAGTCACTTTAATAGCGCACTGAAGATTTTCACTTTGTTGAAAGGTACTTGCATTGTTATCGAGACCGCCGGTTAAATCTCTTTGAATAAATGAGGAAAAATACAGCCAAACTCGGTCACCAACAGTGCCTCTAATGTTCCAGGTACAGATAGAACCAAGTGGTAGGGTATGTTGAGGTGCACGAAGAATTCCACTTCGTTTAACAGTGGCATTGATAAAGAAGTAGCATCCTTGATCACCTCGAGCGTAATCAAGACCGTCAGAATCAACATAAACAACAGGAACTTCAAGTTCAATACGCAAGGGTGATGAGCCAAGAGGGATGGCAAGAGGTGAGCTACGGAATTCAATTAACATCGTTGGTCCCCGTGCTGTAATTCTAGGTAATGGTCCGCCACAATAGACAAGAAGTATGGCATCTTCAAGTTTCGGGCCATCACGAAACACTAAACGATCCTTCTCTGGAGGGCAATCCTGCCAAACGCTGAGTTTGCTCGAGTTATTTGTAGCTAATGAACTATTATCATGGAGATCAGTGGCTGTAGAATAGTTATAGCTGTTGTTGAAAGACGATAAAGAAGTGCTAGTGAAACCCTGAAGAATTGATGATCCAGCTTTAATGGTACTCGGTCCACTGCCTGCTTTAATGGATATCATCGCGTGCTTACATGTCGGCACGAATTTTTGCCTCACAGTAATGAGACAACTTGCATTTCTTGGATACTCCCCCGGGTAATTGGGGCTTTGAACGCGGCATTGTTTTTTATGGCATTCATAAAAATTACGTGAACAATAAGTACCTGGAACCGGTGAACCACGTTCTATTGTTAAGCCTGGTTGACCGAGACGTGCTATGGCATCATTCCGACCAATGAACCGATAACGTAATCGGAATTCAAACGGCACGTCGGAGGGTGCATGAAAAAGTCTAATTGATGCCGTGACTGTACTAGTCTCACTGTAATAAGAAGCCCGTCCCTCGCCGGTACCACACCATGAGCCGCCTGTGAAAGGTTTCCCAAGTTCTGCCAGTTGAAGAGACCCTTCTGGACAGCTTGAATAAAATGGTTCATTGGTATCGCCATTGACTGTCTCGAGGCGACCGATGCTAAATGCATCCCAGAGCAATTGAACCAATTCTCCATGACCTGGTCCACCAGCTGTAAAGGTCAAATGACAGAGAAATGGCAGTCTCACTTGATTTGGTCGTGGTAAATCCAGTTCATATGTTCGACCTTCCTGTCCATGATACGTTCGATTGCAAGGAGTACAAAGAGCTGGTTCATCACTGCCATCACCACAGTCGTCACGACCATTACAATAAGCATCCAACGGTATGCATCGACCATCACGGCATGCCAATTCCGCGAGTTCACAATTACTCATTACCATTGGTATTTTGATTGCTAAAACCAGTAGCATTGCGCAACTCCATCTTAATGCTGGTCTGACATTCAGCCTTCTTCTGCGTTTTCTCCTCGTCGGCTCAAACACCTCCTTCCCATCAGCTGTCGTCATTTCCTGTGAGGCATACAGGGAACTCTTTCAGTGGAATAAATCCTTGATAATATCGAGTGACGTTAAAAATGGAAGGTCGTAACAATCTACCGGCTAATCTTGTCACATTATTACGCCTCATATACTTGTACATGTAACATTTATTATTACCTGAGTACTTTACTTTGCTTCCTGTATTTACCTACTACTTGTCATTAATTATTATCCTACTCTATTATATGTATAAAAAATACAATGAATTATTGATGAAATTGGTGCAATTTGTAATCTAATTCACGAGACATTGGCATTATTTTCACACGTGTAAAAATCAGCACACAAGAACACGTGTAGTGTTATAGATAACTAAACATTATAAGGGTTTAACCGTAGTAGTGCAAAGTTTTGAATTAATGATTAATATTTATTTTTATAATCAGGGTAATGCACACTGACGATAATTCAAATCACAGAGTCGACAAAACAAACGTTAAAACATCAAGGCACACAATACCGGGTATTGACCAAGCCTCTTGTCATAACTCCTCGACCCATTCGACATCTCGTGCACTCAGAGTAGAAATATTTAGCACAGATTTACCATATTTCAAAGTGGGCGTACTTCTCATCACAGGCAGTAATGTTGCTTTGGTATATGGCTATTGCTCAAGTAGCACAACCCTATACGTTGTATTGTCAAATTCATCATCATCACTATCTTCATTTCGAGAACTCGCGTATTATCACGACTTGTGCACGTTGGTCGCAGCATCCGTAACTTTACCCGGGGCGAGACTAACGCTGCTGTCTCTTTCGATGCTCCCCATAAACTCCTCACTCCCCTCTCGAATACTTTTGCTCTCTTTCTCTAGCACCCTTGCGCCAACGCAGACGGCCTTTGCCAACTTGACCACCGACTGAATGGCAAGCCACCCTCGTGTACGTGTACTCGTGCACCTGTGAGGACCACCTACTACCCTTCATGCAGATTTGTGCAAATTTGTTCGCACCACTCGACCAACAACTCTTGGAGAAGTGTGTGCGTAGCTATCCCCAAACGCGGATGCGGTTGTACTTGCCCTCTTGTTCATCGAATGCATTTTTGCATTCAGTTGGTGTCGTATAAATTTTAAAACGAATGTGGCTACAGGTCGGAATTGCATTCTTGTCCCAAGTGCATTGGAACCAATAGTGGAAAAACTAGATATGTAATAATTTTTTTTACCTTTTTATTTATCAGCAACATACTGGTATCATCAGGATATGTATGGCTGTGCTAGAATTTCAACCACGAGGCATCAAACTATCTCGAATTTCTGGTTACGAAGAATCGATCGTCTGTCTACCATTTCCACACACACATGCTGCTTATATACATAGACGCACACATCCATTATTCCTAATGGAATTTGTAAACGTCTCCGCTACCCTCTAACATTTTTCTTCCCTTCAAATCAAGATATTCCTTATTTTTTATACAGCTCATCATTCTTGCTCTGTAATTCCTTATCATACACTTATTTACACAGGGAAATAAGGTCAAGTGAGTTTGAAGAGATAGGATGACAATGCAATTAGAATTAATTTATAGTTTCTGAAAAAAACACAGTTTTTGTTAAATTGTTGTTTTTATTCATTCGTTATTATTACAATAAATAATTGTAACCTAAAAAAAATGATTTATACACAGAACTTTTTAATCTTATATTGATCACTTAAAGTGTACCGTCCGTTCGTATTTACAAAACATAATTAATAATTGTTGAATGAATTTTTTTACTGATGATAGAATTTTATTGTAAAATAAGATATGATTCAATTGTGAATGATGAAAATAAAAATTTTGTTTATCAAATGAAATGAAACTTAACTTTATTTAAAATGCATAACGTGTTCGGATGTCTTCTAACTTCTTGGAAACTTCGGATGGAGTTCTCTCCAGGTCACCTGATATACTTTTCTGTTTGGTCGGTTCTATTGAATTGAATTGCTCACACAAATCACCGTCAATAACATTCTTAACGGGATAGTAATACGATCTAAAAGACAAATGATCACGGCCACAAAGTGGTGGATGCTCTGAACGCATATGCATCTCCAAATGTTGGAAAAAGTCGTGATCCTCATGGCTGGTAAATGGAACAAGTACTCCCACAGTGCCGCTCAAAGTTGTGTAAACTAAACTTTCAGATCCACCAGGAATAAGAGTGGCTTTTTGAAGTGACATAACAATTTCTCCAACATGAAAGCAGGCGACAGTATCAGCCTTTTGGCTCGCACCATTCAGCAACCCTCGATCCCACAAGGCTTTATTCCCAGTAGGATCTTCATCAACGTCATCATTAATTCCACTCGCAAGTCGTACGACCGCAATGTTTCCAAATTTATCAGCTGTCGCAACAGTATCATAATCCAAAACACAAGTCGTCGTAATCCATCTTGGATGCGTGTCATCAGCAAATACAATTAATTGATTCTCTTGGCGTTTGTACCGTACTGCATAAACCGATTCCTGTACGTCGCTAACAAAAATCCGTTGGCCTACAGCATTAATCGATACAATTGCATTCGGAATGTGCTTATTCTCACACTTCCTCAATAGTTTTTTCTTTCCCATGTCATACAATCGTAGCATTCGCCCAACTCCCACTAAAACTCGGCCTTGATAAGGACATATTGCCAGTGGAATTTCATCTAGAGGTGTTTTGTGTACTAATTCAATGCTCGTACATTCAATATTTACTCTGTGCAAACAGAAAAAAAATTCTTAATAATCAAAGCATGTTTACCGATTTTTGAACATAAATAGACTGAATGTATGAATTCAGTACTGCAGGAATATCATCAATATTTCACAGATAGTGTGATAATGTCATCATTGTTTAATATAATGAATGAAAAAAAGTAGTATATAGTCTCTTTTTTGAAAATAAATGAAAATAATATTTCATAATGTATTTAACTTACTTGTATGTATACAAAAATCCGCCGTTGCTAAGCCGTGGATTAAGTTGATATTCTTTAGCCACACCAATAATAAGGAATAATTGATCTCCTTGATTCGCAAATTTGACTAATGATAGACATAAAGCTGCATAATTTTGTTCAAGCCGATGTACTTCAAATGTTTGACCTGTAGTAGGTGCCATAATTCTGATGAGAGACGCCCACAAACCTGGACCAGCTCGAGGTGAACCGAAAACTGCTTCATTAGGCTCTTCAGATAAAAATGCTTCTGCAAGTTCTCTAGCAACTGTCGCCTCTTCAGCACCAGCTGCTTCTTGCATTTCTTCGGCCATTTGTAATCGTCTTTGTTGTTTTGTTTCTTCAGTGTAAGCATTATGTTCGGTTTCGATGATAATGAGATGAGCGGAATCTCCATGGACAGCAAATTTACGTGGAGTGTACTCAAGCGGAAAACTTACTTGATTGAACACAGCTCCTAACTTCTCGAGTGCCAAAATTCTCAGTGTATTTGTAGATATGGCAACTATTCCTTCAGGACATTGTTCTGAACTGAATCCGGAAGCAAACTCCAAGCTTTCATAGGAAAGGGGAGTCAGGTGGAATCGATTTTGATAATAGTAACTCAGCCACGATCTACTGCTCATCGCAAGCACGGCTTGATTACCTTGCATCCGTATTCTGAATAATTTTACGGGTCTTGAACCCAAGTACCTAGTACGAGTGTCTGCCAGATCTCCGGATATTGGGTCAAGAACCGTCCGAAGCAAGACTCCATTTTGTAATCCAATGTTAAGGTACAAACTAGCTTGTTGTTGAATCACATTATCGTCTGGATTATCAACATCTTTAGATGCTCCCATTTCTACAATACACAAACTTTCCGCAGCTGCTGGTAGTGCTTGCATACTTCTCGATGAAAGACAGTCTGAAGGATCCAATGAAATAATTCTTACTGTGTTGTCTTGTAATCCAACTGCAAGAAACCAAGATCGTTGTTCTCCCGTTGCGACGTTTCCTAATGCCATACACATTACTTCCGACGGCATTTTCTTCCTTTCCGTGTATTCATTTAATTGTCCTGTCTGAGAATGCAAAAAAAAAATTTTACAATTTATTCTTAAACAATTTACAAATAATTATTTACAAATAAAGTGTTAAAGTTTATTTGTTCACTCCGTAAAGAAACTAAGAAACTTTAAAAAGTTTTCAGTTAAAAATAGTAATTATTGAGTGACAAATATTTTTCGCATTTTATACATCTCCAAGGTTACTTTGAAATCTTAAAGAGAACAATAATGCGGCATTGTTTATTATAATAGCAGCTATTTTTACCGGATCCATTTCAAAGTAGACTAATTCACCACCGGTGAGTGCTATGACGACTTGCCGCTGATTTACTGCACATTTAACAATAGTCTTCTTCCCTGGAGCCTTCCATTCATTCACACGCTTGTCGGCACGGATATGACGAATCCCATCCGGATACACCTGAAATAATAAATAAGTTTAAATTATAAAGCTGAATGACTCTAATTTCCAGCTGAAGAGTTTAAAAAAAATTGTTAAAAAAGAATTTAACTATTGACACGTGTACAAGTCAGATTACCAGGAGAATAATCATTGGATAGACAATTCTCCAACGATGCAATAACTTGAAAAATAATTTAGCACATAAATGCGACCGTCACGTGGGTTAACCAGGTGCCGGAGATACCGCAGTGCATCAATTAATTTTTTATCGAATTAGCTTATACATCTTTTATTCTTTTACGCTTGAATTATTTCAATTTCAAATGAAACTTGTTAACAAGTTTTTTTAATAATTACTCACTTGAACTAAAGCATCCTCTCCGAGTGCAGAGCAGCTTAGGGTAGGCGTAGTGCCAAGAAAACCTGAATCTGTTACTTCTTCTACAGTTTCTCCAATACTAAGGACAAGAGTAGCATTGACGAATGACACAATGATGTACGCATCATATTTCTCTGTAACCCAAACCATATTTATCATCCAGATTAAGAAAAAAGTAGATTTATATCAAAAACAATAATATTATCAACTTTGTAACTATATTGTACATCTTTGCTGAAAGCTCTATCACATTTGGTCTCTTTGAACCAACCATAATGATAATCCGAGCTGATTCAATTCACTCTTACCTCAGGATCATTCAAGGACTGGACTGGTCAACCATTAGCTCGTAGGAGGCCTGAAAGAGATAACTGGTGTTTGATAAGAGTGTATCAAGCCACCAGATTTGTTACTATCTTCTTTTTTTTTTGGTTCGTTGAATTTATAGAAATTTTTATGCAATACACAAAAATTCAAATTAATCTACGAAACCTTGCAAAAATCATGTTGTGATAACTAACCATCAACTCTTCTTTTTACGGTCCAGACAGCGTTTGGATTACCCGGAAGTTCACTCACAGCCATTTCTGATACTTCAAGACCATGTCGTAAAACTCGTAAAGTAGATCTTGGTCCTCTGCCGCAAGCAATATAAAGCTGTGGAGTGTCTTCATTGGCTAAATCAGCAACCTTTGAAATAAAAATTTAAAGTGATATTTTTTCTGCTTGATTGAAGCAATTAAAATTAATTAAAAATGAAATAAACTGTCAATAATCGAGTTCACTTCGGCTTGCAAGCAAAAAAACAAGTCAAAGGCGACGAAAATTAATTATTCTTGCATCAATTCACAGAGAATTGTATATTAATTATATCAAGTCCCTACTTGATGATGCTAATAGTTGTTTCTTAAACAAATCAAATTTTATCAAGTACCTGACATGCCATAATAGGAGATAAACTATCCATCTCATCGACGAGGACTAAATTTCTAAGAGGTCTTGGAGCAAAAAAGAACGTGTCTCCTTCTTCAAGAGGCATTGCTGAACTAAACTCAGGTTCATCATCATCATCTCCGAGATGTGCGATTTGATAAAGATAATGATTACCAAACTCCGAAGCGACAAATAGAAAACCAGTCTTTAGTACACACATACTTGTAGCTACGGGGACAGTATCAAAGTATTTTAACTTTATTTCTGTAACCATATCTTCATCAGTTTCCAGAGTAATCTTAAATATATCTCCTTGCTCTGTTTGTGCTAAGAAGAAAAACATGCTCTTTGTTTTATGTGTGGCTGAACAGACAAATATCATTCCTCTTTCAGGATCATCCAAGTCGTTTCTTCGTCGTGGAATTGGACAACGAATGTCATGTTGATCCCCAAGGTTTTTGTACGTCAAGTAATTTTCAGAACAAATTAGGACACCACTGGGGCCATCATTTCCGCCGGGAACAGAGACGAGAAAATTTGCATGTTCTTCTAAGGGTTCGCTGTATTTTCTAACGACGTGATTTAAACCAAGATCTAGTTCATAGAGAGTTAAGGTTTGTTGAGTTTTAATAGCAGCTTCACCAGTGGGGTCATTATCGGCTTCTTCATAATCAATTTCAAGGCAAGCAAACATGGGATTTTCAAATCCAACATCCACACCAACTGTATGGTATACTAGAGTGTTACTTTTATGAGCTTCTAATGGCGATGAAATCGTAAGGCGAGCTTCAGGATCTCGGTTAAGAATATAAACAAGCTTCTGTTTTTCAATCGCACCTGAAAATGATATGAAAAATTCAATTAATAATCTACTAAAGTAATTCTAAGATTACATAAAAAGTTAATAAATTTTATATCAGTAACTGATGAGTATAATCAATGTATTTCAGGTGAAACACGGACAGTTTAAATCATCATTTTGAAAAATTAATAAATATTCATAATAATTTTAATCAATGAAAAAGATTAATTTTTACCTATCATAACAGCTCGTCCTTTAGGGTCTATAGCTAGATATTGACCTGGAACAATTCTTCTACATCCACTTTTTCCGAAAGTTTCCTGATGTACTTTTTCAAAAATATTTTTTGCAGGAATATATTCAAGAATAACTATTCTCCCAGAGTCAGAGCCAACTACAATGTAATCCTTTGTTCCTCCAGTTAGTCGAAAGGCCATGAGGGACCTCACAATTCCAAAAACTTCCACAGCTAACAGAGTATGTACTTTGCCGGTATTTGGATCGGGTCGTAAAAGTTCCAATGATTTACCCCTTGAGACAAGAATCTCCTGGAGTTTCGTGCCGGAAAAATTACCATGGACTGCATGAGTAATTCCGGTGGCACGCTGGAGGGTTAAATTATATAGATACATCGTGACTTAATGTTTATTTTATAGAAAATACTTGAGATTAGCTCTTCTGTGCTTGCTTAGTGCATTAACATGGCGGATCCATTCGATCTAAAAAAATTCAAAAAAAAAAATTAACCATTAAATATAATGAAATAAATGTAAAACTCAATATAATATACAATATTTTTATTTGACAATAAAAATGTACTTTAAGATTTGAAGGATAATGTTGGATTACTGTACCTTCAACTCCAAACGCGTATTGATCAGATTTCACGAAATTTTCCGTTAAAATTTCGTGTATAACCTATGAATATTCGGGTGCATTAGATAAAAAAACGATAAATATCGAACGTAAAAGTACGGAATTCACGACAGAATAAATAAAGAAATCAATAAATAATTATTAAATTGTACTTTTCATTGAATAATTGCATAAATAATGATGTGAGCAGCAATATATTAATTTTCACAATGCCACAATTATGGCGGTAACAAAGCGTTTTAATAGGCGTCTATCAAGCCGTGCGTGTGAGCTGCCTGTATTGCGTTTGCGCAACTTTATAGAAACCCATTTAGACGCCCCCTTACGCTATAAAATATAAATACTTTATTGAACGTAACATGGCGTTCATTTCGAATTTACAGATGGATATTTTTATTTAATAATTAAATTTATTAAGTTTGCAAGGATGTAAACTGAAAATTTTTTTAGCATCCAAGTAATAGAAATAATGAATGGATCTTAAGACATCAAATATTACAAAGAAAAACTATCAATTAATTATTGAATTATTTTGGAGCGTGTAGAAGTCTTCTCTGGTAGAAGTGAACAACAAACTGTAGGATTCTGCCTTATCGTTGTAAAGAAACGCTATTGGAGAGAAAAATTTTCATTCTCTTACGAAGCAGAGAGAAAACTTCTCTGCATAAACTGTAAAGAAACTTCTGAAATGGAGGAAGAAAATAAAACATTGGAATTGAGTAAAGATAAAAAAACGTACGCTGGTATACCTGAAGCTGTATTTGTGGTATGTATTTATGTTAAAAAGTAATCAGTCACATAACCTCTTTATTGGTTTATAATTTCAACATTTTTTTACTTTTCCATACCCTTGTATGGGTATCAATATATTCTTGAGCTCACAAACTTCAATTTATATAATTATTCGTTTTGTTTTTATAGGAAGATGTCGATGCTTTTATGGCATTACCAGAAAACAATGGCCAGGCTAACAAAGTTTTAAGAAAATGGGACGAAAACCATGGAAAATACAAATTTATGGAATACAATTTAGCTAGCAAAAGAAGGAGGTTGAAGTCACAAATTCCTGAACTAGAAAGAGCATTGGAAATGATTAAAAAACTTCAAGAAGAAAAAAATAGCAGTCATAATCTTGAAACACAATTTTTACTTTCTGAACAAGTATTTGCAAAAGCCATTGTGCCTCCTACTGAAAAAGTATGTTTATGGCTAGGTGCTAATGTAATGTTAGAGTATACTTTAGATGATGCACAAGAATTAATGGTAAAAAATATTGAAACTGCAAAAATTAAGTTAGGTCAAGTGGAGCATGATCTAGATTTTGTGAGAGATCAATTTACGACGACTGAAGTGAATATGGCAAGAATCTACAACTGGGATGTGAAGAAAAGACAAGCTGCTAAATCTTCGTAAAAAAAAGATTAATATTTAATTACATTATTGATATTTAATTAATAAAATTAATTGAATAAACTATTATTATTGGGAAATAATTTTTTTTAGCAATTAATTAATTCTTAAATGTAATAAATATAAAGTTTATTTATATTTCATACATGTGTAACATACATTGTCAGTTCTGTAATTGAATTCATTTCAATATTTTATATTTACTTATATTCTTTTTTAATTAAATTAATAATGAATCACAGTAAAAAAATACTGTTTAATTTAGTCATTGAACAAATATAATGTTTTTATGACCATAGAATTTCAAATGATACATAACAATTTTAAGGCACAAAGTTAATATAATCAAGTTTTCTAATAATTATTCTTCTACACTTAAATCTAACTTAGCTAGTTTTTCTCGGAGCTCCCGATTCTCAGCTTCAGCATTTTCTAATTTTTTTTCTAGATCAGACTCAGGTTCTGTATTATCTTTAGTCATATTAACTAGTTGTTTACGTACATATCTATTAATAAAAATAATCAAATTCAATTAGTAGTGGTCTATTCATAGCAAATATAAGTAAAAATACTAAGGAATATAACTTACTCCAAAGCATCAGCTGGTTTTTCAGGCTCTTCATAAAGAGATACAAGAATTTTAGCTAAAGCATCAAGAACTCCAGCACGTTCCAGATATCTTCTAAATTCCTCACGCTTTGATTCGTTTGGCTTAAAAAATTCATCAGAAATATTAATCAACTAATTGTTATTAAGGTTAAGTAATTAATATATTTGAAATTGTGTTTAATGTATAGATATCCAAATATATACCTTATAAGAGGCCATTGTTGCAAATTTCTTTAATATCAAAAAAATATAATATCGAGAATTTAATGACAAAATGAGTATTCTTCTCCAATTTGGTGGTATGGAGGTCGACTGTTTACAAAAAATGACTGCAAACAATTGAATTCAACCAAAATATTCTGTAGACACATAGTCCATTGTTTTAATTGATGTGATTAGTCACCAGCGTCGTTTTCTAATGCCAATAAGTAACCTGTTATTGGTAAAAATGATTCTATAATTTGAAGGAGAAGTAGTATTATATTTGAAGTAAAATCTTCTCTTTTTCGGAGTTATTAGTTTTTATCATTAGTATCCAAAAATCCTAAACTTATACGTTTAGGAAATTTTTTCCTTCGATAAACCTATAACTATCTTCCTTTTTTTCGCGCCTAAATATGTAACCTAAAACCACCTGTGTAGATTAGATTCGTTGTTCTGGGGGCTTCTCGGAGTGTAAACATCTTGTTTGCTTTGAATTAAGCATTTCATTAGTATTTTTCATACTTTAGTGAATTAACATGTGATTCTACATACATAGAATAAACATTAAAGATAAGTTTACGTTAATTACAATAAGTAGAAAGGATAAATTTCAAACTTTTATGTCAAAAGTTGGACATGAAATAATTGAACAACTTGTGAAAGTTTTTTAATAGTCTTTGTTAATATTAAGCTAATAATTGAATATCATGGGTATCACTGGACTCATTCCATTCTTAGAAAAAGCATCAAAAAAAGGGAATATAAGTCAATTTTCAGGAGGTACTGTTGCTGTTGATACTTACTGTTGGTTGCATAAGGGAGCATTTTCTTGTGCAGAGAAGATAGCTTTAGGTCAACCAACCGATGCGTAAGATGGACAATTTTTTTTATAATTCAAGAAATGCTTACTTATCTAGACAAATGATTATTTACTTATTCATGAAATTATTTCTGCTTCCAGATACGTGACATATTGTTTGAAATTTGTAAACATGTTGCTGGCAAATAAAATCAAACCAATTTTGGTGTTTGATGGATGTCATTTACCTGCCAAGGCTGAAACGGAAGATAAACGAAGATCGTATGTATTTTTAAATTACAGGCTAAAAATAAATAGTGTGAGATAAAAATACACTTAATAATTGATGGAATATTAGATCTAGAGCAGATAACAAAAGACGAGCTGCAGAATTGATTAAAATGGGTCGTACTGCTGAAGGCAGAACACTTCTTAGAAGATCAGTAGATATTACCCATGAAATGGCACTACAGCTTATGAAAAAATGCCACGAAATGAACGTTGACTGTATTGTTGCTCCTTATGAAGCAGATGCTCAATTAGCTTATTTGAATTTATCTGGAATAGCTGACGTTGTTATAACCGAAGATAGCGATCTAACTCTTTTTGGATGCAAAAAAGTAAGCTATTAATTCAAGCAACTTTATTTTTCAATACAATAAATTAATTCAATCTGTTGACAATAATTTTTTGTTACAGATTTTTTTTAAAATGGATGTATATGGTAATGGTCTTCTAGTTGAACAAGATCGTATTCATATAGCAATGAAAATTCGGGAAGATCTTTTTGACATAGATAAATTTCGTCACATGTGTATTTTATCTGGCTGTGATTATTTACCCTCACTTCCAGGAATAGGACTAAGTAAAGCATGTAAATTTATATTAAAAAATACTGATCCTGACATACATAGGGCGTTATGTCGTATAGGCTCCCATTTGAATATGAAGTCTTTAGTTGTTACTGAAGATTATCGTGACGCATTTATTCGAGCATTAATAACTTTTAAACATCAATTAGTATTTTGCCCTTTACAACGGAAACAAGTGCGATTAAATTCTCCTCCACCAGACGTAACGCCGGAACAGCTACATCATGCAGGAGATGAGAAACCCCAAGACATAGCATGGCAATTGGCTCTTGGAAATTATGATCCAATCTCATTAAGAAAAATGCACAATTTTGATCCGGATGTATTCTTGACAAATATTGGAAAAAGAAAACCTGCTTGGGACATTCAATATGTTGCTGATCATGTGAGTATTTGGTCTAAAGAATTTAGAATTCAAAAGAATGTTAAAACACCTCATAAAGAACAGCCTGAAAAACATATATGGCCAAATACAGCTGGTAAAACTGTAATTCTTAATACAGAAGTCTTGAAAGAAAAATCTATTGCCTTAAAACGTTCATATGAAGACATGGAAGATGAGTTAAGTGATAAGGATATTGTGAAATTGTATGGTAATGATGCAATACACCAAAATAAAAAACCAACAGCAAAAGAGGATTCAACACAAAAAGAGAGTAAAGAAGAAAATCTGATGAAAACACCTTCTCCAATGTCGAAAAATAAATCGAATCCATTTTTAAAGAAACAGGAAACTTCTCCTTGTTTAATTCGTGGCCAAATTCGACGAAGACCGCGAACTTTTATTGCCATGGAACCAACTGTTGTTGATGATCAAAATATAATTAAAAGCAAATATTTTGATCCTGATTCATCACAAACTGACACGAATCAACCAGTTGGCATTGTTCCGGAAACACAAGATGAAGATTTGCCATTTACTCCGCCTGATGAGTACAAAGAAAATAATATTACTGATATTCCTAAAAAATCAAAAGAACAAATTTTTTGTAGGTCTGATTCCGGTGTAGAATTGAAAGACGATGGTAATGATGAGAAATTGAATAATTCAAATGAAACAGAAGAAATTATTGAAGCAACTCCATTAAATAACTGTCAAAAACCATCCATTCAAGATAATGAAATTGTTGAATCAGATCTTCTAATAAATCATGAATGTGTTATTAATGAAAATAAACGTACAATAGAAAGAACTCCAAGTTCTGATGACATTGCAGATTTTTCTGTGAACAACTCTAGTTTAAGTTCAGTAAAAAGTTCTTTTTTCAAATGGACAAATCCAAAACTAGTTTCGAATAAGGATAGTCCAGTAGCTATAAGAAACAGTAAAAGATTACAGAATCAAAATAAATCCATGACAGGGAGACAATCAAAAAATTCGAAATCGATTCCAGCGCACAATTTACTGAGTGCATATGGGTTTGAGAAAAAAAATGTTTCAAAACACTAAATAGAGCTTTATTTCAGTATTCATGTGTACGGATAGCAGGTTCTGTCTGAATAAAAATAGAATATTGATACAATTTTGGAGACTGTTGACTCAGGAATAATAAAAACTGCCGATTTCCTATGGTATTAAGTATACGATCATAATTTTTTACAAGCTTTTTTCCCAATAATAGTCTCAATAATCAATTGAAATTTAATGACATACTAATTGAGTGAAGTAAAGAATTATTACTTATTTGTAAGTCTCGTAAAATTAATATAATTCGTTTTTTGATTGAAATTATATAATTATGTTTATTAAACGTCGTAATGAGACACATTTAATTGGACTTAGTGCATTTTTCAAATGTATTCGAACCTCTATGATATTTGAGATTTGTATAGTACAACGAATTAAATACATATTTACAGAAATATATTCGCTTATTTAATTTTAACATGCACAATATAGATTTAGGTCATTTTAACTACAAGTGAATTACATTTATATATATTTATAATACTCTCACGAATATTGTTATTGATCAATAATTATATTTTTCGTATAATTTAATTATAAATTCATATCGTTCAAATTATTTATAAGGAAAATATTCAATCAAAGGGATAAAAGATGATTTATGTTCATGATTACAATATTTAACAATCCAAATACATTTATTGCGCTTTAAATAATTAAATTGCGACTAATGTGCGTTCACCTAAAAATAAATCTAAAAAAATTTTTATATTCAAATAAAAATTTGAGTAAGTTTGTTTATAATGATAAATATTTTTTTAATATATATTTATATGAAACAGAAATTCATAGCGGCACTTTGCCAAGATATATCTATGAAATACAATGTATTAATAATATATTAACAACAATAGTTACCCACACTCTAAGTAGGCCATAATTCCGAACGCACATTTTTTTTATTTTTCGCCATTGTTTTTTTTTTAATCTTTCTAACAAATATTGAAGTTGTTAGTTCGGCATATAATTTTCAATCCTGTTGAAAGTGTGCTTTTTAAGATTTAACATTTGCGAATAGGGAATGTTTTTTAGTTATGATGTTTATTATTTCTTAATCTGTGAATCTGCGGTTTGGATTACGACCGAACAATGCTGATCGGATTTCAGGAATTAACTGCTGAGCAATTAACTCTAATCTAGATTCTAAGGTATTGTTAATTTTTATACGACCTAAAAGAATAATGTGTAATATTATTTCTTATTCATTCATGAAAAATCATTATTTAATTATGAGAAAATAACAATTTATTACCTTTCAATGCAAACAACTCAACACCTCCACAACTTTCAGCTGGTAAGAAGTTATCTTGATCAACTTTTATAACTACTTCTTTTTTCGAAATATCTTTGTATATCGCAGAGATTTCATCTAGAAATGATTCTACAAGAGGCAGATCAACTTGACGAACGCGTAGCACAACATTGTGCTCCATCAACTAGAAAATGCAATAATTTAATTATTATCAAGAGATTTGAATTGGATTTCAATAAGTCAATGATTTTCTATCTAATCAAGTTTTACCTGATATAATCCCTGAACAATTAATAATTTTAATATTTCACTATACTTTGCACGATCATGAGCTACTTGGCTTAATCTTTTTCTGGCTTCATCAAGGCAGGTTTTTACGTGATCTTCACGAACTTTCAAAGCTTTGAGTCTTGCTTGATTGAGCATGTTAGACGATTGACTGAAAATCAAACAACAAAATTATTGAATTTGTTGGTTAATAATGTCATACTTTTAGAATAAGCTCTTGCTTCATTTCTAGGCAAAGCTATAGTTAATTAGAAGTAAGTCTTATCACTTTTTAGATAATCTAAGAGAGATTTTCATGTTGAAAAATATTTCTAATATCGTACATTTTCTTTTGCAGCTCAACTTGTTTTTCTTTCTTTTCATAATACTCCATAATTTTGAGTCGTTGTTGCTGAACAAGGCGACCTTTTTCAATATTAAATTCTTCCTCTGCTTTGGCATCAATTTCTTCGGCTTTTTCATTGGCTTCCTGTTCGATGAAAGCCATCATATGCTTGATCTACGAAAAGTACATTATTTTCATTAGTTTGATCCAAAATTAGAGTTGTCAAATGACATACAGTGTGGAGATTTGTTTATCTATCAACTACTAAAAAATATATTTAAACAATTAGCATCAAAAAATGATTTTTTTAAATCAAATGTTTAAAATAAAGAAATATCAATTAATCAATAAACGAAATGAAAAATATATCGTTAGGACCATTTTTCGTCATGTACAAATATCAATAGGTAAAAACTCAAGGACCTTTATAAATTTGACAAATTTGGAGTTTACCTGTTTCTGTACATCAGCGTCGCTAAGAGCCATGATTAATTTAGTTATTTAAATGCCGATTAAACTCAAAACTACTGACTAAAAGTCCCTTTAAAATGTTTTAATTGGAAAAAGAACTGATAGAAATGAAGGACGAAGTCAACGCCTATAAAACACGACTGTCTCGAGCACTGCCCAACGAAGATCATATGACCACATATAATATGACTACTGCGCGCGCATTATATTAATCAAATGACATCTTAAGTGTTTGATTAAATTTAATTTATAATAAAATATGTAAACAAAACATATCAGTGATATTTTTTAAATATGTTTTTGATTTTTTAAGTTATTTATTATACCATTTTTTTGGAGAAATTTTAATAAAAGATGTGTTATATTTCAAATCTATTTGACCTATTATCGATAACAAAAATGACCACTTATCTATCATCAGGAATTCATATACAACGACACCTTCACAACAAAAATGAAATTAAAAATTTAACGATTGATAAGAAGAAAATACATGTCTGATGGTAGAAGATATCGATTATTTTTTATAATTTTCACATGCAACGTGTGCATAACATATGAGACAGTGATGTCATTATCACCTAAATAAAATACTCATTACTGAAAAAAACAACTTTCAAGTACGAAATGTTCTTTAATTATTTCAAACCACCATTATCCTATTTTGGAGTAATAAAATTAGATAGGTCGTGATAGATAGCTTTTGTTGCTCATAAAAGCGTTTGTGTTGTATTGTCACTTGGGCATTCATTAGTATATAAGCACAGGAAACACGTAATTATTGAGTCATAGATAACCTATTTTAAAAATGTCACTCAGTGGGTTTGTAGAATTTTTTCAAAAAGGAAAAGTGAGTAAATCTTTTTTGCATATTTTCACACTTATCTATTAGCCATCATTCAACCTTTAGAAAAATTATTCAAGAAAATATTGAATGAAAACTTTATCTTAATATCACATTTCTAGACTTTCAGACCAAAAAAAAAATTCACTCATGGAACATTAAGATATTCGCTTTATAAGCAAGCTCAAGCTTCATTGAATTCAGGGATTAATCTTCGTGCTGCCGTAAAACTACCTTCTGGTGAAGATCTCAATGATTGGATAGCAGTTCATGGTAAAGAATAATAATAAATTGATTAATCACGTTTTCGCTATTAATCTATGATACATCTCTATTTTCAGTTGTCGATTTCTTTAACAGAATAAATTTAATCTATGGTACTATTTCTGAGTATTGCGACTCTGCTTCCTGCCCAACGATGAGTGGAGGTGCGAGATTTGAATATTTATGGGCTGATGGTGAAAAATACAAAAAACCGACAGCACTTCCTGCTCCTCAATATATAAGTCTTCTCATGGATTGGATCGAAGCACAAATTAATAACGAAGCAGTCTTTCCAGTATCTACTGACGTGCCATTTCCTAAAACATTCATTTCTCTCTGTAAGAAAATTCTTACTCGGTTATTCCGAGTTTTTGTTCATGTTTACATTCATCATTTTGATAGAATTGTGGCCATTGGAGCGGTAAGCAATTGTTATGGTTTTTTTTTCATTTATTCTAAAGTAAATAACCACATTAACGTTTTTGTTCAATTTCAGGAAGCTCATGTCAATACTTGCTACAAACATTTTTACTATTTTGTAACTGAATTCGAATTGATTAACTCTAAAGAATTAGAACCACTCTCTGAAATGACATCGAAAGTTTGCAAAGACTCGATTGTATCACAATCCAACACAACTTCTAGCCAATCTAGATAGTTATAGACACTTTTAGTGATAAACAATTTTTCACTAAAATTATTCTCCGACGAATCTCTTTTTGGGAACAACATTGATGACAGTTTTGACAATTTTCAATTTTCTACCGCTTTACTTAAGTAATCTAGTCAATAAACTTCTCTATGAGATTTGATGTCTTTGTAATATTATCTCTAATCAATGAATTATGTTAAAAAAACATTCTTGTATATTTTTAATTAAATGTTTGTATTATTACATAAACTTCTTAAATTATTTCGTACCAGTTAAATATGGTGAATATTAAACGTAACTAGGTTTAAAAACTCATTTAATTTTTTTGGAGTCTTTACAACCACTTAATAATATTTAACTACCATTAGATTTTAATTAATTTATTTATTTTAAGTTTAAAAATGGTTTAAACTATTTAAACGCGTATCCAGTACATTCCAGCACGAATTGTATTGTAATCTGGAAGATTTTCTACAGGTCCAACTCCAGCAACTACTGGACAATGATCGTAAATGTATTTCATTCCAACGTCTTGTACAGTTTTTGCGGTGACGCTCTGAAAAAATTATCATTTAAGTTAAGTTAAATAAGTCTGTTAAAAATATATTCAACATAAATATTCACTCACATCTATTCTCGCCTCCAATTCGTGAAGAGGAATCCTCCTGTTATAACACAACATTTGTCGTCCAATATCTTCACAAATGGCGGTGGTTCCATCAAGTTGCAAAAGCATATTAGTTTTTAAAATATTTTTAGCCCTGGTAACATCTTTTTCTGTCACACTTGTGCAAAGTTTCATCCATTCTTGTTGAATATTCCAAACCATATCATCAATTACTAGAGGGTCACTAACAAAATAGATTCCCCATAGTCCAGTCTCTTGGTAACAAGTGTTGAAGCTCTGATAGTTATGACAAAGTCCATCTTCAGCTGAAGCTCGAGCAAGGTTGGAAGCATTATTGGTTCCACCTCCTTGGCTACGATCCCAAGCGCCAATTAAAGTATTAGCAACCATGAGTGGAATATTATCGGCACTAGCCCATCCAGCTCCTTCAACAGCAATAGCTACGTGAGCTAGAGGAATTGAATCATCTCTGACTCTAATTTCTGATCCAGTGTATCGACAAGGTACTAATACTGGTGGAATTTCATCATAATGAGGTCCTGTCATTTTACCGAAATGTTTGTCAGCAAGTTCGACTAGCTGATTATGATCTACACCACCAGCTCCAGCAAGAACAAACCTGGGAGGTCCATAATGTGTTTTAACATAATAAGCAAGATCTTTTCGTGTAATAGACTTGATATTTTCTGTTGGTCCTAAAATTGTGCGACCTAAAGGTGTTCCTTGAAAAGCAGTTGAATGTAAATGATCGAATACAACTTCTTGCAAATTCGTTTCGACCTCTTGCATTTCTCTCAGAATTACTCCCCGTTCTCGCTCAATTTCATTTTCTCCAAGTTTAGAATTTTGGATGATATCACTGAGAATTTCGATAGCTTTTGGAACGTCTTGAGACAGACATTTGGCGTAAAAAACTGTCTGTTCTCGACTGGTATAAGCGTTTAAATGCGCACCCATGTTTTCAATTTCAAGCTCCAAATCCGTCTGCGATCGTTTAGCTGTTCCCTGATGAACATTTTTAAAAATAATTATGTTAGAGATTAATTACAATTAATTAGGATAATAATATTGGTTATAAACTACGAAGTTTACTTTAAAAGCCATGTGCTCCATGAAATGAGCAACTCCATTAGTTTCATCTGTTTCACAACGACTGCCAGCATCAATCCATAAGCCTACTGTGGCTGTCGGTGCTCCACTATCTTCACTGGCAACTCTCATTCCGCTGTCGAGGATTGTTGTCTTGGTTGGTGGTTGATTTATAAGAATCTGCTTGAGTGATGCAGCTGTAGATCGCCATTGTTTGCGGTCCTGTATTGATGGGAAAATTCGAATTTATAAATTTATTCACAAATCATCATAGTCAAAAATTTGATAAAAAATATGAAAAAGTGCTATCGATACAGTCATGACTGCACAACACATTACGTAAGAAGGTAAAATTGATAGATTGAGTACTGTTGATGATGAAACAGTAAAATAAATCAGTTTTTTATTATGGTCAATTATTCATAACTTAATTACCTTAATGAGTGATGTTTTATCTGAAAAAGTTCGCAAACTGGAACCAACCCTCAACAGACGAGTCGCCATTTTTGTAGACGAACTGAGATCCGGAATTACGTGCTGACAGAGAACAGAATTCAGAGAAGCTCGGTTCTCATGGGAGCTTGGGAACTGAGTTGGAAGTTACTAAAATGACTGCAAGATGGAAGAAAATACTATTTCCGTAGAAAATCGATCAAGTAGATCTTGAAGGAGGGGTGCTTTTAATTTCCTATGGCACCTATTTTTTGTAGATACAAAACATTCTCGTTTGAATTCATAAATTCAGTGAAGAATTTTACGCACTTTTTAAAGTGAAGAATATTGAATTGTTAATGTTAATTTGATTTCTAAAAAGAAAACAATTCCAAGTTCAGATGATAATCATCGATTAACAACCTAACACTTAAGTTGACAGAATATAAGATATTTTTCTTTAAAAATGTTCTGTACCTCGAGGTTATGTTCTCGAGGTTTCGGCAAGTTAATGAATGGTCACTCATTAACTTTGAATTTCAAAAATATTTGTACAAACCGATTAAAAGATAATAGAAATGGTGTAATAAAATGGAAAAATCTTTGGAGCAACTGTGGAAAAATTAGTCCAACTATTGCAACTACTAGATCAACTACTGCTGTAATAGTTACAAGACTTTCATCATCTGTTGTAAAAAAATCTGACAAAATTGTTGGCTCCTGGTTGTTAATATGTGGTGGAATGGTTTTCGTTGCTGTAGCATTAGGTATTATTATTTATTCGACTACTCTTGAAACTATCAAAAAAATTATCACCGAAGTTATTGATACAACTTGGGGAAAATAATTTCCTTATACATTCCAAACTATTTTTAATAATATTTATAATTTATATAAATTATGTAACTAAGGAATTATAATTTTAATAAAATTATAAACAAAATGAAAAATAAGTTGATTGAATTTAATACACATTGTAAATGTAGGCGGTGTTACAAGATTAACAGAATCAGGATTATCCATGGTTACCTGGCAATTGTTAGGAGAAAAAATGCCAGTAACGGAGGATGAATGGAAAGCAGAGTTTGAAAGATATCAGTTATATCCAGAATTTCAAATGTGAGTATTATTAGGGTAATGTAAAACAGTTAGCGTGAATTTATATTAATAATTATAATATCAACTACAAATCGAGTTTTATTTACGCAGAACTAATAAACATATGACACTAAATGAGTTTAAACGAATTTGGTGGATGGAATACATTCATAGAATGTGGGGAAGACTTATAGGCGCAGTATTTCTCTTGCCAGCATCATATTTTTGGTATAAGGGAATGTTAACTCAACCGATGAAAAAAAAAGTTTTTGGATTAGCAGTTTTAATTGGCCTGCAAGGATTAATGGGATGGTACATGGTTAAATCGGGCTTGGAAAATCGATTTGATGGTCCAAACGATGTTCCCCGAGTATCACAGTACCGATTAGCATCACATTTGAGTCTTGCGCTAGTTATTTATGCAGGTTTTCTTTATAACGCATTGGATCATTTAATTCCTGCAAACAAGTTGTACCTTGATTCATCTAATGAACCAAAATTAGCAAATACATTAATACAAAATTTACTTAAATTTAAGAAGTATGTTTATACAACAAAAGGGTTGATCTTTTTGACTGCTGTTTCTGGTGCTTTTGTTGCTGGCTTAGATGCTGGATTAATATACAATAATTTCCCAAAAATGGCTGATAAATGGATACCTGATGACTTATTCGTATTACTACCTTTTCTGAAGAATTTTACAGAAAATCCGACAACAGTGCAGTTTGATCATCGAATATTAGTAATGAACTTACTTTATCTGCATGCATTCTTATAACTCCACTAATTATATGGGCTTTGGAAAAATATATCAACTTTTTTTTTAGGGAATAACAACACTATCGATGATAACTGCTGTAGCTTTTATGTCAAGAAAATTAAAACTTCCTGGTAGGGGAGCAAAAGGAGTACTTGCAATTGTTTGTTTTGGTTATTTACAAGTCATTCTAGGTATTTCAACCCTTCTTTATCACGTACCAATTCCATTAGCTGCTTTACATCAATCTGGTAGTTTATTATTACTCAGTTCAGCTGTGTGGCTTTGTCATGAATTAAAACATGTTCGGGCACTCCCGAAATAATTATGTAAATAGTTATTTGTATTTACTGATAATTATTAATAAATAATAGAACGATTGTCTACTAAAAAAAAAGAACTAAAGATGATTAAATAGTGAACAGTTAATCACAGATTTATTTTTTTCAACTTATTGTTGTTTTATTAGTTTTTTTTAGTTTTTATATTAAACAATTTGTGTTGATAATTTTATGTTAAAAGTATATAAAAATGTATGTCAAACGTGTACTCAAACGTGTGTTTACAATATATTTATATAATATTAATAATTGCAATTATTTCAAGAAAAATCTGATTGTTTTACCCTTTATTTTTTGTAATTAAAAACGTTCAGACTTGATTGGACTCGACTTAGAATAATTTTTATGTATGATATATTCATCATTGTTATTATCATTACTATCATTTTTAATCTTATTATTATCTTTATTATTATCATGATTATTACAATATTATTTTTTCTTTAACTATGAGCTTCTTACTGAACTTAAATATTTTTTTCTGAAATTTTCAATTGAATAAATATCATTTTATAGTTTAATACAAATTTTTGCTTTGCTGAATTTCTAATCGATCACTTAAAATTCTTAAATACATAAATGATCAAGTTTTGATTTTATATTTTTTTAAAAGTATAAATGCACGCGGAATTCATTTAGAGTGAATTTAAATAATCAAACCTTATTAAGGATACATGTGGATGATCAAAGTCAAGATGTGCATTGAATAGTTCATTGATCTATCATATTTTATTTACTTATTATTAGCACTATTATTATCATTACTATAGTTGTTGTTATCATTAACCTTATCGTTGTAACTGTTATTGATCCTATAATTATTTCTATTTTTAAATTTATTAAATTATTATCATCATTGCAACACAATTCACTCATCAAATTGCACCTTACTGCTTATCAGATTTATTGTTGAAGAAAAATAATTAATTTACACTCTATATTATTGGTTGATACTATAAATTAATAAACAGTTTATTTTTCAAATATTTAAGTGAAAAAAGTTAGATTTATGATAAATTATATTGTTATTTTTGTGATTAGAAAAATGAAGAAAACAAATATTGCAATTAGTAAAAGTTCAGTATAAAAATATCGTTAAAATTTGATTATTGATGTAATTGTCTAATTTTTCATATGATTCTTATAAAACATGGTAATTAATCACATATGATACTCAGATGAATTGAATTAATATCCCGGTATATATATTCCTAAGCGAACCTTATAATTAAAAAAGTAATATGTACTAATACTTAACTGTTAAAAAAAATAACGACTAAATTATTCATACCAGTATTCAATATATACATAGGTAAAATAATATTAAATTACGGTATAACAACAATAATAGCCATAATATAATAATGGTAGTAGAAGTAATATTAATAATAATAATAGTAATAAGACAATAATAAATAATACTAGTTATTATTCAAATTAATATTACAATCATCGTTACTTTTTTTTTGTTTTTCCCCCGATTTATTTATAATTTAATTGTTTGTCTAAAGATTCTTTTATTTTTATTCTTCAAATTTGTTAAATTCTTTTTATCATTTTTCTTCATTTTTCTTTTTTTTCAATTATTTTATTAAGCTCTAAATCAAAGTATTAAACTATTAAATTTGTTTCCTTGTACAAATATTAGGTTAAAATTCTTAAGTCATCGTTACTGTACATTATTACTTTGTATGTGTGGACGTTTTTTTCATTCAAAATTGTTCAAATTTTTTTTGAATTGGAAATTAAGAAATTCAAATTTATCCCTTTGCATTTTTTAACTTTTTCTGTCAGTATTATTTTGTTTATCAGTTTTTTTTATTATTTAAGAACCTTTCTCAACTACCACTTATCGAATTGTCATCCTTTTCAGTATTAACAATAACCTGTATAACATATCCCGGTTGTATTTTCGCCTCGTCTATTAACATTTTATCGCCAAGTAGTTTTCCACCAAAGAACCACCTTTGTTTTGATGGTTCTAGTCCTTCTTGACTCTGAAAGATGTCATGATTTTATTTAAATAATAAACGCATCATGACTACTATAACTTGAAAGTAAAATAAATTACCTGAAGCTTCTTCTTAGCAATTCCTATAGTATCTTTACTATAAACAGGAAGTTTAACGTCACCTAATGTTGTCGACAGTCTCAATTTCAATGTTATTTCTATACCTCCATCAACAGGTTCTAAAAACAAAGGAAAATATTTATTGTATTATTAATACAGTAAACTTGATTTCGCTTTTAGAATTTTAATTTTCTGAATTTGAACATGTGATCAGAATAATCATTAAAATCATAATCATAATCATTAAAAATAAACTGTGTTCTGATAAGCAAATGATAAAAAAAGAGAATGTTTGATTTTACTAAAATTACGTTAATACCTGAACAATCAGCGGGCGAATCTCGTCCACTATCTTCTTTAACAATATTTATCGGATACGATAAACAATAAATAGGCACTTGATATCTCGTACCCAATTCATCATAACATTCTGTTAAATATCCATTCGGTACTGAAATATTGGCGCCATCAAGTATCGCTTGTGCTAATTGATAATCTTGTGCTTCAGCAGCAGTTGCACCAGCCCTAAGAGCATCCCAAATTTCTTTTCTTCCATCAAAAGCTGGAGCTGTATCCCAAAACTCATCACGTTTACTCCGTAATTGACCTTCAGTCAATGGCACGTCAGATTTCCATCTTATAATCTCATGACTGAGTGGATGATTTTTCCTTGAATTACCTATTCATTTTCATTACAATATATGAATTGGTAATAATAATGAACAATAATAAAATATGCCTTTCTTCTTAATAATGATGTCCATTACAAGTTTAATCTTTGATCAAACAGTTGTAAAAAAATAATATAACAAATGACTTTCCGTCATCGTAATATAATTGCAAAAAAAAATTCAAGGTTAGATGTTATTTTTTGTGTTTGAATAAGTTAAATGAATTTACATATCTTTTATCTAATATCAAAATTTCCATATTATTTGTCCTTCTCTAGTACAAAGTTGTATTTATTAATTCATCTTTATGATATATTTTCTTACACATTTACACTGATAGTTTGTTTGTTTCCTTTCTTTTTTTATTGTATTTCAACTTATTACATACCTGAATGTGTTCTAGTTGAATTTGCTGAGGTATCGTCCACAGAGGCAGTTCTTGCCCTCGTTATACCAATGCAACCTCCCATTCTCCGTAATATAAAGAACCAAACATTTCACGAACGTAATTTGAAAACACTTGTATTTCTATTTTCATCCATTTTTATGTTTTTATGTTTTCTTTAACAAACATGCATCTAATAATGCAAAGAAAACATGTATGAGAGTGATTGTTCGATCCGTTTCTAATCTTAGTATTAATGAGGACGCTAGTATCGTATTTTATCATCATGACTTTTTAAAATTCGTTATTTACAATCGATAAATTAATTAATTAATTCCTTTTTTAACAACAAAGCACATGTCGCAAGAAGTTTCTTTGCCGACTGTAAACACCATTGCAGTAAAGATTCAGTGAGCAAAAAAAAAATGGTTGACGTTTAGAGTGATTGTGTTTTAAATTTTTATTTACATCTGTAATATATTAATAGATGACTAAATAACATAAAAACTTTGTTTTAATATAATTCCACTATTGTGAAGATTGAATTTATCATATACTCTTTCAAAAAGTTAATAAATGTAAATATTACTCAAAATTAATTTTTAGGTTATAAGTGATGTTATTATTATTATCTTGTTATTCGAATGAGTCATTTCATTTAAAATATTGCAATTTTTATAATTAATATTATTATAAGTTTATTTTTTATTGTTTCAAGTTCACAAAAATGGAGTTTTTATTTGGAAAACGGGTTACACCTGAAGAAATGCTACGTAAGAATCAACGTGCATTAAATAAAGCAATGCGAGATCTAGACCGTGAAAAAGCTAGGATGGAACAACAAGAAAAAAAAATTATTGCTGACATTAAAAAGTTAGCTAAAGAAGGACAAATGGTATCTATTAACTCTAGGACTTTTGTGAAAGCAATTTCTCCAATAGTTTCCAATCCATTTATTGTGTAATTTATATCATGACATTGATTTCCTTCCTCATCAATAATTTTTTTTCAGGATGCTGTAAAAATAATGGCTAAAGACCTAGTAAGAACACGCAGATATGTTAAAAAATTCATGCTAATGAAAGCTAACGTCCAAGCTGTTTCATTGAAGATCCAGACATTGAGATCTCAGAATACTATGGCTCAAGCTATGAAAGGTGTTACTAGAGCAATGCAAAGCATGAACAAGTGAGTATATTCAATTCCAGCTGAGGAATAAATAAAATTTTGATAGTTTAGATTCATTTTAATCAATTGATTAAATTTTAGGCAATTAAATTTACCTCAAATACAAAAAATACTCCAAGAATTTGAAAAACAATCAGAAATTATGGATATGAAAGAGGAAATTATGAATGATGCCATTGATGATGCAATGGAAGACGAAGGAGACGAAGAAGAAAGGTATACACAATTGCTATGATTCCAGAATTAGAACATGAATATTTTTTTATAGAATGGAAAATTTAATTTACTCTACTTCATTTTTTTAGTGATGCTATTGTATCGCAAGTTCTTGACGAATTGGGTCTACAATTAACAGACCAGTTATCAGGATTACCTCAAGCTTCAGGTTCATTAAGTGTTGCGGGATCAAAACAACCTGTAGCAGCAGCAGCTGGCGATGATAGTACTAATGGTGGAAATCTTGCAGATGCTGATGCAGATCTTCAAGCGAGACTTGAAAATTTGCGTAGGGAATAAAAAAAATATGTATAAAAATATTTGAGCAAAGACATTATTAAGTTTTAATCTACTATAATACTATGAAAAAGAACGAAAAAAGTTAAGCTATTATAAATTTACACAGCTAAAATAAACAATGCAACAAATGAATAATTTATTAATGTAGAAAAATAAATGCTTTTTATATTGTCTTAAATGCATAAATGTTTGAAAGTATATGAATTCTTATGATTTTAGGAAAAAATATAGAATAAAAGTTATTTACTTCTAATAAATAATGTATGTATAATAATTTTAATAGAAAGAGAAATAAAACGCTGTACACAATTTAAACACGAAATGTCAAGTTCATTTTTTATTAAATTTATTTTTATTACTCGATCTATAATTTTGATGGGAATTAATTTTTATTCCTAGAATCATTATAAATATACAATTTAAGCACTAAAACATAATTTAAAAATGCGCATTATGTACGTATATGTTTGTATTGTTTGAATTATAAAATTTTATTTCATTCATTATTTTTATTATATTATTCTTCTTTTGCTATACTACAAATAATTATATTTTTAGTGATACTTTTTTAAATTTATTAGCTCGTTAATTATTTTATATACATATTGTCAATTATTGAGTAGAAAATATCAATAAAACAATTTTTAAAAAAATAAGCTGAATTAATAAATTTTGAAAATCATTTCCATAATAAATAACATAACAAATGTAGAAATAAATACGTATCTATTTTAAATAGAAAATTAAATTCATTCAATTAAATTGAAATTTTTAAATAAATATTGAATAAGAATAAAATATAATAATAATAATATACCCTGACTTGATTGATCCTATCTTTTAACTCATATTTATAGTATTTATATCTTTTATTGATATGCTCAACGAACAATTGTTTAAACATTTTTACTCTTACATTTATAATTTTTTTATAAAATGATTTCTTTAAATAATTATTTATAATTTATCTCTATAAAAATTATTTACATAGTAATATAAACAAATACTAGTTAGTTTTACTGTATATTATAAGAATATAAATGATATTTATCATAAAATATTCTAAATTATTGACAGAAAGAAACCAATGAACACTATGGTAAATTATTAGATTAATAAATGAATAATTAATTAATTTATAAATTTTCATACCGCTACCTCATATAGATAAGTATTAATTAATGTGTTAATACTATTACAATACGTATATAATCTGTTATATTCATTCTTAAAATGTTGGTCAAGCTGTGTCATTGATATTCTTCTTATTTCTACTATTATTATTATCATTATTATTTAATATACCCAAACAATTAACCGATTTAATGATATATTAATGATACTCAATTATATGAGTCACCTAATAAACTGTGCGTTTTAATTGTTTACTTGAATATACATATAATTTATTTGGGAATCTTTGAACCGATTAAATACTTTATTTGTTTATAGTACATATTTACACATTGTTAAAGCTTTACTAGTCGACCATTTTCTTCTAAATACTCTTATAGAGACGTTTCCTTTTAAATAAAACTTTAATTTCCTACTTATTGTTAGAAAATTAATAAATAATAAAAACTAAGTCAAATAGTCCAGACCTGAACTTTTTCTGCGACAATACACCAGTTGGCATGGTCATAATATGATGAAATAATATGTAAATTCTCGACATACTTATTTATTAATTGATCTAATTCGCCTTCTCGGAAAACATGATAATATTGATGATATTTTACTGCCCCACCTTCACGGTCTGATGGTAATGATTCTTGAGATGAAGATTCAGAAAAATTATGAGATTTAAATTCGTCAAATCGATTATCATGGACTGCTTCTGTAGTTTCCTCAGATACTGATCGTTGTCCAAATTCGTGTGATCTTTTCTCTTTCAAGTTTTTATTGTACATAACATTAGCAGACTCAAATAATGTATTTGACGAACTACATGATTTATGACTAGTGTCCGAATCATTATTTATTTTCAATGTATTATTAAGATTACTCTTACTATCACTAGAGTCAAGAGAAGAATTATTAGTATTAAATTTCATTGATTTTTTATTTTCTTCTATTTCTCCAGTGTTTGAAACTATTACAAAATCCATATCATCAGATTCTTCACGAGTAACTTCATTATTTATTTTACTATTAAGAGTTAATTTATTGTCATATTCTGAAAGATTCTGATTACCAGTTGAATTTTGAAGCCAAGCAATAGTATTATCAACTAATGCATTATATTTGCAATTAGAAATTTCAATATTTTTTGAATTCATTGAAACATCTGTTATTTTATCATTTAACATAAAATCTAGATCATTATTTAATTCTAATCGTTTTCTTTGGCAATACTGATCAATGTCATTAATCAAATTTTCACTCAATTTATCAGTGAAATCAATTAAATCACGCTTACATTCTTCATTCCATGTTTTGTCGTCAACGGAATTTCCGTGTTGTTTTTGGTTTTCAATGAATGATTGCACAACATTTTCAGGCTGTTTAGAAACTTCGTGTAAACTATCTGAATCAGATCTTGTTTTAATTACTTGGTCTACAGCATTTTCTAGAGAACTCGCAACATTTGCTGCAGCTTCGAGCAATTTAGAAGATTGTGATGACGTTGGAATTTCATTATTTTCATTGGGTACTGTATTATTTTTTGTATTTTTACCATTAGATTTTCGAACTTCGGATTCTGGAACTAGAGTACCGTTCTTCTTAACAATGAATTTTTCATCAGATATAACACTGATTACAGAATCACCAGATTCAGGAGAAGAAACTCCGCTCGAATCACTATCTAAATCATCAGTTTCTGGATTAAACAGTTCTAGGGACAATAGTCTTGGTAGTGTTTTTGCAACTGTTTCTAATCTTCCAACTGTAGCAGTTGATGCTCTCCTCACAAGTGGGAATGCAGGCTTTGAATACCTTGTAGCAAATCCTGGCTTTTGTTTTAATAATTCTTTTATTTGGTTTAATCTTGTTTTTCTGGAATCTTCATCCTCAGTTGAATCATTTTTGGATTTTTCAACTAATTTGTTAGATGATAATTTAGGTGTTGAATTTTTGGTGGATTTTACATTTTTATCGACAACAAGACTAGCAGTTGATGGACTACAAGCTATTGGAGGTTTAGTAGTTATCGGTTCAGGCGGATGATCCTCTACTTTGTCTTCAATTTTTTCAACATTTTCTGGTTCTACTGGCTTATCAGTTGTTTGTGTGTCATTATTTGTTTGAGAATCTATTTCAGGTGGTGGTGTTACTGGTTCTGGTTTTACTGGTGGTACGTTAGTTGGATGATCAAAACTATAACTCAAGCTAGGAATTTGACTGTTGAAAGAAAGCCGACTATTGAATGAATTAAGCGTACGCGGAGATAATCCAGGTGGACTGGGAGGTGGCAATGACTTACTTGTAGCCGGAAATTGCTTTAACAATGGTGAAATTGAAATTAACTTGAATCGTGGTCCATGAAGATCCGGCGGATATTTTATTCGAGGTGACGGTGGTGCAGAGGTCGTTCTTAACTGTTCATGTCCGGAGGTTGTTGGCATCATGTCAATTGGTGGAATATCCTTCTTTGGCACATAAATAACCGACACAAAACTATCTTCAGAATCAACACTAGCATCACTTTGAAGGCTGCTATCTTTTGATGAATCTGATCCATCTTCTCTTGATAACCTACGTTCAGTTTCTGGTTCTTTTTTTGTCACCGTTGATGATAATTTTTCAACTTTTAGCTTAGAGTCTTCAAAAACTTGGTCATCTTGATTATCACTATTGTTAGTAGTATTATTATATTGTAAATCAGATTTCCAGCTCTGTAGAATTTTAACAAAACCGTTTTTTATGGAAATAGATGCTACTTTTTCCAAACTAGTTGTAGATTGCTTGATCCGGTTGGTAAGGCCACTTTTTAACAACTGAAATCGTCGAGTCGTTGCACTAGATGATATAGAATCCTTTAAATTTTCGAACATATGATTTTCACGGAGCATTTCTTCATTAAGTGATGCTTGTTTCATAATATTACGGCGTACAGACTCACGTTCCACTAAACGTTCCATTGACATAAGTTCTTCATTCATCGAACTTTGTTTGCATACATTTCCACGTTTTTTTGATAAATTTGACGATATCTAAATAAATAAAGTAGAGTTAATATTTTTTTATATTAGATGAGACTACTAAATATACTTACTCCTAATTCTGTAAGATCATTCATAAGTTCACGTATGGCAGTGTCAGAACCTTCTTCTAAATGTTCTTTATCTTCTTGAGACATTTTTTTAGTTAATTGTGGCTTAGAAGTAACCAAAAGTTCATTAATATCAGATTTATCTTCACATTCTACTTCTGTAGTAACAGTTGAACATAAACCTGGAATACTAGATCTTGATCGAACAATATCTGTTCTCTGAATTTCAACAATATCACCTAAACTTTTAGATTTAATACTCAATGAATCATTTCCTTTATTTATAATTAGATGTTCATCTTCAAGACGACGAAGTTCAATAGGTATATCATCAACGTCAGAATTATCATCAGGATCGAAATGTTGATGCTGATTTTTGTATCCCCCACCATGTAAGGACTCTAGAAACCATGATCGATTGCCAGAATGTCGCTTACCACCTGCTAATTTCTAGAAGAAAAATTTTTTTCGATAAAAACAATTTTATTAATAATCCAGAAAAAATAAAGATTCAATTAATAATCGAACCTGCAAAGCACGACGAAAAAAGCTGTAACAAGTTTCATTTGGACTAGAAAGACTACTGGTTGATGGAGATGGACTAAAAATAGGATCAATCCAATATCTCCGACTTTTGCACTTTTGCCAATTCGTTTTTGATTTTAAGATGCACTTTTGACTTGGCTGATCCCGGTGAGAATCAATGCAAGGGAATTTACTGCCGCAATTACATGTTGAATTCAAGCAATACGCTTTTGGCCATGGTATTAAAACATCTTGGGATTCAAACTAATATAAAACAAAATATACGGTATTATAAAACATTACTACTTTATTATTAATATTATAAATACCTTTCTATGTTTTTGTTCCATCGCCCAAACAGAAATAACTAGTTTTCCTCCAATTCGGAGCACTCGAGCTAATTCTTTTAATGCATTCACGCGTCTTTCAGTGGTAGCAAAGTGATGAACTACAGCAATTGATAAAACTGCATCGAAACTTTCGTCTCGAAATGGTAATGCCAAATTGTCGCATAATAGTACCTACATTTAATGAAGATGAATATTTATGATATTTTATCAATTTATTTATTAAATTAAATAAATAAGGAAGTTAATTAATACCTCGTTTTGTTTTTCTCTGGCAATACTAGTTAGTCTTTTACACCTGTCAGCTCCAATTTTAAATATACTATTGTTAATATTCAAATATTTACCATTTCCACAGCCTAGAATATTAATTAAATATTAGTTAATAAATGATTATATCAATTGACGTACAGTAATGTATAATAATGCATTTGCAAATGGGTTATTATTGGATCAGATAATGAAATTAATTTACCAATATCACAAACTAAAGCACCAGGCTCAAGTTCTTCAAGAAATTTATAAATTCGCGGCCAATGCCGACTTTGTGTAGTTTTACCAGCACATTGTTCATAAACTTCATGGACGTATGCCTGCTCCAAGGCCACAGACCGAGCTGTCGCTTCTCCTTCGCTTTCAGACATAACTCAGAGCTATGATGGTATGGCCTCATCAAAATATGTAGCCAACATACTGCAATCAGAACATAAATTATCATTTTATTATCTCATTTGTTAGAATAGAAACTAAAAGATTATTTCAATGATAAACCTTTTTCTATTTTTTTCTTTTTTCTAATTTTAAATTATGAATAAATAAATAAATTATTTATTTATCATAATAAATTATTGAAGTTATAAAATATTTTAAAATTCATAATCAGTCGGAAGACAACCACAATGAAAAAGATCTTTTAAAATTTTCAAAATACGTCTTTCAATTCGTAAATTTTCAGAATTTCGTGGTGGATTAAATCGTCTTTTATATTCATTATTATCATCACTTTCTCGAAGATGTTTTATGTTACAATCCTGACACCAACGTAAGAAATCAGCGGAATCTTCATCACGAACAAATGTCACAATCGCCCAAAGAGTATATAAATCTCGCAAATTATTTTTGCGAATTTGAAAATAATGTTGACAAACATCTAAAAAACTCATGAGGTCTAAAATTTTATTCCTATCCATCAATACTTCTAAATCAACCTTTCTAAATTATTTTTTCTGTATTAAAAAAAATATTTCATATCAATTTAAAACTTTATAAATTTAATTAATTCGTTTATTTAATTAATAAATAGTTTTTAAAAGCTATCTTTATTTATTTAAATATTTAAAAGAATAAAAGTAACATTGCAGAGATAGATTTATTGGAAACTTTCGATGATACGTTTAGGTTGTGATGTCGTGGTCGACTAAGGCAAACAGGTGGATGGACCATCGAGTTTTCTCCTTGTCCTAATGAAAAGCAACCCCCTTAGTGTCCCTCTATACCTCTACAACTACCTGTAGACCACCCTCATATAGAGGGACATTGACGATGCATTTTACTGACGACTTGATTGCCTCAGCGGCTGCGCGATGAAATCATTCGATATCCCTTTCAAATAACTAGGTTAGTATCAGTGCACTAATTTTAATAAGTTTATTCCATACCCACGTGTTTTAAATATTTTTTTCTTATTTTACAATAATTAAATATCAAAAAATACATTTAGACTTTTTCTCTAAAGTATCTGGAAAATATATTCATCTCAATGAAGTCTGATATTACTTAACTATCAATTAAGTTTTATTGGAGTTGGTAAAGAAGTCCTTAGCTTCAATCAAGGCTTTTCAAATTGAAAAAATTACTAGTTTATATTTTTAGTTATTTTAAGTTATTTATAATATTGTATATTGAATAAAATAATTAACAAATTATTTGTGAAAAAATAAAAAAAATTATGCCAATTTATTTATATAAAATTTAATATAATTTTATATTATTAATTGATTTAATTTTTTTCATGTAGAAAAAGTAAAATAGTATTATATAGCAAAATATTTCTTTTATCGTTGTATAGATACTGATGGATGGAGCTTGTGACGTCACTTCATTGTTAAAAGTTATTGGATTAACTGAGTACTAGTTGAATTATCAAGGAATGCAATAATATTCATTTTATAATTTTATCATTAAATACAGTTCATGGTTTAAGCAACCTATTTAAATGGATATTGAAAAAAAAAATCCATTGAAACCTTTTCATCTCAGAGCTCTAAATTTATCAATAAATGCATTTTATCAGCTTTTTGGAGCAATGATTTTATAAAATACAGATTTATGTTGGAAACAATTGAAAAATTGAATAGTTATTGTTTGAATACCAATTGAATATGAGTTAGTGATTACGTGAACTATGTAAATTGGTACTGCAGAGTAATTCAAACTTTTAAAATTGGTTTTTCACCTTATAATATCAAGTCAAGGCTATCAATACTTATTATGGTTATCAAGAAACTACAATCCTACATGTAATAAAAAAAAATAATATAATAAATAAATTTAAATATAATTGAGAACAAAAAACTAACACTTAATTTTAATTCATTTAGAACTTTAATGTGAACTTTCATTTTAACTTCTTGTCATATTGCAGTAATAATTATTTATATTGAATATTACTCATAAGTTCTTATGACAATTGTATGCAGATATATAATTATATCCTAGAAACCTAAATTGGATCGTATCATCGTGTTCTAGTTGTATCTCATAAAACAGAAATCGAACAAGGTTACAATGTGGTTTTTGATAATCATTAAGTCTTTGTTCATGTAAAACAATAGATTAATTTTTTTATTTTTTATTGTATGTTAATTTTTATTTCATTATTTTTTGTTTTTGTTCTTTTCATTTTTTAATACTAAGATATATATTTTCATTTGAAAAAATAAATACAATTGAATAAAAGTAAATTTAAAATAATAAATTAATATTTAGTAAGTAGAGATATTTAATATGATATTCAGTTAAAAGTAGAAATCATGAAAAAAATTTCCATAATTAAAAGTTTCTTCTTTTATTGAAAAAAAAAAAAAATTTGTAAAGCATGAATTTTTTATAGTAAAAAAATGGCAATGTTTCCGTGTAAGGGTGTTAGCCATGAATGAAAGTAGCACGTATCGATTTACCCCCTCCATTTCGTTCATACAAAATACAATAAAGATAAAACCTAAATGAAAATTAAAATTAATCATTTTTATGATATTATTAAATCATCGTTAACTATTTGTATTATCTCTATCAGTGAGCATTTATATAATAATAATAAGGGTCATGAGTAATATTAATATTTTGTAAGAGGAAAAAGTTATTAAAAAAATTAATTGGAGTATTTTTTATGGAATTTCCAGGTATGTAGAATATAAATAAACTAAATGAGCACTTGAAGATATGAAAATCAATAACGAAAATGAAATTGAATATTTTTTGTGTAAGAAGCATATGGCATAGGTCATCAGAGTAATAGATCAATGGAACAATTGGCAAGATATATACTTATATAGCAACCCCCTCAATGCGTTTTATTAAAAGTATTGTGCATTTCCTCCTTTGAATTAATTCAATTAATTTTTGAAAATGTTTTTAGCCCATATACTTATTGTTTCAAAAATATTCTATAATAAATGCTCTAAAAACTAATAAAAAATAAAAGAAATTTAAAAAAATCATTTTTTCCTCCATTTCGATAATTAAAAAAAAAAATTAAACTTAGATTTATATTTAATGGAGCATAATTAATACTCGTGCATTATAATTGATTAATCTGAGCTCTGAAAGATTTGAATGATTGAGGGAAATGTGAAATAAAAATGGAAATATTAAAAATTGCCAACTTTCTTTACTTACCATAGTCATAATAATTTTACTACCATTTTTCAATTATTTTTAAGAACGATTTAAACCTAAAATTACACTGATAGTATTTCGAATTATTTGATAACATTATTATTACAGTGGTTAATGTATATATGTATGTATATTAACTGTATCCATAATAGATTAGTTTAAAATCAAGTTTATTGATCTTAATTTCACTCGGTACATAATAAAACATTCATGCACTAAACATCAAATGCAGAATTTTTCTCATAAAAACAATGAATAATTTTGTAGATTTTCGAAAGAAAACAGTAACCGAGAAGAAACGAACATGTTACTAACGCACGTAATGCTTTTCTCACAAGTTCTAGGGTTGCAAGGATTCCTTACTATAAGGGGTTGGAGGGTTGAAATGTAGTTTTATATAGTGGGGGTAACTTTGTCAAGTCACAGCTAGCGACATCTTTCATGAAAATACTCAAATAATGGATTTTCATCCAAACTTGACGTCATAACCTCTAACTTGTTCTGCTCAATACTTTTCATTTTGTCTTTTTTTTCATTTTATCTAAATAAAAATATATATTTCCATATAGTGATTTATTGTTATTCAAGATAATGCATCATTTAAATTTATAATAAAAACATATTTGCAATTATTCTTTTTGATCAATGCAAATCTTTGTTTCTTTTTTCCAGGCAATTTTTTTATTTTCATATGAAAAATGATATTGAAGCTGTGGGTAAAATTTAAGAGTGGGTAAATTTGAAACCACGTGATTATTACGTATTTCCGTTATGTCTATTTTTAGACATTTTAAGGACACTTCCGGATACGATGCCAGGGTAAATTACTCGTACGATAAATGTATATGTACATACCGTATATATGTATATGTGTACATAAACACCGGAACATAACTACGTCATTGCAGTATGTATTTTATGTAGTTTTTATTGAGAAGTTTTTTATTTACTTTTTACAGATTACTCTTCTTTTTCAGAATATCATTTTAATTACAAAATAGAAGAATGGGATTTGTAAATAGTAATTTAGAATAGTCATTCTATTTCATTCTAAATATTATCATCGTGTTCTCACAAGAAATATCAAGGTATAGACTTTCACTATTTGTCTCGACGAAATAGATAACAATTCATTGGCGTAGTATGAACTAGAATCGTGGAAATATTACACATTTATTTAATGAGAACTGAAAAAATGATAAACAATGAATGTACAGGTAAAAGCTGAGATTGGGGGTTAGGTGAGATACGATGAATATAATACTTTCAAAAAACTCACCTGAGTAAATTGAAAATAAAAATGTTATGTCATATTGAATATATAGGAAATTGAAAGTAAAAAGAAAAAAATAAATCAAAATTGAATAGAAAGAAAGGGGAAAGTAAATATAAATGTATTTAAACGACTACAAAAAAGATTATTAACTCCAGTAAAGCCAATGACTGATAATAATTTATAAAAACTTGAGTTATCTTGATGAAGAACAGAAGTCTGTTGAAACTTTTTTTGGAGTAAAGAAGTTCAGAATTACTCTTAAAATCATTTTTTTATTTAAAATACATCTTATAAGTGAATTTCTTAAAACAATTTGTTATCAGACCTAACTCTCAATAATTAATTAAGTATATTGCAAGTAAATTTGAATTACTTTCTCCCTATAATTCAAATCATTTGAAATTCTGCTTAGTTATCTAACAAATATAATAATAACAATCAAAAAAGTTTTTAAATTAATATATTCAAAAAATATTGATTGTTTCGAAATAATTGTTAATATAAAATATCATCATTGTTATAATAAATAATTAATTAATGTAAATATTTTCAGGTAATCTTTGTAATAGTTGTCCAATATCTTGGGATTGTTTTACTCTACTTCATCACCTTCAATAACAAGAGAGAATAAATTTCAATGTTTAACGTCTATATTTCATAGAACTTAAATGAGACAATTCGCTTGTGAATGGCCGGGAAAAAGGTGAGGAGTAGTGGAATCTACTATAAATTTATTGTGTGTACATGAGAATGTATTGATGTAGATTGAGTGTGTAAGTAGAAAGAAAACTGTTTAATAGTGATCTTACTCTATACCATGTAGTGGCTGTTTGCGAGTGTAAAAATGAAATGGGGCATTGGGTGAAAGTAAACTTCTCGACTTGATACATCAATTGAGTCTTAAGTATATCAGATTAGTTGTTTTCAGTCGATCCAAAGGTGAACAGGTATTATCACTGATATCATTATATTTTTTCCATTTAAAATATTTGTGTTAATACGGTTCATCTGTTTGTGGATATAATTGTTAAAAAATGCTAAAAAAGTGATTATCAAATAGTGCTGACCAATGAGAGTGTTTTTTTTCATATTTTATCAATCCCTTCTACTTTTTACTAAGGAATTAAATACCTGAGACATGCTACTATTATTTTAGTCATCAACAACAGTCAATCCAGTCAACAACTATTTTTGAAACGGAAAACAACTCATGCAACGATGTCAATCATGTCTAATAAATGGTGCATTTTTTTAACATTCATATTTATTATCGGTGGGTGTTTAACTCTTGAAAATGGATTGGCAAGAACCCCTCCCATGGGTTGGTTAGCGTGGGAACGGTTCAGATGCAATACAGACTGTAAAAATGATCCTGACAATTGTATTAGGTAATTCAACTTTAATTTTTATTAGTTCTTTTTTTTATTCAATGTATTTATTATACTCAAACAATATTTTACCAAGTTCACATTTGATGTAGGTCAATGTTTTCACTTTCGTGCGTGTTTTGATCAATATCTCATCTTCTGTTCAACAACTTGAACATGTTAATTCCATTTGACTTCATATAAAATTATCTAGTTTTTTAATTAACATATGAAACTTAAAAAAAAGTCTTTACGCTTATTAACTATATTTTTCACAATAATAATTTATCAGACTTCAATGACTGATTCAATCATATCTATTGCACATGTTTTATGTGCTAGAAAAATCAACGATATACAAAATGATGAACAAATATGTAAGCTAACAATAAGTTATGTAAAAAGAAAATTCTTTTTTCTCATGTTAACAATTCCATAATTATAATTACACATTTTCATATTTAGTTATATAAAAGTCATTGTTAAATAGATAAAAATCTCATTAGTGACAATAAAATAATTTCTTTCGTAAAAAAAAAGAAATTGTAAATAATAACCATTCAACATTGTTTATTAATTATTGCAGTGATCAATTATTTCGAACAATGGCAGACTTAGTAGTAGCTGAAGGCTATGCAGACGTTGGGTATGAATATATTAATATCGACGACTGTTGGATGGAGAAAAATCGTGCGGCGAATGGCGACATAGTACCTGATCATCAAAGATTCCCATATGGGTTAAAAAGTCTCAGTGATTATGTAATAATCCTTATAAGTCCTACTCTTTTTCCATTCTTACATTTCTTTATCAGCAAATAATTTTATTATTCGATCATCATTCCATTTGATTATTTTCTAAATTTTTCTTTCACAGATTCACGCTAAAGGATTGAAATTCGGTATTTATGGGGATTATGGTAATTATACATGTGCTGGTTATCCAGGAATTTTAGGATACATGGAAAATGATGCCGCAGCTTTTGCTGCTTGGGATGTTGATTATGTTAAACTCGATGGATGTTACGCAAACGCATTAGATATGGATCGAGGTAAATTCATATTTTATATATATGTATTATACATATATAAAAATGTAAATATTTATGTAAATTTTTAGGCTATCCAGAATTTGGATACCATTTAAATCAGACAGGAAGACCAATGATTTATTCATGTAGCTGGCCAGTTTATCAAATTTACGCAGGCATAAGTGTAAGAAATCAATATTTCATTCTTTCTTTTATATTGCGTATATACTAAAATAGCAAGGAAGCCAAGAATAAATATTTGAAATTTCATGTATTTCACTGAAAAACTCCGCTTTATAAATAGTTTTATATGATAGTAAAAACTTGGCAAGTTATAAATTTTTTTATCTAGTATTCAATACTTTTCATATCAATAATTACATAACCGTGAGAATCAGTTAAATTAAATACGAAGTATTGCAGTAAATATACAGTGAATAAATAACTGGACGTAGTTAAAATCATTTTCTTTGTTCAACAGCCTAACTTCTCAGCTATTATTCATCACTGTAATCTCTGGAGAAATTACAATGATATTCAAGATTCTTGGGCAAGTTTAGAATCAATCATCGATTATTACGGCGATCATCAAGATGACATAATACCAAATGCTGGTCCAGGACATTGGAATGACCCAGACATGTTAATTGTTGGCAACTTTGGACTTAGTTATGAACAAAGTAAAACACAAATGGCTCTATGGGCTATTTTGGCTGCTCCTCTTTTAATGTCAGTTGATCTCAGAACTATTAGACCCGAGTACAAGGCCATTTTACAGAATAAAAAAATTATTGCTGTAGATCAAGATCCTTTGGGTATTCAGGGTCGACGAATTTACAAGGTTTGTATGGATCATTTATCCGCAAAATTTTTGAAACAATTATTAACGGTTAATTGTTAATTGATTTCAGCATAAAGGTATTGAAATCTGGGCACGACCAATTACTCCAATCTACCAGTCTTATTACTCTTATGCAGTAGCTTTCTTGAATAGAAGAACAGACGGTACACCTTCAGATGTATCAGTCACGCTTAAAGAATTAGGTCTTCAATATCCGGGAGGTTATAGAGTTGAGGTAAATCATATCGTATAATTAATTTGTTTATCGTCTGAATTAAAAGCTATTTAATAAATGTGTTATTTTTCCAGGATTTATATGAAGATGTTGACTATGGTATTTTGACACCACAAACGAAAATTAAAGTGAAAGTAAACCCATCAGGAGTAGTCATATTACGTTGTGACGTTCATCGTGATCATCTATTTTCACGAAGTCAATTATTACAATCATTCTCACCACTACAATCAGTTTTTAATGTTAGACAAAACACCTTCGAATAGATTTACATATCAATTATTAGTAATTTTTTTTATAATTTTCCATAATGTTTTATAATTTTGTAATTTGTTTATGAATGAACAAGTAAAATGTTTACGACACCAATAATTTGTAAATAACGCAATTTTTTCTGATATATTGGAAAAAAATAAATAATTGTTCAAACAATATTTGAATTATAGATTTTTTCCATTAAATATTCATTGAATATATTAAATAGCACAGGTAAAAATTGCTATTCATATTTGGAGATCTAAATTAGAACTCAAGGTTTTACCCTTGTAACACAGTCCATTCTCAAGATAACATTTCGTTGAGAAGAAAAATATTAAATTTTTTAAAATTCATTCTAGTTCTTTGTACGAGGGTTAAATTTTCAATGGTATACTTCATTCAGTTTATATTAATTCAACATCGGGTTTATTCGTGAATAGTGGGGATGTAGAGATTCATAGCCGAATATCTACTTCTCGATCGACTTTATATACCTAATAGAGGGAAGTTTGCATGTGTACATCAATATTATAACCTAAACATAAGAATAAATTCATTCATAAAACAAGTATTGTTCAGTGATTATTAATAGTTTATTGTTTTTATTATAATTCTAAGTAGAATAATAAATTAATATATTAAAAACTGGCTGATTTTTTATGAATATTAGAAAATAAATACATAGCCAAAATGAAGACTGCTTTAATGGTTGCAGAAAAACCATCTCTTGCTGCATCTTTAGCAAATATTTTAAGCAATGGTCGTTGTTCATCTAGAAAAGGTATTTTCACATTATTTGACAAATTTTAATGAAAGTATCAATTATTTTTAATTAATTATACTCTAATGAGCAAATATTTTTTTTACTAGGAATGAATGGATCGTGCTCTGTTCATGAATGGGTTGGTCAGTTTAGATCAGAAACAGTTAATTTTAAGATGACATCAGTTTGTGGTCATGTAATGACTCTAGATTTTATAGGAAAATACAATAATTGGGATAAAGTTGATCCAGTAAGTACAGAGAATCTTTAATATTTAGAACTCTAAAAAATTATTTTCGTTCATTGATTGTAAACTGACATTTTTTTTCTCACAGGCAGAATTATTTTCTTGCCCAACTGAAAAGAAAGAGGCTGTACCAAAATTAAAAATGCCTGCATTTCTTGCTAAAGAAGGATCTCATTGTGATTATTTAATCTTATGGTTAGATTGTGATAAAGAAGGTGAAAATATTTGCTATGAAGTTATTCAAGCTGTCCAATCAGGAATGTCACGACGTCTTAGTTTCAATGTAATTCTAATTTAACAATTCAATAATTCATATAAAAAGTTATTTGGTTAAATATAATTACTAATTATAGATATCTTAATAAATAATAGGACATATGGAGAGCACATTTTTCAGCTATTACTGAACGAGATATTAAAGCTGCTTTAAATAATCTTGGCAAGCCAAATGAAAATGAAGCTAAAAGTGTTGATGCACGACAAGAACTAGATTTACGTATTGGTTGCGCTTTCACTCGATTTCAAACCAAATTTTTTCAGGTAATATTTTTCACACATATTGGAAAAAAAAATTTTGACTAATGATATTACTATAAAATCAAATATTAAATTTTATAGGGAAAATATGGTGATTTAGACGCTTCATTGATATCTTATGGTCCGTGCCAAACTCCAACATTGGGATTTTGTGTTCAACGTCATGATGAAATTCAAACATTCAAACCTGATCCATATTGGGTGTTACAAGTAATAATTAAAGTCCACAATAATCAAGAATTAACTCTCAATTGGTCACGAGTACGATCATTTGATAAAGAAGTTGCTAATATTTTTCTGAACCATGTAAAAGAACACACTGAAGCGACGTAAGGTTAATTTACAATTCACATGGCAAAAAAAAAGGTTTTTTAAAGAAGAAAATTACTTTTCTACTGTGTTACTAATTGCATAAATTTTATTTCTAGAGTTGTCAGCATTCAAAGTACAGAAAAAACGAAATCCAGACCAATTGCATTGAATACAGTTGAATTAATGAGAGTTGCAAGTTCTGGCTTAGGAATGGGACCGCACCACGCAATGCAAATTGCCGAACGACTTTATACTCAAGGATATATTAGTTATCCTCGTACAGAAACCACTTCGTATCCTGAGAATTTTGATTTTATGTAAAATTTTGTTAATTTTATTAATTTATTTAACTAGCATATTATACATTTTAAATTTTATAAACAAAAATATTATATTTTTATTAGATCAACTTTGAGACTTCAACAAAATAATTCCGAATGGTCTGACGAAGTACGTAAAATATTAGCCAATGGTATAAATCGTCCAAAAAAAGGCCATGATGCTGGAGATCATCCGCCAATTACACCAATGAAGTCTGCTACAAGGAATGAATTAGATGGCGATTGTTGGAGACTTTATGATTATATTACACGACATTTTATTGCCACGGTACTTAAAGCTATTGCTTGAAATTTTATAATTAAATTTGAATCGAAATAAAATTTATCATAAAATTTTTTCTTTTAAGCTTTCAAAAGACTGTAAGTATTTAAGTACAACAGTAAAATTTGGAATTGGATTTGAAACATTTTTCGTCACGGGTCAATCAGTAATAGACCCTGGGTATACAAAATTACTAACCTGGCAATCAATTAATGAAAATAATTGCCTACCACAGTTTAATTACAATGAGAAATTCAATATTAATGATGTAAAGTTACAAGAATATTATACACAGCCACCAGATTATTTGACTGAATCTGAATTAATTACTTTGATGGAGAAACATGGAATTGGTACTGATGCATCAATTCCTATTCATATTAATAACATTTGCACAAGGAATTATGTTACTGTTGTTGCTGGACGTAAATTAGTTCCTACATCATTGGGAATTGTTCTAGTTCATGGATATCAGAAGGTAAAAATTAAATAAATAATTTTTTTTACATTACTTCAAAAATTTAAAATTCAATATTGCATTAAATATTTTACGAATTCTAGATCGACCCTGAATTAGTATTACCGACAATGAGGTCTGCCGTAGAAGAGCAATTAAACTTAATAGCACAAGGTCGAGCTGATTATTATGCAGTCTTAGATCATACTGTAGAAATATTTAAACAAAAATTCCACTACTTCGTTAATAATATTGATGGTATGGATCAACTATTTGAAGTATCATTCTCGCCGCTCTCAGCAACAGGAAAAGCTTTATCGAGATGTGGAAAATGCCGTCGATACATGAAATATATTCAAACTAAACCTTCACGTTTGCATTGTGCTCATTGTAATGAAACATACAATTTACCGCAAAATGGAAATATCCGTATTTATAAAGAATTAAAATGTCCATTAGATGATTTTGAATTATTATCATGGTCTACTGGAGCTCGAGGTAAAAGTTACATTTTCTGTCCGTATTGCTACAATAATCCACCGTTTCGTGACATGAAGAAAGGAAATTTAGGCTGCAATTCATGTACTCATCCAACTTGCCCACATGGATTGAATTCCAATGGTTTATCTAGTTGTTTGGAATGCGATCATGGAATTTTAGTATTAGATCCGTCATCTGGTCCAAAATGGAAGCTTGGGTGTAATCGATGTGATGTCATTATACACTTTTTTGAAAATGCTCACAAAGTTACAATTGATGCTGATGTTTGTGATGAATGTGGCGCTCAATTAGTCACTGTTGAATATAAACAAGATAAGAGTAAATTACCTAATGAAGCTACGGAAATGACCGGATGTGTATTTTGTACACCCGCATTTATGCAATTAATCGAAAAGCATCGTGCTGTTGCATCAAAACCAGTAGTTACACGACCTCGAGGTCACAATAAAGGTCGAAATCGAAGAAAATTACGACAACCAAAAGATAAAATGGCACAATTGGCTGCATACTTTGTATAAAAGGAATTCATCAATTTTTTTTCTAAGAAACACTACTGCAATTAAATTATTTGTAAAATGATTTTTAAAATATTTTGAAAACTTTTGTAGTATTTATTTATTTTTTTTCATTAATGAAGATCAGTTTTTTTTCAATAATTTAGACTGCAATTTATTTAAATATTATTTCCTAGACTGTTCCATAAATCTTGCAGATAATCCTTTATACTTTTTATAGTTTCAATTAAATTAAAAAATTTTAACTAAAATCTATAAATAAACAAACGAAGAAAAATTCTCGATAAATTGTGTTAATTTTCTACACTGAAAAACTTAAATTCGCATAAAAAAATAGAAAAAGATTTAAAGTTGAAAGGTAAAGAGACAGAAAATATTTTCAAACATCACATGATATATTTTTAAACTGCATTTTCATTTATTCTCTTTTCTTTCAGATTCTTTCATTCAGTTCATTTCTATTTTCTTTATTTTCACTATTCATTTTCCCCAAAATATGTCAACATGATTGGCCAAGTGAAAATACAAGGTATTTTGAGCGGAAACATTCCACTCCGATACAATTATTGACCAGTTAAGCAGTTAAAATGCAGTGACAAAGTTACTGTAGAGGATAAAAAAAACTATTTAATCTTGATTTAAATTTAATGTATTTAATTTCCCATGTGTAAAACAAAATTTTCGGGTTGGTGCTTATGCGTATGCGTGTTGATGAAGACTGCGGAGACAGGGGAATCCTGGGAGGTGTAAGAAAGACAGAAAATCAGCAGAAAGAGGGAGTTACGAGTTACCGGAGTGAGTTAGTGATTCTAGAAGAGATATTTAGTGTCAGTTTTTGTTAGGGTTTTATACTTATCACATGCACCATTAACATGTTTCTGATATTATTTTCAAAATTTTACTAGTATGTTTGTGAAATAAGTGATATTCAAAGTGATGAAAACAATACAAAAATGTATTTTTAACTAATTAATAAGCATTCTAAATAGGTTTGTTATCGAGAAAGTGCAACAATTCACTCAAATGCATTGAATGATCTAAAACGGCTCTGAAGAGTCTTTTAATCATGATTAATATAGATTCTAAATACTTCCTATTAAACATTAATTTATGCAAAATATAATATTAACATCTGTCCAATGATTTATTGGAGCAATGATATTATTAAGCATCATGTGAATGTAATTAAAATTAAAAACAGTCAACAAATAATCTAAAGCATGAGCAGGACGTTTCAAATTCGACAAATGATTGTTTTTTTAATTTTTCTTGGAGTTTTTCATCTATCTGGCCAATTTTATGTTAATGATCAGTTATCATCATTAAAATCGTTCTGCACTATAACAAATAATGCACAAGAATTTGACTGCCGTGGAATTGGATTAAAAAGTATTGAAGTAGGCCTAAAAACCCAATTAAGATTGGCTATAAATACCACGAAAATGTGAGTATCGTTGAATACAGATTTTTTTTGTTTTAATCGTAATATTTGTTTTTATTCTTTGTTATATAGATCAACTGAAAACATTTTTTATGTAATAAAATTTTACTACATAATAAAGGAGTATTTCTTCCAGGCTAAGGAGGGTAGATGAAATCAACAATTTTTTAGGGTCCTTGAATGGATCTAACTAATCTAGATTTTTTTATGATAACTTTTTCCTACATTTATTTACTCGTGGTCATATTTCTTTTCTTTTTCATCATATTCAATAGCACGGTCTCGATGATCATAAATGAAAAAAACTTTGCGAGCAACTCACTTTAATACATAAGTCAGATTGAATTTGTATATTACTCATACTCTTACAGTTATAAACAAAAAAGGACATTTGTCTGTTCTTGTTTTTTTTTTCATAGATATTTAAGTTTAGTTTTTGGAGTATATTTTTATTATTATTATTATTATTATTATTATTGTTATGTATTTAAAAGGCATTTTATTAAATTTTTTATTTATCTTATTTAATTACGGGTCTTAAACTAGGCCGCAAATATTTCGTCAGGGATTTCGTATGGACATCATACACAAGAGTGAAAGGATTTTCAGTCTCACTTTAATCTTTGCAGTTAAATATTTTATTCAGAATGTTTGAGTGAGACAGTATTAAACGAGTGGTAAAGGGGCAAATGAAGGAGGAGGGTGAAAGATACTCGTTCTAATTTGTAATTATATTATTCACTGACTCCCGATATAGGAAAATGATCAAGATTGTTTTTTATGTATAAAAATAACGCAGTAAAAATTTTCTTTCCATTTTTTTTTTCTAATATAAGCGAAATTCGACTCGTAAATTTTATTGACAAGTTTATTATCTTGACTAAGAGATAATACTTTTAGTCTTAAGGGATCTGTATGATCATCGTAATACAAATTCTGATCAGTATGAAGGGTCAATAAAATATTGTCGTCACCTGATTTATATGATTAAGTCAAGATAGAATTTCTAATGAAAATTATTAGATCAGTTATTAATAGATGATGTAAAATTAATATGTTGAGAAAAGAAATTTATTTTTCAAAATTGAATAACACTTGATAGGTGAGTTAGAAAAATGACTCTTATATTCTACGAAAAGTAAATTTCACGTTGTAAAAGTCAAATAGTAATTATTATTCGTGACACGTGCGATAGAGAGAAAAAAATGATTTTTTTTTTATTGCATTCTCTTATATCGACATTGCGACACGAACACACCAAACTTAAGACATAATTTGTGATTTAACTTTTTTTTTTATAGCTTCCGGACTTCTTATCTTTTTACTTTTTGCTATTATTTTTCTCCTTTATTTCTTCGTATTCATTTATATTTACTATATTTTATTGCTCACATCTGTTTTTATCTGATTTTTTTATACATTTAATTTTATTTTTACTGTATTTTTTGTTTTAGAGATTTAAGCAACAACAATATAACATACATTCCAACTGATGCGTTTGAACAAATGTTTAACATTCAAGTTCTGTGAGTAATTTATTTATATAATAAATATAATCTCTCTAATCTACTAAATTATCTCATAATTCAATTACCTTTTAGCTTTTTACGACGAAATAATTTGGAAATAATTGATCCCAAAGCTTTTAAAGATATGATCAACTTACGTGTTTTGTAAGTAAGCGTGTTTAAAGAATCTTTAATACCTAAATTTATCATTTATTTACTTTGTTAAATGGCAAATATGCTAAAATCTCTACATTCAATATTTTTTCTGAATAATTTTAAAAATAGTATTCATCTATTTATCTTTAGAGAACTGGATGATAATTGTTTGAAAGAAGTCCCAGATGCTATTCAATATATTAACAAATTAGAAGATTTGTAAGTATACAAAATGTAATTCAGGTTTTAAAAATTAATTGAATATTAATTTTATAATGTCTTTATAACGTTTTAGATCATTATCCAATAATAAAATCCATCACCTTGGTTCAGATTCATTCATTGGAAACCCTAACATCATTTCCCTTGATCTACGAGGGAATCCAATCAAAGAAATTCATTCACGTACATTTGAAAATCATGTGAAACTACGTAAATTGTAAGTAATTACTTAAGAAATAAATATTCATGAATGAATAAATCTTGAAATATATTCAATGTAAAAATACTCATTTTTCTCAAGGATTCTATCAAATGTTAAAAATTTGCAAGAATTTCCCAATTTTAATGGAAGCTCAGCTCTTGAGATTTTAAGATTAGATCGTGCATCTATAGAAACTGTACCAAATTATTTCTGCAAACAATGTCCGAATTTAAAAAGTTTGTAAGTATATAAATAGCTTATGCAATATTAATATTACTCCTAAATTGTTATTGAAATCTTGAAAGCTTCATATTTATTAATATAATCCATTCTGGTATTTAGAGATATAAAATCTAATCTCTTAAAAACTATTCCTGATTTAAAAGACTGCCGCAATCTTCGAGTTTTGTAAGTAAATAAAAATTTATGAATAATAATTTACTAAATAATTAAAGTTTATCTTATTCTATAGAGATTTAACAAATAATAAAATAACATCGCTCAAGGGTCAAGAATTTATTCATATGAAATCACTCCATGATCTACTTCTATCTAAAAATCAAATTAAAACAGTTCCAGCTGATGCATTTATTGGATTGCATAGTCTTCAAGTTTTGTAAGTTATATAACAATATGCATTTTGTTATTGGATATTTTTTGTTGAATAACGGAATTATGCAATATAAAGAAAAATTTTCATTGAACTTTAGAGATTTGGAAAGTAATTCTATTGAATTCATTCATCCAGAAGCTTTTAAAGCAGTTAAAAACCTCAAGGATTTGTAAGTATTTCTTTAAATATATTTTACTCATAAATATATGTTTGATTAATATTAATTTTTTTCTATTATTTAATAGAAATTTGGGAAACAATATTTTTTCAACACTGCCAGTGGAAGGACTGTCAAATATAATTCATTTAAAAACTTTTAACAATCCTGAATTAAGAGAGTTTCCAGCTCCAGAGTTATTTCCTCATGTTCGGACGATGGTTTTATCATATGCTTATCATTGTTGCTCATTTTTATCAATAGAAATAAATAATAACGCGAAAGAAAAAAATACTGTTAAAGAGTCTGTATTTTTTCCAACTGATAATGAATTCGATACCACCCTTTGGAATTCATCTCTTACAGATATTTGGCCACAATTGAGTAAGTTATTTTTCACTTTAGTTGAATTAAATAATGAGAATGCTGTTTTGTTCTTAAAATATTAATAAAATATTATTAAAGATAATTTGAGTAAAAAATTTGGCTCACAAATTAATCAACTTTGGAATACCTTTGGTTCGGATTTTACATATCCAAGTAATTTTCCGGCTTATGTTGAAGATTATTTTGAAGAACAACATGACAAGATGACCTCTACAACTGGACCTACATTTCCAGTTCATGTCCAGTGTCTTCCTCAACCAGGTCTATATCAAGCTTATTTTATTTTATTTATCAGTATCATAATTTTTGTAAAATTAATTATTATTAATATATATTTTTAGGACCGTTTTTGCCATGCCAGGATTTATTTGACTGGTGGACTTTAAGGTGTGGAGTCTGGGTAGTATTTTTATTGTCAATGCTTGGTAATGGTACTGTTGTGTTTGTTATAATATTTTCTCGAAGTAAAATGGACGTACCAAGATTTCTAGTCTGCAACTTGGCAGCGGCTGATTTTTTTATGGGAATATATTTAGGTAAATAAAAAAAATCTTTCCATGTTTATTCTCTATCTTTAAGGAAAAAATAAAAAGTAACTCACACAGTATATTATTAATATTTCAGGTCTTTTAGCAATTGTAGATGCCTCAACACTAGGGGAATTTCGAAAATATGCAATTCCATGGCAAATGTCTGCTGGTTGTCAACTAGCCGGATTTCTAGGAGTTCTCAGTTCTGAATTAAGCGTCTATACTTTGGCAGTCATCACTTTAGAACGAAACCATGCGATAACCTACGCAATGCATTTAAACAAACGTCTATCGCTGAAACATGCGGGCTACATCATGACAGTTGGATGGGGATTTGCAATATGTATGGCTATGTTACCACTTTTAGGAGTATCTGATTACCGAAAATTCGCTATTTGTCTACCATTCGAAATAAGTGGAATAGCATCTCTATCTTACGTTGTATTTTTAATGTTAATCAATGGCGTTGCCTTTTTAATCTTGATGGGTTGCTATCTTAAAATGTATTGTGCAATTCGTGGATCACAAGCGTGGAATTCAAATGATTCGAGAATCGCAAAAAGAATGGCATTATTGGTATTTACAGATTTTTTATGCTGGTCACCAATAGCTTTTTTTTCACTGACAGCGACATTTGGCCTTCAATTAGTGTCACTAGAACAAGCTAAAGTATTTGCAGTGTTTATATTGCCATTCAATTCGTGCTGTAACCCATTTTTATATGCCATTTTAACAAAGCAATTTAAGAAAGATTGTGTTTTAATCTGTAAAGCTATTGAAGAATCGAGGGTAACTCGAGGCATTGGAAGATGTAGACATAGTTCTAATTTTAGTAATCGCCAAACTCCTGCTAATACAAACAGTCTTGTTGATCGATCGTCAAGGGATAATCAGCCACCATGTACTTGCAATACTCGGATTCCGGTAGTAACTTCAACAGAGAGATGGAGTGTAAAAAATTTTTGGCCATGCGGGAAAACCAAAAGACAAAGATATACACGAAGTGATCAATATGCTTATCAAATAGCAGAAATTCAACAGAAACAACACAAGAGAGCTTGTTCAGTTTCATCAAGTGAGAATTTTTCATCATCACGATCAGATTCATGGCGACAAGCTCATCACTGTGGAATTCCCTTGAGACTTTTGGATCCAAAGAAACGTGGTTCTTCTTGGCTAATAACTCGAAAACCATCACAGGATTCTAATTTAAGCACGTCGCGCAATGATTCATCTGGATCGGGGACAACTGCCAGTACAAGTACATGGAAGACGTCACGTTCTAGTGCATCTTTAGATATTCACATCAATTCTCGTAATACTCCACGAGTTACTCGATCTAAACCTCGTCTTACTCGACAAATGGCTATTCAAGAACCTGAAACCCCAGCTAGTCCATCGAGGCTTGCTGTTCGGCTATTAACAACAATTCCTTCAGCTGCAGAAATGAGCGAACAACATGACGATGATGTTAAAGATGATTCAAAGAGTATTGACTAAATGACAGTGCTGTTCAGCATTTTTAAAAGTTGCAATAACATAAAAATTCTATTAATATGTTTCATATAGAACTGAATTAATATTCAATGTTTATATATAGTCATTATATAAGTCATTATGAGTATTATAAGTATTGTTACTTGATAAGACTGATGCTATTAATTTTCTGACTTTAATAAAAATAACTATTTAATATTTTATTTAAAGTTAATGATATAATATTTTATAATTTAAATAAAATAATATAATCAAGATATTATTTTGCAATATTTTTACACGACTAAAAAATACCAATACTTTTAAATATACATATATATCAATACATTAAAAGATAATAAAATGTTTATATATTACTTTAATAATTGGAATTATTAGTATTCCATAACATGAATTATAAATATATAAACAAATATGTATACAGGGTAGAAGCATTAATCAACATTGTTAACAACATATATTTTTATTTACTCACCGATCAGACACATGTTGACATAGTATTTTCTCTATTAGATGAAATTGATGCGATATCAAATATTTGCCATGCCATAAATATACGCCCATTTTTTATGTGATTAATTTCATACAATTTATCTATTAATCGTTATTAAAAATTATAATTTTTTATTTAATTAAACGACAGTTATTTTCGTATTTTATTCTTGTTTGTTGACATACGAATGACTATACATATACGTTAGAAAGCCTACCAACTGATTAAAATAAAAGTGTGAATTTTTGAGGAACCCGCGCAACACCAATAGTCATTGTTTATTAATTTCCTTTGAATATTTTTTGTTTCAATATGAGTATATATAGAAAATTCAACGAAAAACTAACTATTGTTTATTAAGATTTCATAAAAATATTCGGTCAAGGTTGAATATGCGTATGAATTAACAAATGTATGAATAAAAGAATAGAGCGTCAATTTTCTGAGAGTTGTTCTCCTGTGGTAAATGATTTGTCGAAGATTCAATCTATTTCTTCACGATATATTTGAAAGCATATAATTATTTTGTGTATAAAAATAAAAATATGATATTAAATAAATCATAAGCACAAAGTGTTTAATTAAGTGTAGAAAGTGTAGATATCAGTGACGAGAAAACTAAAGTTCGTAATTAGTAAGTATTTATTTTTATTGTTTCATATCTTTTAGCAACAAATAAATAACATAATTGCAAATTTCACATAAAATAAGTAATATATTTTCAAATAAATAAGCAGGTATGTGTTTAAAAATGCACTAAAATTGCAGCTGTCAATTGTTTGGTTTGTAACTGTTCAAGGTTATAAAATGAAATAAACATTAATGATATACTCATTCTTATTAATTAATTATTAAAAGCCAGTTCATCTAAATAAATGTTGGAATATTTTCATTCTATATTCATGCTATCAGTCAAATGTATTCTAATCTAAATACATGTAATGTCTTTAATCTTAATTTTAAATTAAGAAAGTATAATATATCCAGAAATCTGATACGATAGAAAGAATTGATGTAATTCATTACTAAAACCAAATAAAATTGTATAAATTTTTCTATATATTATTTCGGTAATAATAATATTTGAATAAAAATTTAATTCCGTGAGGTGTTTAAATGATTAAAAGAGAATGATAAGTTAAAAAATAACGATAAACTAAGTATAATAATATTTTATTTCATTTTCTATGACCTAAGATCACTGTGTGTGTTCGTTTAGATGTTCTATGAATAAAACTATAATAAATTACAGTTATTTATACAACTTTCCGATTAATTAACTTCTTTTGGGTATTTATGTATAATTCACAATGTTCAAATTTTCTAATGATCTAAAGATCATTTGTTTCAATATATTAATAATAATTATAATAACGATAATAATAAATAAACACAAAACCTGAGTAATTAAAACTTTCCATTATTTAAAATACTAATACTTAAAAATATAAAATTTTTGATACTTGCGGTTAACGTTCTTATTTATGAATTATCTACTTGAATTATCATAGAATACAATATTGAGGAAGTACATAATTGAGCTTAAAATTTAAAAAGTACAAATTTCATTAAAAAAGTCATTTTTCAATTCATCAAACTTTCCTCTTAAATCGCGTACATATAGATTTTCATTGTGCATGACCATTCAATAAATTATCATTTTTCAATTATTGATAAAATTTTTCATTAATTTAATTTTTCATTAACTATGAATATTGATGTGTATTTTCGTTTTAAATGATATTGCTTATTTTTTAATAAAACTTTTTTAGAATTATAAATATTTTAACTATTTGTATGAGATTCAGTTATCTTCATGGCATTGTTTCTCTTCGTCACTTTGATTATAATCTGTCACAATTATTTCATTAACGGTTCTTGTCATTGTCATGATTATTAACTCTTACTTCTCGTTTCTCATTAATATTCTACTATGAAAATAAATGTTGTTTATTTTTTTTAAGTATACTAAAAAAATTTATCTGTATAAGACTTTATAAAAAGAAATATTTTATCAAAATTTGAACGGATCAATTTTTTATTTTATATATATATATTATTATTATTATTTACTGCAACTAATTATTTATCTTATTATTTTAATTCATTAAATTTATCTAATTGCATCAAATGTGACTAAATGTCCTAAAAAATTTTTTACTAAACGACATCATTATCACTAGAAAGAAGGAAAATTCCTTTTTCAAAAATATATTGTCATTTTATTTATTTTTTAACATTCAATTTATTATCGTTTCAATATAGCTGATAACTTTGATAACTTACGCATAAAGAGATGAACTCAATTAATCATGTATTTTTTGCCTCGATTTTTTCTGAATCCTGGAAATAGTTTTCTGCGCCGTTTCTTCATCTCTTCGTTGTCAGCTGTTGAATTTGAATCAGTAGAAAGTGTTTCGTCATCAACAGATGTTAATGTTGGCAATTCTTTTAGTGATTTCCTCAGTTTCTTGTCAGAAGAATCTAGCGAATTGTCGGATAGAGAATTTTTCGATAATGAACTTAATGATAGCGTTCTTGTATCTTCCGTTGATGTCATATTAGTGTCATGACTGAAGGATCTTATCATTGCTGATTTTTCACGTGTCGATGTTTTTGATGAAGTTGTTGTTGACTCGTCATCACCTACAGTAAATTGAACTTCTGGTGGAGTTTCTTTCCCTGTTTCGCTACCAGACGAATCAGGTGGTAGTGATGATTCTTTCCAACTTGGTATTTCAATCATACCTGTAAAATAATTTCTTTTGATTATGTAATTTTATTATCATTGTTACTTCATTTTTATAAATATTTTTTTTGGATGGAATATTTGAATAAAAAATAAATTGTCCATTTATTGTTTATTCTTTTGTTGTTTTTTTATTCAATAATAGTCTTAATAATTGTTTGTTAACAAATAGAATATTACATAAAACAATAAACATCATTAAATTAAAAAACCTATAATTTGAGTATAATTGGCAAAAAAAAAGAAAATCATCAAAATTCATGTAAATGATACATCACAGTTACTAGAATTTCTATATAAAGCTATTTTTGTCATGGTGAAAATTTCACTTGGAAATCAAGACAGTTATTTTAAAAATTGAAATTAAATAATTTAATCAAAATGGACTAAAATTAGCTATAAAATTGACTAATTTCTCTCTAAAATTCAAATTCAAAATCATCACAAAAAAAATTCAATAAAAACGATTAATTTTATTAGGAAATTTTGGTGCAAGATTGAAAAAGAGTGCTAAATTTTATCAAATTGTTCTAAATTGATTGTAATTAGAAACAAAGTTGAGAATCGTGGTGGAAGAATAACCAAAAAAAAACTAATCGGAGTGCTCACGAGTGTCCATTTCCATCTTACCTGCTCCACCAGACGTCGATGGTGTATACACAGAACTTACTTCATCGTCCAAATCATCTTGACTACTCATACGGCCTGAAAATGAGAAATAATGCTATGCAAATTAAACAAAAAAAAAAATGAAAAATAAATGTAAAAAAAAAAATTTTCAAGTACCTCGGAGACCTAAAGTTCTTCCGTTAGGTGCCCCACGATACAAAATAGTTTCTAAATAATTTAACCCATTATTATTTATTATATTAAAACCACATAGAAGTTCGATTTGCTTCCAGCGATGTACTCGCTCTTGTAATTCAGCAGTTACTTCATTTAACGCTGTTCTCGCTTCCACTATACTTCTATCCACTTCATCAATTGATTTTCCATGGGTTGATACAAATGCACCAACCAAGCTAGATCGCTTTTTCCTCAATTTTTCACACTATTGTAAAACAATTATTTGTTAACAATTCATCAACTGAATCACTGTAATTTTTTTCTCTACAATACTTACAGCCTCTCTGGCTTGTTGTAATTGTTTTTCTGCTGCTATCTTTTTCTTTGTATATGATTTATTCTCGATTTCATGAGTTAACTGTAACCAATGTTGAAGTCCCACTGGCGGTGACCAGCACCGATCTTCTAATTCACCTTCAGCTCGTTGTAATTCCATTTTCAACATCTGCAATAAGAATTCCAAAATTCCAAATGGATCCATCATACTTTTATTACTTGAAAAATTAATCGTGACAATGTTATTTACCTCTATTTCTGCTTTTAATTGAGAAACTTCTAAATCAGAATAAGATGTATGTAATCCCAGAGTTTCATCTTGAAGTCTTTTTTCTAAATTTTTCTTAGCAGTTGTAGCATTCTCTTGTTCTAATCTCGCCCTTTCAAGTTCTTTCTATTAAAGAAAAATCAAATGCAAAATGTATATTCAATTAATTCCAAGATTATTTTTAACATCAGCTAATTACCTGTAAATCTTCTAATGCTAATTCTGCTTTATGTAAACCCTCCATATCCTTCATCATCCTCTTTAAATGCTTCTGTGAGCTTTTTTTCTGCTGATAAGCGTACCAGCATCCAATTAATGCTCCAAATAATAAAGTAATTAAAATCAAATCCTTCAAACTGTGCCCAGAATCTATAAATTCAATCTTCTAAAATTATTTATCCTCAAATAAATAAGTAAACATTCTTTTCTATCATTTTTAATAACTATTACCTTTTGGAGGTCCAAATAAGACAACATCCATAGCTTTAAGTGCTATTTTTTGTTTATGAATAGGATCTTTAATGCCCAAGACATTACTTAAATAATGCATGTTATTAACAGCCAATCTGATGTAAAATGATATTGTTTAATTATTTCATCAATCTTTCAATATTTACATTATAATAATTTAATTTAAAATCTACCTAGGAAGAGTTGCTCCGGTAACTCGGTGCTGAATAAAAGTAGGAACATATTGTGGAAGCTCAACGTTTGTACTTAACCAGTCTGAAGTTTGTTCAATTGTCCAGTTATGAACCTCTGATCTTAACCAAGCTTCCCATAATTCTCTTACACTTATGTGCATATCATCATTATGATGGAAAGCACGTTGTCGTCGCTCATAACCGGCTTCATATTGTAATTCTTCTCTGAGAAACTTAAAAAGTAAAGAAACATAAAGTGAAGTAGTCCAAAAAAACATTTTTAATTATAGAAATATCTTTTATAACTATTACTTACATCATCCGATTCAGAAAGATCTACATCACCATCAGCATCGTCGTCTAATTGACTGTGGAGTGATTTAATCGCTTCTAGACCTAGACGATCATGTGATGCCATTGTAATGCATGCTAGATCATCATTGCAAGTGTCCACATCTTTAAAAAATTTTCTGTTATCAATCTTTCTATATATTTTATTTCACAATAACCGAGGTATTCCCCAGAATCAACTAACCAATCGATTAATTAAACAATCAATTCTAAGTAGTTATTAAAATCTTTCAATCATTGAATATTACTGGAAAGTTGCAAAAAAAAAATCAACAAATTTTTTTTCTTTTTTATGTCTGCGTTTAAACGACTTTAAGCTACTTGAGATAATAATAGATTAATTAATCAATTGATACTTTAATTTACATGAAATACGTACTGGATTGTGATTTATCATAAGTACCCACTGGTGCGGTACCCTCTGTATAAGTTGGGGAAAATGTCGTCGAACTAACAGAGTATGATCCATCATTGGACCTCGAATGATACCCTGATGAGTCTAGAGCACCACCACTAGCACTGACTTCAGTGCAACACCAGCAAAGAAATCGGAGTCCGTAAATTACAATTAGTTCGGCATTCGCTACTGATCGCATTATATATCAAAAATTAACCTCCACTTTCAATGATCTTTATTTTCTTAATTATTTTATCTTCAAATTGATGTTAGTACATTGACTACTGCTATTGCTGTCATTTAATCCGTATTTATTTTTTATTATTAGAAATAAATTTATAAATAATTATTTCCTTTTACTAAAAAAATTGCATTTTTCGAAAATGAAAGGTATAATATTTTGTTATACTTTTTTCGTTTTTTTTTTTTAGTTTTTGGACGTTGTTTATTGTTGAGAGTAACTATTACAGATTGTTAATTAACAGATATACTTGTTTTGATAAAACTTTAATGAAAAGTATAAAAGAGTATATTTTTATATAATATTTTTTTAGAAATTGTATTTATTATAATTATAAATTACTAATAATTAAGTACACTTAGCTCCTTCACACGGGAAATCAGATGTTTTATCAAGGCCACTTTTATACACTACTGAAGAAGACACAAAACATGAAATTTATAATTCATTTTAGATCGTAAACTCGTTGTTTTATTCTTTTTTTTCTAACACATGTGTATACATATATTTTTTCATCCATCTTATTTTTTAGTATTCCGGCATGGCGCCATCTCTTTAAGATGGTAAATCGAAAATGATTCTTTTCATTTACATAAAATTTCATCAATAAACAATGTTTCTTTATGCTCTCAGTATTTTTTTTTATTATGAAAAATTTATTGTTTGATAAAAATTTATTATCAATAAAATTGAAAACACTTTTTTCGAAAAATAAAAAAAAGTCCATTCTATCGGTAATGTGCAGTTAATTTTCAACAGATAATATTCATTATTATTTTATACTTACATGAGATGGCGTAGAGTGTTAGTGGACGACAATAATAAACGTAAGAAAAAAAATAAATGAATTGTGGAAATTTTGTCATAATAGTACATATAACCTCGTCTTCTACAAATATTATTACATTTTTTGGTGATATAACGTTATAATTAGTGAAGATAATAATAGAATAATTTAGTTGGCTTCTCAATACATCGTAGTAACATTAAATTATCGTTGAACAAATACTTGGATTGGTGTCTTGGATTATTTCATATAGTACAAAACTCATCAGTAGCAGTATAATAATAAATGTTTTGTTTCTTTGTTTTGCAAGTAATGAACTGACAAATCATTGTTTAAATAAAAATGGATAAAGAAGATGAAAGCCCAAACTATTCAAATACTTCAACAAAAAAAGATGAATCAATTCCATTGAATTTGGACACTAAGACGACAATTGATGCGAAAAATTCGCAATCCAAAATCGTACGTGGAACGAAAAAAATGAGAATTGATTCAACTGATTGTAATCAAGCTATTGAAAAAAAAGGTAATATTTTTTATACACACATGTCTCTATTTAATGTATTTTTAAAATTGTTAAGTACACATATTGATGTTATCATATGACTGATGAATTTAAAGAACATCAGTGTCTAACAATCATCATTTTTATATTTTTAGAAAACACGAAAGAAGAAGAAGGAGATACAAAAATAGTTCGATCATTGAAAAGGTCTTGTGAATTATGGTCATTGGAGGATAAAAATACATTTTTTAAAGCTGTGAATGAGTATGGAAAAGATTTTGATGCCTTACAAAGTTATTTTTTAAATCAAGGAAAGAAAAAAGGTTTACCAGAGAATATGATAAAAAATAAAGAACAAATTCGCCATTTTTATTATCGTACTTGGTTGAAAATATCAAAACATTTGAAATTTTCGGAAGATGTAAAAAAAACATCTCAGGAACTTTACGGATTAATTAATTATGGAGAATTACGTCGTAAATTACCAAGAATACATGAGAAATTTTTATTAAAATTAAACGAATTAATTTACTGGGGATCAACTCAAGTAAGATTGCGCGGGAAAACAATGCGAATAAAAACTCCAATATGTAGAGCATTAAGAAAATTAAATCAATTGGAAGATTGGCAAGAAGAAATTAAATTGCCATCACGTGTCACAGTCGAATTGAGACCAGGAAATAATTTAACTTGGTGGAAAGTACAAGCAAATGCTATGAATCCTCGTGTTAGAACATTGGTACCAATTCAACGGAGATTATCGAGTCTTTTAATGTTTCTATCACAACGATGGAAATCTACAAAGTTTAAACCATTATCAAATATCGATGGCAATACATTTGATGAAAAAAAGTATAATGATAATGAATTATTGCGTGTTACTCCAATGGAAGGAGCTAAAATTGCTCTTCCAGTTGTTAATCTTGGTGAATATTTAACAAGTAATAGTGTTTCTTTAAATTCTTATGAAAAAAGATTAGGATTAAAAAGTTCACATGCTGAATTACTTGGTTACGTTCAGCAATTCAAAAGTGTTGGCAAAAAAACAATAAAAAAGAAGACAGACAAAAAATTAACAACAGTAAGGGGGAGTAATGATGATACTGACAAAAAAGATGATAATAACAGTGATTTGGATAATTTAGATACACATTTAAATTGCTTAGACAAATCTTTATTTACCTGTCACGTTGACAAACCCACCAATGATAATAATAGCACTGGTGGAGGTGCTAGTAGTAGTACTGGAACTAATAACGAGCCTAATCGTTTTCCTGGACGTGAAACTGTTGATCGAATCCGGGTTGGATGGAATATTGATGAAGCTAATACTATCACTATTGGAGATTTATTTTTGATGGTAATAAGTACTTAAAAAAATACAAAGTTAATTTAAAATGGTCATAATTGTTTTTTATCTTAATTTTTTTGTGATTTCAAAGTTCGGTAGAGATTCCAAAATAACACTAGAATACTGGTGGGATGTAGGAACGAAAGAAAATGATCGAACAGTTACGGGGAATCCATTAAAGAATATGAAAAAGCAAGAAGAAAGTTTGAGTATAGCTTTACAAAAGCTTTTATCTATAGCAAAACACAATTATGGTAGCAGTAAAGCTTTTGACAACACTTTGAGCAGTAATGAGACTGTAATTTCATCAAGAATGCCATCCATTAGAGAATCGACGTTCCGTAGACCATTGATTCCTCAAGTTATTCATAAAATGGGTAGCCAAGATGCCTTTAAGACTCAATTAGACGTGAGTAAATATTAATTTTTCGAAATGAATTATATCATAATAATATTGTGTTTTTTTTTTGACTAGAAATTTACAACAAGATTTTGTAAACGTGGTCGTGTAGTTCGTCCGAGAAATTTGATCGTTCAGAGGACTATACCAATAATGGGAGCATTAAATAGAACGGATGGAAATGAAATAAATAGTAAGATTAATATAAATGAGATAATGGGTAAAAAAATACGTGATCAAAATGATGAAAGTGAACAACGCATAAGAGAAAATGAAGCTGATAAATTAGAAAGTACAGACGAGGAAGATCAAAACTTTTTATCATCAATTGTTGATAATAGCGCTGATGTTTCAGCAGAACAACCGTCTAATTCTATTATTACTTCAGCTACTCAAATTTTGAAAGAAGGTGAAGGACAGTGGCTTAATAGTGAAGTAAGTATTTGTGAGAATGATGAGCAATGTTGTTAAAGTGTAGTCTATAAGTGGATTTCATTTTTTCATTACCGTAGGTCGCTGATTATTCATTGAGTAGTTTTTTGGGACAATTCGAATCACCTATAAAAGGATCTCAAAGAAGTCAGACTGGAATTCAATTAGAGCCTATTCGTTCTTCATCTGATGTAAAATATTATAATTATAAATTAAACTATGATGAAGATCTATTGTTTTGACTGATTGAATAATTTTTTTACAGGTTGTAAATCCAATGCAGTGTTTGATGGTAGAAAATAGTGTTGATTATATGGCAAAATTTGCCAATCTTGCATCTCAAATTGTGTCTGATGAAGAGAATAAATGAAAAAAAAATATCATGTATCTGTCATGATTGTAAATATGAAAAATTTATCTTAAAATTTTTTTTATGAATAAAAGATTTTTTATGACTTTTATGAAAATTATTATAATTAATTATTAATCTTTTGTCATTCAAATCACTGTTTCAGCAGTAAGATAATATAAATATACAAATATTAGTATATAACTGTTCGTAATAAACATTACTCTATGAATTCTAGTAATCAAATGAGGAAAAAGTCAACGATTTACACAGAAAAAAATAACTCTGTAATGACCATTTATATGACCACAGAAAAAGATTACTCAAGACTAAATGTTGAATATTTTATTTTCGTTTCTCTTTTTATTATTTTTTTTTTTTGCAAAGTCAGACGTGAGTAAATATTGACATTTATAAATATACAATGTTAATAATGAATATCCATTATTAAGTTTTAATTATTTCTGACTTTTAAAATAAAATTTTTTTTTTTGTAATTTTTATTAAAATTTTTATTCAGTTATTTTAACTTAAAAAAAACATGCTTAACAAGTTTTAGCTCAATATAGATAAAAATGCGGTTATATGGTTTGAATACGTCATTAGTAATCAAGTCGTTCACAAAAAACTTGAATTTGCTGATTGGCGGTGTTCAAATGCGGGAAATCCCTTCTCTATAAATGTATTTGTATATATATAGATTTAAATGCAGACGATTATAAATGTGGAGTTGCATAAATCATTCGTTGAAGCTAACCGTTTATATCAATGACGTAAATGATAAACTTGGTATTTACACACTTAAACATACACAAATGGAGAAATATACTCCTGCAAATTTTTTTTAATCGTTTGCAAGCGTCAAAGAGTTGATACGTACTTCTTTTCTCGATATTTATTTTCTTTATTCACTTGGGTAACGTTCAACAAGTGATCAGTTTTGAACAATACTACAATAAAAATTTTTTTCTATTAATAAAAAATAATCAGAGATTTTTTCTTAGATATTATTAATTATCTTCTTTATTTGTGATATTAAATAAGTTATATTTTTATATTTTAAAACATTAAATCTATTTGATAATGAATCAGGATAATAGTGACATGAGTGTTTTTATTTCTTCTCGAGAAAACAATTGTGTTAAGGTAAAAATCTTTTCGAATAAAAATAATGATGGTTTATGGTGATAATTGGTGGGTTTATATTTAAATATTTTTTAAAGGGTTCTCTATTACCAATAAGCTCTTCAAGTTTGATTCATGACAGTGAAGACCATTACTTATTAGACATGGACAAAATTCGTAAGGATAACGATAACTACAGTAGGAAGCACAAAAAGAAAAAGAAGTTTCCTTTAGGTAAAATTATTTAAATAATTAATTATTCAAATAATTTTAATAGAAAATTTTTAATATCAATTCTTCTCTTTATATATTAGGTGATGACAATGATATTTATTATGAAAATAGTAATTGGTCGAATAAATTGATTATTAATTGGAATCAAGAAGATACTATTAATTGGTTAATGTATGCGGCATTATATTTAGGCCAAAGTTATTCTTCTATACAACATTCTCTTGCCATTCCTGGAAAAGACCTAATTTTATTATCAAAACAGGATTTTCTTATTCATGATCCTGATTATGGTGATAAGCTTTATGACTTATTACACTCTCAACGAACTGATAATTATTGTATGTATGCTGAAATTTATGAATTTATAAAAATCATCATTATTTTATTTTCTATAAATTTTTTTTCAGTGCCACATTTTGCATCAATCCATAATATGCCTAACAGAGATGATGAAAAGAATTTCAATGCATTTTTATCTGGTATATTTTTAGAATTATTTCATTTATTAATAAATATAAATTTGTTATCATGTATTTCATTGTTTGTAACTTTTAGATGCCGAGTCTGATAACAGTGTTGATGTGAGTCGCAAAAGTTACTCTGAAAAGTGCAAAATACAAAAATGTAGAAAAACTCGTAAGTACTCTATTGTAAGTATAAATGTATAAATAATACAAATGGAATAGAAAGTACATTTATGAAAAAATTTATAGAACCAACACAAGGAAAGTTGTGGGAATTTATCAGAGATTTATTAAGAAACCGTGAAACATGCCCCAGTTTGATATGCTGGGAAGATTACTCACAAGCTAAGTTTCGGTTTGTTCGAAGTGATGAAGTTGCACGACGTTGGGGTTCCAGAAAAGGAAATACCCGAATGACTTATGAAAAATTGAGTCGTGCTATGAGGTATTTTATTATTATATTAATTACTTCTTTTTAAATCAACAGAAATTTAATTCTTATTTTGGTTTTTTTTTAGGTATTATTATAAAAGTAAAATCTTTCTACCGGTGTTAGGAAGACGATTGGTTTATCAGTTTGGTCCGAATGCTAAAGGTTGGCAAACGGATAATCCAAATTTTCGTCGTTAATTAAACGATGATTACACATAAAAATTTTTATAATGCTTATAATTACATAAGGAAAAGAAAAAATGCAATATTAGATTAATTTTTGTATTTTATTCTCATTAATATTTTTATTACTAAATATAATTGAATTTTTGTAAGCTAAAGCTACAAATATAATAAGTATAATCATATTACGTAATAAAGCAATACGTAATATATGAATTCGATTGTAACTTTTCAAAATGTTCTTCAACAGTATTTGAAATATTTTAATTAAAGATTATTTTAATGTAAAATATATTGTCAAAATTATTCAATTCATTAACTCTTCTAAATCTCACTATGATTTTAATTCGATAACTTTCATTTTTTTTTCTTTTGTAATGTTCTTTTATATTTTTACCATTTTTTTTCTAAACTTTTATTTTTTTGGTTTTATTACAAAATTTTATAATATTCTAAAAAACTAGAATATTTATTTCTAATGTAAAAAGTTTTAATAAAAAATATTTAAATAAAAATAAAAACTAGATAGAGTATAAGTTCGTTGTATCGAAATTGAAGTTTTAGGAATTGTAAAAGTTTAAATTCATTAAAACTTTTCAAACTGTCCTATAACTACTTGTATAACTCGAAATTCTCCGGCAGTATTGGAAAATTTAATCTAGATAAAAAGTTTGGCTGTGATTTTTTATATGAATAGTAATAATCAACGCACGATTATTTTTTGGATGTCGTTGACATACTAATTTTCCATTGATTATTTCTCCTAAAATTAAAACAACAATAAAATTATGAATGATTCAATAAATAAATATTAAAAATATAATACCAACCCTCTGTAATACTAATTGGTTCGCTGAGAGAAAATACAGTTTGTTTCCAATGAGTAGGTTGCGCATGTGGTCCAGTGCTAAAATGTATTGGATTTTCGAGGTCAAAAAACACATCGAAATATCCAACGATTGAAGTAAGTGATCCCGTTCTTTTAATAGTAAATTCGAAAGGCGCCGTAAAGTTTATACAATCACTATTTACAGTATAAAGATCAAAATCTTGAATAAGTGAAACATTGGTAACAATATCATTAATATTACTAATTTCAATGCTTGGTTCTTTAATCACTTTTGCTTTCATACAAGTCATTTTAAAGCCGTAAACATTAGACCAGTAGTCTACATAATCAATATAACGTTCTAAAAACACAAATATCATTTTACACATTTAGACTAATGCTAATATGATTATTGTTATTTCTATTATAAAGCACTTACTTGTATCTCCACTTCCAACTATACTCAAGGTACAACGATTTGGTAATAATTTACCACCTGGTTTTAAATAATGATCTCGTGCATAAATAACAGTATCTAGCATTCCTTCAAATAATAAAAAATAACCCATCCATTCAGACACTATTGCATCAACTTTATCAGTACCAAGATCTAAATCCTCTAATCGACCTTTTTTTAATTCAATCATATCACTCAAGTTATTTTCTCTAAAATAAATCACAATGAATATCACTAAAAAGCTTTATATAAAATTATATTTTTTGCTATACTAAATTAAAATACTCATGTAAAATACCTGACACTATCCATTGCATGATAAATAACATCAGATTGATCTACACTAATAACTTTTTTACATCCAGATTTAGCAGCAAACATTGATAAAATACCAGTACCACATCCAACATCTAACATTGTACAATCTTTGAAAATATGAGAATTGGTCAAAAGAGCATCACGATAGCTCTCAGTTCTGACGGTATCCTGTTCGAGTCAATACATTCTAAATAAAATTATCTGATTTCTAACATTAAGAAAAAAATATGCATAAATTTTACCGTCAACATTTCGTGATGTATTGCAAAATGGCTATAAGTATTAAAATAACCGTCGTCGTTAACTACGTCAGAAGTTAATTGGTTTTTTGGTAGGTCACAATCATCATCGCTGAATATTTCCTTGATTTTCTTTTGCATCTGATCAATTTTCTGAATGTTAAATGATGAAAACTATTATTGATTCTATTTATTACACTGTTAATATAAATAAAAATAATTGTTCAAACCTCTTGGGCTAATTGGAAAGCGGATTCGCGTTGTTTAACTTTTAATTTTAATAATTTAATTGATCGTTGTAATTCAGCAAAGTGTTTTTCTGATAACGTTATACACCCGTTTTCTGCATTGACCAGGTAGGAATTCGACTTTTTTAAACACTCTAATGATGAATTTAATTCATCTGCTTCGTCGATCGTATCAATGGTTCGTTCAGTGGAACCAATTAATTCATCTTCCAACTCTTCAACATCTTCAATTAATTTTATTATTAACATAGTTAGTTTTATGGTGAAAGTAAAAAAATACAATGAAATATATTTTTAGCACAAATAAAGAAAAATATTCCAAGGCATGTTTAATACTTACACAATGATATAATAAATCAAAGTAATTTATAAGATTTTTATTTATTTAAACATGAATAGTTTTATCAACATTAAAATTCAAATATTACTTTGCAAAATAAAACAAAGACAATTAATTAAATTTATTGATCTATATTACTATATTTATTAAAAATGATTTAAATTGATTGTAATTAAAAATTATTTTTGAATATAATTATATTATTGTTTATTTACACTCACCAAACATCAACCAAGCATCGTCTTGTATGATTGGAGTTAAATAATCATTGCAGTCCCACTCTTCTCTCTTTTTTGACACTAATTCGTCAGGTGATAACTTATTTTTTCTAACGTAATTGATAAGCTTTCTAAAAGAATAATCGTCTAACTGATATTCTTTTATTAAATTTGGCAAATCGAATGAATGCGTTAATTTAAGGTGGTTTATGGCATTATCATAACCTCCAATTTCTTCATTACAAAATAAACATTTGACTAGTAATACATCGTCATTTGTATCATCCCAATCATCACCACTGTCATCGCTCTTACAGTCTTCAAAATCCATATGTTTGTCATTCATATTTACAAATTTTATTAATTGAACAAAATCTCTATGCCTACAAAATCTTTACTTTTCACGTGCTTGAGAAAGCATAAATGCGTTTAGTTTAGCGGGTTGTTTTATCTTCTGCGCATATTCAAGAGAAGATGGTGGGGAGAAAAATACAATATATCGGAAGTAGAGGGAACTTTGAAATCTAAACCTCAGAAAAAGAATAGAATTTCAGGAGACTTAAAAAATAATTTGCTAGTATCAATAGTCATTTTTTTAAGTTAAACATCCGATATTTATTTTAATTACAAATAAAATGAATTGAGGATTTTATAAATCTACAGCATTACTATGAATGATTTTCAACGGGTTTTAGAAGCTCATAAGATTCGTATAAGGAATGATAATTCAGTCATCATTCAGAGAGAAGTGTCACCTGAATGTCAATTCAAGCCATTGCTATTTGCACGTGAATACATATTATTTTATATGTGATAAAAAAATTGTTTTTTTTTATATAAATATTATCAAAATACGCCAGGGCATATAAAGAAAATAATAAAAGATTGACGATGATAACAACATAATGTGACTACAAATTATCGCCTGAATCATCTCTTATACAATCAGGAAGTAGTCGTTGTTGTGTAATGATCTGACCTGATATATTACTGTGGTTTATTGTCATTTTTTTAGTAATATTTTGTATTTTGTAATATCACAAAGGTATTAATTCTCATTACAATGAAGACATTTGTTTTCAGTGTTACTTTTCTTTTGTTTTCTGTTTTGCTCTTAACAGAAGTAAGTGAATAATTATTATTAAATATCAATTAAAAAAAAAAATTGACCAATTGTTTTGCAAAACAAGTGTACAATTAAAAAAAATTATTTTTAATTGATATCATTTCTTGTTTATAAAAAATGATAGTGTCAACCAGTTTCATCAGACAAATCTTTCCAAGAGAGAGCCCAAGAAGCTTTAGATGCTATGACACAAAAAACTAAAGAAATTGTAGAGTCTGTACAAGAATCTGCAAACCGAGCTTTAGAATCAGCCCGAGCTAAATGGCAAGAGTTCATGAACTCTACTTCGGTACCATCTATTGAAGGAGATGATTCAGGTAGTCAAAGTTTGATGGACTTTGGTAAAAATATCATATCTAACATCATGGGAACTCCTACAACTATTCAACCTCCTGTAGAACCACCTGTAGAAAATTAATCACTTTTAATCTAATAAATTGGTACGGTGGATGAATTTAATAATATTTTATGTTACAATGTACACATATTTTTAAAATAATCTTTTCATATGTAACAAGTAGTTTATATTAATTCTTGTATAAAATATTATATGTATATGAATAATAAATAAATTAAAAAAAAAAATAATTTTTAAATTAAATCTATTTTTCGAAAACCTTACATGAGTTATTAATTCTTTAAGAATTTGAATTTATTTTGAATAAATTTGTCACTAGCAGGAAGTGTGCTGTAAGCGAAGTCGATTTGTCATTTAAATCATACTAGTACGTACATAAACCAGCCTAAAGTGTATGGAAACTATAGAGTTTTTGTCAAACTACACAATGTTACGACCACTGACAACCTTATCATTATCCGCGAAAATAATTGATAATCTTCACAAAAATGGGTATTATTACGTCGAAGATATTGACAACAATCCAGAAATTGTTGAAAAATATGTTAACTCTGAAATGTTGAAAAAATCTTTAAATCCTCCCATAACATTGACATCATTAGATCATTGGCAGGTACTCATTAATACTTACATATCATAATAATTTTACAACATGAATGAATGAATGAATGAAATAATGTTAAGACATGATAAATAATTGTAATTTTCAGGCAGAATTGCAGTATCAGAAATTAAAAACGTCAAGTGAATCATTGAATGATATTCTTGATGGTGGATTTCAGTGTGGAACAATTACAGAGTTGTGTGGCATTCAAGGTTCAGGAAAAACTCAAGTTTGGTAAACAACATTTGTATATAAATAAAAGATTAAGTGGGTAAATATTAGGGTAAACAAATAATTATTTTAGCTTTCAAGCCAGTATTGCAGCACAATTGCCAGAAAATGTTGGTGGTTTAGAAGGCCAATCGCTTTATATTGATACAAGGAATGCATTTTCTTGCCAAAGAATTAATGGTATAAATTCTTTTACTTTATAATTTTCTAATAATTAATAGTAGATAAAATAAGCTTTAATAACTAATTTTAAATAATTTAATATAACCCCACATATGTTGGAGCTCATACATGTCCTCTAGATGGCATATAAATCGAAAGTATTAGCGCCACTGTATGTTTCGACCATGGCCACTAAATAACGAATTATTCACACCGGCATGTGGTCAAAACAGTGTGCTTGACTCTCATGCATACTACGCATTATTTAAAAAATGAATAACAGTTCATTCCAAGAAATAAACAATTGAAATAGTTGCTGTTGATTGAAGTGAAAAAGTGATTATTAAGATAATATGGGAATTCGCGGTTTGACAACGTATATTACCAATAGATCTGATTATTATTTGGAAAATTATGAACTGAGTAATACCAAATTAGTGATAGATGGTTGGAGTTTGTGCTCTCAACTGTTTACTACGTATTCACGATATGATATATTTGGAGGCGATTATGATTATTTCGCTCACCAAACCATCATTTTTTTTGATGAGTTATTATGTTGTAAAATAGAACCATTAGTAATATTGGATGGGGCTTGGGAAGATAAAAAATATTCCACTCTTGTAGAACGTTTAGAAGACCGGTTGAATTCTGCATCAAACAGTAAAATTTCTAATCCAAAGTCATCAGTCATTTTTTCAATGCTTACTACTGAAATATTTATAAGTATCATGAAAAAAATGAAAATTAAATTTTTTGTGTGTACATTTGAAGCGGACAATTGTATTGCTGGGCTAGCACGAGTATTAAACTGCCCAGTTTTAAGTTATGATTCCGATTATTATATTTATGGAGTTGAATACATTCCAATTGACACGTTAAATCCAAATGTCATAAAAACTAAAGGAGGATATGTCAGAAAATGCAAAATTTTTAAAACTGAAAAGTTATACAACAGATTTAAGGGACTTAATCAAATGTCATTACCTTTAGCATCTATTTTATTGGGAAATGATTATATTAATCACAAAGTATTTAGAAATTTTTTCAGTATTATACTACTAAAACATGTTCACAAATCTACTGAACAACATAGGATTGAAAAAGTTTTCAAGTGGTTAAGTAAGTACACATTAAAAGATGCATTAAAACATATCATAGCATATTTACCTCATCAAAGAAAAAAAAATATAATCTATACAATTGAATTAATTATCAATGGTTATTTAAATACACCAACTTATATTTTGGAAGCATTCGGATTTGATGAGAAGTTTGTCGACGAAGTTAAAAACAATAATAAAATTTTTAAATACGAAGATGAAAAAGATACAGAAGAAGATGATGATAATGAAGAAAATAATAAAGAAGACGAAAATGATGAAAAAGAAGATGATGATGAAGAAGAAAAAGAAAAAAGAGATACAAAGGATTTGACAACGGTAGAGCCGGAAAATGAATTTGCGGCTTTAGTGCCAGATTGGTTCATGGAGAATTTTTCAAAAGGCAATTATCCACCGTTTTTTATAAATTTTTTGACTCATAGAACATATATATTACCATTACAAAGTGAAGAATGGTCTTTACCGTCTTCACACAATATAAGTTTTCCAATTATCCAAAAAATTTCAAGTTTATTAGTAACTTTAGATAATGAAAATAATGATGAATCTACAATGATGACATTGGTAACACGGGACCAAACAATGGTAGTTACTGAAAATTTAATTATCCCTAAATCATGCATTAGCTTGGAAAAGTTGCGTCATTGGGGATATTGTCAAAGGAAAAAAATTTTGGATGAAACTCTTGGTATACAGGATAATGCTCTAGAAGATCTACCACCAACATGGAGATTATATGTAGGTACCATATTGTACTGGGTTCAGCAACATTGTGATCCACCAAAAACAGAAATTCACGTGAATTGTTTGTTATTATCTATGATGTTAGAAATTATTGATAACAAAATTGGATTCTGTAGATCCAAAGAAAAATTTGAGAAAAAATACGCAAAAGATTTGACACAAATTTTGGCAGAAACCAAATTAGATAAAAAAAATCATTCGGTAAACATTACAAGTTTGATCAATTCTGTATCAACTGAAAATTGTATTTCAGCGTTATCATTCTTTTTAGAACATTATGGGTTAGATAAAAAATTACAAATTAATCCAGATAAATTTGACCGACAGATTGTTCACGTTTTTGCTCAATTTCAAAGTTTGTTAAGACACATTAGGTATCTAAATGCATTACTGGGTCCAATTTATATTCCATCCGATCCAAGTAAATTTTATAATGGTACATTATTGTATAATTTGTACACAAATCTTAAAACTCGAGAAAATATTTATGATTATATTTGTACAAGGCTGAGGAATTCTCCAACAATACTACAAATATTTAATATACTCAAATCTAAAGTATTTGATATTATTGATGCTAAAGTATCTTACCTTCATAAAGAAGAAAAAACAACTAGAAGAAAACGTAAAAAGAATAAAAATAAATTAAAAACTAAAAATGATAGTCACGACGATGATGATGAGAAATTAGATTCGGATATTGAAGATCAAGAAAATAACGATGTTAACGCATATTATTATGATCCGAATAATCGATACGCATCTTTAGTTCATTAACTATTATTTCACTTCATATATTTTTTAAAAATTATATATTGTTATCAGTTATATTTCAACTTTACAGTTTAATTGGTTATAGATTTTATTCAAGGCTTTCGAAAATTACATCCGAAATTATCATTACCTACTGACAAAATTCTGGAAAATATTTTTGTTTCATCACCAAAATCAATTGACGATTTAAACAATACAATTACAAAATTGAAAAAAATTTTAAAATACTCCAAAAACATTTCGGTAACTGATATACTCTAATTAAACTTGTCATTGAATGTAAATACTTTTTAATTTTTAATTAATATAAAAAAAATTTTGTTTTTAAGATTCGAGCAATAATAGTTGATAGCTTATCATTTTTAATTTGTTCAACGGATGACCCATCAACAAGATTCAAAAATTACATACAAATACTAGATAATTTACAAGATATAGCTTCAAAATACAACCTTACAGTAATATTTTTTTTTCATATGTACCTGATTAAGTAAAAGAAAAATTTAACAAATAGAAATTGTTTTAGGTAATAGTTGTTAATGAATTAGTAACTCAATGCGATGTTAACAATGAAATTTATTTTGTAAGTGCTGGAGGACAGAATGTTGCTAATCGTTGTCAAAAGCGTTTGATGCTAGCTCGAATTAGTGGTTCAAAGTTCGCAGCTCGAATTATAAAGTCTTCAGTAATGCCTCAAGTAACAGTTCCATTTTATGTGAGTATTAAAATTATTGTATAATATGTAACTAAGTGAGAAAATAATTTGGATGAAAATATTATCAGATAACGGCTGATGGAATTTCGGATGAAATTTAAAACTTAAGAAGTATGATAATGAATTTAAAAAACCATAGTGTTTGAGAATTAAACAATTTATTTGTCAATAAAATTTTCAGCGATACAAGCAACAGTAGATAGTTTAAAAGTCGTGTATATAATATCAAAATAAGAATATATTTTTATATATACCAATTAATAATTGGTGCTCAACAAAATAATTATTTAATATTTTTATAAAAATATTGTAAAAATATAAGTTGTAATGCTGTGTACAAACTTGAAAAATGTTCAAATATAAATATTATTAATGAATCTATGTATTTTATATATATTCAATTATTCTTTCAAGTGACATTGTAAGCAAAAACTGATAAGCTTTAATGTATTTTTCAATGAATTTTTATCTGACAATGCTAGTTTTTCCTCGTGTAAAATTGATTATGTGGAAACTAGAGACAATAATGCTTTTTTATAATCACCGGATGTATCGCCCTGGAAACATTGTTTAAATTAATTAATATATAATATTTTTTTTATTATACAAGTCAAACTAATGGTCATTACTGATTACCAATAAATAATTTATAAATACTTACAGCAATCCAGCTTTCTAGGGATTTTCCATAACGTTCTTCAAATGCTTTTTTAATGTCACCTAGATCTATTTCACTTCTTGATACAAGAATTCGAATCAATGTACGATCCTTGGTTCCAATTCCTTGCATTGCTGCATGTAATCTTTCAGCGAAAAATCCAACTTTTGATTTTACACATTTAACTAAAAATAAACATAACAATTAGTTCTCTACTTATGCACTGTAATTGATAGTATGTAGTTTTTTCTTCTTTTTTTTTGATAAAAGATTTTACCAATTCCCAAAAGACCTTTCTCGATACTTCCAGAGAATTCTTTTTTTATTGCCACTTCAATATCGTGACCGGCAATTTTCTCATATTCCAAAAATGTTTGCCGTAATTGTTGATAACTACGAGTTACTAGAATCATATTGAATTGTGATTCATCTGTTCCCCACTGTTTTTCACCTTGAAACCAAAATGTAAGAAATTCAAATTTACTTTCCGATATAAATTCAATGACGCATATATTTACCGAGAATTTGAATAAATAAATACCTGCATCATACAGAGCTTGAGCATCAGCTTGTGCTTGAGCATAGTCTATTCCTTGATTTTCATCACGATTTGCTTGGCAAAGTGAAACGCAAAGTCTTTTGAAATGTCCTGATGTATCTCCTTTCAAATCGCTTTCCAAAGTTTTTCCATAAACTAGAATAATAAAAATCAAATATTATTCAATTAAAAAATTTAGAACAAAATGATTTTTTCTAATTACTTAAATTAATTAATGAATCAGAGCTCTAATTAAAAAATACAATAAAAATATACTAATGATTAGTGATAAAAAAATACATTTCAAGGCCACAGAGTGACATCATTCATTTTACTAGTCTTATATTATTTTGTAATAATAGGATATAATAATCATAGAAACCACGTCATAATGTAGTAAGAATAAAGTACAAACTAGTTACCAAAATAAATAGATTTTTGGTTTTTTTATATTTGTTTCATTGTCTAAAAGAAAAAAAAATAACACTAATAACCAATTCAACTTACGATTTTCATAAAAAGCAGCAATGGTTCGAATGCCATAGTTACTTAATGTGCATAAAATTTCAACAATAGCTTCCTCGTCAGTACCAAGACCAGAAACTGCCTCGTGAAGTTCTTTAGCATAATAGTGAGGTAAAGGTGTCATCAAGGCGACAATAACATCTTTGAGTTTTCCAGATAATTCACTCTTCAAGTCACTTATAAGATCTTTTCCATACATTGTTTTAAATGCTTCAGCAATTTCAAGGCGTTGTACTACTCCTCTTTTAGTAAGTACATCAATAATAGATTTTTCATCAGTACCAAGACCTTTCATCGCCTTTCTCAGAATTGCAGCATCGTTATTGGCGTCGAATGGTTCAGCCGGGTACACAGTTGGCGTGCACTATAATCAACAAAATATTTATTATAATTGATTGAATATAATCGTCAGGTATTTTTTTAGAACGTACTGTAATCAACAATTAACACGAAACAATTACTGCAAGCAAAACTTACTTTGAATGGATAATATTGGTGAGCCATGATAGTAGCTATTAATGAACTTCAGTCAATGCTTTATAACTCTGAAAAATATTTAATTCACTTATTCCAATTGACAGATAATTTATTTGACAAAAGATGAGTTATTATGTAGGTGAAGATGTTGCAACAAGATTTATGGTGTTATTTTTGTGATGTGACGTCATGGATTATACATATTTAACATTTAATATTGATTGATTTTAAAAATTATGTCAGATGCAAAAAATAATCATGCAACAATTGTAAGTGTATAAAAAAATATTTATCAATAGTCATAAATTATACACAATCATATAATTTCTCCGGCATAGTTTGAATATTTTTACTCAGTAACTTTTTCTGAAACTCAATTCACTATAATTTAATTAAATATTCTTGTATTGTTGCTATCTGATTAACTTATTTGAACATTATAAATTTTAATTAAAATATAAAATACTCAATTAAAACTTACTTGCAGTAAATTCAAAGAATGAGTCGAACTGATTTAGCGGTGAAACACTAAAAAAACAGCCAACACCCAGTAGGTTGATGTGTTGAACAATAACGGAGTAGTGTCTGTGATGTTTTTTTATTACTCCGAAAAGTGTGTTACAAGTTTTTCCCTCTCTCTACTACGGAATTTTTTTTATCGTCTACATTACATGCCTTTAGGGACCCTAAATGTATAGTTTGAAATTTAGTTCCAAGAATTACATTGATATGACATCTATAGCGTATTTCTGAAAGCTTATTTAAGAAGTGCCATGACGGAACACCTATATGTTGTTATAAGAAGTGTTTTTTTATAAAATTTGAACTTTAATGTTTTCCATGAACAAATAAATCAAAATAAACAATAAAAAATTACATACAAATAAATAATAACAACATCTTGCTAATATTTCTTTATTTTTTATGTTTCCATGTTCATTGGAAAATTTCATAACAATTAAATGTTAATCAACACAATTAAGTGTAATTAATTTATAAGTGAACTAGTAAACAATCATGTCAACTGATATTAAAGTGTTTAAATGTTGTATTTGTATTATTTTATGATGAGTTTCTTAAATTTCTTTTATCTAGTCTTGTTTATTCAGTGTTTTGAAGTAACTGCAAATGGTATGTACATTAACATGCTCCCACATGTAGCTTTATTTACTGACGATCATCATTTAGGTATCAACATCTATTTTTTGATTTTCAGGATTAGATATTGATCAAATATTTACGTTAAATTATTCGGGGGAAATCTTAAAATCAATCTATTTTAATTAAAGTATTAAAAAATTTAATAATTGTGGTTAATTCATCCAATTTGAATAAAACTGATTTCAATAGACCTTGATGACTTCCATAACTGTTGACATTAAATATGTTAAATTTTTGTTGACATTTGAATATGACGTGGGTTGAATTATTTGATAGGAAAGAATAAATAGCATGGAAACTTAACTTCTATTCTATGTTTGGAGTCAAATTTTACTAGCTTTTGCTAGTATTCTAGGAATCTCACTCGAACAAAGAGCTCATATTGCGAGCTTTGGAATAATGAATTCTATAAGACTTTAATAATTTAAGAGCATTACGTTGCATGAAATCTCCCCATAGAATGTTGGAATTATAACTTTTCTTTTGATTGATACTTAAATAATTCAAATGGTTATTTTCAACGATTAAAACCTTGAACACTGAACACCGACGTGATTTTTATAAAATAGTTTTTTTTCTTAATAAATAGTACAGTCAACTTCTTCAAGATAATTTTTTATTCTCTTTAATGAATTTTTCTTTTTCAGATTGTAGAGGTATTAATTTTAAGAACGTCAGTAAGTTTCCTCAAAGTAAAATAAATGATGTTCATTGACTTCCCACTGAGTATTATATGATTCTGCGATTAATTGATTTTTATTTACGTTTCTACGTCATACAGCAAAATGCTTACATTAAAATTAAAATATTCAATAATTTATATATTTTAACAACGAGATTCTTGAAATAATTACGTCTTTCAATAATTTATGTCTTAACAACAATTCATTTGAAATAATTCATAATATACACAATATGATGTTTCAGATTGAATTAAATTAATGACTTATTGTACTCTATTTTATTAAAATCCACAAATTAAGTTTGAGTTTAAAATTTCTTCTTCAACTGCTGGCCTAATAAAAACTGTAACAGAATTATCAGTAAATCCACTTGATACGAGTTTCACAGTTGTTACTTCACATCCTATTATTTGACTGCTACTATCTGTAATGGATAATCACAAATTAACATTAGAACTAGCTTACTGATATGTTTTATTACAATTATAATTGGAAAAAGTTTTATAAAGCATACATTTTTAATATAATTTTTACCTGGTTTATTATTACTTCCACATATTGAATCAAGTACTTCTATTTTGGACGTATCTAAACCAGTATTGCCTCCAATTAGCACGTGATCGGCTAAACCCAATTTATTGCACTATAAAAATGGCAATTATTATTTGTTTGAATTGATCCCACCATTATTTTTCTCGTGGTTTCAATCACTCTCATTCACAAAGTCCATTTTACTAATTAACCGCAAGTTTCATTCTCTCTATACCATTTTTTGTAAACGAAACAAATCAAAATATATCCAGTCAATGGAATCTGATAAATTGATTTGAATGTAATGACTTGAAGATAAATACTTTATCAAATAAGTGAACGTAAAAATACATTTTAAAAATAATTGAAGTACTAGATAATGGTATTATTTATTTATTATAAATTGAATTAATTGACTTTTATAAATAAAAAATCGTGTAGATGATAAAGCAAACACTTTTAGATCATTTGAAATAAAATTTTCTATTAGATTTTTTCATGACTTGGTAAAGTGAAAAAAAAATCTCTTTTGTGACAATTTTCTCTACGCTCAAAAGAGAATTTTCGCTTGGACTATTTTGATTGAAAAAATTTATTTATAGAGTATTGTTATGTTCAGGATAGAGTCATTGATGCAAACCTGGTGAATGGTTCCTGTTTTTTCTAAAAAGAAATGTCTCATATATGGTAATAATGATTTTTCTAATCTTCTTCCACCAACATTAAGATCAATTGTCTGCACTACTGATGGATAAATGGCTAATAAAGTGCAATTTATTCTCTTTCCATAGTTGCGAAGTGTGAATGAATCCATTGTACTATTTACTAGTACATTACAGGCTGTAATAATTGATAATAATAATTTCATTTAATGTTAATTCGATTATTTTTTTTTCATTAATGTATTAAATTATTATTAAACTTTTAATGTTTATGATAATAAAGAATAATATTCGATTTAAAAACATATTTAGAAAAATAAATTGAGTTACGTGAGTAATTCAATTTTCCAAAGTCATAAAAATTTTTATGATATTGAAAATCCTACTTAGTTAAATGTATTAAATGTCGAAAGATGATACTTTTTATTATCTTTAAAAATTAAATTAAAGTATCCAATTTTAATAGAAAAAATTAATTGAAACAAAATGAAAGGATTTTATGGCTATTCAACAGGAATTAAAGTTTTTGCTTTAAATTCACACTGGGTCTAAATTCAAAACATTCATTCATGAATAGCACAAGACTGCACAGTTTTTACTTTAATTAATATTCATCAAAAGCAAAATACTCTGTACATATTTCATCTTTCAAATAATTTTGAAAATTAATCAAAAATGAAAAGATTGAAATGTATAGTATATTTAATTACTTGATAAATTAATTAGTAATCATAGCTGTAGAAATTCAAAAATATTGCTTTATAATTTTATGAATAAGAAAAATATTTTTCTACAGTGATTTGAATAAAAATATATTCCTTAGTGTACATAGAAACTTTATAAATTGGTATAATTTTAATATTTATCAGTATATAGATTCTGATTGGGTATTAAATTTCTTTTCATAATTTATTATTTATGCAGTTAAAGAAAATAAAAAAACTCAATATACTTACGTGTAGGATTTCTACGATAGCGTGCAATAACAGTAAATCCTTTGCCTTTAAATGGAATTCTATACTGAATTACTGCTCCATTTTGTGAACTAATGAATGTGTGTGAAACGTATTTTCCACAAAATTCCGTAACACGTTCTTCTAGTGGTAAAGAGTGATCTTCTGGTGATGGAAAAAATTCTCCATTCAACTCCCATCCGTCAACAAACTGTCCGAAAAGGTCATACATTTATTTATTAAACCAATTTTTTTTTCCAATTTAAATGCTACTTAATATTTATATTATCATGTACTTTAAAAATAGTATTAATAACAATAATAATAATGAGTATAGATAATAATTGATAAATATATTACTTACAGAAACGAGTCCTCCACCTTCGCAGGGTACATCAAACGATAAAAAAAATAATTCCACTCTCTTATCAGGATCTGTGATAAAATATGCTCCACAAACAGTGGGATCATCACTTGTCGATTCATATGTGAATCTTCCAGTTTCTGATGTTACGAACATGCACTCTAAGAAATTTCATTTTTATTATTTCCAGATCATTGAACGCTCATTCACACGACTTTCAATAACAGATTTGATTTTCTGAAGTCTTATCGACTAATTATTAGAGACATACTTTTCAATTTCATTTTTAATATTAATTTACTTCCAAATTTTTAAAAATATTTACTTATCAATCAATTTTTACAATTAATTATAGAAAATTTTTGTATTATATTTAAACTTGTATTAATATTTTAAATGAATTATATTAAACTCCAGTAACTTTAGTGGATAATTTGTAATAATAATTTAATATAATCATTATTTTTTATTAAACTGAAAGAAGATAGTGAACTCCCGAAATTGAATAGAAAAAGAAAAAAATTTGAAGATTGTTTGCTTAGTGTGTGAACTATTGCTGAATGAGAGAAGTTGGTAACTTTGGGGATAAAGTGGAATAAATAGGTCAAGGATTGAGACCAATATATGAAGAGAATTGAAAAACTTGATACATATAATATAGTAAATTGAATCTAATACTGTTACCCACCTGAAATTGGAATCGACGGTGGTATTATTTTATCAATGCCCTTGAATTGGTAGTCATTTAATTCGCTGTCTTTCAAGGATTCTTGGATTGTCTGAAAAATCACCAAAAAAATTCCATCATTAGACTTCTATCTCGATCTTTGCCCACTCAGATTGCTTCAATGTTACCACCTAACTCTCTCATACTTTTGAATTAATATTAATCAATAATTAATGAACTTTGAAAAAATTGTTGTATCATGGTTATTCTTATAATTTGAATTTAAATATCAAAATTCAAAATTTAAGATTTTATCCATTTTATGTATTTAAATTTTTGTTTTTAATTTGTTTATTTTGTTTGGACCAAGATGATGAGTGGATGAAAAGCTTTAAGAAAACTAGTATGCTACTGAACCCACTATTTATTGGATTAACTTGTCTATTTAATTCCCTTTAAGACTCAAGTAAATGGATATAAATTTTTTCTTCATTTGTTTCACGTCTGACTGTTAGTAATTATTCCAAAGATTGATCTCTTAATTATAAGGTACTATTTTTAGAAATTAATTTAGTAACAACAATCACATAAGTAGAGATTATTGTAGATATGAATAATCGATTTTTCTCAAAAAAACTTTTTATTTATATATATATTTTTAATCAAGTTACTGATGTAAAAAAGTTGTTAGAATAATTAAAGTATATTTTAAAAAAACATTTTAAAGTCAAATAAAAATAACACGATCAAAACAATAAATGGTAGTGGCATAAAAATGTTGAAAATAAATTTCATTAATGTTATTATTTTCTTTATTACATTCTCTGTCAGTATAATGAAAAGCGGTTTGCAATATTGTTTTCAAAAAAACCGGATATTAAATTACTGATGTCCCTTGACCATCCTAAGCCTGTTGGTATAAATTTCAATAATGTGTTTTATAAATAAACAATAATTTTAACTAAAAATATTTCACAACAAATCTTTAATTAACAATTTCAGTATATCCTCAACTATTTAATGATGATGAATAAATAATAACAAAGATAAGACGTAAATTAAAAAAAAAAAAGATTAAATAATTAAATAAAATGGTAGTAATTTTTTTATTGTATTTAAACTTGTAATTTTTCAAAGTTCACTTAACATTTATATTTAAAATATTAAAGAATACACGCACATGTATGATTAAATTTACTCATTTTAAAATAACTCGAGCTCTGCTGCAATTACTCTTCTTTGTGAGAAAATTCGAGGGATCAATGGAATATTGATGATCAACTTTTCGATGAATATTTAAGAAGAAAAAAAAAAGAATATTTTTAATTTTTACAAAACTATATTATTATCGGAAAAGGTGAACCGATCGATGAATTATAATGGTAAAGATAGAACAGACATTCATATTACAAGCTGTAGATGGGCAATGAGAACATTATTAGTGAGCGGAAATTACATTTGAAATAAAATATTGCACGACTTGCTGATTTTAATAGACTAGGAATTTTTAAATAGATATCAGGAACAACGGAATTCTAGTTAATTAATGACAAACTTATCCTGCAAATGATATATTTTATAATTACATTTTTTTTAAAACTCTTATTTACAAATAAAACCTTTTTTTTTTATATTAAAAAACAAACTTTTATTAATTTTTTTCCATTCTTATTACTCATTATTTATTCTCCTTTTTATTAAATATTCTTCTTCATAAAGTTTTATCTTTTTAATATAAACATTTCACAATAAGAAGTTGAGATTTAAATATTACTGTCATTAACATAAAAAAAGCATTGATTTTTTTTTTTTTAAATGAATCAATTTAAATTATTACTTAATACAAAATATAATTAAAAAATATAACTTACTTGTTGCCGAATCGGTACTGGATGTTGAATAGGAATATAATTGGATTTAATAGTCGTAAATATTTTGAATAAAACTAAAACAATAGCCAGAACGTAATTGTAGTCTTTCATGACTTCTTATCTCGATGACAATGTTTAAATATGTGATAAATTAAACGATAAAAAAGTTTAATTTATGAATAAAAACTTATCGCAGTCAAATAAGGGTATACAAATACTTCTGTCTGAGGCGTCGCGACGCTCAACGTCTCTCTTATACCCGTTTGTTGCTTCGCCCGCGCATCCCCAAAGAGTCACTTCTCTCTTCTTTCATCCTATTTCCCTCTCATTTTATTATTTTTTTTTTTTTTATATTTTATATATTTTTCCAACTATATTTTTATTCAGTTATTATAACACTGTTCAGATTATTTTTTAATTGTACTTTATTATTTCTTCTTCACTTTATTTTAATTTAATGAACGCTATTTAATTTGAGTCATGATTTACAAATATTTGATTATCAAAGTCAAAAATAGACGCCGAAATGTATTTATTACTTTAAAAATTTTTTTTCGATAGAAGTTTAATGAAATAATAGGAGTAATCACAATTATGTATCATTTTTTATATCTTTTACCAGCAATAATTGGGTATACCTCACTCCATTCCAACAAAAACCACCTGCAGTGAACGTCCATTTTTATCTTTATTAGGTTCACCTAAGCCATCTAAATGTTTTCAATGTCAATCTTCACAGACTGTTTACATTAGCAGCTTACACAAAGTAAGAAAAATATTCCCTCTTAGTTAAATCAACAAAAGAAAGTAACAAAAAATACTTTCTACCCTTAACAATAATATTTTTTAGCACTTGAACTTGATCTCGTATAAATGAAATGTTCTATTGACGATGTATTATCTTTATTTACAACACAGTTGAAAATTTAAGTCAACGCAACAGAAGTACAATGGATGGTACGAGCAACTGATGCTTTCATTTATATCGCGTTATCTGATTTTGCTAATATTGATGAATACGTAAACGTTACAAAGTAACTTGTATGTTTATTTTCATGCATATCATACGAAAAATTTATTTAACAAGTGTTGTTTATGAATGTAATGGAGGTAAGTTTATTACAACATTATATACTGCTCATAAGTTATTCCAGAAATCAACATTATCTAATTAAATTTGCACATTCATCATTTTTATTTATGCTATGAATTACCGAAAGTTACTTTGTTAACTTGTTATCTTAATTATCTTTTCATGTACCTTCTATTCGAGTACATTATCATCACGGTTATTTGAACATCATAATTTTTATTTTGATCTTAACCAAAATATACATTTGTTTTGATGATAAATGATAATTTTACTTTTTATCGGTATTGATAATTATATTCACGACTTTTTTACTTTTTTTATAAATATTTTGTTGATTAATTTAATTTTATAGCATTGACAAATAACATTTACTGTATAAATTCATCTTTTTATTGTTAATTATTTAATATATGTATGTACATGGAATTTTTATTATGACTTCAGGTTAGATTATTTCAGTGATAATAATGTCAAAAGTCACTTTGAGCTTAATTATCGTTTTCATTTCCTTAAGGGCGAAATAAAATTGAAAAGATAAAAAAATTTTCTTACAGAACAAATGTAAAATTACTTGGAAAACAATTAATCTACTGCTTTTCTGTATTTTCTTAGAAACTATTTTGTTAAATAGAAGAAAATCTTGACTTTCAACAAAGCAGTTGGAAACATAAAGAAAAAGTTATTTGATAATTAAATCTCGTAAGTAAATTCAACAATGACGCAAATTTTTGAAAAACTTGCTTTTAAATTTGTTATTTAATGAGTAGGATCGTCTGATAAAAGAGGAGCAAAAAATGTTATTTATTGTCATGTAAATCCAATTCAGAGCAACGAAATTTTCTAAGGTTTTCTTTCCATCAGACTTATTTATTCTAGAAATTATTGAATAGTTTATTTTTAATAAATGGTTTCATAAAAAATATTCATCAAAAGCAGTGTTTGAATTCAATTTTATTATAAAAATCATAAATAACTTGAAAATAAATAGTAATAATAATAATAGTAATAGTTATAATAATAATTTTTTTTCATATTAAAAATAAAACAATAATTACATTTTAAATCTATCAATACGATGGATAAGGCACTCCATAATGAGAGATAGGCTCTTGATGACTCCTGTCATGCCATCCGTCACCTACTGGACCTGAGTGGTAAAGCCCATAATTGACTCCACTCGTAGCTACCTTCTTTAGGCCTTGAATGCTCGACAACATAAGCGCAAGTTTGGCAAGAATCAATGCTTTGCCACCAAGTACTGCTAAGAATTGAAAACCCATGGGGATCAGAACTGATCCCATTAACAATAGACCCATCATCATCATTGGCATTAGTTGGTGACGTCTTCTGTGACGTCGTCTTCCTATTGAAAATAAATTATAATAATAATTGATAACGCCTTCAATTACCGTACAAAAGTATTTTGTTATATTGATCGTAAATATCTATAAATAAAAAGATTCTTAGAAAATTGTAATTATTTGGAAAAATAGTCTATACAAAATTCCTTTTATTAAAAAAATGAATAAACCTTCAACAATTTCATTCTCCACAGAATTACTCCTAAAGCTTTCTTCATTTTTCTTGATTGACTCATTTCGATTGATCAGTTGGTCAATATCAATTTTTAGCACATGAGTCTTGAATACATTAGCAAGTCGTTGAAAAACTATTTCACGCCAAGTTTTATTACCATTTCTTCTTGCAGAACTATTTGTTTGATTCCTATAAAATACCAGTAATTATTAAAGTGTGCTTCTTAGTCGCAACCCAGAATTCTTTTTACACTTCAAACATTGTATTAAAGTGTCAATTAACAAAATGATTACACTTCCGTGCTAATAATCTTTGAACAGAAAAATTCTTCATTGAAATTAACCGTATAATCTACTTTAAATTCCTGAACGTTGCGTGACTCCATACCGGAATTATTATAGTTATTTAATTCATAATAATTAATATAAATAAAATATTCACTTGTCACGTTTGACATCTATAGTAGAATTATCCACATCCTTGAATTTTACCAGATCGATTCCATTTAGTATTGGTATCACATCATCAGAGAAAAACGCATCCATTGCTATCAATGCACGTTTTTGCAAACACGACCGTAAACCATCCAAAAACGACTGCTTTTTATTGTTAGAGTTACTTGATGATGATGCACAGTTTTTCAGAAGAGTATTTAATGTCACTGACCAATTATCTGATCCCTCAGTGTTTATAAAACAAAATAACAAACAAAATAGTAACAAATAAAAATGAAAAATTTTAAAATTCATCTTTCAATTACAATTACTTTGATCTTTGAAGATTAAAAATAAAATTACTTTTATTGATTATATTCAGGAGTTTAAACAGTTTAGTGTTGTGATGTCGAATGGAGGCATCTACTTATCGCTATCGTTATTTATATAAAGGCATCGAAAATGGAGTAATAGGCTAAGATGTCATGTAATGACATGTAGATAGAAATTATGACAACAGGAGAAGGATGTTCTAGAAGTGGTAGGAGAAAAACTACTCATGAGGATCCAGGGTAGCGGTCAAGCTACTGAACTTTATGTTCGGCCAACCCTAACGTATAATTTTTTTGAACAAAATAGTTGAAAATATTAATTTGAAACATTGTGAAAACAGAATAAAGTATGATGGATTGAGTTTTAATTTTTAGACTATAATTTTCTTCTTTCGCCAACATATCTAGACTTGATCAAAATTGTGTCAAAATTCCAACATACGTCGCATGTACAAAGTGTTTTACCACAGTACTTCCTTTTATCAACATTCAAACCGAAACAAAAGATATAAATGCTTGGTCAATTAATTTTTTTTAACCCATCAATGATGTCTGACAGATAATTGATTTCATTTCAATTAAAATTTTAAACTGATATTTATTTAGAAATGATGATAATGTTATAATTCAATTATAATAAAATAAAGGATAATATTTAATATTTTTAAAGATTTATTAGTTAAACAAAAAATTATATTTAAGGCCTTTATATTTTATTCATTAATTATCTTCTATAACGTAAAAGTTATTAAATGGAGGGAAGAAATAATCACAATTTTATGCTAACAATATAGGAAGCAATGGAATAAAATAATATATATGTATTTACATGGCTTTCTTGTTTAATTTTATGTCGAACTTATCGTTAAATTACTTATTTCTGAAATTACTGAAAAATTGCATGGAGTATCTTCTGTTGCGAAATTCCAAGTTTCATCTCTTGGTGTTATTGGATCTAATTCTTTACTTTGTTGAACTATGTGATGAGGAGAACAATTCGTTGATTTTGAAGCTGAATATAATACTCTGAAATCCTCTTTCGGCATTGGGGAGAACATTTTCGTTAAATTTGATCCCTGAAACAAACAAATAACAAAGATTTTTAATTAAAAGTTGTCAATTATCAACAGCCATTATCATTTTTTATATTAAAAAAAAAACATACTTTAGGCATTCCCGATTGAATACATTGAGCCAAAATCATATTTTCTTCATCTTCTGATAAACTCAAACTATCTTCAGATCGTGGTGATTTCAGTTCATCTCCTCCAGAAACTTCAAACTGTTCATTAAAGGTATCGGATTGTCTGGAAGTCGAAGCTTTAGTTGAAGCAAGACTTAAGCGTCCTTTAGGCATTGCTGATTCAATGCATTCAGCTAAAATAGCATCATCATCCGAATGATTCGGACTGTCATCAAATGAATTATTCGAATCGTCATCACGGCCATCGACAGTTCTAACTAAATATTCGCAACTATTTCTTGTCGCTGAAGAACTAGAATTCTGTGAAAAATCATTAGGCCGAGAAAGGAAGACTTGGGAATTTTTCTTGCAAACTAAAGATATTGGGCTGACTCGTTTAGGCATGGCAGATTGAATACATTCATCTAAAATTTGTTCATCATCTCCTGATAAATTTGAACTATCGTCAGAAAGATCGTTTTGTACATCGTCAAGATTTTCAGGCTTTTCAAAATCTTCTAAGATACTGGGCATAGAAAGTGCTGATAAATTGGATTGAGAACCAACAGGTGATATGTCTGCTGGAGTATCTTCTGTACAATAAACATGTACAGTATCTGGAGATGTTGAAATATCCAGAGTGGTTTTAGACCTTATTGGAGATAAATTGGATTGCTTCATTTCACTAATGTTAATATTTTCTAGTCTATCTAATGTAGAACTCGTTTGATATCGAATTAAATTGGACACAGACGTCGAGGGAAAAGATTTAAATTCCGTTTTCTTTACACTCTGACGATATCGATTATTCTGCATTCCCATATTAATGCAAGCAGCCAAAATATCCTCGTCTTCATCCTCTTCATCTCCATCACTTACTTGTTCATTATCTCGATCAGTTTCAACCACTTTTTTTGGATGAGAACTTTCCTCCGATGATGCAGCAGGAGATACAGCTACTGGATGCACTTCGGCTTCTTCTATATCATCAGAAGTTTTTAAATTTACTTGGTCGTTACTTGATTCTTCTGGAAATTTAGGCTCATCGTCGATCGTTAAAGAACTTAAACTCGTTGCAGCAGAAAATTCGATTGGTGTTGATTCTTCTTTAAAGGCCGCTGTATTATCTTCAAAAACACTAGGTTTAGATTTTGTATAAGAAAATTTATTAAAATGACCTAAACAACGTTCTTCAGTTGCTCTAGGTGAAAAATTCATAGGCTTATTGCTGTGTGGTGGACTTGGTGGTACAGTTTGAGTTGGAGAATCTGGTAATTCACTAGGAGAAACAATACCACTAGTTCGACGACTAAAATCACTAATAACAGAACTACGATCATCGTTGATTGAAAACTGTTCAAAACCACTTAAAGATCCTAAGGAAGAACTTCTGGAAAACATTAGTGGTGTTTCATCAGTGTAATGATTTTCTCCACCAAAAGTCACTACCTTTGCTTCTTTATCTGAATTTTTTTCTTCAATACTTTTATTCTCTTTATCTTCAACACTATCTAATGCTGACTCAGTGTTACTTTCGTCTTCTGTTGGTTTTTGTTTAAATTCTTCAACTTCTTCTACATTTGGACGATCATCATTCTGACCACCTGATTCTAAAGAACTTAATGAATTCACTCGTGATACTATTCCAGGTGTTCCTTGCTCATAGTAATCAATTTTTTCTTCTGAGTTATTTTTACAAAGATGTGAATTTTTCGTTAATATATGCTGTTCATCGCCATGATTAATTTCTTTATGCTCTTCAATCGTTTCATTAATTACCTTCTTACAAATTTTTCCACTTATATCCAAATCTTTAGATTCTTCTAAGCGTAAATCAGACATAGATGTTGCCGTAGAAAAATTGCAAGGCGTCTCATAAGGAGTTCCTTCAGTATAATAAGTCTTCACAGTGTCTTCTGATGATCCATTAACTTGATAATAATTATCATTCTGTTTATCTTCTTCATCTGTATCATCTTCAGCATAACGCAAAGAATAATCTGTAGGCTGATCTAAATCAGTTTCTGCATAATCTCCAAGCATGCTTGAACCTTCTCTAAATTTTTCTCTTCTAGACTTCATCTTCATTGATTCTTCTCGTTTAATAGCACCTTGCTCCATATATTTTTTACTATAATCAATTGGTTGATCTCCTTCTTCATAGGAAGTATTTCCTGAACATCGTCTATCGTAGAAAGTTGAATCTACCGGCGATCCTTTACGTCTTTCTACAGACTTATCATTTTCATCACCATTTCTAGTATCATCATCACAGCTTAAAGGACTTATAGGGTGTCTAGAAAAAGATGCAGGCCAAGATTTATTAGAGAGTGATCTTTTTTCTTGTTCTTCAAGATCAACTTCAACAGATCTCGATCTGTAATTAGTTCCTAACATTAGAGAGCGATTTTCTGGATGGTTTCTTATTCTCATTATTTCAGATCTTGATGTTGGTATATTATATGATCGTTGGAAGCTAGATTGAGATAAATGAAATCCATGAATACTTCGAGCAACCAAAAGATTTCTTAGAGTAGCACTTGCACCCATGGAAATCATTTTATGCTTTGAATGTACCAAGTTTCTGAGAATAGGAACCGTTCCTAATTCCCAAAGAGTTTTTTGATCTTTTGGACAACGAGCAGATAAATTCCAAAGTGTTCCACAAGCATTGCTCACCACTGTTAAGCTGGGAGAGCTTAATAATCTAACAAGTATATTGATAGAATTTTTTTCTCTTAAAATTTTCCGATAATTTTCTTCCATCGCCACATGACTGGAAACATTTCTCAGAATTCCTCCTGCATTCTCTACTATTGCTAATTTATTAGACGGTGACTTAAAGCTTAATAAGTCTACTAAAAAACTGAGAGCACCATCAACATTGCAAATATCTGCTTTATTCGTTGTGCAGTGAGCTGATAAGTTCCAAAGTGCTGACAGAATTGATTTCAACGTTAATTCATGTCTACTGACCATTGCAGCCTTAGTGAGACTTACAACAGACCCCATTTCTCGTAGAATTTTTTTAGAATTACTGTCAGCACGCCAGGATAAATTTCTTAGAACACTAGCGGTATATTGATGTAAATCTTCATTAGCACTTTGAAGTTGTGCGACCCAAACTTTAATAAATCCACTGAACGAACAAAGAAGACTTTTATTTTTACTATCACCATATGTTAAATTAGTTAAAGTCATTCCTGTGTATTTTCTTAAAGATAAACAATCAGTATCTGTAGTATCTGATCCATGAACTAAGTGGTCTATTTCAATTAGTTCTGCTATTGCGTGCAAACCTCCCAGTTGACACATAATGTGTCGATATCTTTCTGTGTATGAAAGTTTCGTTAAAATAAAAATGGTAGAGACTGATTGCCGATGGCGATCACTAGTTTCTTTGGAACCTGTGTCACCTATTCTCAGTGCTTGACTACAATCTCTGAGTTGTTCAATTAATTTTAAAACTTGAAGTTCTTGACAATTAAGTTTTTCATCTTGAGTAGCTCTCACGATATTATTAAGAGCTTGAGAAGCTCCCTTTCGGATTGATAAATTGTGTTCTGGTGCGTGGATTAGTTGAACAAGGAGTGGAAGACAACCTGAAAAATACATTTATTAAAATTAGAAGACTTGATATAAAACGGTGAATAAAATTTAATAAAATTAAATTTACCTGATTGTCTCATAGCAAGACAATTTTCTACAGTATTACTAAGTGATAATAAAGTATTACTCGTATCTTCTCTTCCCGTAGCATCACCCAATAACATTCCTAACAAGCTATAAATTACATCGATCTTAGGATCATGATTTTCTTCACTTAGGCATACATTTTCTCTCACATTTATTCCAATACTTGTATTAGATTTAAAACTTATTACACTAGCAACGATTGCTGAATTATCGTTCAAATTTTTTCTGAACTGTAGACTATTCCATATTTCTGTTTCTATGGGCCATGCTCCATGATATAAGGAAGGTAATTGTCGTTGTTGCAAATCAGAAATAATATTGGAAGATATATTTTCTTCATTATTTAAAGATTTAGAATGGCATTGATTCATTGAATTTGGTCCACTTTTATTATCTTTTTCATTCCATGACATTTTAACAGCTCTTTATAGTGTACTCTATTTTCTTTATTTTTCTAAAAATACTTATTGTATTTGTTGTTTTATTTCATTGTTGATGAGATTTTAACACTTTTTTATAATTGCTATGTTAGAATTTTATAATATTTTGTAAATAAAACTATGAACTGATTGACTACTACTAAATAACAACTAATAATTAACATTCAGAATGTTTATCAATCAACTTGATAGGTTATGTTATAACAAACGGAAAGAAATGACAATGTCAAGGATAACAGAGACGCGTAGCGAGTCCTCGTGACACTAAAAAATTTCAAAATGAAATTTCTAATGAGTTGTCTGAACATTCTATCAGGAACAATCGGAAAAATCAGATAAATCATCATAAATGATTGTAGATCATTGTAAATAACACTGAAAATAAAATGCAAGGATTTATAAAAGTGTAGTTTATTTAGTTTTATAAAAATATAAAAAAAAATTATTTAGTTCTATACAATTATTAATTAATATACATATTATTTTGATTTATTCTCAGCAGTACCACTGCCGTAGGTAGCATCCCATTGAACATAAACTCCAAGGTCTGCTTGAGAAACACTTGGTCGAACTAGACATAGAGCATTTTCAAAATCCTCAGCCGTAACACATCTAACATCTTCCTTACGAATATTTTCTAACTGCTCAAAAGAAATACTCCTAATTGGGCCCATACTAGCTTCCTTACATAAATTCGTCATATCTGCACCAGAATAATTTTCAGACATGGCAGCAATTTTATCAATATCTTCATTAGTAAGTTCATGTCTTTCATTAGCTAATAAGTTCTCCACAATCTGTCTTCTAGCTTCGAATTCAGGCAGAGGAACATATAGCCTTTTAACAAATCGTCTTCTCGCAGCCTCATCAAGTTCTTGAGGCCGATTAGTAGCACCAATAACAAGAATTCTATCTTCATCTCCTGTTGTAGCACCATCTAGTTGAACTAGAAATTCTGTTTTTATTCTTCGAGAACTTTCATGTTCAGTTTCAGATCGCTGAGTCAATAAAGAATCAATTTCATCTATAAAAATTACTGAAGGTTGATGAACTCTTGCTACGGCAAATAAAGCTCTAACCATCTTTTCACCCTCTCCAACCCATTTTGATGTTAGCGAGCTGGCTGATATTGAAAAAAATGTTGATTTACTCTGAGATGCAATACACTTGCCTATCAGAGTTTTTCCAGTACCTGGAGGTCCAAAAAGTAACATTCCTTTTGGGGGACGACGAAGTCCAGTAAAAATATCAGGACGTAGCATTGGAAAGACTATAATTTCTTTTATAATTCTTTTAGCATCTTGAAGGCCAGCTACATCATCCCAAGTTACTAAAGCTCCTGAATCCATAATTTCATTGGTTATTAACTCAATCATTTTAGGATCAATATTTTTCAGTCGCTCATCTTCTATGTCTGTTGATTTTTCAGGCTGTTTATCTTCTTTTTCTTTCTCACGCTTGAATGGATTTACATACTGAGAGTTAGCACTTGGTTTACCGCCTAGTGTTTTTTTATAACTCTTTTGCTGTGAATTCAATTCTTTAGCTGATTTGAATGGAACCAAATTCCTGCGATCTTTCTGGAGATCATCATTTTCTTCTTCATCGTATTGATTCCTATTGAATTTAGAAGACCTTTGATGGGAGTTTGTAAATTGTTGAGACTTTTCTTGTCTTCTTTCATCTCTCAAATCCTCATTATAATCTTCATTATACGGATGTTTGTTAAATTTAGAATACTTTTGATATAAATTTGCAAACTGTTGACGTTTTTCATGCTTCTTGAGGATACTTTCTGCTGTTGTGGCACTTGGAGCTGTTACAGCAGCAGTTCTTGATGATGAAGCAGCTGAAAAACTACTTTTAGCATTTTGAACATCTTGTACACGACCTTGAGATACTTTCCTACGTCTTGGAGATTCTTTTTTTCCATTCCAATATTCCATTAAATCTTCAATGTCACGATCTGTGAGGTCGATATCCGTACAACTTTTTGAATTGTCTGTTTGACAAGGTAGAGGCTTGATAAATTGGCTGATATCATCGATATGCTTTATTCCTGATTCAAGAACTATTTTCTTTTCAAAGTCTGGATTATTAGTCGAATAATGGCCATGCTCTTCCATTAATGTTGAATATTCATCTAAAGCATGATCCATTAGTTGCATAGCTAATTCATCAGATCTGAAAGAAAAATATATATGAAAATTACTGAGTTAAGTAAATAAACAATAATGATTGCAAACAGTTATTATTACTCTCTCCTTGCAACGTGATATTTCATTGCCATTAATATTCTAAAAGTATCTGCAGGATCATTGTCTCCAGAGAACTTTACTTCATGATATGCTGCTAAATAGTCAGTGACTAATGAATTTTCCTCTTCTGTATTTGTACTAGTTGATTCCATAGTTAATTTACTTATAAAAGTACACTTTATTTAAGAAACATTAACAAAGTTTATTTTTTGATTTTTAATACTTTTGGATTTGTTGACATGTGTCATACTTATATCAGCGTAATCGGTGTGGACAAAAGGTTAACTTCGCTATGTATCGCAATTTTGACAGTTGTAGGTGGCGCAATGATCCATAATGGTGATAAGATTTATTAAAACGTGAATTAATTCGTCAAACTATAATAATTTTTTTCGCAAAAACTATCAATTTGCAAATACAAGTTCCCATATCAGTTGTTATTTTTTTTTTTTACATATTATATATCCGGCTTCACCATAAGTAACTGTGCACCCAGTATTTTTTTTTCGTTACCATATTATAGAAGAGATTACTCCAAAACGATTGAAAGTGTTTTTTACAAACTTTTATTAATATAAAAATAAAAAATATTAATGTATTAAACAATATGTATACATTTGCTAATCCCATTAAGAAAAGACTTTTCATCAGTTATCATAATAAATTATTTTATAAAATTACAAAGATATTGGGTATTAATTTTTCTATGTCATGTATTCATAATAAAGATGAATTTTCGATTTCAAAACATCTTCAAAGCAAGATCAAAGCATGTGGACCAATAACTGTTGCAGAATTTATGAAAGAAGCTTTGACAAATCCTGTAGGTGGATATTACATGAATAAAGATGTTTTTGGAAAAACTGGTGATTTTATAACTTCTCCAGAAATAAGTCCACTCTTTGGAGAAGTATGTTTAGATATATTTGATATGTAAATATTCTTTTTGTTTGCAAATAAATATATCTCAACTATCATAATATAATTTCTTTTTAATGGTAGATGATAGGAGTTTGGGTATTGAATGAGTGGAGAAAAATTACTAAAGATGATTTTCATCTTGTAGAACTAGGTCCAGGTAGAGGTTCATTGACTAGAGAGATTTTAAAAATTTTTAAGCGATTTAAGATGCTTGAAAAAGTATCTGTTCACTTGGTTGAAGTCAGTCCTGCTTTATTAGATATTCAAGCAGAACAATTAAGTGTTACTTTGAAAGAAACACCAACAGTAAGTGATACAAATGGTAAACCATCAATTTCACATTATAAAGAAGGAGTTACTGCAGATGGGACTAAAGTTTTTTGGTATCGTGCAGTAGAAGATGTTCCTAAAAAATTCAGTATTTTTGTAGCTCATGAATTTTTTGATGCGTTACCAATTCATAAATATCAGGTAATTATAATATAAATTGAATTTTACCGATACATTGTATTGTGTATAATTTATTATTTGTTTTTGTAGAAAATTAAAGGTTCTTGGCGAGAAATATTTATTGATATAGATCCTAAGAACGATGATAAATTTCGTTACGTTATATCAAGCTTCCCAACACTGACTTCAAAATTATTTATCACGGTAAAAAATGTTCTTATTTCCAAACGAAACTTTGAATTCATTTTATGCATAAAATATTTGTTAGGAAAATGAACAACGAGACCACGTAGAAGTTAGCCCTCAAACTTTAACCACCGTGGATTATTTAGCACAATTTCTCAAAGAAAATGGAGGAATTATGTTAATTGTTGATTATGGTCATATTGGAGATAAAATGGATACTTTCAGAGCATTTAAAAATCACCAACAACAAGATCCGCTTCTTAATCCTGGTTCAGCAGACCTTACAGCGGATGTGGATTTTAGTATGATAAAAAAAATTGCAACGAAGGATAATAGAACAATAGTTTTTGGTCCTACAACGCAAAGGAAATTCTTATTGCAACTAGGTATTGAAGTAAGATTAAAAATGCTTCAAAAAATGACTGATGCTCAGAGGAGCCAATTGACATCTGAATATCGAATGCTTACGGATCACGATAAAATGGGCGAATGTTTCAAAGCTATGGCTATTTTTCCCGCGGTATTGGAACAACATTTAACAATGTGGCCAGTGGCAGGATTTTATGAAGAAAAAGAGCGAAAAGAAAATAACAACAAAAATCAAAGTGAATAATTATTTTGCAGTGTTAATTCATTTTATTGTTTTCTTTTTCATTAATTACATTGTTGTATGATTATTTAATTTTTTACAATTTATTATAAAATAAATTATGCTAATTCATGAATTTGTTAATTCATTATATTGTCATTTAGCAGTTTCCAATTCATATAAAATATTTTTGAATTACACTTTTGTTTATAGATAAGAACTTATACACTATTTTTAACATCGGAATATACTTATTTAAAAAAAAATTACATTGAAACTTATAAATAATAGAAGTAGTATGTGTGTCAAGATATAAAAATAATATATTCCGACAGTTCATAGGCAAGAGGCAATAGCCTCTCAGAGTAAATCAACATTTTTTTCAATATCAGCCAGCTCGCTAACATCAAAATGGGTTGGAGAGGGTGAAAAGATGGTTAGAGCTTTATTTGCCGTAGCAAGAGTTCATCAACCTTCAGTAATTTTTATAGATGAAATTGATTCTTTATTGACTCAGCGATCTGAAACTGAACATGAAAGTTCTCGAAGAATAAAAACAGAATTTCTAGTTCAACTAGATGGTGCTACAACAGGAGATGAAGATAGAATTCTTGTTATTGGTGCTACTAATCGGCCTCAAGAACTTGATGAGGCTGCGAGAAGACGATTTGTTAAAAGGCTATATGTTCCTCTGCCTGAATTCGAAGCTAGAAGACAGATTGTGGAGAACTTATTAGCTAATGAAAGACATGAACTTACTAATGAAGATATTGATAAAATTGCTGCCATGTCTGAAAATTATTCTGGTGCAGATATGACGAATTTATGTAAGGAAGCTAGTATGGGCCCAATTAGGAGTATTTCTTTTGAGCAGTTAGAAAATATTCGTAAGGAAGATGTTAGATGTGTTACGGCTGAGGATTTTGAAAATGCTCTATGTCTAGTTCGACCAAGTGTTTCTCAAGAAGACCTTGGAGTTTATGTTCAATGGGATGCTACCTACGGCAGTGGTACTGCTGAGAATAAATCAAAATAATATGTATATTAATTAATAATTGTATAGAACTAAATAATTTTTTTTTATATTTTTATAAAACTAAATAAACTACACTTTTATAAATCCTTGCATTTTATTTCATTTACAATTTTATTTACAATGATCTACAATCATTTATGATGATTTATCTGATTGTTTTTGTGCAGTCTATCCTTTAGCTATAGACAAAAGCTTGAGAATTGGTTTCTGAGATGCGTCTCCAGGAAATTCAAAATAAAAAACTTCTGTCCAACCATCAGTACTATCTTCTCCAACGACTCGTTGAATGTATTTAGTTTTTTTTTACATTTTTCTTCAATTTTAGCACGACTTTGGTCGTCTTTTTTTTCATTTTCAAAATCTCGCCATGCTTCAAGGAGTAGAGCTCGGTTTTCTCGCTCTCCATTAGCTCGCAAAGCACCATTTCCTCTTTCAAAAATTCGCCTTGCTGCCACCACACTATCGACTTCTTCTTCCGAATTAGCATTAATTAATTTAAATTTAGCATATGCTATCCATATTTTAACATGAATAGTACAGTCTAATAAACGTTCAAATAGTTTTCGAGCATTTGCAGGCTCGTCTTGACTTATTTCGAAATCTCTGAGCTCGTAAATTGCACGTTTTACGTGCTGCTGAATATTAATCAGTACTCTTCTGATACCGACGAATACATATTTGACAATTTTATTTTTGGAGTGCCCCTGACGTGCAATAAGATCAAATTTGATTTTTCCTCGAGCGTCTAATTGAACGGCTAAATTGTTGCTGATTTTTTTCTCTTTCCATCCCATTTGTAGTGGGTACTGAGCTATGTACTGTGAAAGAATCATGAAATTACTTCTAGTTTCCGTGGTACCCATTTTTTTCTTTTTCCATAAGGAGGTATACTTGTAACCGAGCTAGCTAATACAGGCTTTAGTTGAAGGGTCATACTTTTTCCATGTTTCTGCAAAAGCTAATACTTTCTGCTTTTGTTGTTCAAATTTTTGCTTTCTCGGCTTTCTCCATATACTAGAGCCCAAATCAAGCATACCTCCAATAATTTCTTGAGCAAAATTTCTAGGGAATAGCTGTTCATCTTCAATTACATGAGCAAAACCTCCTTGATCTCCAAACTCAACAGCAAAATATGGCAAGCCTTTGGGAATAGCTTGCCTTATGTCTTTCTTATTTAATTCAACAACTTTTTTATTTGTTGACCATTCCATTTCGCATTCTAGTAAAGCTTTTTTGAAATACATTGGTGCCATACTACCCACTTCTTCCGGGAGTGATACACATTCTAAATGCATGTGAGGAAAACGATGTCGACCCATGAAAATTTCGAAGAACACAGGACATTCATTTCTATCAGTAAACATTTTAATTAAAGCTTTTTTAAATATTTTCAATTCTTCCCACACATCTTCATCTATCAAAGTTTGTGATGAACAATGATGAATAGGAGCTATCATACAATGTCCATTTGTTAATGATTCATGAGCAGGAAGACTCAAATAAACTTTAGATCCCATAGCGACAATCAAATGCTTTTGAATCGCACGTGAATCAATACACCAATGACAATTTTCTAAAGTCTTTTCCATTTTCTTATGTTCTTTAATTGCATGCATTTTATTTCTAAGGTCTTGTTTGGCATCACTTTCTTCATGGGTAATGCGTTCTTCAAATAACTCATCCATATCCATTTGTTTAGATGCCATTTTAACAAATGCTTTATCATTCTGATCTATCGAAAATCCTTTCTCTTTTTCAAACATATCACGTAGTGAATGTTTATCATCATCTGCAAAGTAACGAACTCTTTGTCCATCTTCATAAGAATTGATTTTCTTATTTTTTCTGCGGCCTTGTTGTGGCTCATTGTAACGACTTTTTGGCTCTAATGGTTTCGTCATTCCTTTCGAACTAGTTGTCGTTAAAATAACATTTTCTTCTACTCTCTTGAATGCTTGAGCATTGAGATTAGGATTATTTTTCTTCATTTCCTGGGCATTTTTTAATTCTTCTTTTAGTTTTTCTGCTAACTCTGTATCTCCCATGATTTCAGCTTTAACAATTTTAGCTGCTAGTTTATTTAATTCATCGTCAGATAAAATTTTAGGTGCAATAATTGGCGGCTCATCTTCTGGTTCCGAATTTTCCGACACACTAGAGCTTTCTGATCTTTCGCAAGTTGATTTTGATACTTGAGAATTAATGCTTTCTTCTGTACAGGCACTTTTTTCATCAAGTTGAGGTTTTTTCCAATTTTTTTTTGATAAACTTGATTTTTGTGCAGATAAAGATATAGATTGATTATTTTCTTCATCAGGTTTCTTAAACTTTAATTTTGTACTTTTATAGTTTTTTGTATCATCACGATAGCTATATCTTGATCTTTCCTGACTTCTAGATCTAGATTTGCTCCGATAACTACGTCTTGATCTTTCCCGACTTCTAGATCGAGATCTACTTCGATTTCTATGTGATTTATCATAGTTGTTCTTGTAATCTCTATGACTATATTTATAATTACTCTGAGTTTGCCTAGACCAATTTGAAGATCTACAATTCTTTTCAGCTTTTTCAATCATAGATTGAATAATTTCTAAAGAACCCCATCGTTCTTGAGCAATTTCCTCTAAACTTTTTCCTTCTTCTTGAGCTTGTTCTTGAGCCCTTTGAAGACTTTTTTTTAACCATGCAGCACTCATAGTTGTTGAATTTGTTTCATTCAAACTTGTTTCTTGCTTTGGTAATCCTGTTCCACCATTTTTCCAATAAGGATTTAATTCTTTATTGCTTTGGCCTGGTTTATCGAGAATACACGTGTCTTGATTTTTTGCTTTATTTTCCTGTAATTTCTTGTCACGAGAAGAACAGAAAAATGATCCAGAAAGACTCATCCATTCATCTCTTTGAAGTGGTTTTTCAGATTTGTTAGCAGCTGATGAGGAAGGTGATTCTTTTTTTGTATCCGTTGTTTTTTCTACCCATTCATCTTCATTTGAACTCTAAAATTATATATTAGAGCAATGAATGTAATGTTAAAAAAGTATGAATTTTAATCATGCTAGTGAGCATAAAATTACAAATACTTACATCGCTAGAACTCGAAGAGCTATGTTTTTTATGTTTTTTCTTTTTCGATTTTTTCTCTTTCTTTTCCTTTTTTCTTTTTTTTTTAGATTTTTCAGATGATAAATTTTTCTCCACTGAAGGCAGCATCCATTTGTCATCTCCGCGTAGTCTAGCCTTTTCTTTTTCAGCTCTTTTTCTGTGATATTTTTCTTCTGCCTAAAAAATTGATTCATTAGTTAATAAACATTTTTTTTGTATAATTGGAGTTGAGCTATTGTCATTTTTATTTTACCTCTGTTAATATATTCTCACGAGCCTTTTCAATAGCTTCTCTTTGAGCTGCTTTTACTCTTGCACTTTCAAATTGAATAAACATTTTGGTTTGATAATTTATGGACAATAATTATTAATTATTTAACTTATAAATTCACTTAGTCGTGTTGTTTGACATAAAACCTAATGCAAACGTTTTGAGGTTAGTTAGGTTAAGTTAGGTGTATTGTAAAAATTGTGCGCGCGCATCGCACTTTTACTTTATAATCATAATAATTTTATTCATATTTACATATATGTATATACACATCAACGCAAATAATATACGTTGACACATACGATATCTGTGTTGTATTGCTAGTGTTTGATATATCCTTACTGATATAATATCACAATCTGTCTTTTCCAAGTAATTAAAGACGTAAAAATTGACTTGTTGGCATTCCATTGATACATCAGTATTTGACAGTATTAATAAATATTTATAAAATTAGTGCAAATATGTTATTATTTGTGCAACGAAATAACCTCAACAATGCTAGATACGCAGCTGTGTATACAGTGATTTTTCCTAACCTTGATTACTATTATTGATGATTATTTAATGTTATCAATCATAAATTTATAAGAAAATATTAACATTACGTATAAATTATTTACATATATATTTATCTATACAGTAGAAATTTTTTGAATTTTTTTTTAATGACGAAATGAATTGACAACACATATTTATTTTGTAAATAGCGGATGAATATTTTTATTGATTGATTCGATACTCTTAACACTATGAACATCGAAGAAAATCGTCTTAGCACATTTGCAGGATGGCCAGAAAATGCTGCAGTGAATCCTTCAAGGATGGCGAAAGGTGGATTTTATTATACTGGTCATAATACAGATGTTGAATGTTTCTTATGTGGAATTGTTATTTCCGATTGGGATTACGGAGACCAAGTAATGGTTCGTCATCGTCAAGCTAGTCCAAATTGCCCATTTGTACAGGATCCTTCAGGAACTTGTAATGTTCCTATAGTAGAAGTATCTGAAAATATTAGAGTTCAACCACTTTCACAATCTCCAATTCCACCTCCAAGGAGAAGAACAAGAAGTCCAGAGGGTTCTCCAACTGGACGAATACCAGTAGTTTTAAGTCAAAATCCACAATTAGAGTATGGAACTTATGAGCAAAGATTAAGTTCGTTTCAAAATTGGCCATCGACTGCTGCAGCTTCTCCAGAAAGTTTGGCAAGAGCTGGATTTTATTATCTTCAACAAGAAGATATGGTAATTATATTATGATACGAATCCGTTTAATGCTATTTCATCATATTAGCTAATTTTTCTTAAATACTTTAATTAAAAAATGAATGATCTAATGTAGGTTCAGTGTGTTTACTGTAAAGGAATTATGAGAATGTGGGAACCAGGTGATGATCCAGATACAGAACACCGGATTGGCTTTCCTGATTGCGATTTTTATACTCATCAAGACTGTAACTCAGGTATAATAAAAAGTGCCAACATTTATTTAAAGTAGAAATATATATTAGATAATTCTGGTGTTAAGTATAAGTGACTTATTCTACGTAGAATGCTAAATATAATTACATTAAGCAATAGTAATGCTAAGCTAAAACTGTTGAATACTCATATCATACGAAAGTCATCGATTATCATTATAAGCGAAGTATTTTTTAAAAATTATTCTAATGGGATCAGGTATTATTTAACTTAACTTTAAATAATTATCCATTTGTACAATCCATCAGTAATTTATTCATCTATCTATTTAATTTAAATTGAATTTTTTTATCTTGCATAACTTGTTAGAATCGTTTAATTTTTTAATTTCAAGATCATTAATTACTATTTTATAGTAGAGTTGTTCACTATTATTATCATTTCTAACAGACGTAAAAATTATTTTTAGCTGTGACAACAATGGAAAAAGAAAAATTGGCAAATGTTACATTGCTATCAGGAACACCATCAGATTTGCATAAATTAGGAATACAAAAACATACTGCTCCTAAGCGAATGAAATATGCAACATATGAGAGTAGACTGAGATCATTTCAAGGATGGCCAGAAAATCTTCATCAAACGCCTGAGATGCTAGTAATAGCAGGATTTTATTATGTGGGTTCGTACTATAGCTCTTTGAGAGTTATTTTTTTTAAACATATTAACGATAGTTTTATTAAATTTAAATAATTTAATAGGTACAGGAGATCAAGTACGATGTTTTCACTGTGATGGTGGTTTAAATAATTGGGAGGCCGATGATGATCCTTGGACGGAGCATGCTAGATGGTTTCCAAAATGCGGATTTGTATCCATTGTTCGAGGACAAGATTTCATTCAGCACTGTCTTGATAATAGACCACCTTTAGACCCTATGGTTTGTATTTTATAACTTTACTTTGTATTGTAATAATGTTTTGACATATTTTACAATTATTTTTATGATAAACCACACTGTTTAATTACCATAGATATTTCTTGGAGTACCTGAAGACGGAGAGAATGTCACATCTTCGACATCTCAATCAACCAACGTTGCATCGAATGCTAATTCGAGTTCTATGGTAGCTAGTAATCTAAATTCCAATTCGAATTCAATTATACGAGAAGTTACTGACGCCGAGGTTGAAGAGCTTTTACATTCAGCACCTGCAATTGTAAGTCTTATTTAAGATTCATGTCACTGAAATATTTATTGACATATTTTATTTATTTGAAATTTTTATTTCATAGACAGCTTTACAAATTGGATTAAATCTAGGCAGAGTTAAAACAGCATTAAGACAGAGGATGGAAAGATTTGGAGTACCTTACACCAATGCAGATCAACTTATTGAGCATGTTCGTCACATACACTTATCGGAAGAGAACAACGGGTAACTGATTTAATTTCTTCTACTATTAATGATTATTTTAATCCAATATTTCGCTTAATCTCAAGAGTTTTTGATCTTGAAAGATATAAAATCTTCTCGATATCTGTGGCAAAAATGTAAGAGCATAATTAACTTATGATTTTTCAAAGTGTAGATTTGAAAGTAGTCAAGAACCTTCATCTGATTTGGCCAATTTATTAAGTCAAGCCATCACCGAACAATCTTCAAACAGATCTAGACCTTTACCACCGGTAACTAATGATCGATCAAGTAATATCAAAACATGTGTGATATCTAATGGAAAGGATAAACAGTTACCAAAACGACCTGATAAAGATGAAAAATCGGAAAAAAATTCATCTGATGGCCCCCGTAAGTAATAAAGTAATTTATTTTTTGTCTAATGAATTTGAATATAATTATAATATTATTGTATCATTTAAATGCTAGTTTCACTTGAAGAGGAAAATCGAAGATTAAAAGAAGCTCGATTATGTAAAATATGTATGGATAGAGAAGTTTCAGTTGTATTTTTGCCTTGTGGACACCTTGCTACATGTGTTCATTGTGCTCCATCTCTAAGAGACTGTCCTATGTGCCGTCAAGAAATTCGTGCGACAGTTCGCACATTTCTTGCTTAAATGATTGAATTAATTCGTTAATTATAACTATTTATTTTTCTTCAAATAGATTCTAATATTCATTATGATACTATTTGTTTCGTAAAATTTGAAAAATAAGTTAAATTAGAAAACAAAAATACAAATTATCAGAGTTACCAAAGAATCAATTTTAACATTGAATCGTAGATTATGAATATGAAATCGTTACATAATATTTCATTGATACCTGATTTCCTGTCGGTAGACCAAAAAGTTATCATGTAAAAATACATATATATGAATTGACAACTATATATATATATATATATATATTTAAGAGAACAAGAATAATTAATAGAAACAAAAAAAATATCATGTACAACAGTAATGCTACTTATTGTTTGTCAATTATTTCTCAAATTGTATTCTTTATTATTTACAATGAATAATTTACGAAATATGTTTTAAACAAATGTGTAATAGTCAATTAACATTCAATGCAAATTCATGATTATGAGGAAATAATTTTATTATTAATATTTATATTTTTAAATTATAAATTACTGGTAGAGCCAATGAAAACTTGTTGGGAAGTAATTTAAAATAGATGATATTTTAAAAATTCATTTCCGTTCAATTGAAATGTTTTATTTCAATGTATTTCCCAAAAAAACCATTTCCTGGTAACATTCATAATAATTCTTGCTTACAAATTATCTAATAACTTAATGATTCATAGTTCGAAGAATAATGAAGCATAGAATTAGATTTTTTATAGTTTTTTGTTTAAATTAATGAGAAGTAAATTATTTTAAAGGTTTTACTTAAATTTATCAGTGTATTATAAAAAGGTTTTAACTATTTGAAAGGAAAATTAAAAAATGTTAGTAAATGATAAACAATTGATCGAAAATCTGTTGAAAAAAATAACACTCCAAACATAAATATAATTTAAGTGTAATATAATAAGAGAATGTTGTAAATGATTGATAAAATAAATGGAAAATTTTATAATAAAAATTTGATTGAACAAACATTGTGTGATGATTGATGACGTGTGTATTTAAAACTTCTAAGTTTTCTCAGTAATGATTACGTTTAGTCAAGAGATAAATCGATCAGTTGGACTGTGACCAGCTGACATTGCCTTATTTTGCTTCATTTTCTAGCAGAGTTGCTGACTGTAAATTTTTGTCCAGTCATTTGTTCTTATTCCTCTATATCATATATAACTTAATTGTAGCTTAGTTAAGAACTGGTAATGTATTAATAATACCAAGAGCTTGATATGGGTATATTATTCTATAGTAGTGTGAATGTTCTACTTTTTCAATAAATTTATACATAATTCAAAAAGATGGATCAATGAAAATAGGGGTACGTGGCCTGCGTCGTAGGGCAAGCGCGTAGTATCTCGAGGGGTTGTTGATAGTCGTCTGTAAGGCTAGTTTTTCGCCCTTAGAAAAATTTATCCAGTCGGCCCTAGGCCGAATAATAACAAAGTCTATACTAGTGTAGACACAGCTGTAGTATGATAAAAATACAATAAAAGTGTTGCGTACATATAGTTACTATTTTCGTTTTTCGATTTATTAAAGGGAAGCAAAAAATAAAAAATGCAAACGTAATTTATTTACGTTGTTGTCGTGTTTTGTTACGGCTTGTGGCCTTTTTCCTGCGGCCTTACCTGAGCAGTTACGCTCGACGCTCTCTCAATAAAGTGAGAATAGAACGCTTGTGTGTCTGTAAGCTGGTGACTGTTCGTACGCCTACCATATTATATACCGAGTAAAGTCGCCATTACCAAAGCCTTAACATTTTTAGTGAGATGCAGAAGTTCGTGGTGCTCGAACTTGGTTATCGTTTCGAGTGAAACATTTTATCTCCATCTGCAATTCGCAGATTAATTTATAATAAAATGTTTTATTTATTTGGTTTATAATAACTTTTTTGTTGATATATTTATTATCTTATTAAGTAAAGTTTAAAAAGTTTTATCCGTGAATTCCATCGATATTTTTTTTTTATACTGAAAACATACATTAGTTCAATATAATACATTTTTAGTGCTTCGAATTTATTTTCAAATTCATCAAAGCAAAAACGTAAGTTTTGGTTATTTATTATTACAGTTTTTTTTTTTAAACAAACGTGCTATAATCATTGTTAATATCAATTTGTTTATTAAAAATGAAGATAATATGTTGAAGGATAAAAGCTGTTCTGAATCGAACAGTTCAATATTTTCCATAATTGAGTGATGTTGACAAAGAATTTAAAACAAAAAATCTAACGGATGTTCATTTTTTTTACGTCGTTCTTGAAGTTAATAAAAAAAACAGGGCGTGAGTAAATTTTACAAATAATAGTACGGGGGATCGTGACTTTGTATATGTGTGTAGTTTCTTTCCACACACACACAACCAATGATAAAGCAAAAGAATGAATGCCCTCACTACCTTAAATATTGTATCAACCACGTGTCCCCACCATAAACCAGAAGTTGGAATATTATTCCTTTGGTTTGTTCAGTTATATGTATGTGTAAAGTAGTCCCCGTACAAAGAACGGTTGTGTATAATACCGACTAGGGACTTTTATGTTATCTTTCTCCTAACCACACTCTTCCACTGTTGCCATGTGAGAATGAAAGAAAAAAACGAGAACAACATATGTGAAAGTTTGACATAAAAATTCTTAACAATACATTGATTGTATTTATAGACTTTAATTATTATTTCATTACAACAAGTCTAATTTATTTGTTATAGCTTCATTTCGATAATAAATAATCCAAAGTTTAAAGATAATAGTTATTTATAAAGAACTTAATAAAATAATAAACAAGTGGACATTAAACTTCTTAAAAATGGTAAATTAAAAATATTTTATTTGATAACCTTGACTTTTTTAAAATTAGTCTAATAATCTTATTCTAAGAATGAAAATACCTTATCGTTATCATAGACTGAAAGATAGAAGATTAGGTATTAGTAGTATCTTCCATCATTCTTGAAAGAGGCTTGGTAGTTTCTAGACAATTATATAGCTAAGTGATACTTCAACAACATTCCACAGTGACTGGTCTGACGCGGTTGACTTGATATTGGTACTGTGTGTGAGTGAGGTTGCATTATTCGTAATCTGGCGCCATACATACGCATACCAACATACTTATTTCCATATCTATATATACTCATATACATACATATAAAAAAAATATACATATTAATTTGCAATTAATCTTAACCAGTAAGTGGTTTTTGATATGTCAGACTTCAAAAAACATTGATTATTTTGAAGCTAGTTATAATATTAAAGTATTTTTTAAAAAAACATCTGGCAACGTCGCAGTGCAACCACAAAGAGCCTCAAGCAAAAAGAAAACGTGAGAGTAGGATAGACATAATGGCATCTTGTTCTTGAACATACTGGTTGGGGGGAACGTGAGAAAGAAAGATAGATCTCTTGTGTGGCATGAATACAGTTGGTATGCGTGTGTGGTGTTGTTCGACGTCAATCGTTAGCTTTAGAGGCCGCAGAAATGATCGAGAATTAAAATATGACCGAATATATTGAAAATATTTAGATGTGTTATATATCACGTCGGAATAAAGTGATCATTTACATACATTTGTAAAGTAAAGTTAGAATAATTACGATATTGACGTGAACACATACCGATTAGGACTGATTGCTAAAGACTGGTGTTTTATTTGTGTTGAAACTTGTGTGTGAAAGAAACACACACATAGAATCTTTTCTATATAATCTAATTCTTGTGAATGCAGCTGTTTGGATCTGTGGGAAGACTCTTTTGATGAGTAATAATGATAAATAAACAAGTACCGCGTGGGCTTACTTATGAAATCGCTTGTTAGTCTGAAAGTTATACTCAATATGTCGTTATACGTTGAAGCGAACATTTCGATAGTTTAACGGCTGATATTACAAATTTAATTAATTATTTATTATATTTATTAGCATAAAAAGTGAATTTAGGGTTAGTCGGTTGCTATGTTTATTCTTTTGTTCAAATAATTTCATTAATCGTCGACAAAATAATTTAATGATTGATTTTTATCATTACAGGAAACAAAATAAAAAATACCATACTCATCAGTAGACGTATAATAATTTATGAAACTTGGAAGTAGTTTTGAATTCAAGATGAATGATTGCATAGACCGTAAAACAATTCTGAAAGATAACCTGACATGTTTGAAGCCAACGGAAAATTCACAATCACAATTTCACCACAATCAACATTTACAACCATCCGACCAAATAGATGAAGTTGATAATCAAACACATTCTCCAAATTATCGTTATGAATCAGTTAGATTACAAAGTTTTACCAATTGGCCTGTTCCTTACATGGACCCTGCAAAATTAGCAGCGAGTGGTTTTTATTTTACCGGCGAAGGTGATTATGTAAAATGTTTTGAGTGTGATATTAAAATAGGACAATGGGTCGAAGGTGATAATCCAATGTCTGATCATCAACGCTGGCAGTCAAACTGTCGATTTGTTAAAAGATTACCTTGTGGTAATGTTCCTATTGATGCAAATGTGAGTGTTGATGAACCAGCAAGTTCAAGAAGTCGAGATGTTTGTGGCCATTATGATGACGATTTCAGACCGAATGCTGTGCCAGATTTCCGCATTGGAGATGGAAAAATGCAGTCAAATCCTGTGGAATTGGGAAGTCTAGGAATAGCGCATCCAAAATGTCCCGTTCATCCCGCATATGCTAGCTATGATGCAAGGCTACGAACATTTGAATCCTGGCCCAAATCTATGCTTCAAACGAAAGAGCAATTGGCTGACGCTGGCTTTTATTATACTGGAACCGGAGATCAAACATTATGCTATCACTGTGGAGGTGGTCTGAAAGACTGGGAACCTACAGATGATCCTTGGGTTCAACATGCCAAGTGGTTCAAGAAATGTTATTACGTTTTAATGGTCAAAGGTCAATCCTTTATCAACAGCGTCATAGGACAACCGATTACTCTACCTTCCCGAGAGGTAATTATCAATATTAATTTTATTATCACTTATCTTAAAATATTTCTAGAGTCAATATCATTAAAGTTTACCAATTTCAATATATTGAATGTGCATTTTTACTTGGTAACTTTTAAAATATATACTTCAATTTTGATAAGGATTGATAAAATAATTTATTATGTGCTTTATTTTCAGGAAACAATGAAAATGAATCTGCCCAGCTATATTGAAAAGGTCGAATCACCACCACCAAGTGTTGAAATTGAATCAGTAGCAACTGAGGCGAAACGAGAAATTAATGTCAAGGCAACTCCTAAAAAAGCATCATCAGATGATGGAAGAATGTGTAAAATTTGTTACAACGAAGAATTGGGTGTAGTATTTCTACCTTGTAGACATATGGTGGCTTGTACTAAGTGCGCGCCCAGCATGACAACTTGCGCGGTGTGTCGAGAACCCGTCACTATGACGGTACGTGCGATTATATCATAGTACCTTGCTACTTTATCACAACTCTTACCGTTTGTAACTCAAAAATTAAATAATTTTGAAAAATCTGAATAAAACTTACAAATGATACAAATTAATTGTTCAATTAAATAATAAATTGATAAATCATTTTACGCGTTATTTAGGCATTCTCAGTTCATGAAGGTACAATTTCGAAAAATTATCATCCACCATCTGCTTTCCAAACATTAAAAACTACATTAACATCTACATTTTTGATGAGATTAATATAAGAATTTAAATATTCAACAGCTGAATCGAATGAGCATTGTTGAAATTATTTTTTTTCTCGCGCTGAATTGTACCTGCATCTGAGAGTTGCTGCTATTTTTTAAGCCGCATTAAATATAAGTTAATAAATAAAATTGATAACAAGTGGAAAACACCCGTAATTAAATGCAAATTATTTGAAAAAAATTGCAAATTAATATGACGTCTAGTCATTCCAGAATTGTATTTTAATTATATAATCGTGAACTAGATCTAAATTCCAAGCATTTTAAATAATCACTGAGGAATGTAAAATGTTAATAACTAGAGAGACGATAAAGAATGCGGCTAAAAAGTATCCATGAAAGTAATGTGAATTATAACAACTATCATGGAGACATTTAATTTTTAAATTTTATATTTTCTTTTATAAATCTGAATTTTCTCCTTAAACTACGCACATTATTTATTATCGTATATGACGTTTCTTCTAAATTAAATTGTGACTCATAGGAGGAAGTCTGACTGGTTAAATCATGGTGGGAGCTTTTTAAGCATATAATATACATATACATACAAGCACATCCTACTCGTTAACATTATAATTTATCTTCAATAATGGTCGTCATAAGCAAGAAGTACGAATCATGTTACATAAAAAAAATGTGTCGTTACATTAAATATTAAATTTAAATCATAATTTGAAAAATTTATATTAAAAAAATTCATGAATCCCATTAAAAATCATTTTCATTACATACTTGATGGTGTATTGAAATATTTTTTAAATTCTAAAATTTTTTCATCAGTCACTGGATCTGTTCATATGAACTGATTACATCGTCATATTATGGATTTTACGTATCATGAATTAATTTAATTCATTGCCGTTCTCAATACTGAATTTATTATACAACAATGGTTATGAGAATCATAAATTTTATTTGTAATAAATTTTGTTCATAATTATTCATCGGCACTTATTAGTGCCTTACTGTTAATTATTACTTGTGGACTGAAATTCGACTCTTAGGAGTGTTACTAGGGAAAAGCAAATAATTATCAAAAGAATTTTATCGTGAGAAACGTACAGCGCGAGGAAAGTTCCAACTGAAAGCAAAATATAACTAAATTACCCGATGCAAAGGATTTCCTTTCTTTGTGGAGAAAATATTTAATTATTTTTTTAAGTGAATAAATGCAATTAGATTATGTATTTATATTTTTTTTTATTACAACTTATATAGTGAACAAATAATTTAAAGTTAAAAGTAATGGTTTTACTGTGTAAAGTTTTCAAGACTTACTTTCGAAATTATAATTACAAAATGTCTACAATTGGAACTAAAAATTTTTTATTTTAATTCATTTTTTTAGGATTTTACTATTTTAAGCCATGTAAATTTATTTAAAAAATTGCTTTAATTAATTGGAAAAAATAACAAGAAATTTAATTTCATTATTTATTTTGATTTATTTTGAAAAACAAAATTATTTTTGATCAGTTATTGAAAAAATATACTACTGATTAATAATTTATAATACGAATTATATCGTATATATAAATATATAATAATTAAGTATTAATTAAAGTTCATTTAACGATGCTTTACTTTCAGTATTGGTTTAAAATAATCTGCCATAACTATGAATTAATTTCCGAGGATTTTCTTAAAAATTATTTCTTAATTTTAATAGATATTTCATATTAATTATTTTGTGGTAGACGCATCACGACACTTTTACAATAATAAATAATAGTTATTCTCCTAACAATACAAATAATTATAGCATATCATACACAATAATATTTTTTAATGTCTAGAATGTCGAGAGTAAGTAACTATTGCAAGAAAATATATTATCTATTTAGAAAAAAAATATTAAAAGTACGTTGATTAATGATTAGAAATCGAGTTGCGTCTTTCAACAACAAAAATGATGAATCTTTTTATGTACAAAAAATTTTTTGATTCAACATTTAAACAAACTTATTCATTGTATTTATCATTTATGTCATGCATAAACTATTGTATAGTAAACATTTAATGCAAAAAATAAAATCTAATCGCTGAAAAATATACATTCGAATTTTTTTATGTATACATATTTTATTATAATAATAATCAGGGTCATTTTTTGTTCAACCTTTTAATTATTATAAAGTTATATAACTATTCAATATGGAGATATTGAGAATGAAGTAAATATTCAGTTCTCTATGTATTCAACTGGTGACCAACAATCTTTACTTTATATTTACCATGTACAACTAAAAGGAAAAAAAATCAAGGATTCAGAAGGCCCTTTGGACAGCACTCCAAGCATGTTTTTTGTGCAGTAAAGAAAATACGCATCGAGATGAACCGGTATCATGGAGCTGAGAGAATCTGTTTGGTCAGCCCTTACATTCCATTCTCGTGAGAACGAAAAGGGAATTGAAGTGTAGTCGTGTAACGATGAGAGCAGCCTCTCTACTCCGGGTCCATGTACTCTCTTGACTGAGTCCACACTTGGTACAATCTTTTCTACTCTCTCTTTCTCTTTAACTCTTTAACTAATTAGCATTATTTCTCAGCCAATTAAAATGCATTTTTGTCTTGAAATTATAAATAGATTTAATTATTGAAGATGTTTTGATTTTCTAATTTTATAACTTATCACTTGTAGACGTGGCTTGGAATTTCTTTAGAAACTTCCTCCGATTTACAAACATCCTATGTGGTGGTTACATCCATTCAATGAGATTCTCATATGAGAGCTTAGCCTCGATAGCCCCTGATTCATTCATGTGTAACTGACAATATCCGGTTGGAATTCCAACATAAAAAAAGACATAATTCAAATTATTTTTAGTCATAATTTTTTTTTGAATTTATTTTACTGTAAAACAAATTATGTTTGATACAGTTTTGACAATATATAATTGAATGTATTATTTATTTACCGGTCAAAAATTTTTCAAAAACACCAATATTTATTTATAATTTTTTAAATTTCTTTCAATAATAAACAATATTGATAACTGTAATTTATTGTTAATGATTTAATTATTGTTAACTTCATTCATTAAATGATGATATTTGTTATACAAATTTTTGTTTGCATAATTAAGTGAAAATTTTAAATTGGAAATAACTTTTACTGACTATGAGTTTTTTAAAAATAAATATTAGTAATTATATTTATAATATTGATAAAATTTAATAATTATTTTATGTTATACGTTTTTGGCATTGATGTCTCTTACCCTTTTTTTTGTTTCAAAGAATTCAAGCTATTTATAGATGGCGCTAACTTTGCTTTTGGTAAAGATGGCGGCAACAATAATAAAAGTGTAGCTCACAACATGTCCAATTGTACATTTTATTGATTAACTCGTTCTAAATTCTTCAAATTTTTTATTTTTAACGTTAATTCAAAACAAACGAACCAAATGAGTGATCTTTTTAATTTAGCTACTTTAATTACAACAGTTGGAGTGGATGCTGTAAAGATTAAACAAGAACCTGACTTACCAGAAAAATCATCTAATGAAATTCTTACTGAACTTTTCAGCACTTTTGATGTTGATGAAGGTGTAAGTTCACCGATAAATTCACAAAACGAAAGTAACAGCGATGATCAGCATAAAAAGAAAAAAAAGAAAAGTAAAAAGAAACATAAACATAAGGATAAAAAGCATAAAAAAAAAATAAAGAAAAATTCATCTGGTAGTGAAAGCGAATCTCAACTTGACAGTAAGTTTTAAATATTAATAATATTTTAATTTTATTACATTGTTTACTATTTATAAATTCCTTAATCATAAAATGCTTCTTTAGGTGCAATTAAGAGAAAAAAGAAACATAAAAAAAAATTAAAGAGAAAACGATCTGATCTTAGTGATTCATCAGATAATGAGGAACCTAAGTTAAAAATAAAAAAAGAAATTCTTTCTCCAGAATCAAAGAAAGCAAGTAGAACCAGTAGGTCTCATAGCATGGAAGATTCAAGGCCTCAAACAGTATTTGATTTAGTTCAAAGTGTAATTAAAAAAGAACCAGATCTCGAAAATGATGAATTTGATATAAAACCAAATGTATCTGATAGTCCTGAACTACCGCCTATTTCTAAAAAAATTAATGACGATTTGGAAGAACCAGTTGTTCCTCGATTACTTGGTAAGTATATTTTCTTAAATTACATAAACTTATTTTTTAGAACTATTTATGAAATGAAGTTATTAATATAAATGATTATTTATCTGTAGAGAAAACTGATCAACCAAATAGAGCAAAAATTTTAATAAAAGATTTAAAAAATAGTGCTGTTTACAATGAAACAGTTAAAGAAGTGGAAAATAAGAAAAAAGAAAAAGAAGCTCGTATGGAAGATGGTGAATTATCAGAAAGCATGTCTGATGAACGGACTCCTACATTGAGTCCAACACCTCCACGAGATTCATTTGATTCATTAGATGATTCGTCAGTTATTAAGCCTAATCATCATATAAAGAACGATTTGAGACTAGTTTTGAATCAAAAAGAAAAAACTAAAAAAAATAAAGAATCAGGAGAATTAAAAACGCGTAATGATGACGATATCAAGAAGGACAAAAAAAAATCTGATAATTTTCATCGTAGAAGTTCTAGAAGTAGTGAAAGAAAACGAAGTAGAAGTTGTCATTCTAGGGATAGAAAAATGGAATCGACACGTTCACATTCAAAAAAACGTAGTAGGAGTCGCGGAAAAGAGAGTAAAAGGACAAAGAGTAGTGAAAGAAGAAATCGGAATCGTAGTAGTGATAGAAAATCAGTTAAAAATAGAGGAAAAAGACATGGATTTGATTCTCATGATAGCTGGAGAAGTAGAAGTGAAGATAAAAATCGTGATAGATCCAGAGGACGTAGTCGTAGCAAAGAACGAAAGTAAGAATCAACAATAGCATATTTTTTAAAAGATATTATAATGTTTTGTTTAAATTACAGGGAAAGGATTGAGATTGATAAAAAAAAATTGTTAGAAATTGCTCGAAAGAATGCTATTAACATGATAAAAAGAGGGACATTACCATTAGCACAACAAGATAAAGCTATCGCTGCTATTCAAGCTGGTGGAAAAACTGTTGATGAATTAATAGGTATGTTCAATATTGAGTTATTGTTTTTTTTTAATTTTTTTATTCGTTAAGCAAACCATCAATTTTGTTTGGTTACAGATTTTTGTAAGTCATTGTCTAAATCTGAAGCACTGGGAGAACTTTCAAGTGTTTCATCAGATGAAGGTGGTAATAATAGTGAATCTGAGAAAGGCTTTCATCATCCATTTCTTCTGAAAGAAAGACCTAATTCGATAATTATGAATATTAGAGATTCCAAACAATTGCCTACAAAAACATTCCAAGAACGAACTGCGGAATCTTCTAATCAATTAAGATTACAATTTCCTGTTTCTAGTGGTCAACAACATCGAAGAACTGGTATTTATGACATACCTGAATTTGTGTTGGAATTTTATTGACCAGAATTGTTTAAATGATATCATTTATATTTTCTAGAAAATGAGTGGATTGATGTGACACCACCAACACCGCCAGTACCTCCACCACCAGTCAAAAAATTAGAAGCTAAAAAACCTTTTGTTGCTGCTTCAACACCATTACAACCTCCAGCATTTACTATTATTCCTCCAGCTAATAGTACAGTAGTTCCTTTAGCTAATAGTACAGTAGTTCCTCCACCACCAGCAGTAGCTGTTGTAACTCCAACTCCGGTCGCAGAAACACCAATAAATGATCCGAAAATTCCACAGCCATTACCTACTGTATTTCCACAAGCTACTCCTGAGGTATGATATTGTCATTATTATCATAATTTGGATTAAATAATTATGAATTGAATTATTTTTCAGGCAGTTGATATTGGTACGATTGTTTCTCAGCGGTTAGCAGCAATGAGAAAACTTAGAGAGAATCCAAATGATGTTCAAGCTTTAAATGAGATGTATCATGCACAAAATGAGGCAATTAGAAATGAATTTAATCAAATTTATAAATTCAAAGATTAAAATAAGTGAAAAATTAACTTATTTATTTTTAATTTAATTATTTTAGATGAAAACATGGGCAGAGAGTAAACAAATGCCAGGTCAGTTTACTGGTAGTACTGGTGTAAAAGTGCTGTCACCAGCTGAATTAACAGCAGGCTATCAAGCCTGGGCTCGTAAGGTAAAGTTTAAAATCTCAATTTCTAACAAATTGAGGTGATTTCCTTTTATTTATCAATTCAAGGATCCATATTTGAATCTTAAAAGTTTTGTAAAATCGAAAAAAATAGCTTGTAACAAGTTTTCAGGTACAGTCTTTAAAAAGATTGTGATGTAGGCATAGACCACTTCTTAGAGAAAGAGGTGGACTCTGTGCCTGCGCGGACACAGGAGTACCATTGTCTCATTTGTTATTTTCAAAATCATTCTAAGCAATTTTGAAACTTTCAGTATTTTTCAAATAATTACTTAAAATATTAATATATCAGGGACAATCAACTTCTGTGAGATTTTTGCTAACTATCATCAGCTTCTCATCATAATAGGTTACAAAAATATTGAATCAGCTTATGATAAAGAAAGCTGCGATATTTAGCACTAGTCTATATCCACCTGAGGGTTTGTTACAGGCATTTAACTACAAAGAAGAATCAACATCGGCTGCCTGATGTCCCATTTAAAATCAATGATCATTGGTGAGTGTTATTCTCTGACGATTATCAAAAGAACATTTAAGCAAAATGTCAATTATAGTAATAACAATGTTATTAATAATCATAATAATGATAATAGCAACAATAATGCTTCTAATACTATCCCTTTTTTCATGATGGGTTCAAATGATAATGACAAAGTAAATGGTTCACAATACATTTTTTTTTATTTAGGACCAATTAACTTCAGCACAACCAGTATGTGGTGGTATGGGTATGGCACTTCTTCAAAAAATGGGATGGCGACCAGGAGAAGGTTTAGGAAAAAATAAAGAAGGCACTTTAGAACCTTTACAACTGGAAGTAAAACTTGACAAAAGGGGACTCATTTCTGATCAAGATATTGGAGCGCGACCAGGAAAAATTCCAGGAAAACCGGTAGTTCCTACCATAAAAACGTTAGAAGGTATAATGAAAGTGTTATTTGATTAAAATAATTTATTGGCAATTACCAAGAGATGGATAAATACTTGCAATCTTCTAGGTAAACATCCCGTCTCGTTGCTTGGCGAGTACTGCTCAAAGAGGAAGTTTGGAGCGCCAATTTACGAGCTCTGCTTTGAATGTGGACCTGATCATAAGAAGAATTTCTTGTTCAAGGTGAGTAAGCTAACGATAACGATAATTAAACTATCTCATAAAATGCCTTCTTTTCCTTACTTTGCAATTAAAAAAAAAAATTATTAAAAAAATATTAAAAAATTACTTTCAGGTCAAAGTGAATGGAATTGAGTATAAACCAAGTGTAGCAAGTCCCAATAAAAAACAAGCGAAGGCCGAAGCTGCACAAATTTGCCTTCAAACATTGGGTTTACTCCCTTCGTAAATAAAAATATGTATATACACATCAATTGTGTAATTGTGTATAGAAATTTCGTAAAGAAATAAATAGTCGTTTGTATTATTTTATTTTATTAAAATGTCATAGGCTTTTTTTTTAATTATTACTAACATTCACAAGACATTTAATGTAATAAATCATTTGATAGATTTTTTAGAAAACAATTATGTATAATAATTCTAGAAATTATGCTATAAATATAGAAGAAAATATATATTTTATATTAAAATATAATTTATATAGATAATTTACCAAAGAATAGAATGTAAATTAAGTTTGTATTAATTTTAACTATGAATTATTCAACAATAATTTTGTACAATAACTTTCATGAGTTTAATTATCGTTACAAATAATTATTAATTATAATAATAAAAATTTGTTATTTAAACTATAATCGACACCATTAAACTATTTTAGCTCTTATTACTTTAATTAGTATCAGACTTGGTATATAATTACATCAAATTTCGTTATGCATAGTTTCCTCGTTCGTACGAAGAATAAAAAATAAGGACTGTTATTTTTGAATCAAATGCAGCCTTCACCATCGAATTAGTTGCCATGAACTATAATTTTAACACTATTTCTTCTGGTTCATTGCAAGCGTGGTAATCACGAAAAGGTTGTTCTTGGTAAATGGTTGCAGTCAGATATACAAGAAGCATTTATATGTATATCGGTCGACAACCTGGTTCAACTTGAATGCATTTTCTTCACGTAGATTTAGAATGTTCAATATTGGATCATTTATGTAATTCATCTACACTTAAAATATAGTATGCCAACATACAGTTAATTCTGAAGATGGTTTATGTGAATTTTAATGGAATTGAAGAGTTATTTGTGAATTTATGACTAGTTTAATCACTAATAGATGTATTTATGATGACGTCTGTTGATTTTTTCCAGATGCGTGTATGTAAGTGAAACAGACGTGATCCATTTCCTTCTCTAGGACATCTATGACAGTTGTAAGACTTAGATATTTATCATTATGATACAGTTATTGAATTATAATTAAGTGAATTTTCATTCATATTTATACAATACTTTCATGCAGAAATAATCGAATTACATGAATTTTTTTCACGTTCTTAGTATGTATTTAATTTATTTAGCATGGTTACTGGAATGTTTATTTAATTATAACAGTTGAGCTTTTTTGATATTAGATTACATATGAACTTATTTAAATGCCGTTAAGATATGTTTTCTTTTTTTCTCAGAGTTTTAAAATCAAGGCCGAGATGAACATTGACGTGTCCGGAATTGATAACCATGTGAAAGGACCATTTCCTTATCTCTACTGTCACACTAATTTGCTGCTACATCCGCACGCCCACTGTTCTTTTTAATTTTTCGTAAATTTCTTCATCATAATTAATATTATAAATAAATACAATTTTTGCGAAAAAATAATTATTATAATTTATTAATTAATATTATCGGAGTGTTGATAAATGAATATAAATCTAAAACTTTTCCAGTATAAATTTTGAAATCAATTCAAAATTATTATAGTATATTAACTTTATGTAGAATTACAATGAATAAAAAATGTAAAATTGTTTATTACCAAGAACAAATAGTGGATGTATGAATATATGAACATACGTGAATTGAAGAAAACGACTGAAAGCTTGAGGGCACAAAAGTAATCATGACGAAAATGTTACTTATATTTTCCAATAAATCTCAATTTAATCGACGAGTGTAGACGATGCATCGATGCATTTCATTTGCCGCAGCAATTGCGTAATGACGCACGATAATGATTGCTCTGATGCATATTCTTCTTCAAGATTCAGCGGCAAGACAGAGTAAGAGATGGTGGGATGAAGCAACCAAGTGGACTAACATCTGCGGGGGATAATATGTTTAAGTAGAACTTGTGTGGCTTCAAGCCAAAAAAAAAAAATTACAGAAATAAAAAGTCAAAAAGAGTAAAGAGAGTGCATTACCGTTTACGATAAAATAACAACGATTACGGGCGTGTCTTACAGACTTATGGATTGCTGTTTGACTCATCGATGGGGGGCCGTCTTTTCCAGACAGACTTCAAGACACTTTTGAAGAAGTCAGAGCAAAGTATTACAATGAAAAAATTGTAGGAAAGACTACAGATTATGAGTACATTATTCATACATGGATACGTCAATGCAACAAGTATGGATAAACAAGAAAAGAGGTCTTGAAATTGATTGGCCTAAGTGAGTTTACGGCTCGTGCGACAGTTATTGCTGATCTCACGTGTGCCTTGTTGTTTGCTTGCTCCATTATTGATACATGAATATATTTGTTTGACCAAGATGATTGGCTATTGATAGAAATAAGTGAATGTCTGGTTTAGACTAATTGTTCTTAAAATGACTACATTTGAAAAACAAACATCATCATTCAATTATATCCAAATAGTTGATTTGATCTTAAAGAAAATATTCATCTCCAGAGAAGTAAATTATCTATAGAAGAACATGTTCTCCATGTCAATGGTTAAAATAAGTGAATACTGGACTAATCATTTAGTTGATAAGAATATCTTTTTAATGTTAATTAAAACTATTTTTTTCTCACATTCAATGACATTTAAAAGTTATTAAAATGTACTTGATATGATTTTTAACAGAAAATGTGATGTTGTTAATGGAATAAATTGATCAATTATTGCGAAAGAGTTGAATAAATGTAATGATTAAGAAAATAATGTTCACATGTAGTGAAGAAAGGTTGATATAACAATTTGATTGATTTTTCAATCAATGTAAAACTTGAGCTATTTTGCTAATCTCTGATCAATTAACACACATGTTATTTAACTTAAAATTTGATAGAGTCATATGAACATTCTGTTCAATATTACAAATGTTCTTATAATAAGTAATAGAAAGTTTTTGACCAGATAAAAAAGGCGAAAAATATTAATGCAAACGATACGTGGAACGAACAAACGTCATACTCTCTCTTTGCAACGTATGACGAAGAAGACGATGACCGACAAATCGTATTACCACGTTATTTCTCGGTACAACTTGCACTGGAGAATTGCAATGATAGGCGCAACGATTGATCAAACAGCAGGCGCCGACGATTAATAATAAATTTTATTAATTCTCACAGATTGTGTAGTCGTATCGTGTAATTTACATAATTAAGTCCACTTCATTCGTACCCACATATTGAGAACACTCTACTTCAAACTATTTGTCAAGTAATATTATCATGTAAAATCTACTTGTATTTTTATTTCAAGAATCACCATATGTCATAAGTTAAATTTTAAAAATAAATAAAAAAAATTTATTAATGTTAGTTCAATTGTGAGTACTTATAAAAATGCTATTTTAAAATTGAACCTTTTAATGTAATTTATCATAGGATAACTGACCATTTATAGAGTATTTATTAGCTTTTCTCTGATTTATTGATCCTTTTCAAAGAAAAATTATAATATAGCACATTAAATTTTACCCAGAAGATAAAATTCCAAAAGAGTTCAAAAGAACTCTGTTTTTTTTTAAAAGTGTTTACTCCATTAATTGGAAAATATTAAGCATTTCGAAGAAAATTAATTAAAGTCTATTCAATTTTTAACCAAGCAGCTAGATAACTTTATTTCCTAGAGTCACTAAATTTTTTTTTTTCTACTCAAGCTGGATTTTTTTAACTGATCTTTAGTTAAATTTCAAAGGAAAAATGATCTCTATATGATAGCAGAATAGATGAAAATTGATTAAATATCAAACAAAAGAGATATGAAGGTAAGATAACGATTAAAGTACATTTGTGATGTGTCATATGTGAGTAGTCCCTTTTCATTAATGGTCCAACAATGAAAGGGTGAAAGATCTTGGTGATTGAATAAAGTCTCAGTGAATAAAAGGGATAAATACAAAGCTCGAAATAGCTCTTTGACGAGCAACCACAAATCAGAGGAAATCACAAATCTATTGTCGATAAAGTTTTCTCCAGGCTTTGACAAATCACATTTTATTTGAAAGACTAAAAGTATGAGAATGTCTAACAACTTTTTGTAAGCTTCATGACACATTTGACGACGGATGTTCCTTTAAATCCTTCTCAACTTAAGTATTAAAAGCATAGATGTTGTCTTTTGTAGAGATTTAGAAAAATTTTCAACTCTTTTTTCGACAAATCATGCTTGTAAGTTTCTTCTTATGGTCTTGGAGCATATGATTAAACTGACAAATCTGTCGAGTTATTAATGTTATTATATACTTGTATAAAACATGTGGAGAAAAATGATGATGAGGATATTGGGTGTTTCAAATTAACCGCACCAGTGAAGTGAGAGAATAGTTATGAGCAGGCAGGAGAAGAAATTTTTGAATTACAATATCTGATCGCGATTTATATTGACGCGTCAATCGAAGGGCGTCGATCGAGCCAGGGCATTTCTATAGGTTGGGTGCGGCATATACTAGCTCTTACAACGGAAAAGGCACATCCGTGGCCTGTCAAGTGACAGTTGAGGATATACCGGGTGCACGAACGAGCGCGAGGCCGCGTGTGGATCCTCGCCCATCCGGTCAGATATATTCAACTACTTTTTTATTTTTTTATCATATGCCACTCAAATTGACTACATTTTTGGATCCTTTTCAACTTGGACGAATTTAATTAAAGTCTTTCACTCCAGTCAATTAAGAGAAGCATCACATTTGCTGCGATTCATGCTCTTGATTCCTTTTCATTCAAACTTTCTTCGTTGGATCTGAAAAATTGATCTTGATTTAAAAAATCATTACTACTGTTGATGACATTGGAGAAATGAAACTCAATTATGTAGTAAAGGGTGTGCAGTTGAATGACAATTAATTCATGACTATCATTTGGACTCGTAAATCAATTAAATTCATTCTCTAGTAGTATATATCATAGACAGTAGTATAATTTAAATCTAATCAAAATCTCACTTCATTATTATTTGTCTACATATTTACATAGCTATGTATTTAGTTATTAATAATGTTAATATGTGTGTGGTCCCAGTCTTTATTATGTTTTGTCACACTTTTAAATTGATTTTATTGCTCTCGATTCGCCAATTTTTTTACACTGATCAGCAAGATAAAAACATGATCAAGATCTCCAACTATTGATTCTCCTTTTTAGATAAAAAAATTAATTTATTTGCATAAATACTTTTTCTTTTGTACATTTATATAAGCTCTTTGACTTCCAGTGCCAATCCTATCAATGAGGAAGAAAGTCATTGAAGTTCCAGCAAATACATGACTTTTGAAGTTTTTTGTTTCTTATAGTTCATTAAAAGATTAAATATGTTAAGACTAATGTGATTCAGCATAAGCATGTCCATTATTATTATAATTATAAATTGATAATAATTAATGGAAGAATTTTATAATTTAATATATATTATACGTATATAAAATTATAAAACTGATGAAAGAATTTATGCAGTAAAGAGTTAATGAAAACTTCTTGCAATCTTCTAGAGAAAATAAGAGAGAAAAAAAATTCTTTACAGCATTATCTAAGTTGGTACAACAATAGAATTATTGTTAGTCAATTATCTGAAACTATTTTTAATTTAATGAATAGTTAAAAAGTCTGAAATTCGTCACGTAATTTATGTTACTGAGTGGACGATGTAGAAGTATATAGAAGCGCGTATACATGCCATAAAACTGTCGACAAGCAATGGAAAACGTGCTCAGAAGGCAAGTCTACCGCATTTTTCGTCTCAACTATATGGATATATACTAGTGTACCAGAGCTTGGTATAATGTAATATAAATGTGAGAGCGATATTGAGGATTAAAATAAAGAGTCGTAAAGATCGAGATCGCGAGAAAATTCTTAAAGGGAATAAATAATCGATCAAATGTTATATGCTGCGATCAATCTCACCAACGATATACAAGGACGACAGGAGTCCAGTCATAGAGATTATATATTTTTTAAAGTCATCTTTTTTATTCTTAAAATTATTATTTTTTAATCTTCATCATCATTTTAATTAATTGATTATCAATTAAGTTCATTAATCATTAGTAGATCAAATACCAAGTTATTAATTCTATAACTATTAGTTGTGTCTTTATGTTTGAATCCATTTTAACTACCAAATTATTTAAATGTTTTATTAAATAATTAAACGTGTAAAGGTAAATATTTTTAATTAAAACTTTATAAATTTTTTAATGAGTTGAAATGATATATGTTGATGTTTAAAAAAATTTTTAGCTGATCCAGGTTGAAGTTGGTGCTTTTCAGCAGAATGATAACATGTTGTGGTAGACACAACTATTTCAATTTCTCCCAGAGGAGTATTAATCAAATATAAAGATAAGTTTCGTAATTTGTCATTTTGTACATAAAACTGTAATAATTACATGTAGTAAATATTTGCAGATAGAATTCCAGCTTGATTTTGCTTTAAAAATTTCTTCACATTGATATTATACATTAGCTAACAAATTAATTAATGATTCCACTTGTAAATGCAAAGGTCCACTTAAGTTTGGGAATTTTAATATTAATAAAGAATTATTTTAATATATAATCTGTAAACAAAATAAAAAAATTTCTGACATTTGTACATTTTTATCAGGGAAAATTAGTAGTCACTGTAACTCTTACAAATATTCTTTTTTTTTTTTTCTTCCTAAAATTTAAATGTTTGTCCTCCTTCCTGAATATAATTAAAAACAAGTGCACAAATATTTTCAATTAAAACTTTTTAATTTACAAAATAAAGATGCATTGAAATGCAAATGACACTTAATTGCATCTAGATTGAATAAATTAAACAAAAAAAAAAAAAAGTGGCAAAGTATTTTTCGCTGTTGTAATGGAATTGATAGAAGATAAAGAAAGAATTTTTCTGTCATTTAGAAAATGTATTGAAAGACCAGATGTATTTGGCATAATGAATGTATATTATTAGCAGATATATTTCGAAATTTAGATGAGTTGGGGAATAAAAGAGGCGAGAAGGCACCACCTCCCTGGCTTTGACCGTCCTAACTGAGGTCTCTATATATTGGCCGGCATCTCCCACGCCTAACTACTATCATTCTTGTTGCGGTAGCCTTAGAGGACGGATCGTCGAACGCGCCTCTCTCTTGATTCACGATTCTTTACTCCAGCACTCGCGTGCGTGCTTCATCCTCCAGTTTCTGGTCTTGCACGTGCCGTCCAATCGATTACAAACAAACATTTTTATTATTTGTCCAACATTTGAACACACCTTCAAAACAATTATAAACTCATCTTCGTGTCAAATATATTTATATCAAATTTATGTGGAAAATATTCCAGTTTTAGCAGAAAATGTAGTAGAAAGTGAAGTTGAAAAATGAAAGAAAAGTTGGAATTTAATTGGTTGAAATGAACAGATGAATTATTAATTAATCAGACTCAGGATTGATAATAATCAACTTGAGAATGAATTTATCAACAAAAAATGTCATAAGTTAACAAACGAAATAATTGTACACGTGAACGAGGAAATAAATAATTGAATTACTGCTTTCTCGTCTCCGTGTCACTCGCGATTTCTCTCTTGTCGACACATAAGTCTATTTTTTGTTATTACTTTGTTTATTATTATAACAAACAAGTGTGTTTTGTTGATATGACCATCGTGTGTTCCACTTTATGGCTCATTTTTCTCAATCATCCTCGCCTCAAACGTGAAATAGAAACCACCATCGTCTCAATTTCCTACAATCATCACAATATATTAATTATATAAATAGTTACAATCAGTGTGGTCAAGTGATAAATGTGAAGTAATTAAATTATTTTTCATTCATGCGACTAAAAGTTAATCAACGGATGAAGTGAAAGATGAAATGTTTTCTAGGTAAGTCTAATATTCATTACAATATCAAATCATTGAAACAGGTTAATGTTATTGCCCATGAAAATAATCATTTAATCTATTCTATAAATAAAATCGTAATAACACTGATAAATTGAATAACCGGATATCCTAATAATAATCACAATAAAAAGGAATTTAAATAGTAAAATATTTTAGAATTCATTCCTGTACTCCAATAATAATAAATTGATAAAGAAAATTTCCAATCTTCTTTGAGTGATTAATAATCTAAGGAATTGATTAATTAATATTATTAATAAATAATAAAAGCACAAAAACTAAATGTTAAATTGGATCAAGTTGAAATAAACAGTTAGATAAATTGATTAAAGAGATGTGAGTTGGAATAAAAAATAAAATGTGTAATTTTATGCAGCATCTAAGATATTCTTTTCAAAGAGTTGAACGTTGGATACCAATTTTTACATGTTTATTCTTTCACAGGACACTCTTGATAGTCATTATAAAGTGAGACGTATAGCCATGGATTGTACGCAGGATTCACAGGACAATTTATCACCAAGTCACCAAGAAAACCACAGTGCTAGATCGACTAGCCGGAAGTCACATTGTGGTATACCTCAGTATAAATTCAGAATCAGTGGTTTGAGGTGAGTGTAGAGAAAACACTTGGCTTTTTATATAATTAATTTACTATTTATCTAAATTCATCTATTAAATATGAAATTAATTTGCTCGGTTGTTGAGCTTATTAAAGGAATAAAATTCAATTAAAAATTTTATCGTGCCAATTAAAAGAACACGCCTTGATTTTTCATAGTAATTATACGTAACAAAAGACGAATCAATCGTTTAAGAGATATTATCCCGAAAAAGGTAGAAAAAATAGAAGCAACTCGTGCGAGAGATAAGCCATATAATAGAGCGTCTTGCTCGCGTGACTCGTTGAATCGATGGATCTCTAGTCTAAGATTCTCTTGAACGCACGAGTTTACAGTATTAGAATCTTTCCACGTGAGATTCAATTTTACTCACTACTTTAACTCCACATTTTCTCTTATTATTTCATTTTTTATTTATTATGTCAAAAATGATAAAACTTTTTTGTTTTATTTCCTTTTGTTAACAGATAAAAGAAAATTACGAAGAATAAAAAATGATATTTGATTAGTAGGTCGAATAATTGAATTAAATGTTTACTTAGTTATCTTGATAATAATATCAAGCATAAGTGGTGTATTATTATCAGTAAGAGTTGAGTTAATAATAAAAATAATCAGTGAAACTTGGAATAAAATTTTCATGAAAATAATTTGAAAAAAGAATGTATGGAGAAATTAATCGAAATAATAACTTGCTGATAGATGAAAACAAATTATGCTGATGGTAGTGATTAATTAAAGTTTGATGATTTATTGGCAATTAAACTATTTTGAATGATGTAAAAGGCTTTTGACAAAAAAGTAATTGATGAGATATAGGGGAAATGATTTTCTGTAGTGAATAAAATGTATGAAGCACATGAAAGAGGATAAGTGGTTGAGATAGATAATGAAACGTTGGCGATAGCGTGGATAAAGCCAACTCGTTGGTGGTGGCGTTGATGAATCTACGCCGGTGGCTGTACCTTGAAAGAGAAGTCGAGAGAAATACTTTGCCTTATTGGCCTCTCTTAGTTACTGAGACTCGCCTCCGCGTCATTTTTTCACCACCGGTGATTAGAAGTTACGCCTCTCAGAACGGCAACGAGGCTTCGATTGCTTCGTTACTGTAATCGCTCCATGTCTCGTCAATCACCCAACGAGGACCTCACGTTTAGCGATATCGCGATACAAGCCTTCCACTCGTTATGAGGATCAACTTTATTCAGTTTACTCTCACTGACGGTCAGCACAAGCTTTTACATTAAATTGCTAAATACTTCAACTATCAACGATTTATCAATTATATACATTTAAAATGTAAATTTAATCTTGGAGACTTTATCGGTTACTTGTCACTCTTGATGTTCATTTAGAAAAAATACAAAAATATCCATACTAATTATTTTCAATCTTTATGGGAATATGTCATTTCATCAGCTATTTTCTATTTAAATGTCCACACGTTTGCCTTCATTTAGCCAAGTAAAAGAGTCATTAAATTTAAATAAATATAAATAAAAGAAAAATCATGAGGGGAAAATTCACTTATCTTGATTACACTCGACCTAATTTTTACAACATAAATATTGCCTCTTGTGATCACAGTTATATTTTATGATAAAATATCCAAATACACTGAGCAAAATAGTACCTTATATCAATAAAATATTTCATTATTTTATCACAATGAATTATTACATTACTTTGAAAAATATTTTATTCAAGTAATATCAATTATTTGAAGCAATTAATTGTTTCCTGAATTGATCAAATAATTTTCAATTAGATTGTTGAATAAATATTGTCATAGTTTACATATTTATCTTAAATACATTCTTTAGCAGTTTGAATGGAAGTTTATGAAATTATTAATTACTAAACATCAAATATTAGTGAAGAGAAATAACATTATGCGATTATTCTTAACCGGATGTTGTATGCATTACGTTGATTTATTTGATTACTGATTTATTCTACCGTTGCAAAATAGATTAATAACGGTTGATTGTTATTAAAAAATTATAGAAACAATGATTCAAGAATTAAAACGGTACAGTGCCCACAGATAAGTTGAGAGACCATTGAGAAAGCTTGAGGTTTCTTTGTAATCGATACACTTACTTGATACAATTGTGGCTTTTTCAACTTTATTCTTCAAAAAAATTTCAATATCATTATCTACTTTTGTTTATTTTATTTTTAATTAATATAAGAATTTAAGATTTTTAGAATTTCACATCAAATATCTTGATCTTGCGATTCGAATTTCTCGGGAAACTTAACACCATTAGCGAGTAATTGTAACCGATCATTTTTTTTTTTACACAAAGATGATCTCTTGTTCTTTCTTCACCTTTTTTTCACGCCTCGTATAGAAGGTCGATGAAAGAGAGGGTGGAGATTTTACTGAAGCTCCATCATCAACAACAGTAATGATGATCATGATCGGTCATTGGCGCCTTTAGTCTCTTTCTTAAGAAAGAACCTACCAATTTACCACTTTGACCAATGCGTAATTTAACACTAACAATGAAGTACTAGGCCAAGTAGGCGTTGTTGGATTTTTTACCCTGAGAAATAAAATCCATTGACCAGATGGAGTGTCTTGTAAAATACATCAACTTTTTGATTTTGCCCAATTTTTTATCTACCAACATTTGAGCTTTTTTCTATATCATTATTCAATATTTAATAGCATCTTCAACCATGTCTATCATCAGCATCATCATTTTTTCCAACATCATCGCTTCAAAATTAACATTTTAAAGAATTAAAACTTCTAGTTTCTAGAGTTCAAATAATACCACTTGTTTAAAAGTGGTATTATCCAGGTGTATTATCTGGGGATTATTGAGCAGAATATTTCTACAGACATTTAAAATACAATCGGAAACAGAAATATCTTGTTTAAAATCTTAACATTACCAGAGATTAAATTCAGCAAATAAGCGTTGTCTTTACATCCTGCTTTGATCCCGTGATACAAATGCCAAGACCTAGGAGGAAAAGGAAAAGAAGCATGATGATCTCTCCAAAGGGTTGCCGACGTATATCCTCTTGTTCTCTTTTTACTCTAGGGCGTGACTGCGGGTGTACTGAAAGCAGAAAAAAAAATTTATAAGAGAAGAAAAAAAAAAATAAGAAAGAAAGAATGAGGAACGCATGAAGAGAGTTTATCTTTTATAGTACGCTGATGGAATACTCTTGATATATATGTTCTACGACGTTATATCAGCATCTTGACGCCTGCATAAGCTGTCAAGGTTTCACGTTAAATACCGCATGTAAGTGAATGAACGGCGCCTATACTTAGAGTCATCAATTGAAACTCCTAGATCTATTTATTAATTGATCATTCAATTTTCAAATGGTTTTATTAATTTTTAAAATCTCTTCAAGCTATTAAATAGTGTGTGGAAAATCAATTTGTCACTATACATTAATGATTCACTAATTGAACAGATAATAAGTAATATCTATCATTAAGATCTTATGTCACGACTCTCCTCCATTTCTTATTTTGGTATCTAAAGAATTCAAGCATTGCACAATAAACATAACATTCTAATAATTTGCTTCTGTCTCTTCTCATGCTCATTGTGCATGCTTGCGTGCAAACGCACTCGACCGGAGTACATATGCGTGTGGCCTTCTTGCAAAACGATGTAACACACAATGAAGTCTCGTGTGTACAAGTTTACTCAGTGTCAAGTTTAAACCTCGTTCTTTAACTAGTAAATCAAGAATTTTCTTGACATTAACGAGAACAATTTGTATTTACATATTTACTGTCATATTCTCTGAATTATTTTTAATTGTAAGTCATGTTATTTCATCAGCAACAAAAAAATCACTATGCTGCTAAATCAGAATACTTGATGAATGCTAGAGTTTTTTTTTGGCAATGTTTGATGAAGTAATAAGTTATTGAAAGAATTAGTATGTAATATTAATAGATAAATAATTACTGAGGATGATGATGATGGCAAGGAAGTTTTAAAAGTGTTCAACAATTCAGATATGATTATGAGCAATAATCATAATATTGTCTTTGATTATCAACGATGGTTGATGTCTCACCGCAGTTTCTTTGTGGGTCACAAGGGCGTGGTCATTCCCATTTATTAATCGTATTGTTCGCTTCGGACGCTGGATGATGATGATCATGATGACGACGATGAAGAAAAAGATGAAAATGAGCTTGGAGATAGACAGAGAATGTGAGATAGAGAGAGAGAAAGAAAAAATGACAACGACAATGATGAGATTGGCCTCGACGTGCAGTCGTGCGTATGATGTGAAACAGCGTCTCTTCCTCTCTTTCCTTAATAAATTTTCAAGGAACAACATTTACTAATTTTGAATTGTTTGTGTCTTTTACTGAATTAATAAACCACTAAATTTATTCTCATGGAAATGCTCAATTATGTAGTAGGAATTTCCGTTTCTTTGGGGGATATCTGGTTAGCTATTTTCAAACTTGACGAATTGTTTGTGGATTTTAATCTTTCTATAAAAACATTCATGATAACACATTTCATCTATTAATAGTTGAATTGTGAATAGTATTTTCACATTCATAATATTTAAGAAATTTTCATCATTATGAAGATGAAAATAAGTAATATTTAATATTCATAAAAAAGCAAGCTGGTTTTTGATGTATAGACAAGAAGACGGAAATAGAGATCTTTATCAGAAATCTGATTGGGACGCGTGCCGAACATTCAGTGGTAGAAATACATGCCTAACAGCTTCATTTATCTTACTCATGTAGTCATAGTTTTATAAATTTAGCTGTTTATCCAAGACTTGTAGTTGCTTTCAATGAAGTTTAATACAACAAAAAATTTAGATTAATAATTATCAAGTAGCACAACAGCATTTGATTCCAATGAAAATGAAAAATTATCTAGGAAACCAATAGCATCATTGTCTTATTGATTCATCATCATGCATCAAAGCTATCAGAAAGAATTGAAAACAACTCTTTAACATTTTTTCTTCTTCCTGTAAAACAAATGTCAAGTTTAAATCTAGAATTAAATACACAGTTTAAGAAATAAATAGTAAAAAAAAGGTATGATCAAGTATGGCCAAGTATTGAGTAAAATATAATAAAGTAAGAAGTTTATCTTCTTGGTTATAATAATATGCAATTATTCTGAAATTATCAGTTTAGCAGTCTTGTAAGTGACCACGGCCGTGGGTCACTTGTATTTATATCCCTGATAGATATTGTTGTGCATACCAATTGACAGGAGTTAAAAGAGTTAGAGTAGCCCAAGGGCCAAGTCAGAACAACGAAATCCGCTTCCGAATGAATAATAAATACAAAGTATGCGATAACAAGACATAAAGCTACTTGGATGATGGCTCATATTACTGGTTAACCGTTGGATATTCGATCAGGTACTTTGTGCTTAAAAAAGACTTTGTAACGCGACGAAAGTCGCCCATCAATATTATATATACGTATTGGTTCCTTTTGATTCCATGAGTAGGTACCTCAAGGCATTTTTAATTTTATTTTCAGTGAGTTGGAGAATTTTTTAAGAGATAACATAGTCAAGTTAAGAAGGTAGACATGTGATCTGACATGCCATGCTACCATCTGAGAGGTAGCCTGCTTGTTGGAGATCCAAAGTAAGTCTTCGAACCTGTAATTATTTGCATTCATGAAAGCCCCACGCAAATGTTTAATCGTGCTATTTTATCTCATTTGTTTGATAAATATTTTTTTCAAGTATGTCGGTTTTAATTCAACTTCTATATATATGTATATATATATATGGTTACCAGATTGTCTTTCTCAGAACTGAACATTAAGTTTTCTCTTCATTCTCCAGCTACTGCAATCATAAAAGGAGAAAATAAAATTTCGACAATAGACTGGCTGGATAATGTTGTGCACGTGGGGTGTGACGAGCATAACGTAATGAAAGGCATTTAAAATCACATGAAGTAGAGACATCATTCATATTAAGAACTGAGTAAACGGACGTACGTGTTTTTGGCAAGTTCTTCACTATGAATAATGATGATTATCCGATTATTTTTATGCCATAATTAGGTATTAATTACTATCAAGATGTAGCTTAATCGAAAAAATTTTCCATCAGAATATCAATTAATGGTCATCTATAAATATCACTAGTTGCTTGTTATAATTTGAATTCATAACATTGAGTATATAATAAAATCTTAATAGAAGTATGTCTCCAGTGAATAAAATCGTCGATTAGATTCCTATTATTAAATGTAGAAATTATGATTCCACATATTTCTAGAGATTCTTGAAGAATTCCTTTCAGGATTAAGAAAAAATGTCAAGGTATTTAATCGGAGTATTTTATGTTAATTAATTTTTTTCCCAGTTGAACAAATAAATAGCAGAAGAATCACTAAATAGTTGATAATGAAGACAAAGAATTTTTTTCAAGCATTGTGGTGATCATGAATGAATTTTTCCTGTGAATAGAGCTTTAGAAATTCGAACATTTAAAGTCAAATGGGAATGTTTGAATGAACAAATAAGCGTTAAAGAACACTTAATTTCAGTGCGAAAGTGTATTGAAGCTCCTGAGAGGCTTGGAGCGCCACGCAATTACACGTGTTCGATGAACCGATGAACGAATGAGCTCGTTATGCCTCTGTAAGCTTCTCTCACATGTATAAGAGATACTTTATGTTCATAGAACACAAATGAGATGATGACAATTAACAAAAATTAACATATGTAAATCCTTGTATCAATTTTCTTGGCAACAAGTATAAGAATAAAAAGAGCAACTAAAAAAATAACTAACTAGTTAGTGTGACTAGTTTAGTTAACTATCAACAAGATGGAATTGGTCATGACATGCAACAGCACTTCATGGGCGTTTCTTTTTTGTTCAGTACACATTAGCAAGATACAGTTGGATGAAATACACATAGAGCTCATTGACTGGCGAGAGGACACATGTAAAACACGAATGAGGAAGCTTGTCGCAATGCTAAATGATATTATATCTCTTTCTCCGTCTTTCGGATAACACCAGAGTCAAGTCTAAGAAGGCGCCGCCGTCTTATCGCTTAATTTATGATGCAGCAAGATCTAAGAGGGGAATATTGTTTGTAGTCTTAAAGTGCATTGAGGCCATATTTTCCATTTCAAACCTAAAAGATCTCCAAACGACAAATATTTCATAACTTGTAATCATCTAAATAATTATCCAAACTTAATTACCAGACTAAAATGGTCTTGATTAAAAATTCCAACTCCAATAATACGAGTCATAAATCACACTGTTTTTATTCTATTTTCTTTTCAACTTTTTGTACAAATTATCATTCTTATCAAAGTTAGGTATACATATATATATACACTCTATTACCTAATGTTTCTAAAGAATGTTAAAAATGGTATTTTCTTATAATAAAAAGCTCATTTTTAATGATAAATACTACGGCTATCACATATTTACAGATATTTCTACAGCTAGATGCTAATGGTTGATGACACTCTTGCACGCTTGAACGATTAATCGATATTCCAGCTCCAGCAATTACTTAATGACTTGTGATAATTATGGGATAATGTTCTTCGAGATTAAATATACACTTGGAAAGAATTTTATTAAGCTTCAGAGATTCTGGAGCATCAGTATTCATGTATATGTAATCAACTTTAGTTTAAACCATTTACTTTCAATGGCAAAAAAAATTCCTTTTTTATCTATTGTTATAGTCAATCGTTTATACTCATTGTTCAGTCATTTGTTGTCAATGATACTTCCTTATTTTTATTTATGACCTTCAAACAACCAGTAAGTTTTTTTTTGTAGTAAAATCAGTCAAAGGATCATATAAAGATTTATTTGATGACTTTTTTTGTCCAACTCATACGGAAGAGTTACCTTAATTTATTGAATGGTACATAACAAAAAGACATGTGAAATTTTTTGTCAGACTAAGAGCAACATTTGCTCGTTACAGCCTTAGGAGGTCTTAAGTTTAGTGATTGGAGATGGAACAACAAGGGTCTTTGTGGTGTATACATCCTTATAGGAATATGAGCAAGACAAGTTGAGATAGAACATATGTATAATAAGGAAGAAGAAACCACGTGCCAGATTCATCAGGCAAAAATTTAACATGACATCAACTCTGGATTTTTGCCTCATCGCGAATTTGATGGCAAGCGTGAATGAAATGTAACTCCTGTGTATCTTTTTCAATGTTACATGCCGCCATCTGCCACTTGGCTCTTCTTCTTCTTCTTCTTCATATTCTTCTTTTATTTTCTTTCTTCGCCTTCTTAGTTACGCTGATCGACTAGTGACAAGTCATTTTGCCTCAGGAAATGATGAAGATGGAGAAAAAGCTGAAGAAGTACTATAAGAATAAATAAAATATAAAATGAACAGAAGAAAAATTAATGTCTTCTAGGGTGGGCTTTGAACATAAGATTCTTATCGAGGGCGTTAAATTATGAAACGTGATTGCATCAGATACCTTAAGAAATGATTAAAAATATCCATAAGCAAGATTATAACCAAAGGCCATGTAAAGTAAATCCCAGGAGCGTTAATTCATCTCACTAACTTGAGAACATGCTTCTTAATAAAGACAAGATAAAGACGTCAATTGTCGGGTGATTGTCGATCACGCATGTACTCTACTGGCCTTGATATTCTGGAAAAAATTTTAAATGAGGAAAAAGTAAATAAAAAACATCACCAAAGCACCAACTAACTTACATGAGAATGTATATGTATGAAGAAGTAAAATAAAACATTGAAAATAAAAGTAAAAATACTTAGTCTTATTAGTTACACGCACGAGTTGATCGAAGACCACCCTTTAATACGAAATCCAATAGCTCAGGATTTGGTAAATTCAGTTTGAAGACTGAGGGTTTATATCATGGTCCACATACTGCGAAAAGTATACGCAAAAGTAGTGAATAAAGATCAGGTGACGCGTTGAAGTAATTTGACAAAAGTTATTTAAATATTCACGAATTATACAATCATTTATGTCAATTTTTTTCTGAAAAGATTTAAAAAATAAAAATAATTTTATTTTACTCAAATGATTTGTTTTCTCATAAATAATTGAATATTGTTTTAAATTAATTACTATCATATATTTTTTTTTAATATGATGCTTTAAAATCTAATTAAGAGGCTTAAGATACAGAAATTAAATTATGAATGGAGCAGTATTATATATGGAGATACTGAGGCAGATCAGGTGACGTGTGAAGTTAAAAAAAAAAGGGAAGAAAATACTCAGGGATGAACGATTTGACCCCCCAGTGAGAGGGAGGACGTTGATTATGCGAATTTTTATTTTTCTTTATTATTATTATAATGGTTATGGTTTATTGTAAAATGTTAAATTCTTAAGTTTGATTGATGGTGAAGATATTAAATGTGAATATCATGGTATTGAGAAAGAGTTAAAGGTTATAATTTAATCGTTGAATTGGATACAAAGAAAAAATAAGAGGAATAAAAATGTCTCTTTGAGATTTAGAATCACTACGGGAGATCAATAGAAAATTCGTCGTCTGTTCACCTGATTAATTCTAATAATGACTCATGTATTTACAAATTATTAAACTCTCATTTTTATTCAAGCTAGAAAAGATTTTTAATTTTAACGTAATAGAAACGAGTATCACGATAGTATCAAATGAATGAGCAAAAGTCATTGGTTTACTTGTTGTTATTAATTAATCTCATTATCACTCTTTCAAGTATCAAGCTAATGACCACTTAACTTTGTTTGATGGAAGTCTTAACTAGACGAGGTCAAGGGAATTTCAATTGACCTTCTCTATCACTTTTAGAAATATTTTCTTTGTTTTATCTTTTTTTTCACAAATTTATTTTTATCAATAGTATTTACTATTCTCTTTATTTATTGTGTTGAAATATTTTTACACCAAGTTTGCAGAGATCTTTTTTTTTTAAATAAAGAATCTATTTTTAAAATTTTATTTCAATCATGTAATTGATGTTCTTCACTTATCAATCGTCAGACATTCTTCATTTCCACTTGTCTATTACTGCTTTGACGACTAAATAATGATACTCTTGTACTTGGTAATCGTTGCAATGCCAAGAAATTGATATTTTTTTTGGTGTAATATCATTGAAAGCTTCCGGTAGTTTATTGATTTTATTTTTCCAACTTTATAGCTACATGTTATTATATATGCTTTTCCTTTCGATGAAGTTGTATTGCAGAGTACCATGGTAATGTGATGTGCTGATGACATAAATAAAATGACAGTTGGAGTAAAATAATAGGTAATAGAATTCAATAAAAATGACATGAATTTTTTTTTACAAGTTATCGCGAAGGAAGTTGCATCTATATCTACTTTAGTGATGAAAATTGGAACAGTATATAAGAAATACGATAGTTTAAATAGAGATACGTCTTTTTAATCAGTATGCGGTTCATCATCTCTTAAAAAAGAATATATAAGAGATGTATAACGAATAGTAATGATTAATTAAACTTTCCAAGAAGACGTAACAAGTGTAACATTATTAGTGCTTACTGGCACAGTTTGCGTCACTTCATATTTACATTAGTTGCATCTTGGTCTTATAGACTGAAATTAATAAAGTCATAAATTAATATTTGTTCCAGATGCATTCTGCTATTGATTATATTCTCTACTATGTCATTTGTGCACTCGTATGTCCCAGAAAAGTATCCAATTGAGGTAACGATTTGTTTTATTGTCTTTCAATAATAACAAATCATTCACATTACAGTTTAATTATTACTTTATCAGATGATATAATACTTTTAAATCTTCCATATACCATTTTCATATGTAAGTACTTGTCTCCTAAAATTGCTAGTGAAAGTAAAATAAAGAAATCTTTCTTACAAAAATATTATTATATGTCCAAGTAATAAAGAAATATAATGTAGTAAAATTTTTATATGAAAATTATTAATCTTTGAATCTCAAATTTACATACAAATAGAATACTTTTTATATCTTTATTTAAATCTTTTTATTACCATAAAAGAAAAACAAATGCCATTTATTTAAATCTTTATAGTCTGTCAACTTAGTTGTAAAGTAAAAATGAAGAAAATTTTTTGAATGATTTATTATTTTTTTTCATTCCACTCAAAGCATTATTACTCCATAAATATGAATACTCAAATTTTATAGGTTTACCACATGCTACAGGAAAGAAGCCAGTATGGATTTGGAAGAGATAATCGTGTAAGAGGAAGCTGGGGTTCTTGGAGCTCTTGGAGTGAATGTTCGAGATCTTGTGGCACTGGAGTCCAGTCTCAAGCCAGGCAATGTGTTCTTCGGTGAGAAAAAATTTTATTTATTATATAATATAACTTTTTAATGAACGGCATCGATAAAATAGCAAAAGAGAAAATATGTAATACAAAGTATAGGATTTTAAGATAAACATAAAAAAGTATATCGTAGCTAAATACCATGCTAGGAGAGTTGGATTTTTGAGCTGACAGGTGTTGGTTTAAAATCCTTCATATTACTTAAAAAGTATCAATTTAATTTTAATAATGAATAAATCCCTTAATCTAAACAAATTGTTCGTATGTTTTTATATCACTGATGGGATCTAACTCCGTAATCATTCATTGTTAGCATGAAGAAACAATAGAAAAATGCGCACAAATGAATCAGCTGATCAAATAAAACATTCACGTGGTGACCATAAGAAAAAGATTATACAATTAGAGTCCTCTATAATCAACTCTTTTGTTGTTATTGTTTTATTTTAGTCAATAAATGATATCTCTTACTGTCAATCTTCCTACATCTCACCTGATTGAAGTTCTTAGATGACGCCATTTTCTCTCTTAATCGGATAATTTTTGTTTTAATGATCATCTTGCTCAAATCTAAGTAAAATCTTATGGTAGTCTTAATTTATGTTTATCGTTCGATGTAATATGAAGCCTACATTTGAGCAAGTCTCTCATTAGGACAAAAATCCAGCTACCGAGATTTCAACCGATATCACTCATCAACAGGAAATCTCTTATCTCAAGCAGTAAAAACACTGAAGCTCTTCTTTTACACAACACTTTATAATTTAATTCTCTATTTAATTAATCGACATAACACAACCGGTACTTCTATATAAACACCATCGGTTATATCTGATGTCCATTATACAGGACTTTACGTTCACAAATGAAAGAATATTCTCGATTTTTTAGTCGTTCCTACCGCATTGATGAGTCATCAGGAAGATCATTAGTAACGACACCCAGTGTCAATATGCAAATCAATATTGCAGATAACTTTTTGTTCGCGAGTTACCTTTGGCCTTATTACCAACAGGGCAGGTTTTCTAGTGACGTCACATAGTCCTACAAGCGATGACAAGTGATGAATTATTTGAAACCGTTACCTCATTGCAATTTGAAAATGATACACTTGTTGTGTCGAACTCTTTGCAGATACATTAGTGTAAGTAGATTTTGCAGTAAGTGTAGGCAAAAAAAAATATATAAAAAACATCGTGTTGGCTTTAATGACAGAGGCGCCAATGTTCTTTCATTTTTTTTACATCTCCAGCGGCATATCGAGATTGGTACCTACTAGGGCATTATATGCGGGCGATTGCTTCTCTTGGCTATATCGACAAGTGCTTCTCTAGCATCTCTTTTACACTCTAGAGTTTTGTTTTTGTAACGGAATTCATGGCGTCGTCGTTAATTCGATGTTACGCCTGTTTCCTCCTTGACTGGAACGATCTTGCTTGAACAACACCATGATTTTAAAACTATATTTTACACTTTGTAGTTATAATAAGTGATCTTTTTTCCAGTAATACTGTAAGGAAAAGGAGTGTAATAAAAGAAGGAAACTCTACTACTAGTCTAAAACCAGTGTGTATTGGTACTTATAAAAGATACCACATTTGTAATACGCAGGTAAAAACATTTTCTTAAAAATATTTTATACCAGTAAAGAATCTGGTTTTAAGTGTATGAAATTCATTTTTTTATCACTTGCTCAATCATTAAATTATTATGATTTTTTTCTAGGAGTGTCCAGATTTTTCTGAAGACTTTCGAGCACAACAATGTGCAAAATATAATGACAGACTTTACAAGGGAGAAAATCATGCCTGGGTACCTTTTCTTAATGGTAGATCATTGATGAAAAAATTTTAATAATGATTCAATGATTAATGGAATCCAATACTGAAATACGTTTATCTTTTAATTTACAGCACCAAATCCTTGTGCATTGAACTGTCGAGCGGTAGGTGAACGATTCTACGCAACTTTAGAGCCAGCAGTGGTCGATGGAACACCATGTGATGGTCCGAATTTACGTGGAAAGAGTATGGGACTGTCTGTAGATCGTACTGAACAATGGCTTTGCGTCGCTGGACAATGCAGGGTATAACTAGTAGCTTATTTTTTTCTTCTGACTTCTATCAAGATAAACGATACAAAATCGACATCGTTCACTAGATAGCTTGAAAAAACTTAAATTTAATTCTATAAATATATTTTTTGTTATTACATTTTTTCTCATGATTTTTAATTAAATTAAAATTTGGAAAAATTATCCAATTCTTAGAGTTGCTTTCAATCTAATTTTCGTTCGATGATTGAGCCGAAACAAAAATAAATTGGTGTAGAAAATTGAAAACTAAGCTGTTATATATTCTGAGAATGAGGAACTTTTTAAGCCTTTTAAATAACTTTAAACATCTGGACCGAGGAAATATGAGTAAAAAGAATACAGGAATGTGTTAAAAAGACATTTTATTTATTAGTCAGTTGGATGTGATGGAGTCATTGGTTCCGGTGCTGTCAGAGATACCTGTGGTGTTTGCGGAGGGCAGGGGAGAGGCTGCAAACTCTTTGAGGGTATTTTTATGGAACCAATTTTACCCAAAGGTCATCAGCCAATCACCACGATTCCGCGGGGGGCTATGTCATTAAATATTTCAGAATTACGCCATAGTAGTAATTATTTAGGTAATTATACCATTTATTATCATTTTCATTTGCTTGTCGAGTGATATGTTTATTGGAATATAAGATAATTAAAATGAGATTTTTATAAAGGACGAGTTGAATAATTTCAACAGCATGAGCTCAGTATCAGTTTATAGTGTCGATAATTACTAAGCATATATCGTTCATTAACTCAATATCTAATTATAGCTCTGAAAGCCGAAAATGGAAGTTATATTCTCAATGGGCCATGGTCAGTGAGCCCTAGTGGGATTTACAAGGCTGCAGGAAGTATTGTAACTTATCAGAGAGGTGATAGGAATAGGATGGAAAGTATAACGGCAACAGGTCCACTAACTGAGTCAGTAAACTTGGAAATTTGGTATCATGAAATGAATCCTGGAATTTTATATAAATATATGCTACCAGCGCCAGAAATTACTGACGATAATGCAATTCTTGCTCCACCACTTTATGCAAATGAGATACCTGATCATCATTCACAAGTAGAAATGTAATTAACCTGATTTAAATATTAATATTATTTGATAATCATGTCATTGAATAATTTTTAATTTATCCAAATTTCTTTTTTTAATTATTTAAATAATTTTACCAGGTCCATAAGACGACCGCAAATCGATTTATCAAGAAATCACATAGATGAGGAGCTTCTTAAACCTAAAAAAGAAGAAGTAAAATTTTCTCCAACTACTGTGATGGCTGGTGACGCACCAAATGTTAATCTATCAGAACCTAAAGTGAAGAAATTAAAAAAGAAGAAGAGAAAATTTTCTTGGAAAGTTGTGGGTCTTTCGCCATGTTCAAAGACTTGTGGAGGAGGTAATATTTATTTATATTTGAAAAAAAATTTGTAGTATTAATAAATGATAATAATTCATCTATCATAAACCATTTCAGGTGTTCAAAGTACCATCATAAAATGTGTGAGAGAAGATAAAGATAATCCAGTACCAGATCGGAGATGTAGAAAAGTCGAAAAGCCTCCAACACCGCCACCTCTTCAATGTAATGATCATTCTTGTCCTCCCCGTTGGAGAGCTGATGCTTGGTCTGAATGCTCGGTAACTTGTGGCTCTGGCGTTAAAACTCGACGTCTTGAATGTGTTCAAGATTTAAATTCGAAATTAACTATACGAGTAGCAGCAGGTGCATGCTCACAGCCACCGGATTTAAGTACTGTCGGAGTATGTACAGGTCCACCATGTTCAAGTGTCAATGAATCAAGAGAAACTAACACTCAATATATTCTTATCGACACATGGGAGGTTGGTCCATGGAGTCCAGTAAGTATTTATGAATTCGCCTACGAGAGAAAAATTTTTATGTCAATTGAAAGTTAATGATGCTCATAGGATATTTATTTCAGTGTTCTTCAAGTTGTGGTAAAGGCTTTAAGAATCGGACAATCACTTGTAAAGCTGAAGAATGTTCAGAAGCTACCAGACCAGTAGCTGAAGAATCTTGTGAAACTCCATGTTCTCCTCAGCACGGTGAATCTATCTGGTTGTACACTGAGTGGTCTTCTGAGGTAAAAATTCTTTTTTTCGCAGACTTGATGTTTTTCCCAGAAAAATTTAAATGGTGATGCTATAACGTCACATGGTAGCTTCACCTAGCCCTTTCCTGTCTATGATGTCGTATTCGAGTACTTTGGTTTCATAATAAAACATTGTTCAGTAAATATCGTCGTTAAGTGCATCGTTTTCTTTTAAAGTAAATATATGTAAAAGAGAATATCTTAATTAAACAACCTTGGTCGTTGTTTGATGACTCTTGGAGGAATTTTTTCAATGTCTCGATAAATATGTATTGAAGTTCTTGCTATGAAAATTATACAGACTTTCCTTGAGCTATAAATTATTTCTTGTAGTGTTCGACAAAATGCGACCATGAATTGGAAACGAGAAAAGTAGCCTGCAGCGATGGTAACGAATTATTTTGCGATCCTTTGAAGAGACCAGCATCGGAGAAGCGGTGTCCAGTGAATTCAACTAGAAATTGTACTCCCAGATGGTTCACTGGACCGTGGTCTCCTGTAAGCATTAACATTACTTATCATCCACTTTCAGGATAAGAAAAGTAATTGAATAAAATTTCCAGTGTTCTGTTATGTGCGGTGAAGGCACAGCCCGTCGAGAGGTAATTTGCATCGGTTACTCGTCCGGTGAATCAAAGATTCTTTCCGAAAGTAATTGCACTTCATCGAGGCCGCCTGCAGAGCAGAACTGCCGCATGCCTGCGTGCCCACCTGAGTGGTTCACATCCGATTGGAACATGGTAATTTTCGGAATATTACTTTAAGTATTTTCCCTTTGCTACTTGTCTTTATAATATAATCAACTCTTTTCCGCAGTGTACGGCTTCCTGTGGTGGTGGCACGCAAGAACGAGTTGTTCGGTGTCTTCATCAAGGCTTGGAATCATCATTGTGCGATGAAAAAAATAAGCCTGAGCTTAAGAGGCCATGCAATATTAAACCATGCAGTAAGAGTGTTATGTCACCTCAAAAATTATCGAAAAGTAAGTAGATATGTATTAAATAAAACTACTTTCTTCATTATTAAAAAATGTTAATATATTTTTTTTGAATTTTTCAGAAGTACATATTAATAATGACTGTGTAGACAAATATCCAAATTGTGGATTGGTAGTTAAAGCTGGATTATGTCGAATAAAATACTATAAACACTCTTGTTGTGGTTGTCTTAATCAACTACAATAAAAATTTTGTTGTTCAAAAAGTGTGAAAAAAAAGTCTGAAGACAATATTGAGTAGTAAAATTTTTTTGTAAAATATTTAAAAGTATTTTTTCACGATGAAACGCTTAAAATAATCAAGATATAGATATAGCGCTCTGTAAGTAATGAATTATTTTATTGTATAGACAAAAGATAAAATTTCCGTACAAATAGTTAAAAAACAAATAAATGTGATTGTGCATGAGATACTTTTGTATAATTTTTTTTTTATTTTCTCAATTTTTTCAATATTCTTTGAAAATATATATTTGCCATAATAAAAAGCATTATCTGGTTAATCATCACATAATTATTAATTAGTTAATTGGTTAAAGCAATACCTTTTCCCGTCCAACACTCTTTTAAATCTACTTTTAATCCTAAATCTCTTAACGCTGCTTTAACTTCAGCTTCAACAGCAGCTCCATGATTTTTAATTGCATCAGTTAGTATGGATTCAACTCCATATGCTACAAATTCCCGCGCTTCTGCTTTATTTTTCACAGTCATATTGCGAATAGCTCGTGCAGCTGTACGAATAATATTTTGACTTTTTGGGAATTGTTTCATTGCATCTATCATAACTACTGGCGCTCCACAGTCAAAGAAAACTCCAGAATTCGAAGAGCTTCTTAAAGTTAACGCTGATATACATGCAAAGCCAGCTGTTACAACACTCTCTGAGCTCTTAAATCTACTGATAGCTGATATAATGAGAGGAGCACTTCCACACGTTACGATGTGTGCTTTTACTTTGTCATTGCCTGCAAGACTACTGAGTAATTTTAATGCTTGCCAGTTGAGCTTTTCAGCGTCTGGATGATTTATCATCACATCCAAGATAAATGTCAGTCCACCTGCATCTTCTACTTCCTCACAAAATTCGTTTCTGACTACCAGAGTGGCAAGAGTAAACATCAGATCACCAATGACAGTATTATCATCTGTAAACTCTAAAAAAATATCTTGTAAATGTATGGAATATATTACTTGAAAAATATTAAGATTTAGTTTAAATTAACATTATTTACTTGATAAAAGGTTGGTTAATATACCAAGTGAAGCTCGAGCTATTTGAGTTGCATGTTCATGAGCTTTACCATACTCATGTCTTAGATCATCATCTAAAACTAATGATCGAATAACACTACAAACTGCTTTTAATTCGGGTCCAGTGATATTTTTTTTCGTAAGCAAAGCTGTAAGCCTTTTTAATATTTCAGCTTCAAAAATATTTTGTCGGTTGATTTCATGTTTTATACAACATTCTTTGATCCATTTCAGAAGAAGTTGAATTGTAGAAGTATCTGACTGTTCATCTAAGATTCTGAAAATTATAAATACATGGTGATTCATATGTTATCATTGAAATAGAACGTATTAGAATTTTAATTTATCGACTTACTGTATTTGAAGTTTTATTCCTTCGTCATTGAGCAAATCTGGATGACCGGTCATTAACGCAGTCATTGTTTTTAGAGCAGGTTTAAGAATGTTGACATCATTTTTAGTCTCTTTTATTAAATTCAATAGAATGGAGTATCCATTGTTCTTTCCAGCATAAAGTCTTCGGGCAATATCCTTATCTAATTCAGTCTTTAATTCTTCAAGTATTTTTGTAACATCTTCAAAATTGTTGTCTTTTGTGGCAGTATTTATTTTTTCCAGGCAAGTAAGTATCACATTTGAATTGTCAGAAATCACAAGATCTTTAATTATATTAGAGAGATCAACACCCTGAAGGAAAAACATCAAATAAAATTTATATTAAGTTTTAAATGAACAAAAGATTGTTATAAAAATAAACAAGACAATGACCAATTGTTGTGTAATTGATCATTTATTTATTTTTAAACTTACTTGTGCTTCAAATTGTCTGATGGCATCTTTAATAGCTTCTTCAGGCGACATGGCAAATTCTTCGATATTCTCTTTGACAACTTCATCATAAGTCTCTTGCTTGATCACACGAACCATGGTTACTGAGTTTTAACTCCAACCGATAATTTTTCTCCGTCTTCCTCGACCTAAATCGCCTTAAAAGGTCTGAATTTCCAAGAGAATGTTCTGTATTCGATGTTCGGATCATTCCCACTTCACTTGGTTTTGGTGATATCTCCAAAAGCAAAATGAGAACACCAAAAAAAAAAATAACAAATAATTAGCCAGATTAGAGTGAAATTCCCTAGATAAACATTACGGCATAAGCAGTCCAGATGGCGCAAAAGAGCATCTCGCTGACGAATCACAGCCCATGCGGTTAGTGGTTTTTAGCCAATCACATGTAATCTACTTTGATTGTATGCGGAAAAAGTTTTTTGCGTCGCAATTACTTGAGATGGAATAGATAAACCGACCATTAAAAATCAAGAGTCGAAGATTAAAAAAGAAACAATGCAGCCATTACTGGATGTTTGTAGTTTTGAAAAACATCATCATCTTTTAATTAACACCTCATGATTGTAATAACAATAAATTGAACAATTAATTATATCAAATTAAATGATTTTAGAAATGGTAAGTTGGAATAAAATTTTTTTTGATTGTTTTCAGTTTGTATGTAATATAATACAAAGTTGAATTGATTTGAATACTGATTCTTCATACATTTTGAGTATCTAAATATTTGTCTGAATATTTCTTCATGAAATTTAAGAATTTCCAAGAGTTATTGTATATTTTGTAGAGGTAAATATTCATAGTGATGAAAATTTCAATTATATAAATAAACTTTAACGTAATTCAATAAAAACACTAAAAAAATTTAGGTTAAAAGTGATTGTTATGAAAAATAATTAATACAAAAGTAGTTATTGAAAAACTGATTTTTTGTAATACACTTTTCCTATCAAACTATTAGTTAGGTCCTCGGATTTTTTTAGCTTGGTAGGTCGATTAAAATTTTTTAATTAAAATTTAATTGTTTCAATAAGTGCACATTCAATATTGAAGTATATGTAAAAGCTTTATTGAATCAACCTCAAAAATTTTTTTTTTTTTTTCCAAATCAATTATCTGTTAATCAAATTTTTTGATGCTTAATAATCACATATAAAAAAAAAAATTTTGTTGTCACATCAAATATTTTATATGCAACACCCATTATATTCAGGTATTTACACATAGCCTGTCTATGGCTATTATGTGATGTTGAAAATAACCATCTTTTTTCACTAAAAATATGATCAATAATTTATAATTAATGCTGTTTGCATTCATTTATCCATCTCGTACATTTACTGTTCAATTTTTCGAACAAGATTGATGATTTTTTTTTAAAAGTTAATTAAAAATTCACGAATGAAATCTTTAGTACGATACCGGATGGTATAATTAGAGTTACTTCTTGTTCTTCCTGCGCTCGTCTGTATATAGCGTCTGACCTAGTAATGTTACATTATAAAATACGACGATATCTATCACGTCAAGGAATTGGTTTTTTTTTAAATCTTATTTTTTATTTCGATATTTGTTCTTTGTTATTCTACTTACGTTTTTCTTGACAGTTTTTTGGTTGAATTTATTTTTTTCTGACAAGATAAAATATACTTGTGCAGTAGCTATTTTGATCTTAGGCATCAATGTAAAGTATCTAGCTGATAAGTTATTATTGAGATTAAGGTCAATAAATTATGAATTTTTGTTTCATCACAATGTAGGAAATATTTCCTAACATTAAGACATTTGTAATTTTATTTTGTCTTTTCAATTAATATTATGCTAATGGTTTCATTTCTTCAACAACACTACATGCATACTTATGAGTACAAATTAACGTTGATTAATTTTTCAATTAAGAAACATTTAAATAAAAATGGTTAATTATTACAATTCTAGATGAAGTCAAATGTAACTATTTATATTAACGTAATCACAACACTGTTGAGAAATGTATGATGTCAGACTTAATGATTTTCAGGGATACGCTACAAGTGGAAGGAGTCGAGCAGTGGTCAGACACCGAGAATCACTAGTCCATTCTCAGGAGTGCATCCCGTCAATTTTCACACAATATTCCAAACTCTCAATTCAACTAAGATTAAACAGAGCGAACAAGAGTGAACGAGAAAGAGAGAGAAAGCTTTGGGTAAGCTTTAGTAAAATCGTCGCCAGCAATTATGCAAATTCACCTACAATTTCTCTCAGCTCAAGACCAGCAATTCAACCGTTTGAATTGGCAAACTCAATCCTCGAGAAATATCTTGATAATATTTTAACTACATAATTCACTATAATTTTCTTCAATAGTTTTAATAATTTTCCCTCAGCCCAATTGATGGTTATTTTTCTTCAAGTTTAGTCGTTAATTAGATGATATTACTTACACTAATTAGCAAACTCAATAGTTATGTATGTACTTTGAAAGGCTTGCTTAGTAACGTCATATGGATGAATATCTTCAGCTGTTTGCTTACAATAGTAAATAGTGAAAAGGCAACGAACAGGCGGGTATAAATTAGCTAGAAGTTTGGGTCAAAGGTATTTCATGGTTCGTAGTTGAAAATGAAGGGTGATAAACGTTTGCGATTGCACGTGACACCTTTAATGCAGTCTCTCTGCTCCTCTCCACATTGCTGTTGAACGTTCCGGCTAGTCTACAACAGCTGCTATCCTAAATTCGGATTACGGCATCAAGTAATCCGATTGTAGGGATTTCTCTCCCTCAAGATCCTGAAGCTTCCGTGTAATGAGAATTATTGGTTAAACATTGATTGTTCTACGTAATAACTTAGAACATGTTAGGTAAATCTTATCAATTATTTATCTAAAGAGAATGGTATGCTTCTGAATTTGAGTAGAAAGCTGTTTTAACAATGTCAAAGACTTTCAGGAATTTCCGAAATTTCATTATGTAATTTCATGTACTTTCATCCACAATTAATTTCTTAGTTATCAATGCTATTGTGTGTACGTTAAGTACTTTTGTTCAGTTTCTCCATTGAAAGATTGTTCACTTCCTTTAAATATTACTACCATACCAAGGTAGTATCCTGTAATTAATTTATTTTAGAAGAAATATCGATCTATTTATGGATGGAAATGAATTTATCAGAGGTGTTTTATACTTACTATTGCAGAATTTGGTAAGAATAAAGAAATCAGGTAGAGAATCTTTACTTGAAATGCATAATAAAATGTAGAATACTCGTGTTGAACATTCTTGTGTGTCAAAGTAAAATTTAGGATTCTTGTGATAAAAGTTTACTTCATTCTTGACATTTTTACAGCTAAAATCTTCATCGTTTTGTCTCTGTGTATGCTGAAGAAAATTTAAAAATAGTAACTTGAAGTACTTACTATACTTGAAAAGATGCATATGAGAAATTGGAATTAAAATTTATGCCTTAGTTGCTTGATTTTACCAAAGAGATTGCGTGCCATTTTTTCTAGTGCCACTTGAGTTACAGTCGCGTTGCATCTTGATCAGTTTGTCGATTATCTTCAATATTCATATGCTTTGGTATCTATACTGTGGTTTCGATAGTTAGGTTCAACACCACATGTATATCATAACTAGAGTATGTATGCTACTCAATCTCAACAGTCTTCATCAATATTCATCATTTCATCGCCTTTACGATTCGTTATTACTGTTATTATCATATTTATTTTATAAAGTTAGTTTCCTCTGAAGTTTTATTATAAATTTATCACTGCTTCTAAAGATATTACTTTCAACGTTGATTAACTGTCATTTTTCATTAATTTTTTGGCAAGATGGTTTTTTAAAATAAAAATAATTCGAATAAAAATGTGGAGTGTATAATAAATGTAAAGTAGAGACTTCAAAGTAGTGAAGGAAATGGACAGGTTCTTGGGAATAGCTTGAAAATGCTCAGAGGTATATTGCTCGATATTTTAAGGTAAGAACTTGAAATTCTTTACGTTATCTACGTTTCCACTTTTTATTCAACAAGCAATCAATAAAAATTATTTTAAGATAACAAAATATCTTGGGAAAAATTTTTACAGTATTTTCTGAATACTTTCTGTTTTTCTTTTTGAATTCATCATTCAAAAATGTCCTGGGAGTCTATCATTCATTTTTTCACTGAAAATAATAAACATCATTATTAAGTAAATTACAACATAGCTAATACAGTGAATTTATCACTTTAGTTTTTTAAATTTAAATTCTCATATGCTAATTTAAATTTATTTTATATTTCATCAGTAGCTGTATTTATTGTTTATATTTTACCATCAACCTTAACTGCAGATATTTCAATTTAAAATATTCAATTCAATCTATCACTTTTAAAAAATTTACCTATCATTTTTTTTTATTGTTAAAATTTTTTCATGCGTCTCAAAATTCGGATTTTTTGTTTTTCTTCTTATTTGCAACGTAAAAGTTGAGAAATTGCAAAGAAGCTTTCTTTTAAAATGTAAGACACGTGTGAAGTGCAGACTTGAAAGTACTGAAGAATATATAAGTTAGAGTCTTTGGGAGAGCTAAGACTCCAACGTATATATTGCGCAATTTCAGAGTGAGGGAATACGATTTTGGATATTGCTCACGCTTTCTGAGGGGTTATACATTGTAAAGAAATCGAACTTTATCCTTCTCATCTTCGATTTTTTTTTAACCTTTACGATAACTCTTGTTGCCATCACGTTGTATGTGAGTTTTGAGAAGTTTTTCTGAAATGATGATCATCAATTCTATCTATATAGTCTCTAGAGTCTTCTCAATATCTGAGTGTTAGGAACATGGAAAGCTTTTTTGTACCAATCCTTTTTTAATACATATATATACATATATATATATATATATATATATACTCATAACATTGGTTATTTTACAGATGGTGGAGAATGGGTTGAGGAATGTACTTGTGTTTATACCGTCAGAAATGGAAATGATTTTTTGTTGGAAAAAAAATAAGGCAAGTGAATAAAACTGTATGTGTTAGTAATATATGAAATTTAAAACATTGTGTAGATTAAAGAAAGAATTTTAGATGGCAACCTGTGGTACTTCAATAGCATCATATAACCCTTTTGTCTACTTTCAAGTACTCTTGTTCTATTCATGTACTTAACTTTGCTTACAACTTCTTTGTCTGATTCTTTACCGTCTACTTGCTTTCTTCTGAAACTTGAAACCTTCTTGACACTGATATGAACCGCAAAATTACTTCAAGTTTCCAAAATTATGGAAGCTGTAATTAATTTTTCCCCTTTTTTCTTTTGCAAAGTTAAAGAGATGATTATTTAATATTCATTCTTTTTGAATATTATTCAAATTTAGTTGTTGAAAATTGTATAAAAATTTGGAAATATTTCTTTTTCAATTTTGAGGTAATTTTTATTTTATTGATTGAAAATTTTCCCATTTCGATTAAATTATCAGTTTATTTAATGTAAATCAATTCGGCCCAACATGTTTGAATAAAATTTGGCTTGTGGGAAAACCTCTGCAATTGATTTATAGAATTATCAGCTTCAATATTTTAGCAGAATTAAATTTGTCAGTTCATAAATAATTTTGATTTTTGATAAAATTGGGTGACAAAAAAGCAGTTGGAATTTTAATTTATACTTTCAATGATTATTCGAGGGAAAATTAAAACTAAAAGTCTTGAAATTTATAGCTTCTCTTTACTCATATTCTTATTAAAAAGGTGCATTTATTCAACTAGGTGATAGTATAAATGAACTTTAAAATATATTTTTCTTGGATTTCTTTGTAAAATTTTAATGTTCATTGTTTGATCAATTTCCTGACTTTCGTAACGTAATATTTTATTCTTTTTTTTATCAAACAACAATAAATTTAAAAAAATGTCAATATATTTCAGTGGTCGTTGGAAGTTTGAAAACAAAACGTTCAAAGAATGATCGACAATTTAATGACTCGAGGACGTAGAAATTTTGCCGCAGTGGAGAAGTGGATTTCGACAGTGATTTACTGCAGTTAGAGTATATGAAGTAGCAGCGAATAGGTAGAAAAGAATAAAACAGAAGAAAGCATTTATTACATTGGCCACGAGTTTCATTTTGGTCTCATGGGGCTACTTCATGTTGATAACTCAATACGTAAGTAAACATATTTTTTATTCATTCAAGTAAGCTTCTGAGGATCAGAGTGAGAATGATTGCTTCTCTCATGTTAATTTAATCATTACGCATTTTAAGTATGCTTGAAATAATTATAGAATGATTAGTGAATGTTTTATGTAAAAGGATCCTTAGAATTGATTTCTAAATGCTTAGACAACTCGACGCATCGTTGGAGGCATTCAGGTCTTTGTAGTCTTCGAAATAGAATTCAGGGCCTCACGTGGAATCTTTCTGTTGAATAGCATGAATTAATTGTCTATTGTGTGGTCTGGCACATGCGCAACGGAATTCTAAAACTCTTTTAGAAGGGCATAGTTAACTACATTAAATCCACATGAGCTCGTAATTACGTATTTCTGAAATCTAAAATGCATTCTTTCTCTTATCAGCGACAAAAAATTGTTTTTTCTTCAGGAGGAAAAATTTTTTATTAAATATTTTTAATAAAAGATTTATTTCAGCCGTTATCTTTTGTCGTAAACCTTTTTTTTTCAATTTATTTTAATATCGAATTCCTTGCAACATAAAATTATTTTTTATATTTACATATCATGGTTCTATTATAATTTTTTTCAAATTATTAATATTTGTCAATGACGATATCATAGAAAGAACAAAACTATTATAATTTATCATTATTAATCCAACATATTTTTTGAATATTTCATTTTAAAACTGTTGAATTAAAATGCTTTTTCTGGTATTTAAAATAATCCATGTATTTAATTTATTTTTGTACTGAACAAATAGAGTTTGTTGATAATAAGCTTCAGAAAGCTTTGTAATCAGAATTTATTCACAATAATGATTTTTTTTTTTCATCTTGCTTTTTTATCCATGAGAGCAATACATTATTGCAAAAATAAAATGAGTTTACATATAGAAATAAGAGAATCAGAGGCGTGGCACTTGCAAGCTCATACAGTGAATGCTTGCGCGAGCGCTGAAGGACAAACGCAGATAGTAGAAAGTCTCTTTACAAGGTCAGACAGTGGGAAAAAATCTTAGTGAAGTATGGCTAATGATATTTCAGTGAATTCATCGAGTAAATATTGCTTTATTTTTATCATAGCTATCATAGATAACAAGTTCCTCCAGAAGTTTCAATTCGTAAATTTTTTGCAGAAGTAGAATGGAAGGGAAGATAGAAGGGGGGATGATGGCAAGTAGGTAGAAGGAAAAGCTCGATTCATTCAGTCACCGCCCGGTTCTCGGCGCGCACACATTTCCATGTTCTTTCTGTCAAACTTGTTTATTGTGTGTTTATTAAAATTTATAAACATCAATATTAATAGTTAACAGAATATTTAAATATTAAATTATTTGTTAGAAATTAAAAATATTGAATCAAAGAAACAATTGAAATATTGTTATTTTATTATTTTGTGGATAGTTTTTAATTATGAGAGTTTATTAATTGTTATTTAATTATGTTAATAAGTGACTTCCTGTCGTGACTGTAGTGGTTAATTGAATGCTAAGAAACTTGACAAAGTTTTGAATTAGTTATAGAGGATTTTCATTGATAATTAATGTAAGTAGTTGATAATATTTTTTTTATTCGGTAAAAAATGGTTCTGTGGATTGATGAAAAATTAATGTTGATGAAAATTGAATGAAAGTTAGTTAGACATTTTGAAATAGTGAAACATGATTTTGAGTATAAACAGCAACATCATATTACACGTATGCGCACGATAAGTTTCGAGAAACACAAACAACGTACGGAAACCATTCGACAATTGGCAGTTGAGAAATTACATTTGTTGTTCATGTGAGTTTATAACAGAATTGAACTTTCAGCAATATTGAATTTTAAGACTAATATTTTAAATAACTGGAAAAATTTTACATATATGAAGATTGATAATGTATGCATTCAATGCGATTGGAAATAAAATCAGACAGGATTTCAACTATAAAAGTTCAATTCTTGAAATTTCATTTCAGATAGTGGAGTTTTTACTCTTAAAAAAAAATTCTATGCAAATTTCACTACACTCGGTCAACCATTTTAATAGTCTGAAATTTTTCAACGTTCAATTAATCAGCGTAAAGAGAAGCAGCTTATTGTGAAAAAAAGTATTTTCTCTTGACAGTTTTTTAAAAAGGAATTCACATTAAAGTTTTTTTAATTATGACACAAGACAATTTAATTTATAAATAATATTTATTTTTTCGATCGACTAACAAATTCGAAATAATTTCATTTAATTACTTGTATACAAAGTAATTAAATTATCAGTAATTATACAAATGATATCATTTAAATAGTGTGGTAGATATTTAATTAGTTTACAAATTAAAAATTGATATATTCTAACTCTAGGTATTATAATTATAATTGGAAATATTTTATGCAAACTGTGTATAAAAATTTCTCTTTAATCTACATGAATTATTTTATCATCATAAAAGAGATATCGTTTAACACTAGAGCAATGTAGTTTGATTTGATAAAATATTTACTAGTTGCTCTACTTTAACAACTTTTTCAATATCCCGATTTAATGTAATTTTTTTTTTCTGTGATTTTTTAATATCAAATCAATAATGTAATAACTGGGAAAAAATGAGTCAACACTGTTATTAAATTCTCAACAACACACTAGTAATTACATTGGTATTTCAGAAAAGAAAAAAAATATTTCACAAGTAACGAGGACAAGTTAATTCAAATAGAAAAAGAGAAAATAATTGGATCTAATTTTTTTATTGGAACAGATTTAATAGAATCTGATTGATTACTTGAAGAGAATGATGAAATGTTGAGAGATGATTTAAGGAAAAGAGTTTCGAAATGAAAAAAATTGAGTATAAAATGAATAATGAACGTGTCGTTACTTCTTTCATCTCGGTCTTTTGTATGAATATTGTGTCTTGCACATAAAGTAGTATAATGTCCGGAAACTCCCAGGGTGAGCGCCAACTCGTACATTACGAAATTATTCGGGGATATCCTTCTTCGTGGGAACAAGGTAATATTTCGTCGCCACGAGAGGTCACCCTCCTTCTCCTCTTTCACCCTCTTTCTACCTCAACGAGACTTATCCTGTTTTCTCGTCTCTTCTTAGCAAAGTCGCAAGGTAACCCGACCAAAACGCTTCAAGCAAGGAGGAAGACTCGTTCACTCCTAAGATTTATCACTTTTCACTTCTTGTCACTGAATAAGAGTGCCACATTGACTGTCAACTATTGTTGAATCAGGTTTCCAAAGATTCAACTCACAGCTTTGGATGATGACTTAGTAATACATAAAGAACATTAAAAATAAAATAGTTTCATTTCGGAATTCTCACTTTAACATTCCAACCAATAGAAATAAATAATTTAAAAAAAAAGTTTGAGTTGCAAAAGCTTTGTCGTTTAATAAGTCAGATAATTAAAAATATGTGAATGTTTTAGGGAAATATATTTAATTCAATTGTCACTGATTATTTATTTTTATATTTAACTTGTCACAAATCATCTAGGAATGTGTTTGATAGTTGTACTTTAAAAGGCTTATTGACTTCTCACGTTATTTTTTTCATCTATTGTGAACATTTTTTTATCAGTTTTTTTCAGCTTATAGAAAGCTTTCCCTTTATTGTGAACAACGAAAGTTCTACTTTTATCTGACAATAAATGACAAACTTTATAAAGTTACAAATATTTTCTATAAAATGGAATGTTTCTCTTTTAAGCACCAATTGTCACTAAAGTATTTTTTTAAACCAACAAATATTTTTTTTTTTAATTCTGTGTTTTAATTTATTCAGAGAAAAATTATAAATTTTACAACGACAGGGTTGTATTATTCTACTTTTTTCAACTATAAAACGGTAGAATGTTAATTGTTTTTTTTCTGTATTATAACAAATGGTACGTGAAAAAGTACACGAAAATTGTATGTTTGATGTTGAGTCACCATGCAAGTTACTATTTCAATATGGCAACAATTTGTTTGTCAAAAAACAGGGTACTTGTATTGAAATTAATATTTTATTCTGCTCTGTTTTTTGTGTACAGTTGTCATTTCATGAATTTGAAAGTATAAATATTCTTCGTTATTTCATTAGTAGGACAAATTTTAAAAACAAATTTGGACTTAACTTCAAGTGATGAAAACTATCACAATAAAAGTTCACTCATGAAAGTATAATATACATTTATTGTTTACTTTATATTTGTTGAAGATATTTAATCATAATTTTCAGTGAGTTTTCATTTTATTTACTTACTGACGAATACTGAAAAGAGTAAAAAACATACTCAGAATGAAGAGTATTTTCCATGATTTTACATATATTTAAATAAAATAAATTGCCTAAATGCCAGATATATTTACACTGTATAAATTGGATGCTCCATATTTTGTGCAAAGTCTAGAAGTCACTTTATACAGTCATCATATGATTAAATAATTATTTTCAATTTTTTTATTACCGGCACATACATAATTATTGGAATTTTTTAAAATAATTAGAAGAAATATGTAACAATATAATATTTGAACTGTAAAATAATAAGCAGCAATTATAAAGTTTCAAATTTATAATGTTAGTTTTCTCGAAAAAAAATTACATTCATTATTTGTTCTTTATTTGCAATAATAATTCATTACGAAAAATTGTTGACATAGAAATATATATAAGGTGACATTTTCTTGAGCAAAAAAACATCCTCTGTAAATCTTTACAAACTGTTGGATTCCGGCCAATTTTTTTTAAATCAACAGCGACACGATAGGATCATTTCTATTTACTTACTCCACCATTTTATCCTTGAGTAGTCTTTTATATATATTCTTTTTTCTCTTATTCTTTTTTTCTGCAGTTCTACTTCTCTCTCTCTCTCTCTCTTTCTCTCTATGGGCCAATAAAATTGTACTGGAAGGTGTAGTTGTCGTGAAAATACTCACTTTTGACACCAAATATTTACAAAAATACTTATTCATTGTTTATTTCAGAGCAAATAAAAAAAATCTTCTTTTATTTTCAATGGTTAAACTAATAAAAAATTTTCATTGCAGATTTGAATAATTCCAGTGGATTTATGAGAATTAGAGATATCTATTCTGTTTAAATAGAACTTGATAATAAATCGTTGGGCTGATGGATATCGTTAAGCATTGTAGAAATAAATTTGAAATAATACTATTAATTAATAATGCAAATGAAATATTAATTTGCCATAATGTAATCGAACTACAGAACGTCATTAATTAAAATTCAATCAAGAGTGTAATTATTAGTGCTACAGTGAATGATTTATTAATCTGTAACATGTGTACTAGATATAAATACATGTGTCAGTGTTCATTTATAGATTCTGCGTCTAGAAAAGGCTCAGTGTTATTCAAAAACTTTTCATGAGCTTCCATGTATTACAAATTACTTGTTTGTGAACATTCGTTCCATTAGAAATACAAAGTACCCAAGCAGCTATGTAAACTTGGATATATATTATTCACTGAAACATCAATTGAACATGGTGGGGAACAGGTAGTAGATAGTGCAGATGAATCGTCAGTAACTTATGCTCCAATCTACCCTGCTCGTCAACTCTTACACAGATTACAGTTGGTATTAGAAATAAACTTGTATCTTTGAACATAACACATCATTTCTAATGCACAAAAGGATCATTGGTAAACCGAAATATATATATCCTTTTTTGGAAATGAAAATTGTTTTCAAATTAATTTTCATTCATTTCGTTTTGAATGCATAATTATTCGGTCAGATTTATTGGTTGATTAAAAATCAATAAAGCTAAATACTTGATAAGAGTAATGGGTATTTCAATCAGTTATTATTGTTATAATTATTGATGAAATATTTTGGCAGTGTGTTGGTATTGAAGTTTTTAAATTATTCATTTTTAATGGGTTAATAAATTTCAAGGCTAATTTTAAAAATTTCATTTAAAATAATGGCCATGAATAGAATAGTAGATTGATTTTTGCCTAAAAGGATGTTAAGTGGATAGTTCGAATTCCTATAGATGGAATTTACTGTATTTATAGTTACGTTCAAAATCAATATTTACATTTTAATTAAATATCTCTAGTAGAATTGATTTTCATGGAGAATATTAATTATTTATGTTATAATACATATCATGTGAACCATTTTAATTTGAGCTCATGTTCAACAAAAATCACTGCTAATTAATTCTTATTATTTCATAAAATAGGAAAATTGTTATAAATCTTTATTGTGCGAAATAATTGCTGCAAGTTAGCCATGTACTTAGTGAAGTTGTATGACTTTTAGCTGAGGTATCAAAAAGAGTTTTTGATCCTTTAAACTCTCAGTAGTTTTTTCGTTCACCAACACTTGTTTTTTTTTTTCTTCTTTTCTTTGTCCTTTACATCCATACTCTGGCCTTCTTTTCTTGTTGAGCGTGAAACTACGCGAGATATACTTACGCCTTGATTGCAAAGTTGGAGTCTCGCCACATTGCCGGAAGCTGCAAGACATGTTGTAGTAGTTTTCGCTCCATACCGGTGTTTTATTTTACTCGTTTTTTATTTCCTAATTTTTTTTG